CCCAGAAACAAAGAGAGAGCGTCATCTGTCACCTACAGTCTCTCTCCCTAAAACCTTCAAACAAGGTCAGAAATCTAGGGGTAATACTGGACTCAGACTTAAATTTTAATAGCCACATCAAATCAGTAACATCAGCAGCTTTTTACCATCTAAAAAACATTGCCAGGATCAAAAACATAGTGTCTAAAGCAGACTTGGAGATTCTTATCCATGCATTTGTCTCCAGTAGGTTAGACTACTGCAATGGCCTGCTCACAGGTCTGTCCAAACAGGCTGTAAAACAGCTGCAGTACATTCAAAATGCAGCAGCTCGAGTCCTGACTAGAACCAGGAAGTACGACCACATTAGTCCGGTCCTCAGGTCCCTGCACTGGCTTCCTGTGGCTCAGAGAATAGACTTTAAAACAGCTCTGCTTGTGTACAAATCTCTCCATGGCCTCGCACCAAACTATATTAGTGACATGTTAGTCCCATATGAACCAGCCCGGACTCTGAGGAGCACAGGGACTGGACTCCTGTTAGTGCCCAGAGTCAGAACTAAACATGGGGAGGCTGCTTTTCAGATTCATGCTGCTAAAATCTGGAACAGTCTTCCTGAAGATGTGAGACAGGCCTCCTCTCTGACAATGTTTAAAACCAGGTTAAAGACGGTTCTGTTTAGCTGTGCATACAACTGAGGGATTTTATATTTTTATCTTTTTTTTTTAATGTACTGTGATTATTTATGATTTTAATGCTTTCTTGTTCTGTTCAGCACTTTGAGTTGCCTTGTGTATGAATTGTGCTATACAAATAAACTTGCCTTGCCTTGCCTTACCATATGAACCAGCCCGGACTCTGAGGAGCACAGGGACTGGACTCCTGTTAGTGCCCAGAGTCAGAACTAAACATGGGGAGGCTGCTTTTCAGATTCATGCTGCTAAAATCTGGAACAATCTTCCTGAAGATGTGACACAGGCCTCCTCGCTGACGATGTTTAAGACGAGGTTAAAAACTAAGGGATTGTATATTTTATATTTTTATCTTTCTTTTTAATGTACTGTGATTATTTATGATTTTTATGCTTTCTTATTTTTGTTCAGCACTTTCTGTTGCCTTTTCACCTTGGAGAGACCCATGAGGAAAATGCCGTTAGACTTATTAGATTTAAGCATGTTTATTGATTGAGCATGTTTGGCGCCCTAGGCCCGGGAGGGATGCTGTTGAGCACGGCGCTTGCTCGCGTGCATAATCCCCAAAAGCGGGCCTGCGATTGGGATAGCAGGACGTACTGCGCGGGCCTGAGAGCATGAGTGAGAGGCTTCTCGCACAGTCGCTCAGCCAGGCTGCGTCCGCTGGGGCCCGTGTTTGTTTAGGCCGGGCGAGCTGAGAATATGAGCGTGCTCATATTCAGCCAGACGCTGCAGCAGGGGAGTCTTTGAGCGAGCTGAGAATATGAGATGCATGCTCATATTCGCCAGACGCTGAAGCAGAGGAATCTTTGAGCGAGCTGAGAACATGCGCATGTTCAGCCAGACGCTGCAGCAGGGGAATCTTTGAGCGAGCTGAGAATATGAGATGCACGCTCATATTCGCCAGACGCTGAAGCAGAGGAATCTTTGAGCGAGCTGAGAACATGAGCGCACGCGCATGTTCAGCCAGACGCTGAAGCAGAGGAATCTTTGAGCGTTTGAGGAAAGTGCGTGCGGCCACCAGAATCTTATTGCTTACTTGCTTTGCTGGGAGCTTACGAGGAAGCCGGTAGACGTTGTGCTGCCATGATAGCGGTCGCATCTGGCCTGATGTAGGTGGAGAAAGCCGAAGAGGACCAGCGCCCCAGCTGTTGCAGAGAAGAGTGGGGGAGCCCCAGCGAGGTCGCGCGCGTGGCAGCGCCTATCCTGAAGGAGTGGGCTGTATAGAGCTGGGGAGACAAATTGCAGAGGAGCAGTAGGGATCTTAGCTGAGCTCTGACCCAGGTTGCTGTTATGGGAGCGGAAATTAGAGGTCCGTTAAAATCTTTTTGCGGCGGAGGCGAGTGTAACGCATCATGGACCTGTAGGGGCAGAGAGATGTGTCGGAGCGAGCTATTATTGTGTTGCAGGCGCCTTTGATCTTTAAATGTTTGAGATGAAGGTTGAAATGGTCAGGGGACATTATGTTGGGTGAGAAGAGCGACCTTTGTTTAATGCTTCCACTACGTCGAGATTATCACGCATGACAGAGATCCTCTTTCTCTGCCACGTGTGATTCCACGCGCGCAGGCCACGACCACTGGGAATGTCTCGTGTAGGGCAGAGGAAATGCTCCGGGGAAAAGTAGCGGGCCACGGCCCGGCGAACCACTGGTCCTGGAAGAATCCCCCAAAACCCACGGAAGGGGCAGCATCCGTGTAGAAGCGGAGACCTGTAGGGGCAGAGAGACATACCGGAGAGGGCCATTGATGTTGCAGGCACCCTTACGCTTAGAATCTTGGGTTGGAGATTAGATAATCAGGACAGTAGGATGGTCGGGAAAAGCCGTGTCTCGGACCGCATTGAAGGTTGAGTGAGCAGTAGTGAAACGCTTAAGCAGAGAAGCCATAGAAGGCGAGCAGGAAGATGCTGCGAGGAGGGCAGACATGTACTTGGAAGATGAGCCGGAATTCAGTGCCGCTCAGAGCTGCTGCAGGATGGGCAGCAGGATGGGGAGCCTGCAATCAGAAGAGTGAAGAATACAGGTATGGATGCCTTTGATTAGGAGTTTGATTGACGGCTCAGCGCAGCTACTCGGCCAGCTGCATCTGATAGAATCAGAAGATTAGGTAGATTAAGTAGAGAGATGAAGCATGACCGCCGAAGCGACCCTGGGAGCATAGGTGCGAGTCCTGCGCAGCGCGGCATCCTCAGCCGGGCTGCATCCATTAGAAGCAGGATAAGCTTCTGAGAGAGAGTGGGTTGCAGCAGTAGCAGTAGCAGTAGCAGCGGCAGCATGAAGCAGCAGCAGTATCCTTAGACAATAACAGTTGTAGCTGTTTAGTGTTTCAGTAAAAAGAGATGTAAAGTGAAGAGACGTCAAAGTAAATGAAGCAGTAGCAGCAGCAGCAGTAGTTGCAGCAGTAGTTGCAGCAGTAGCAGTAGCAGCAGCAGCAGTTGCAGCATCCTTAGATAATAACAGCAATAATCCTGTATCAAGGCCACAGCAGTAGAATATTGTTGTAGCTGTTTAGTGTTTCAGTAAAAGAGATGTAAAGTGATGAGAGATGTCAAAGTAAATGAAGCAGCAGCAGCAGCAGCAGTAGCAGTATGAAGCAGCAGAAGCAGCAGTAGCGGTAGCAGTATGAAGCAGCAGAAGCAGCACGACAATGCGATTCATACGAACAACAGACATGTCACGCCAGCGTGCGCCGCTTGTCTCCGTGAGCCAGGTTACATACGTGTCTGAAAGAGCCGAGCCGTAGAGACAGGTGCAGCCTGGGAGCCCGCGGAGCGGCAGCGGCAGGAACGGGAGCGGCAGCGGCAGGAACGGCAGCAGCGGCACATGTAGTAGTAGGAGCAGCAGGAGCAGGCAGCAGGGACAGGCAGCAGGAGCGGCAGCAGGAACAGGCAGCAGCAGGAGCGGCAGCGGGAACAGGCAGCAGCAGGAACAGGCAGCAGCAGGAGCGGCAGCAGGAACAGGCATCAGCGGGAACAGGCATCAGCGGGAACAGGCATCAGTAGGAACGGGGAGCAGGCATCAGTAGGAGACTGGCAGCAGCGGCGGTCAGAACCGTGCCCATGGTTGTTTAAGAGCCTCAGGAAATTAAATATAAATATTTACCTGAGAAAGAAATATAAATTAACCTGAATCCAAAACATTCCCATGCGAATAACAGATGTCTCCTGGAGCCATCTTGCTGCTTTGGTTATGGCAGATACGCATGAACGATCACTTTTCCACACGTTCATTAGCTCCAACTCCACTTCACACTCATTGCAGATTCACATTGGGCCCTTTTTCTTTCTGCTGCACTTTCAAAATGCAACAACTGCAGTTTAGTTACCTAGTGACCCAGCTATTTAAATGCATGGCCCCTCCATTATCCCTCAGATAAACTAATTTAAATACATTTCATTTAACAGTAGTGACCTGCGAGTAATAGATTAATGCTGTAAGATGGCGCCGTGGCAAGAGCTCTGGAGTGTGCCGTCTGGAGCACTCTGGGGCAGTCTTGCAATTCTTCCAACGTGGTTTTACTGCAAGTGGCAGAACATGAATCTGAATTAATGCACATTGCTCCTCTTATATCCCTCGGACGATAAAGAGTATTGCCATTTAATATGCATTGTCCCTCAGTTAGCTCCAACACATGTGAAAACGGAGCCTGCAGACCAAGCACGGGGTGAAAACTGGCGCCTGCAGTCCAGTGCGCAGGGAATAATCCGTCCGCAGATCAGCAACTCACCACCGCATATGCCAGAAGACGTGGGAAAGCAACGGGACAACGCGGCACCGCCAATCGGAGGCAGGGACACGCACGGCACCGCCAGACCGTCTGCACGCAGCAGCAGACCAGAGGAGACGAGCAGCATAGAGCCCGTGGAGGGGCCCCGCGGAACAGCCCGCAGAAGAGCCCGCAGAGGAGGAGAGCGGCGGAGACACAGCAGGTGCAGGGACGCGGGGGAGGAGCAGACCACAAGCAGCCAGACTGAGAACAGCCGGGTCACGCGCACAAGCAACACGTGAGCAGAAGCGACCCCTCCAAAACAACGCATGCATTGCGAACAGGTGCGTTAGCGACATGCGCCTTGCAGACTTCAGAAGCTTGCAGACTTCAGAAGCTTGCAGACTTCAGAAGGCCGGGAAGTGGGAGTCTCCGGCTTTTAACTTGCTGTCCTGGTGGTTATTGGTTGGCTGGATGTGGGCGTTGCTGGTCTGATGAGCCGAGGAAGAGCAGCCTGTGGATCTGGGCAAGCAGCAGCCGGGTCTACCACAGTGAACTTTCGCGAAAGCTCCATCTGTATGAATTGTGCTATACAAATAAACTTGCCATCCCTTGCCTTGCCATGGAGGAGGTGATGGAGGAGGTGATAGAGGAGGTGATGGAGGAGGTGATGGAGGAGGTAATGGAAGAGGTAATGGAGGAGGTGATGGAGGAGGTGATAGAGGAGGTGATGGAGGAGTTAATGGAAGAGGTAATGGAGGAGGTGATGGAGGGGGTGATAGAGGAGGTGATGGAGCAGGTAATGGAAGAGGTAATGGAGGAGGTGATGGAGGGGGTGATCGAGGAGGTGATGGAGGAGGTGATGGAGGGGGTGATAGAGGAGGTGATGGAGGAGGTAATGGAAGAGGTAATGGAGGAGGTGATGGAGGAGGTGATGGAGGGGGTGATAGCGGAGGTGATGGAGGAGGTAATGGAAGAGGTAATGGAGGAGGTGATGGAGGAGGTGATGGAGGGGGTGATGGAGGGGGTGATAGAGGAGGTGATGGAGGAGGTAATGGAAGAGGTAATGGAGGAGGTGATGGAGGAGGTGATGGAGGGGGTGATAGCGGAGGTGATGGAGGAGGTAATGGAAGAGGTAATGGAGGAGGTGATGGAGGAGGTGATGGAGGGGGTGATAGAGGAGGTGATGGAGGAGGTAATGGAAGAGGTAATGGAGGAGGTGATGGAGGAGGTGGTGGAGCAGGTAATGGAAGAGGTAATGGAGGAGGTGATGGAGGAGGTGATGGAGGGGGTGATAGAGGAGGTGATGGAGGAGGTAATGGAAGAGGTAATGGAGGAGGTGATGGAGGAGGTGATGGAGGAGGTAATGAGAAGATGAGGAAGTACATCCTCTGCTGGGCCTTTTTGATGAGGAGGTGCAGAGGAGGTGCAGAGGAGGTGCAGTGGTTGGTGCACAGGGAGAAGAGCAGCGGAGAAAGAACACAACCCTGTGGGGCTCCTGTATTTATAATCCGAGAGTCCGAGACAGGTTCAAATAGGATCAGGCCTCAGCACATGTAGACCCTGCAGACCCTGTGTGATGTCACATGATCACAGATTGCAGGAGTCACGTGACTCGGGCACAGCTGGACAGTTGTGATGTCACACGGGTGTGTCAGAAGTAAGTTTATTTGTGTAACAGTTAGTTGTGGAAACATTGGGCCTCATGTATGAAACTGGCGTACGGCCAAATCAGGGTGTAAATGAGGCGTACGCAAAATATTTACACCTTTCCGCATTTATCAATCTGGACGTGAGCGTACGATACGCACAGAATTTACACCAAGTCTGGAGGTGGTGTAAATGTGTATCCCAAAACACGCATGAAATGCAAGATTTGGAAAAAAATAAACATATGCCCACTCTGGCAAGATTATAGACACACCGCTCACATTACAATATGCAATTTTAAAGTTATGTTAGGGCTAGTTTGTGTTATTAAATAACAAGATGTCAACTTCTAAAGTCTCCCACAAATGTGTGGATTGTTATATGCACCTACAATCAGTGCGCAACGGCATTTGGTTCATGTGGGTCCAAGCAGGCCCGTCCCAAGGGGGGTGCGAGGCCCTGTGCGAACTCGAAACGCGAGGCCCTGCCCTGACACTTTTTTCCCAGATCTGAGGAAAGTTTTTCCTGTTATAATCTTTGACATGAATTCAGCACCACCTCGCGCGGTGCTTGACGAGATCAGCACGCGTGTAACCGAGTGTCTTCGCTCCTATGCAGCGTTTGGCGCGCGCACGTACACACGCACACACACTCTACGTGCAATATTGGTCGCGGTCTTTTTAGCTGACATGTCTCTTTCGTCCTGTGGCAAAATGGCAGAGCAACTCAAAAGATTGAACCAAAAGGAGTCTTTTTCTTCTAATAGTTAGATTTGGGCAAAATGCGCCAAAATGGCTATGAGGCGGAGTCAATATTATTATTTTCTCATCAAATAACGTTTTTGCCATGCCTCCACACACTCTGACAACATACACTCCTCCTCCTCCACACTGACAACAACAAAATACTCTTCACCTCCTCCTCCACACACTCTGACCACAACAAAAACACTCCAGCTAGCTAAAGCTAGACATACAGTGTGTTTGCTAATGCTTTTAAAAATATGTTTTTGATGTGGATATTCGGACTAAACATTGGCAATAGCAGCGCTCACACACCTGTCACACCGCTGATCCTCCTCCTCCTCCTCTGCTCACACAAAGGGGTCTGCTCCTCTGCTCACACCTGTATCACTGCTCCTCCTCCTCCTCCTCCTCCTCCTCCTCCTCCTCTGCTCACACAAAGGGGTCTGCTCCTCTGCTCACACTTGTCTCACTGCTCCTCCTCCGCGAGTATCCATCTCTCCTACACTGCGATCATTCCCGTTACTTTCTTTGTATCTCACTCAGACACTGCTAAAGTTATCTGACAGTTTTTTCGGAGGACCCGTTGCATACATAGCTGCCCGCGCGCCTGCCTGTTTACAAATCGCTTTTGGTGAAAATTTGACTTTACTTGTAAAAATGTTCTTTTGATCAAACGAAATCAAAGAGGTCCAGAGAAAGGGGTTTAGGGTTCCAAATTTGGAGTGCAGTCTGCCCTTTGGGGACCCTTGAACTAGTGTATTTATAAAATAAAATAAAAGGAAGGAAGATTGCGAGGCCCCTGTGTGGTGCGAGGCCCTGTGCGACGGCACAGGTCGCACAGCCCTTAGGACGGGCCTGGGTCCAAGCAAAGACGCGCGCCAGGCTCTGGAACATGCAGGGGCCACGCTCTGGTACCTACTGGTACAAGTGTGCCATATGATCCTGGCTCGGTTCTCCACAACAGGCACAGGACCAGGGTGTGCCACTGGTGGAGCAGCGCATGGATGAGAGAGCACCGCCTTCGGCCTATACAGCTCAGAAAGGCTTCATTCAACCATTTTAAAATAATAATCACATACATAATTTGAAGATAATTTTATGTCTTTATATTTTCTTTTGGGTGCTTTGGTCTGGCGGTCCTCCCCCTGGGCTGCTGAGCACTTCTTCTATGGGCTGCGCTAAACGCCTTTTTATTACCATTTTAAGGTCGCTCCATTTTTTTTCACTTGTAGCATAAATGAATAAATTGTAACTATTGGCCAAATATATCGGTCAACTTTTAGATAAAGTTTAGCGTATTTTTCTTTGAACATGAATAAACTCACCTCTTCAGGAGTGCGTGTTGCAGGCCCCATGCTATTTACAGATGTAATCTCTTTCCATATTTTGTTTTATGAGCCCTTTGATGCCACTTTTGAGGATTGCAAATAGTAAGACTTTATTATTTTTCCCACTTCGTTCATAATGGTCTCAATCTCCTGCTCCGTGAAGTTATTTTTCCTTAGCCGTTTACTCACTAACCAGACCCTGCGGCGTATACGTAATTACGCATATGTTTTGCCTCATTCACCTCTGGCAAAGCAATGTGCCATCCATCCATCCATCCATTTTCTTCCGCTTTATCCGTTGCCGGGTCGCGGGGGCAGCAGTCTAAGCAGAGACGCCCAGACTTCCCTATCCACACACACTTCCTCCAGCTCATCCGGGGGGACCCCAAGGCGTTCCCAGGCCAGCTGAGAGACATAGTCCCTCCAGCGTGTCCTAGGTCTTCCGCGGGGCCTCCTCCCGGGCCAGATGTTGTGTGTGCGGACTGGGTCGCCGAGGTCTCCGCCTTCGACTGCCGCCCAGTCCTCTCAGCACCGCTTCACCACGGACCCCTCTGCAGGTGGTGGGCCCACAGGAGGGACTGCCCACGTCATCCCTTCGGGCTGAGCCCGGCCGGGCCCCGTGGGCTAAGGCCCGGCCACCAGGCGCTCGCATACGGGCCCCGACCCCAAGCCTGGCTCCAGGGTGGGGCCCCGGCTGCGCCATGCCGGGCGACGTCACTGTTTTCATTTCTGTGCTGTCCATGGTGTCTTCTGGACTGCTCTTTGTCTGACTCGTCACCTGAGACCTGTCTGCCATGGGAGGCCCTACCAGGGGCATGAAGCCCCAGACAGCATAGCTCCCAGGATCATCCGAGTACTCAAACTCCCCCACCACGTTAAGGTGGCAGTCCAGGGGGGGAGCAAAGCAATGTGGGTTTTCCTTATTTTGTGCATAAAGCCCTGTCAGGGATGAAGCAGACAGAGACGGATCGTGGTGCGCCAAACTCTGAAAGTTTAAGTCTCTCTCAAGTTCCAGTGGTTTTCATTGTTTCTTTCTCTCAGACAAAATGGAGTCAGTACACAGTTTATATAGTCATTGTCACGTCACACATCGAAAGACGTACGTGTCACACAGAGACTGTCACATCATAGTCAAAATAATCAGAGTCCTTGTACAGTCCTGCAAGTAGGCCATATTGCTATCTAATACTAACAGCCCCATAAACGCAATTGATCTTGCTCAAAACTGTTGAAGAAGATGAGCCAAGTCTGGGATTGCGTCTTTAATTCCGACAGAAGACATGTTTTATTGTCGATGGTAGAGACAGCACAAACACGAACACAGATACAATAGAATGCAAGTGTATTATACAGAGCGGAGGCATGGAGACCTCCAATCAGCAGCTGCCACGGTGCCATGTAGCTTGGCCTTCAGATAGACAAAACAAGGGAAAAGTACTGGCTTCTGCACATTGGTAGAATGATGAGTTTAACTTTAACAAAAGTTGCTTCAAAGTGTTTCTCACATTCCCCCCTCTGGTCATACATTCACGTGTGACCATCAGGATCGATAAACAGCAACATAACATCATAACTCAATACTTCAAAAACTCATAAACTCGGTACTTCACTCGGTACCTCAAAAAACTCAGAACTTGGAATACTTCAAAAACTCAGAAAACTCATAAAACATGTTCAGATCTTTCATAAAACTTGTCAACAATCTTCAGTAAAATACCAAACTTCATCAGTCGATGGTGGTTCCAGATATTGCTTTGAAAACAGTCTCTCCCACTTCTCCGTGTTGATTTCTTCAGGCTGCATTTGTGTCGAGCCTTGAATTCTTCTGTGACGTGTCTTTCAATCACACGTTTCAGCTTTAGTGTCCAGATTCAGCAATTCAATTCAGTCCAAATTATGTCCAAATTCAGAAATCCAGATTGTTCCAAATCATGTCCAAATTGTGTAATCCAATTGTTCCAAATGATGTCCATGCAAAAGAGGACGATGGTGTTGTCCATGTCTCAGCAGCTCACAGCAGGCCTGAGTGGAATCAGGGGCTGTGCAGATTGTCCATGGGCTGATCCAGATGCATTCTCTTGAGGTTTCTCAGTTTGGCTTTAAAAAAAAAACACTTTTTGTGTAAAAAAAAAGAGTCTTCTGTTCTCTAGATGTTACAGACAAGGCCTGCATCCTTCCACCACCTGAAGAAGATGAGCCAAGTCTGGGATCGCGTCTTTAATTCCGACAGAAGACATGTTTTATTGTCGATGGTAGAGACAGCACGAACACAAACACAGATACAACAGAATGCAAGTGTATTATACAGAGCGGAGGCATGGAGACCTCCAATCAGCAGCTGCCACGGTGCCATGTAGCTTGGCCTTCAGATAGACACAAGGGAAAAGTACTGGCTTCTGCACATTGATAGAATGATGAGTTTAACTTTAACAAAAGTTGCTTCAAAGTGTTATGAAATCTCACACTGTCTCATCCACTGCCCTGTTCTCCACATAGCAGAGATAGGATGCAACGCGCATATGGGAACTGGCTCACGGGCAGTAGTTCATTCGTTCGTTTAGTATTTATTTATTTACTTCTAAATTTCAGGAGAGATGAGTGCTGCAGTGGGTCTAGACACCAGGGAAAAACGCGTATATATAATAGAGCGTATACTGTATATATATATTTTTAAACGTGAATAAACTCAGAGGTGCGTGGCAAAGGCTCCAAACAGTCTTCTTAGCCGACTTCCTGCTGACCTGTTGCAAAAACAGGGGGTGGAACAGGCAGTTTCTGAATATTTCGTGACTTTCATAAATACGCTAGTTTCGAGCGCGGCATTTATTAAACAGCCGCAGACATGTGTACGCTCAAATCTGTGCGGATCTCTCACGTTCATAAGTCTTGCGTGTCTGGAATCTACACCCAAAATGTTTCGTAAATGAGGGCCATTGAGACAAAAGTGATCCTCAGCATGGACCGAGAGAAACACAGCTCCAGGTCACACACGGGTTCAGTGACTGTCAGCGTTACACAAATGAGATGCAAACGTATGTGTGTGTGTGTGTGTGTGTTTGTGTTTGTGTACCTGTGCGTCTGTGTGTGTGTGTGTGTGCGTGTGTGTCTGTGTACCAGTGTCGTGTGTGTGTGTACCTGTGTCTCTGTGTGTGTGCGTGTGTGTCTGTGTACCAGTGTCGTGTGTACCTGTGTCTCTGTGTGTGTATGTGTGTGTCTGTGTGTGCGTCAATGTATGTGTGTTGAATGTTGAAAGCTGCTGATTTGAAATAAATAGATCTGAGCTTCAGTCAAATGTGGAGCAGTGGCTCTAACTCGTTTGCATCTGGTCCAAATCAGAGGATCAAAGGCTCCGGCCTATCAGCACTCACTGTTCCAGACACACACACACACACTGACATAGACAGACAGACACACACACACACACAGACACACACATACACGTTTTTGTTACCTGGTGGGTCCCTTTGACAGGGCCGTTCCGAATGGGACCCATAGACATAATCTTTTTTTACTGGGACTACTTTAAGTAATACAAAACAGTCAATAGAAAACAAACAACTCTTTTAAAGGAATTTTATTTTTGATTTTTTTTTCGAATTGCAGTGATTCTATTTTTGACATAGAATTTAATGCCACTCCATGTCCGATGTCTAAGGTCATCTGGTGAGGCATTAATGCAGGCCAGGCAGTGAGACTTCCCAGGGACTTTTCCAGTCTGTATGAAAGGTGTCATGGTCTTCTCCACAGCCTTCACCTCAGATGCAGACCATGGCTTTCTTACACGTTCTAGGGAGAGAAATAACAATATATTAGCAATATACACTCCCAGGGTTAGGGCCAAGCAGCCTGGCTGTAATCCCCCACCTGGTACACTTACCAGAAGGGGCACTGCCACTACCATGGGGTGCATCTGGATGAATGGTTGAAGGTTCTGCGCTTGAAGTTTCTTTTAGCCTGTCCGTTTCTGAGAGGATCTCTACTGCTCTCCTTGTCGCACAGAAAATAAAAATACAAGTGGCCTTTAGGGGGAAAAAATTATACATATTTTAATAATATCAAGAATTACCTTCAGGCTCAATTTGTATCTGGTCGAGGCTCTTTCCTTTGAATTCCGTCACTCTTCCCTGCTCCATGGCCATCAACACTTTGCTGATTTTGGCCAGCTCCAGTGTCCCCTCTGGTAGTCTGTAATATTGTCTGTGGATGCGAATGTCATGGCCGAGGAAGTTGGCTAGTATGTCCATTTCATTCTCTTTCATATTGAGAACTGTAGACATAGTAGCTATGTCCTTTCTAAGTCTGGTTGAGGATAGCATCTCTGGATGCACCGCACCACATTCTTTGGCTACCTGGCGTAGGGAGTCTGATCCCCTGATGTGGGTGTCTGCGCCCGGGCGGGAGAAGAAGTATGGGTTATGGTCAGAGATGGAACAGGCCCTTCTGTTCACCAGCACCTCCATCGAAGCAATCATTTCAGGAATCAAAAGAATGAAAAAGAAAGAAGAAGAAAATCCCGTGTTTTAAGTACAGGTGCTCTCCGAGTCTCAGAATCCCCTTTTCTGCTTTGACAACACCAGTGACCTCATCCTGATGCATTGCCGAAATTAAAGACCACAGCTTTTTGCTGATGCCCTCCGGTACAGGCTGGGCTAGGGAGCAGAGGGACTGGACCCTACTTCTACCTGGTTTAGCCTGGGCATCTTTCTGTGAAAGCCGGCACCTGGCCACATGCCTCCACAGCGACTTTCGCTTAAGCAATGCCCCACAGTCTATACAGTGCAAAAACTCACTGGATTTAACTGGGCAATTTGGCTGTTTAGCTGGGACTAAAGTTCCAATGCCGGCCTTTAAAACCTCAAAATTGTGCTCACGGTTTCCACTATTCCTGATCAAATCAAACTGAAGTTTACGTGCTTTAGATTTCACAGGTAGAGCCAATGCTCTGGCTACGTCCCTTTCATTTCCATGTTTTCTAGACAAATGACGGGACATTTTGTGGCAGGACATTGAACAGTAGAGGCAGAAGTGTCTCTTGCTGTAAACTCTCCCCCCATTTTTCTTCTTTTGCAGCTGCATGATAACAATCTTAATTGCCTTTGGTTCGTCACTTTCCGAGTCTTGAAGAAAAGTGTTTTTGATTTTTCTTTTTCCATACTTTTTTACAGGTTTCTTCTTGACAGTTAAATCGTCAGAATCTGAGTCGACTTCATCAATTAGGGACTCTTGACTAAGCTGCACAAACAACAAATAATTTGTAATAATTCTATATAACAATTTGAAGTCATAACTTGTAGTCAGCACTTACCAGTGGGTTGTAAGCGTGCGCTTCAGTGTGCTCCTCCATGATTTCTTGCAGCCTAATGAACCACACACTTGCACCTTTTTCTAGCCTGACACCTGATTTCCTCTGTTGTGCTGCTCCATGATTGGCTCCAGCCTGCTGGACTGAAATTGCCCCAGTGTGCCCCTCCTTGATATCCCGCAACCCACCACCAGGATTCCGACACATAACACACTTTTTTCAGGAAAGTAAACCTCCAGGGGTCTGTCAGGATTCAGCAGACAGAGACGGATCGTGGTGCGCCAAACTCTGGAAGTTTATTTAAGTTTCTCTCAAGTTCCAATGGTTTACTTTGTTTCTTTCTCTCAGACAGAATAAAGGCAGTACACAGTTTATATAGTCATTGTCACGTCACACATCTAAAGACATACGTGTCACAAAGAGACAGTCACATCATAGTCATAACATGGAGTCCTTGTAGAGTCCTTGTACAGTCCTGCACGTAGGCCATATTGCTATCTAATACTAACAGGTCCTTTCCATATTTTTTACAGAGACTGCATAAGGACCGTTAGAAAAGCATTACCCATTGATTATTAAGCTTGGACCAGTGGGGTCTGGTGTTCGGGCCCCACCACGTAAAACCAGTCCCCATGACGTGAGTGGAATCTCAGGTTATGGAACCTACCAGGAGTTGAAAACAAGTGCACGCACACACACACACACACACACACACACATACACAGCAGTGTGTGTGGTGCCCCCTGGTGGCCGCTCCTGTCGCTGCAGCTCAGATTCAGGTGAAACGTGGTGTTTGCAGAATGTTGTTTATTCTCGTTACAGTTTAACAGATCGGAAACACACAGAGATAAGAGCGGAAACAAGTCTGTGAGTGACCCCGACCGAGGCCCGAGCCAAGGCCGAGGCCCGAGCCAAGACCAAGACCGAGGCCCGAGCCAAGACCCCGACCGAGGCCCGAGCCAAGACCCCGACCGAGGCCCGACCGAGGCCCGGGCCAGGACCCAGGCCGAGGCCCGAGCCAAGAGGACACACACCTGTCTCTGAAGACACATCTGGTCTTCCTGATGACCTGTTCCAGCTTCTTCCCTCTCTGTGATACTGCTGCAGACCACACTGTATAAGAGCCTCCTCAGTAGAGCCTCCTCAGAGTAGAACCTCCTCCTCAGTAGCGCCTCCTCAGTAGCGCCTCCTAAGTAGAACCTCCACAGTAGAGCCTCCTAAGTAGAGCCTCCACAGTAGAGCCTCCTCAGTAGAGTCTTCTCCTCTGTAGAAACTCCTCTGTAGAACCTCCTCAGTAGAGCCTCCTAAGTAGAACCTCCACAGTAGAGCCTCCTCAGTAGAGCCTCCTAAGTAGAGCCTCCTCAGTAGAGCCTCCTAAGTAGAGCCTCCACAGTAGAGCCTCCTCAGTAGAACCTCCTCAGTGGAACCTCCTCAGTAGAACCTCCTCAGTGGAACCTCCTCAGTAGAACCTCCTCAGTAGAACCTCCTCAGTAGAGCCTCCGGGACACTGCTTCAGTGTCTGATGTCACATGAACAGCAGATGTGTTATGGTCACAGAGAGGGACAGTGCGGGGGGTTGTTTTGGTCTGTTAGGGGGTGTTTTGGTCTGTTAGGGGGTGTTGTGGTCTGTCAGGGGGTGTTGTGGTCTGTTAGGGGTTGTTGTGGTCTGTTAGGGGTTGTTGTGGTCTGTTAGGGGTTGTTGTGGTCTGCTTCTCCGAAGCCTGTGGTTGGAGGTTATCAGTGGCTGATAAGAGCTGTGTTAAAGGGAAGTTCAAAGATAAGTCTGTGCAGCGTCACTGCACCATGCTCTGTGAGAGTGTGGCCCTTCTCCCGCTGCTCTGTCTGCTGCTGAGCCCTGAGGAGGGGCTGGGGGCTCCTGTGGGGGGACCCGGGGCTGAGGCTCTGGGCTGGACTGAGGTGGTTCGTCACAGACACCTGTTCGCGGCTCGCAGTGGTCTGTACCTGACGATCAGCTCAAAGGGACGAGTGAGAGGCTCCGAGGGACAGAGCCCTGACAGTAAGTCTGTCCCTGTGTCCTCTGTTCTCTACTGTCCCTGTGTGTCCCTGTGAGCAGTGTGTCCCTGTGAGCTGTGTGTCCCTGTGAGCTGTGTCCCTGTGAGCTGTGTGTCCCTGTGAGCTGTGTGTCCCTGTGAGCCGTGTGTCCCTGTGAGCTGTGTGTCCCTGTGAGCTGTGTGTCCCTGTGAGCCGTGTGTCCCTGTGAGCTGTGTCCCTGTGAGCTGTGTGTCCCTGTGAGCTGTGTGTCCCTGTGAGCTGTGTGTCCCTGTGAGCCGTGTGTCCCTGTGAGCCCTGTCTGTTCCTGTGCTGTGTGTCTAGTGCACCAGAGCACAAGTACAGTCCCTCTGCTCTCTGCCTCAGGTCTTCTGGAGATGACTCCTGTGAGCTCGGGCTGTGTGGCGCTCAGAGGAGTGACCTCTGAACTCTTCCTGTGTCTGCAGCAGGACGCCACGGTCTACACATCGGTAAGAACCTCCTCTTGAGGACCTCTGACTCAGTCCTGGGTCTACAGCCTTAGTCCTGGTCTCAGTCCTGGGTCAGGGGTTCGGTCATAGATCAGCTCACACGCCTCCTCAGCTCTCAGCCAATCACACGGCTCGTTCTGCACTATACACTCTACAAACAGAGAGAAATCTGTGGTTACGGCCACGGTCTGCAGGACTGAGGCTGTAGACCCAGGACTGAGGCTGTAGACCCAGGACTGAGGCTGAGACCCAGGACTGAGGCTGTAGACCCAGGACTGAGGCTGAGACCCAGGACTGAGGCTGAGACCCAGGACTGAGGCTGTAGACCCAGGACTGAGGCTGAGACCCAGGACTGAGGCCATAGACCCAGGACTGAGGCCATAGACCCAGGACTGAGGCTGACTCCCAGGACTGAGGCTGTAGACCCAGGACTGAGGCCGTAGACCCAGGACTGAGGCTGACACTCAGGACTGAGGCTGAGACCCAGGCCTGAGGCTGTAGACCCAGGACTGAGACAGTAGACCCAGGACTGAGGCTGAGACCCAGGACTGAGGCCGTAGACCCAGGACTGAGGCTGACACTCAGGACTGAGGCTGAGACCCAGGACTGAGGCCGTAGACCCATGACTGTGGCTGACACCCAGGACTGAGGCAGACCCACGACTGAGACTGTAGACCCAGGACTGAGGCTGTAGATCCAGGACTGAGACCATAGACCCAGGACGCTATGGTGGTGCTTCCACATTGAGCCGAACAATTCCTGTATTTGTGAAACATGCTTTGTGTCTTCTGTCTTTTGATTGGTCCCCAAATCCATGCTGACAATTGGGCCAGGGTTCCTATACTATATATATAACAGCAGTGTGTGTGTCTGTGTGTGAGCGTGTGTGTCTGTGTGTGTGTGTGTGTGTGTGTGTGTGTGTGTGTGTGTGTGTGTGTGTGTGTGTGTGTGTGTGTGTGTGTGTGTGTGTGTGAGAGTATGAGTGTGAGTGTGTGTGTGTGTGTGTGTATGTGTCTGTCTGTGTCTGTGTGTGTCTGTGTGTGTGTCTGTGTGTGTGTATTTGGGCCCTTGTGGAGCACATACTTTAGTGAAAACATCAAACAGTTTTTGACCTTTGTCCAGAGGATCTGTGTTTACTGTGTGTGTGTGTGTGTGTGTTGCAGGTGTGGTTCATCCCAGAGTGTGTGTGTCTCATGTGTGTTGTGTTGTGTTGTAGGTGTGGTTCAGCCCAGAGTGTGTTTTTGTGGAGCAGCTTCAGGAGGATGGGTACAGTGTGTACTCGTCTCTGAGACACGGGACCCTGCTGACTCTGACCCGGCCCCGGGACCGAGGGGCCCCTCCCCACGCACGCTTCCTGCCCCGAGTTAGCTCTGTGGAGGCTCGACCCTGGCTCCTCCCATCAGACACGCCCCACCCCCTCCCATCGGACACGCCCCGCCCCCTCCGGTCGGACACCCCCCCTGTGGAGCTGGACCTCCTCGATGCCTTCAAGAATCTGTCACCGATCATCCACAGCCCGAGCTTCCACCAGAGATGACCACAGACAGACCACAGAGACAGACCAGACTTTGAGCTCTCTGATCTTAGAGCTCTCTCTGACCTTAGAGCTCTCGTTTGCAGCTGATATATTTATTTGTGTTTTTTACTGTTCTTCTGAGTTTAAAGTTGTTCTTTTATTATTATTAAAACTTCAGGAAAAATATCTGTTTTTATTTTTTGTTTAAATAAAACTCTAAAATCTCAGACTGTGACGTCACATCTTTCTGTTCGCAGTTTGCGTATTCTCCCCATGTCTGTGTGAGTTTCCTCTAGGTTCTCCGGAGCACTGGCACCCAGATGGACTGGGACGAGAACTGATCAGTAAAACCATGGACTCTGTAAGTAAGTAAGTAAGTAATCTTTATTTATATACCACCTTTTCACTGCACATTGGAGTCTCAAAGCGGTTTACAATTGTTTTTTTGGGAGTGGGGCCAGTACAGGAGGCACATGCCAGACCTATTGTACATATTTTTAGTGGTGGGGGAAACCGGATCACCCGGAGGAAACCTACGCAGACACAGGGAGAACATGCAAACTCCACTCAGAAAGGCCCTGGTCCAACCGTGCCGCCCGCTCTGGACCAGTCCCAATCTAAACCAGTCCCGGTCTGAACCAGTCCCGGTCTGGACCACTCCCGGTCTGAAGATTTTCACTGAGCACTGTTCCCACTTATAAAGAGACTGAACTACAGACCTCCTCAGACCCTGAACTACAGACCTCCTCAGACCCTGAACTACAGACCTTCTCAAACCCTGAACAGACAAGATAAGATAAGATAAACCTTTATTCGTCTCACAGTGGAGAAAATTTCAATGTCATCGTTGCGCACATTACAGCAGAGAGGAAATAAGAGTACTTAGATTGCACACATCAAATAGTCTATTATTTAAGATATTAGATAATAAAATTAAGATAAGAATAAAATAAAATGAGATAAACTCTGGGCTATAATTGCACTTGGTTCGGAGTGTTTACAGATGTCTATATTATACATTAGCCGCTGAGAATATGAAAATATGAGCAGAATAAACATCAGAAATAATATCAACAGGTAAATTGACTTGGATGGGAGAATTATCAGATGGATATGAATAATACAGTCAAATATCAACAGGTAAAGTGACGATGAAAGGCAGAAATATCAGATATGTAATAATACAGTAGTACTGATAACAGGTACTACAAAGTTACTAGTGAAATATCAGTGACTGATTAGCAGTTCCTGTTACACATTCTCATTGTACAGTCTGACAGCAGCAGGAAGGAAAGACCTACGGAACTGTTTTTATCATTTCAGAAACATATCCAAAATTCGAAAAACATTGTCACAGAAGGACTTGGAGATGATCATTCATGCCTTTGTTCCCACGCGTCTTGATTACTGCAATTCATTGTTTACTTGTCTTAATAAGAGTGCTCTTAACAGAATTCAATTTGTGCAAAACTCCACTGCCAGACTTTTAACTGGAGCCCCCCGGTGGTCTCACATCACCCTGGTCCTGTCTTCACTTCATTGGCTCCCAATTAAACTACGTATTGACTTCACAATTTTAGTTTTTAGACCTCTTGACCCCATACTGTTCTCGCCGGACTCTTAGGTCCACAGGCCAGAAATGACTTGCGGTCCCAAAGACCTGCTATAAGACCCGGGGGGACCGGTCCTTCCAGTCCGTTCCAGTCCGTTGCCCCCAGACTGTGGAACGCCCTGCCTCGGTCCCTCCGTGTGGTCAACTCTGCCGATGCTTTTAAAAAGGGACTAAAGACCCTTCTTTTTAGGACAGCTTTTGGTTGATTTCTTGTTTTTATTTTATTTTCTATTTTTGTCTTATTTCTATTGTACATTCATATCTGCTTTTACCTTGTACAGCACTTTGTGATTTTTATCTGTGAAAGGTGCTCTATACATTTTTTTTACTTACTTACTTACGGAACCTCTCCTTCACACAGCGAGGGTGAATTAGTCTGTCACTGAAACTGCTCTCCAGGGCAGAGAGAGTGTCCTGCAGGGGGTGACAGTCATGGTCCACCTCCTCAGTCTGAACTACAGACCTCCTTATTCTGAACCACAGACCTCCTCATTCTGAACTACAGACCTCCTCAGACTGAACTACAGACCTCCTCAAACCCTGAACTACAGACCTCCTCAGACTGAACTACAGACCTCCTCAGACCCTGAACTACAGACCTCCTCAAACCCTGAACTAGACCTCCTCAAACCCTGAACTACAGACCTCCTCAGACCCTGAACTAGACCTCCTCAAACCCTGAACTACAGACCTCCTCAGACCATGAACTAGACCTCCTCAAACCCTGAACTACAGACCTCCTCAGACCATGAACTACAGACCTCCTCAGACCCTGAACTACAGACCTCCTCAGACCCTGAACTAGACTTCCTCAGACTGAACTACAGACCTCCTCAGACCCTGAACTACAGACCTCCTCAGACCCTGAACTAGACCTCCTCAAACCCTGAACTACAGACCTCCTCAGACCCTGAACTAGACCTCCTCAAACCCTGAACTACAGACCTCCTCAGACCATGAACTACAGACCTCCTCAGACCCTGAACTACAGACCTCCTCAGACCCTGAACTAGACTTCCTCAGACTGAACTACAGACCTCCTCAGACCCTGAACTACAGACCTCCTCAGACCCTGAACTAGACTTCCTCAGACTGAACTACAGACCTCCTCAGACCCTGAACTACAGACCTCCTCAGACCCTGAACTAGACTTCCTCAGACTGAACTACAGACCTCCTCAAACCCTGAACTACAGACCTCCTCAGACCCTGAACTACAGACCTCCTCAGACTGAACTACAGACCTCCTCAAACCCTGAACTACAGACCTCCTCAGACTGAACTACAGACCTCCTCAGACCCTGAACTACAGACCTCCTCAGACCCTGAACTAGACTTCCTCAGACTGAACTACAGACCTCCTCAAACCCTGAACTACAGACCTCCTCAGACCCTGAACTAGACTTCCTCAGACTGAACTACAGACCTCCTCAGACCCTGAACTACAGACCTCCTCAGACTGAACTACAGACCTCCTCAGACCATGAACTACAGACCTCCTCAGACCCTGAACTACAGACCTCCTCAGACTGAACTACAGACCTCCTCAGACTGAACTACAGACCTCCTCAGACCCTGAACTACAGACCTCCTCAGACCCTGAACTACAGACCTCCTCAGACCCTGAACTACAGACCTCCTCAGACCCTGAACTACAGACCTCCTCAGACCCTGAACTACAGACCTCCTCAGACCCTGAACTACAGACCTCCTCAGACCCTGAACTAGACCTCCTCAAACCCTGAACTACAGACCTCCTCAGACCCTGAACTAGACCTCCTCAAACCCTGAACTACAGACCTCCTCAGACCCTGAACTACAGACCTCCTCAGTCTGAACTACAGACCTGAATAAAGGTTCTGAATAAAAACAAGATTTTAATAAAATATTATTCAGTATTTATTCATTTACAACATAGTACATGAATGCATAAAATCAGGAGAGACCTCAGGACAGAGACCTCAGGAGAGGGACCTCAGGACAGAGACCTCAGGACAGAGACCTCAGGACAGAGACCTCAGGACAGAGACCTCAGGACAGAGACCTCAGGAGAGGGACCTCAGGAGAGGGACCTCAGGACAGAGGCCTCAGGACAGAGACCTCAGGACAGAGACCTCAGGAGAGGGACCTCAGGAGAGGGACCTCAGGACAGAGGCCTCAGGACAGAGACCTCAGGACAGAGCAGTTACAGTAGTTTCACCCACAATAAAAAGAGCCCAGTGCAGGGGTCAGAGGTCACAGGTCAGGGGTCAGAGGTCAGATGTCACAGAGACTTGTTCACATTATAAACATATAAGACAAAAAACAAAAAATGACACAAAACAGTGGATAAAAAAAGTCTCCAAATGAAAGTCATCAGCTGATCATGTGACAACATCAGTGTGATATCATCAGTGTGACATCACAGTGACATCAGTATGACATCATCACAGTGACATCAGTGTGACATCACAGTGACATCATCAATGTGACATCAGCTGAGGACGTCTCTCACACTGGGGATCTACTGCTGTCGCCATGACAACAGACCAGTCATGAAGAGTGGAGACAGTTCATCATTACAGCCTGAGAATGTTGCATAGCGTAGTTCTATAGTAAAAATACATCATAGAGTAGAGTAGAGTAGAGTAGAGTAGAGTAGAGTAGAGTAGAGTAGAGTAGAGTAGAGTAGAGTAGAGTAGAGTAGAGTAGAGTAGAGTAGAGTAGAGTAGAGTAGAGTAGAGTAGAGTAGAGTAGAGTAGAGTAGGGTGGGATGGGCTGGGGCAGGCCAGCGCAGGGTAGGGTAGAGTAGAGTAGAGTAGAGCTGAGCTGAGCTGAGCTGAGGCTAAGGAGGAACCCTGAGTTTGAGGCAGATGGACCTACAGCAGATGGGTCGGGGGAACAGAGTTTGTATTAGAGTGTGTCGTTCTGTGAAACTTCGGGACCCCAGCTTTAAAGCATCTGTGCAGGGGTCAGAGGTCAGCGCGTGCTCCTGTAGTACACCAAACACACCACCAGGGCCACAGAGGCTGCCATGGCAACGCTCCTCCAGCTGCGGAAGCCACGGATCACCCCCTCCTGAGACACACCACACACATATGAGACACACAACACACACAAGAGACACACAACACACACAGGATAAACACAACAAACACATGAGACACACAACACACAGGAGACACACAACACACATGAGACACACAAATACACACGAGACACACAAACACACATGAGACACACAACACACAATACACACGACACACAAACACACACATTAGACACACAATACACACGAGACACACAAAAACACATGACACACAACACACACGAGACACAAAAACACACACATGAGACACACAAACACACAAAACACACATGAAACACACAACAAACACACGAGACACACAACAAACACATGAGACACACAACACACACAAAACACACAACAAACACATGAGACACACAACACACACATGAGACACAAAAACACACACATGAGACACACAAACACACACCAGACACAAAAACAAACACATGTGACACACAACACAACATACACACGAGACAAACAACAAACACATGAGACACACAACACAACACATACATGAGACACACAACAAACACATGAGATATACAACACACATGAGACACAAACACAAACACACACATGAGACACAAAAACACACGAGACACACAAACACACACGAGACACAAAAACACACACGAGACACACAAACACACACATGAGACACACAAACACACACATGAGACACACAACACAACACACACGAGACACACAACAAATACATGAGATACACAACACACACGAGACACACAAACACACACGAGCCACATGAGACACAAAAACACACACATGAGACACACAAACACACACAGGAGACACACAAACACACACCCAGCCTCCCTGTTGGACGATCCAGGAGTACAGCTGGTCTTTGATCACCGTCAGGACCCAACTGACCACAACACGGATGTTCTCCAGATGGTTAGAGCTGATGGCCTAAAGACACACACAGACTGAGACCAGGACTGAGGCTGAGACTCAGGTGCACCTGTGCATGTACTGTACATATGCAGACACAGGTGCATATACAGGTGCAGACACAGGTGCATATACAGGGGCAGACACAGGTTCATATACAGGTGCATATACAGATGCAGACACAGGTGCAGACAGAGGTGCAGACACGGTTACATAAACAGATGCAGACACAGGTGCATATGCATATGCAGACACAGGTGCATATACAGGTGCATATACAGATGCAGGCACAGGTGCATATACAGATACAGACACGGGTGCAGACACAGGTGCAGACACGGTTACATAAACAGATGCAGACACAGGTGCATATACAGGTGCAGACACGGTTACATATACAGATGCAGACACATGTGCATATAGAGATGCAGACACAGGTACATACAGTATACAGGCACAGACAAAGGTGCAGGCCCAGGTGCAGACACAGGTTCAGATACAGATGAAGACACAGGTGCAGACACGGTTACATAAACAGATGCAGACACAGGTGCATATACAGGTGCAGACACGGTTACATATACAGATGCAGACACATGTGCATATAGAGATGCAGACACAGGTACATACAGTATACAGGCACAGACAAAGGTGCAGGCCCAGGTGCAGACACAGGTTCAGATACAGATGAAGACACAGGTGCATATACAGGTACAGACACAGATACATATACAGATGCAGACACAGGTGCATATACAGGTACAGATACACGTACGTATAAAGATAGAGACAGGTGCATATACAGGTACATATACAGATGCATACACAGGTGCATATACAGGTGCAGACACATTTGCATATACAGGTGCAGACACAATTGCATATACAGGTGCAGACACAGGTACATATACAGGTGCAGACACAGGTACATATACAGGTGCAGACACAGGTGCATATATAGATGCAGACACAGGTGCATATACAGGTGCAGACACAGGTACATATACAGGTGCAGACACAGGTACATATACAGGTGCAGACACAGGTACATATACAGGTGCAGACACAGGTGTATATACAGATGCAGACACAGATGCAGATACAGGTGCTACACAGCCGTACCTTGTGGATGAGCTTGTAGGCCACATGGAACAGAGCCACAATCCGTCCCCAGTTGATGCCGTCAGCGAAGATGCTGCGAGCGACAGTCATGAAGATGTCTTGAGCACAGGTACCGTCCACCTGGTTTATCAGCCTGTAACCATAACAACCATCAACAACCTCCACCTGGTCTATCAGTCTGTAACCAAAACAACAATCAACAACCTCCACCTGGTCTATCAGTCTGTAACCATAACAACCATAACAACAATCAACAACCTCCACCTGGTCTATCAGTCTGTAACCATAACAACCATAACAACAATCAACAACCTCTACCTGGTCTATCAGTCTGTAACCATAACAACCATCAACAACCTCCACTTGGTCTATCAGTCTGTAACAATAACAACCATCAACAACCTCCACCTGGTCTATCAGTCTGTAACCATAACAACCATCAACAATCTCCACCTGGTCTATCAGTCTATAACCATAACAACCTCCACCATAACAAAAAAAAATCCAAAAGCCTCTCAATTATAAATAAAGCAAAACTATACCTTAATGGAAATGCACTCCGTACTTTATACTGCAGCCTGGTTCTTCCATACCTGACGTATTGTGTTGAGGTCTGGGGAAACACTTACCACAACACACTACATCCTCTCATCATATTACAGAAAAGAGCGGATCATCCATAAGGTTGGTTTTCTGGAACATACTCATAATCTGTTTACTCAGTCAAAGCTGCTAAAGTTTGATGATCTTGTAAAATATAATACATCAATAGTCTTATATAAAGCATTCAAAAAATTATTACAATCTAACCTGCAGCGTTTCTTTACGACTCGACTTGAGAGGCTTTGGAAATTTTTCACTGCCGAGATCAAAAACCACTCGTAAATGTTTCTGTTTGTCTGTATGTGGAGTAAAACTTTGGAACAAACTGGACTCACAACACAAGCAATGTAAAACTATTCATCGATTTAAACTGTTCTATAAACATAAGGTCTGGTCACAATATAGAGATGAGGGTCTTTAATCTAATCTGATTTTCTCCGTCTCATAGTGTAGCATGTGCTCAATGTTCCTTTACCATTGTTGGTATATCTAATCTTGCTGCTATTGTTTTTCTTTTTTGTTCATTACCATTGTTTGTATATTATCTATTACCATTGTTGGTATCAATTCTTGTTACAATGTAAATGTCCTTGTTGCCCGTGGTAACGCCATCATGATATAACACTGTGAAATAATGCTTGGACAAAGTAACAGTGAAGTTGATCATTTAATCACTGAATGGGGATAAAGGGGTGGGATTAAATACGTTTTTCTTCTTCCCACTCCTTTTCAGGCAAAATTACACGGTCATGTTTATACCGTACATTTATTGTTTATACTTATTTGATTTACTATACTATTTTTTGTTTATTGAGTTTTTTTTTTTTGCACTATATGATTTATTTTATTCAACTGCATTTAATTACCTTATTTACTCACCTGTGCCTTTGCCTGAAATAAATGTATAAATGAAATGAAATGAATAACAGCCATCAACAAGCTCCACCTGGTCTATCAGTCTTTAACAACAACAATAATACAAAAACTACTGCTACAACCACAGCTGCCCTGGGAGAGACTGACGCTACAAGCAGCCAGAGGTCAGAGGTCAGTCCTGGGGGTCAGATGTCAGTCTTGGGAGGTCAGAGGTCAGTCTTGGGAGGTCAGTGGTAAGTCCTGGGGGGTCAGAGATCAGTCCTAGGGGGTCAGAGGTCAGTCCTGGGGGGGTCAGAGGTCAATCCTGGGAGGTCAGAGGTCAGTCCAGGGGGTCAGAAGTCAGTCCTGGAAGGTCAGTCCTGGGGGTCAGAGGTCAGCCCTGGGGGTCAGAGGTCAGCCCTGGGGGGGTCAGAGGTCAGTCCTGGGAGGTCAGAGGTCAGTTCAGGGGGTCAGAAGTCAGTCCTGGGGGTCAGAAGTCAGTCCTGGGGGTCAGAGGTCAGCCCTGGGGGGGTCTCACCTCTGCAGCTCTGCGTTTCGGTTCATTTCGTCTGCGATCCTCAGCAGCTGATCCACCACTTGTTTGATGTTGTGCTCCTCCTGCTCCTCAGGGCGACCTCCGAGCTCCTCAGAGGAGATGCAGCAGGAGGGGTCCTCCACCAGGAGGCGCTCTATCACATACCTGCACTCAGCCCAGCAACACATACAGGACCAGCAACACACACAGGACCAGCAACACACACACACACACACACACAAACACACACACATACACACGTTAGAGTTCTAGAACATAGACATGTAGTTCTAGATCAGAGGTGTCAAATGTCCTCACAGGGCAGCTGTGGCTGTGACTGCAGCTGTGGCACAACAGCAGTCACTTCTTTAAATCTTCAGGTTAAAACTGGACATACATGAGGAAGTGGGCGGAGCCTGTGCTCCTGCTCTGGTTGGAACTAACAGCCACAGCTGCAGTCACAGCCACAGTCACAGCCGCAGCCACAGCTGCAGTCACAGCTGCAGTCACAGCCACAGCTGTCCTGTGATGACCTTTGATCTAGATCACAAAGGTTCTAAAGTAGAGTTACCCTCTGAGAACCACAGCTCCCTGTTCCAGGATCGGGTCATCCACAACATCTGCAGCAACACAACATCAGAGACACACAAACACACTACACACATATACTACTGTAGTACTACTGTGTACTATAGTACTGTACAGTAGTACTAATGTAGTACAATAATACTACAGTATTACTGTACTACAGTACTGTACAGTACTACTGTAGTATTACTGTACAGTACTACTGTAGTATTACTGTACAGTACTACTACTGTAGTATTACTGTACAGTACTACTACTGTAGTATTACTGTACAGTACTACTACTGTAGTATTACTGTACAGTACTACTACTGTAGTATTACTGTACAGTACTACTACTGTAGTAGTACAATAGTAGTGTCATTAGTATTGTCGCCATGACAACACTGATACAATACAAAGTAGAAACAGTAGAACTCTGTATGAAACAAACTGAGATTAATGAGTAATAAACAACTGTTATCAGGCACACTCCTCTTCTCTCCTTGCTCTTCTCTCCTTGCTCTTCTCTCCTTGCTCTTCTCTCCTTGCTCTTCTCTCCTTGCTCTTCTCTCCTTGCTCCTCTCTCCTTGCTCCTCTCTCCTTGCTCTTCTCTCCTTGCTCTTCTCTCCTTGCTCTTCTCTCCTTGCTCTTCTCTCCTTGCTCTTCTCTCCTTGCTCCTCTCTCCTTGCTCCTCTCTCCTTGCTCCTCTCTCCTTGCTCTTCTCTCCTTGCTCTTCTCTCCTTGCTCTTCTCTCCTTGCTCTTCTCTCCTTGCTCTTCTCTCCTTGCTCTTCTCTCCTTGCTCTTCTCTCCTTGCTCTTCTCTCCTTGCTCCTCTCTCCTTGCTCCTCTCTCCTTGCTCCTCTCTCCTTGCTCCTCGCGTACCTTCTCCTCCCGCTGCTCCCTCAGGCTCCGGACAGTCTGTACCCTCGTCTCTGCGCGGGTCCGCCATGGCCCCAGAGGAGACCAGAGGAGACCGGAAGAGGCCAGGGGCGACCAGGGGCGACCAGGGGCGACCAGGGAGGCCAGAGAAGACCAGAGGAGACCAGGGGAGACCAGGGGAGATCAGAAGAGACCAGGGGAGACCAGGGAGATCGGAGAGGACTACAGGAGACTCCAGGTCTGAGGGGACTCGGAGCAGCGCTCACAGACTCATGTTTAGCTCAAGAGCGAAGAGAAAAGTTTCGCTCAAGAATCAGAAACAACGCGGAAGAAGGCGGCGCTGCGTGCGTCACCGCCGCGCGCACTGTGGACGGGGCCCACACCCAGAACAAGGAGGATCCCGACCCTGTCCCTGATCCGGACCCTGATCCAGACCATAGACTGTATAAATCCAGACACGACCCGTAATGACAACAACATCCACTATTTTTTTTTTTTTTTTTTTTTTACACACATATTTTATTCAAGGGGCGACAGTGGCTCAGTTGGTAGAGCATTGGCCTTTGGGCCTGAAGGTTGTGGGTTCGACCTCACCCCACCGTAAGATATACTTCACAACTCCCACTGATGATTCCCCCCCCCCCCCCCTCTTTCAGTCAATCAGCTCTCAGCACAAAGAGTCAGATAGTGACTCTCAGGGCTCTGTCTCACAGAGAACGACATGAGATAAGTGTAACTTCTTCCTGTTGGAGTCACGTGTTGTTGGAGAAAAAAGCTGCGACCAACAACACAACGACGCACGACATATGTACCTGTAACTCAGGGAGTACTCACACTATCCACCAGAGGGCACCATCAGACTGTCCACCAGAGGCCCTCACGGTGTCTCTTCAAAGACTAGGACCAGAGAAGAACACTGAGCTGTTCAGTGTCCAGTCTCTACTTGTTGTCATACATTACAATCACTATCATTCCTTACCCTACAAGACCCTCAGTATTTCCACTATCAACAAGACCATTCATATCCAACTCACCTCATCAAATCACAGCTGACCCTAATCCTTCCACCACCCTCGTCTGTGTTTTTAATGCAACATAACTCAAGCACAGGGAAAAACAGGGGAAATAATAAAAATAACGATAATACATAAGAACACAAAACATGAAAAAGGAATACAGGAGACATGGGAGATGGCCTTGGACAGCACCCCTGCACCAAGCTGACAACCTCCCACAGTTTCCAATTTTAATGCACCATTTTAGACACATGTACGCAAACTGGGACACAAATAAGAAGGGAAAATAGGGGCAATGAGGGTGATGGGTGGATGCACAAACTTGCAGAATAGGTACACACACACACACACGCACGCACAGACACACCCACTTGTAAATATCCACACTGTTGTCTGTCTTGTTGTATTTTTCCGTACGTCTTTTTCACAATAAACAAAAAAAGTAACAAAACAAAAAAACACTGAGCTGCTCTGCCACAGCCTCTGTCTCCTGCGCCTCCTTTGTCTCCTCTCTCTCCTGCGCCTCCTCTGTCTCCTGCTCCTCCTCTGTCTCCTGCACCTCCTCTGTCTCCTGCACCTCCTCTGTCTCCTGCACCACCTCAGCCTTGCAGCTTTTTACCATCTAAAAAACATTGCCAGGATCAAAAACATAGTGTCTAAAGCAGACTTGGAGATTCTTATCCATGCATTTGTCTCCAGTAGGTGTTGTATTAAATATAGACTAAAGGCAGATGTGAATTTGATTGACCCGGAATTGAACTCTGTCTCTTTCCCAAGCAAAAAGACCTGGTCTCCCCTTGTTCCTTGGTAGTCCAAAAGTGCAGAAATATGAGTCATCTTTTATTTATATACCGCCTTTTCACTGCACATCGGAGTCTCAAAGCGGTTTACAATTGTTATTTTTGGGAGTGGGGGTGCCAGTACAGGAGGCGCATGCCAGACCTATTGTACATATTTTTTAGTGGTAGGGGAAACCGGAGTACCCGGAGGAAACCTACGCAGACACGGGGAGAACATGCAAACTCCACTCAGAAAGGCCCTGGTCCAACCGGGATTTGAACCCAGGACCTTCTTGCTGAGAGGCGAGAGTGCTATCCACTCAGCCACCGTGCCATTAACTCAACTTAAATATGAGTTAATGATAGTTAATCTGGGGGGATTCTGCTAATCCTTTCGTTGTTTGAAGAAGGAGGTGGACCTTGAAAAGCCTCCTGTCTTATCTCAAGGAAGTAATATTTCTATAGAATTAGGGAGGGGTAGTGCGTGAATGATTTCTGTTTTAGGTTTGGCGAGACGAAGGAAAAGGCCGGACCCTGGACCGGAAGCTGCCTGATACGACACGCCCCCTTCTTCCTGGACATCTGCTCTTTTATGCTTGGGCTGGAGGCTTGGAGTCAGTCAGCGCAGGGCCAGAGATGGACAGCATAGCATAGTTTTAGGAGCTCTCTTTTGTTTGAATGTTCTGTATCTGATTGTCAAGATAAATTAAATACAGATGTTAAACTTGGAGAATCTTTGTCTGATTTCTGTACCAAATTTTGAACACGTCAGTCAAATCTTTTTTTGAGCCACATAGGTTAGACTACTGCAATGGCCTGCTCACAGGTCTGTCCAAACAGGCTGTAAAACAGCTGCAGTACATTCAAAATGCAGCAGCTCGAGTCCTGACCAGAACCAGGAAGTACGATCACATTTGTCCAGTCCTCAGGTCTCTGCACTGGCTTCCTGTGGCTCAGAGAATAGATTTTAAAACAGCTCTGCTTGTGTACAAGTCTCTCCATGGCCTCGCACCAAAATATATTAGTGACATGTTAGTCCCATATGAACCAGCCCGGACTCTGAGGAGCACAGGGACTGGACTCCTGTTAGTGTCTAGAGTCAGGAGGAGATGGGGAGGAGGAGGGTTGCTGCATTAGTAGTAGCTTCTGTCAGTGTGGCCCAGGGCAGCTGTGGCTACAGTAATAGTTTATCACCACTGTGTTTGAGGGGAAAGAGTCCAGAAAAGAACTGAATGATACTGATGGAATACCATTATTATTATTATTATTATTATTATTATTATCATTCCCACCTCTACACCTTCTCAACCGACTCCCACTGATGACTGCTGTCGTTGTGTCCTTGGGCAAGACACTTAACCCCACTTTGCCCAAAGCCCCCACTGAAAAATCATGGCTATGCTCACACTCGGGCGGCACGGTGGCTGAGTGGATAGCACTCTTGCCTCTCAGCAAGAAGGTCCTGGGTTCGAATCCCGGCTGGACCAGGGCCTCTCTGAGTGGAGTTTGCATGTTCTCCCCGTGTCTGCGTGTCTTTCCCCTATCACTAAAAATATGTACAATAGTTCTGGCATGCGCCTCCTGTTCGGCGACCCCGCTCCCATCTCTGTGTGGAGTGAGAGACAAGTGCCCAAAAATAACAATTGTAAACCGCTTTGTGGCTCTGGTCTGTGAAAGGTGGTATATAAATAACGCTTGCTTACTTACTTACTCAGAGAGCAGCTGTCCTCCTGTGGACTCACACCTGCAGAGGGTCAGTGAGGGGCTGGTGCTATGAGACTTGGGTGGCATCTCTGATTGCCACCCCCCTGACCCAGAAATGGATTAAAGGGTAGACAATGGATGGATAATTATCATTACAATGCGACTTTTCACTTTGCTGTTTTAATTTTTTTTAGATCTGCTTCTTTTTAATGACAGAGGATCATTGTTGTTGAGCTTCAGTAAATCTCACATTAACATAATGTTGTTCCTCTGAAACATAAACGTTCACTTTGACTTTAAGGAACATGTTCCTCCTGATTCATGTTTATATATCTATATCTATATAGATATAGAGAAAAAATATAGATATATATTATATATACATACGTATACATATATATGTATGTTCCACTCCCCCCCTCCTGCTCGTCCTCCCCCCTCCCTGCTCCTCGTGACAGATTTAATTGTGTTTTATATTTCCACATCAGGATCAGACGAGGATTAGAGGCGGAGCCACAGAACGTCTGCAGAAAGCACCAGTTTAATCCTGGCTGGAACCTGACCCCAACCTGTGGACCGGTCCGTCCTCCTGGACCTGTAGACTGGTCCCTCCTCCTGGACCCGTGGACCGGTCCGTCCTCCTGGACCTGTGGACCGATCTGAAATATTCTGAAAAAAATCTAAATCTAAAACAGGGTTCCGATAATACTCGAGTACCCTCAGAGGGGTCAGAGGGGTCACCTGCAGAGATCCGGACTTGGTCTCGGACTCAGACCGAGTTTCTGCCTCAAAACAAAAGAATGGCCTGAGAATTAGACCCAGGTTCGTGGTGATAATTGTAAAAGCAGATGTCGTGTCCCACTGTGGCCACCAGGGGGAGTCACTGTTGTTGTTGTTGTTGTGGATGTTGTTGTTTTCTCTAAAGAACATTCTTTCTGGATTCTCCTGATGTGTCTCAGCACGAGACCTCAGTGACTCAGAGTCCAACAGGACTGTCCCAACACGTCGAGAGTGTGGTCTTCATCAGCTCTGTGTGAGGAAGACAGTGCAGTGTGAGGAAGATTCTCTCCACTCACTACTGTCTCCTTCAGAGCAAGAGGAGCAGGAGGAGGACGCAGACGTCAGGTCCCTCACCTGGTCCCTCACTGGTCCCTCACCTGGTCGCTCACTGGTCCCTCACTGGTCCCTCACCTGGTCGCTCACTGGTCCCTCACTGGTCCCTACCCTGGGTCATATGTGTTTTATTTAAAGTTAGAAGGTCTCTCTCTGGTCTTTGTGCGCTCCTCTTCCTCCTGTCTCTTCCTCTTCCTCTTCCTCTCTGTTGCCCCCACCCCACCCTCTTTGTTACTCTCTGCTCCTCCTCCTCCACCTCCTCCTGCTCCTCTCTCATCTTCTTTCTCTTCTCTGCTCCTCCTTCTCTCTGCTCCTGCTCCTCCTCCACCTCTTCTCTCCTCTTCCTCCTCATCCACCTCCGCCTCCTCCTCCACATTTTCCTGCTCCTCTCTCCTCCTCCTCCTCCTCCTCTCTGCTCCTGATCTTCCTCCGCCTCTTCTCTCCTCCTCCTCCTCTTCCACCACCACCACCACCTCCTCCTCCCTCTCCTCCTCCTCTTCCTCCTCCTCCTTCTGAATCTTATGTCTCTGGATTTGTAGTAAACATATCGCAGGAGGATATGTGTGAGAGCATATATCTCCATTTTGCATGAGGGAAGAAGAGGAGGAGGACTCCACCTGAGCCCTGTCTCCTCCCTCGCCCCCCCCCCCCCCCTTCTCCCCCTCCTTCCCCATACCCCTCCCCCGTAAGGCATACCTGCCTCACTTGGAAGTGAGTACACTGCCGATATGGGGGCTGGGCACGGGGCTGGGGGTCGTGTGTCGTGTTGTAAAGTTTCTCTGCCCACTACTGGCCGGGCGCTAGAACTACATCGTTTTTCAACCTCATGTGAACGCAGAGAAATTTGCATTAGGAGCCTGGTCGTTTCTGTTAATAGCCTGGAAACGTCTGCGCAGCGTCTCAGTATAAACAGGGCTTCACCTGAGCTCATTCCGCCCGTGCCCCTCTCCACTTGCCACTCCACGGACCCGACTAGGTAAGGCAGCTCGAGTGTGTGTGTGTGTGTGTGTGTGTGTGTGTGTGTGTGTGTGTGTGTGTGTGTGTGTGTGTGTCTGTGTGCGTGAGTTTGTGTATCTGTGTGTGTGTGTGAGAGAGAGAGAGTGTGTGTGCGCTATCTTACAGTATTTTATTTTGGAGGAGAAGCTAAGCACGGATCAGGCATAAGTTGTTTGACAGGTTTGGCCCCGGAGCGTGTGTGTGTGTGCGTGCGTGTGTGTGTGTGCGTGCGTGTGTGTGTGTCTGGTTTGAGTTTGGGATGGGCTTTTACGCACGGGGCGTGTCCATCTCAGTTAGTTTGAATCTGGGAGCGTCTGTCTGTGCTGACTCTTCTGTGTCTCTCTCTGGTCTCTCTTTCTCTGGTCTCTCTCTGGTCTCTCTCTCACTACTCTCCCTCCGGTCTCTCTCTCTGGTCTCTCTCTCTCTGATCTCTCTCTGTTCTCTCTCTGATCTCTCTCTCTCTGGTCTCTCTCTCTCTGGTCTCTCTCTGATCTCTCTCTGATCTCTCTTTCTCTGGTCTCTCTCTGGTCTCTCTCTCTCTGGTCTCTCTCTGATCTCTCTCTGATCTCTCTTTCTCTGGTCTCTCTCTGGTCTCTCTCTCTCTGGTCTCTCTCTGATCTCTCTCTGATCTCTCTTTCTCTGGTCTCTCTCTCTCTGGTCTCTCTCTCTCTGATCTCTCTCTGATCTCTCTCTGTTCTCTCTCTAGTCTGTTTCTTTGGTCCCTCCCTGGTCCCTCTCTGGTCTCTCTCTCTGGTCTCTCTCTGGTCTAGTAAAGCTGTGGTCTCAAACTCGTGGCTCATCAGTTTGTATCATCAGTTAGCCTCATCAGTTAGCATTATCAGTTAGCATCTTCTAATAGCATCATTAGTTAGCCTTCATCAGTTTGTATCATCAGTTAGCCTCATCAGTTAGCATTATCAGTTAGCATCTTCTAATAGCATCATTAGTTAGCCTTCATCAGTTAGTATAATCAGTTAGCCTCATCAGTTAGCATCATCAGTTAGCCTCATCAGTTAGCATCATCAGTTAGCATCATCAGTTAGCCTCATCAGTTAGCATCATCAGTTAGCATCGTCATATAGCATCATCAGTTAGCAGGTCCGACATACAGATGAGGGGTTAGCTTACTTTCTCTACGGTTGTTGTTAAAGGAGAGATGTGACTGAGACACAAAGAGCAGGATGAATCATGCGTTAGCTTCGTTTGCAAAGTACAATAGCATGTGGGCGGCACGGTGGCTGAGTGGATAGCACTCTCGCCTCTCAGCAAGAAGGTCCTGGGTTCGAATCCCGGTCGGACCAGGGCCTTTCTGAGTGGAGTTTGCATGTTCTCCCCGTGTCTGCGTAGGTTTCCTCCGGGTACTCCGGTTTCCCCTACCACTAAAAATATGTCCAATAGTTCTGGCATGCGCCTCCTGTACTGGCGACCCCGCTCCCATCTCTGTGTGGAGTGAGAGACAAATGCCCAAAAATTAACAATTGTAAACCGCTTTGAGACTCAGATCTGCAGTGAAAAGGCGGTATATAAATAAAAACTTACTTACTAACTTACTTACTTAGTGGTTTCATTCTACCTCTGCGTGTGCATCTGTTTATGCTCATACATTCTGCACACACACACACATGATAAACATAACCGGAAAGAAGCTAAAGCTAATGTCATTAACTCTTCATCTAACTGGATTCGACTGTTGTTATGACTACTGTTTTTATGACTACTGTTGTTATTGCTACTGTTGTTGTTACTATTGTTGTTATTGCTACTGTTGTTAGGACGACTGTTGTTATTAATACTGTTGTTGTTATTACTACTGTTGTTATGACTACAATTGTTATGACTACTGTTGTCATTACTACTGTTGTTATGACTACTGTTGTTGTTGTTATGACACTTGTTGTCATGGCAACTGTTTTTATGACACTGGAACAGTCTTCCTGAAGATGTGAGACAGGCCTCTCCCTCCTGTAGACTTCTGTCTGCAAAGCAGACTTCTGTCCCTGAAAACGGCAGTCATCAGGCCCCTGCTAAAAAAGAGCAGTCTGGACGCCACGGTACTTAAAAACTATCGTCCCATCTCAAATCTGCCATTTATGGGGAAAGTCCTCGAAAAAGTTGTCTACCTACAGCTTACTAGATTTCTTATAATCAACGATTCATTTGATATGTTTCAGTCCGGCTTTAGACCCCACCACAGCACTGAGACTGCTCTCGTCAAGGTTACACACAATATCCGGCTGAACACTGACGCAGGCAAAGTCTCAATCTTAATCTTGTTAGATCTGAGTGCTGCCTTTGACACTGTCGACCATGAGATCCTCTTACAGAGACTAGAGGACTGGGTTGGAGTCGCTGGCACCGCCCTAAGTTGGTTTAGGTCTTACCTTGAAGACAGGAAGTACTTTGTGGAGATTGGAAACTGTGTCTCAGATCATATGGCCCTGACCTGTGGAGTACCACAGGGGTCGATCCTGGGACCTCTTCTGTTCAATCTTTACATGCTGCCGTTAGGTCAGTTAATACGCAGAAACAAAGTGTCCTATCACAACTATGCAGACGACACTCAGATCTATGTCTCACTGACTGCAGGAGAACATGGACCAGTGGACTCACTCTGTATCCAACAGATCAGTGAGTGGATGCAAAAAACTTCCTTCAGATAAACGCAGACAAAACTGAAATGATTGTCTTTGGTCCCCAGAAACAAAGAGAGAACGTCATCTGTCACCTACAGTCTCTCTCCCTAAAACCTTCAAACCAGGTCAGAAATCTAGGGGTAATACTGGTGTCAGGGATGAAGCAGACAGAGACGGATCGTGGTGCGCCAAACTCTGGAAGTTTATTTAAGTTTCTCTCAAGTTCCAGTTGTTTCAATTGTTTCTTTCTCCCAGACAGAATAAAGGCAGTGAAGAAGATGTGCCAAGTCTGGGATCGCGTCTTTCATTCAGACAGAAGACATGTTTTATTGTCAATGGTAGAGACAGCACGATCAAAGCACACGATCACAGATGCTTGTAGCTTGGCCTTCAGATAGACAAAACAAGGGAAAAGTACTGGCTTCTGCACATTGATAGAATGATGAGTTTAACTTTAACAAAAGTTGCTTCAAAGTGTTATGAAATCTCACATTCCCCCCTCTGGTCATACATTCACGTGTGACCATCAGGATCGATAAACAGCAACATAACATCATAACTCAATACTTCAAAAACTCATAAACTCGGTACTTCACTCGGTACTTCAAAAAACTCATAACTCGGAATACTTCAAAAACTCATAAAACATGTTCAGATCTTTCATAAAACTTGTCAACAATCTTCAGTAAAATACCAAACTTCATCAGTCGATGGTGGTTCCAGATATTGCTTTGAAAACAGTCTCTCCCACTTCTCCGTGTTGGTTTCTTCAGGCTGCATTTGTGTCGAGCCATGAATTCTTCTGTGACGTGCCTTTCAATCACACGTTTCAGCTTCAGTGTCCAGATTCAGCAATTCAATTCAGTCCAAATTATTTCCAAATTCAGAAATCCAGATTGTTCCAAATTATGTCCAAATTGTGTAATCCAATTGTTCCAAATGATGTCCATGCAAAAGAGGACGATGGTGTTGTCCATGTCTCAGCAGCTCACAGCCTGACTGGAATCAGGGGCTGTGCAGATTGTCCAAGTGCTGATCCAGATGTATGGTTTCTATTGAGGTTTCTCAGTTTTGGCTTAAAAAAAAAAACACATTTTTGTGTAAAAAAAAAAAGTCTTCTGTTCTCTAGATGTTACAGACAATGCCCGCATCCTTCCACCACCTGAAGAAGATGTGCCAAGTCTGGGATCGTGTCATAAATTCCGACAGAAGACATGTTTTATTGTCGATGGTAGAGACAGCACGAACAAAGCACACGATCACAGATACAATAGAATGCAAGTGTATTATACAGAGCGGAGGCATGGAGACCTCCAATCAGCAGCTTCCACGGTGTGCTTGTAGCTTGGCCTTCAGATAGACAAAACAAGGGAAAAGTACTGGCTTCTGCACATTGATAGAATGATGAGTTTAACTTTAACAAAAGTTGCTTCAAAGTGTTATGAAATCTCACAGCAGTACACAGTTTATATAGTCATTGTCACGTCACACATCGAAAGACATACGTGTCACACAGAGAGAGTGCAAATCATAGTCAAAACATGGAGTCATCTTCAGAGTCCTTGTACAGTTCTGCACGTAGGCCATATATCTAATACTAACACTGGATATTTTAATAGCCACAATAGACTTTAAAACAGCTCTGCTTATGTACAAGTCTCTCCATGGCCTTGCACCAAAATATATTAGTGACATGTTAGTCCCATATGAACCGGCCCGGACTCTGAGGAGCACAGGGACTGGACTCCTGTTAGTGCCCAGAGTCAGAACTAAACATGGGGAGGCTGCTTTTCAGATTCATGCTGCTAAAATCTGGAACAATCTTCCTGAAGATGTGAGACAGGCCTCCTCTCTGACAATGAGGTTTAAGAAGAGGTTGAAAATAGTTCTGTTTAGCTGTGCATACAACTGAGGGATTTTATATTTTTTATTTTTATCTTTCTTTTTAATGTACTGTGATTATTTATTCTTTTAATGCTTTTTTTTTTGTTCAGCACGTTGAGTTTCCTTGTGTATGAATTGTGCTATACAAATAAACTTGCCTTGCCTTTGCTTGCTTTGCTTGTGATGTGTCCTTCTCCTCCAGGCGCGTGCACGGCAGGGGGCACGCGCCTGGAAGAGCCAGTGCGCGTGGGCGGGAGTACGCGCGGGAGAACAAGCTGCGTTGAGAGGCGCGTCGGAAAAAACAGACAGAACACAGATAAGGAGCCTAGACAAGTGTTCGAGAGGAGAGAGGAGGAGAGAGGAGAGGAGCGAGGACAGAGCAGAAAGAGGAGAGATGAGGAGAGAAGAGAGAGAGAATAGATGAGGAGAGAGGAGAGATGAGGAGAGGAGAGAGAGAGAAGAGAGGAGGAGAGAGGAAAGAGGAGATAGAGGAGAGAGAGAAGAGAAGAGGAGAGAGGAAAGAGGAGAGAGAGAGAGAGGAGAGAGGAGAGAGAGGAGACTCACCAGTCTCCAGACTTGAACGCACCACGGTCTGTTTGGGCAAAAATAATAACCACTTCCGCGCGCGGCATCGTCTCCCCTCTCCCCCCTCTCCCCCCTCTCCCACTGACAAGACCTTAGAGATCCACGGGAGGAGGACAGATCCAGGGAGGGGGATAGGACCGGGGGGAGGGTCTCTTGCCGGTTTAACAGGCACCTCACACCTCCTCCACTGAGCTGAGGTGTTAACACGAGGAGCAATAGACACACACATAATACACACACACACATCACATACACATATATATTACACACACACACACACACACACATACACATTATACACACACACATCACATTATACACACGTACACTCACACACACACACACATGCTTACACGCGCACACACACATCACACGCGCACGCGCGCACACTCACACTCACACACACACACACACACACACACACACACACACACACACACACACACACACAGATGCACAGTCGCGGAGGAGAACAGTCAGCATCATGGAGCGGCATCCGGAGGAACAGAGCGATGAGCGGCTGCGCGGTAAGAGACACGCGCTACACGTACGCGTCTATTTACATGTTCCCGACCCCGTGAGCGGTTCGCGTCTCCGTTGCGGCCGCTTTTCTTCCATGGGCTCCGCATTTCGCGCCGTTGCTCTGTTGTAGAGAAAGTGGCTCCTGCCGGTCCGCGCTGTGGAGAGGCGAGCTGCAAGCGCTCAGCGGGGACACGGACATGCACGCGGGTTGGACCTCATCCTCTCTCTCTCCTCTCTCCTCTGTCCTCTCTCCTCTGTCCTCTGTCCTCTCTCTGTTCTCTGTTCTCTCTCCTCTCTCCTCTGTCCTCTCTCTGTCCTCTCTCCCATGTCTTCTGTCCTCCCTCTCTCCTCTGTCCTCTCTCCCATGTCCTCTGTCCTCCCTCTCTCCTCTGTCCTCTGTCCTCTCTCTGTCCTCCCTCTCTCCTCTCTCTGTTCTCTGTCCTCTCCCTGTCCTCTCTCTCTCCTCTCTCTGTTGTCTCTCCTCTGTCGTCTCTCCTCTGTCCTTTCTCTCTCCTCTGTCCTCTGTCCTCCATCTCTCCTCTGTCCTCTCTCCTCTCTCTGTCCTCCCTCTCTCCTCTGTCCTCTGTCCTCTCTCCTCTCTCTGTTCTCCCTCGCTCCTCTGTCCTCTCTCTGTCCTCCCTCTCTCCTCTGTCCTCTGTCCTCTCTCTCTCCTCTGTCCTCTCTCCTCTGTCCTCTGTCCTTTCTCTCTCCTCTGTCCCCTCTCTGTCGTCTGTCCTCTTTCCTCTGTTCGTCTCTCCTCTGTCCTCTCTCTCTCCTCTGTCCTCGGTCCTCTCTCTCTCCTCTGTCCTCTCTTTCTCCTCTGTCCTCTCTCTCTCCTCTCTCCTCTGTCCTCTCTCTCTCCTCTCTCCTCTGTCCTCTCTCTCTCCTCTCTCCTCTGTCCTCTCTCTCTCCTCTCTCCTCTGTCCTCTCTTTCTCCTCTCTCCTCTGTCCCTCCTGCCTCAGAGCAGTGTGTGTCTGGGTAAAGCTCGGGTCCTTGACAGGACCGGGGCAGGAAGGTGAGGCACTCTTCTATTGAAGTTTATCGGAACATGATTTTCATAATCCACATTCCTCTTTCATTTTTAAGAATCCTGTCTGTCCTTATAGTCCCGGACTCTCCTAACTCTGCTCCTTATGATCCCGGACACCCCTAACTCTGCTCCTTATGATCCCGGACACTCCTAACTCTGCTCCTTATGATCCCGGACGCTCCTAACTCATAATAAAACATAATGATCTAAAACATAATCTCATGGTAAATTAGAGACAGACCTGTAGCAGTGCTTCTGTCACAGCAGAAGGTCCTGGGTTCAAATCCCAGTTGGAGCAGCACCTTTTTGTGGAGATGGTCCTGTTACCACAGCAACGACAGAGGCCCTAACGGGTCAAATGCATTTTTTTATTTTCAGAAAATGTCTGGAAATCCTCCGGTGTCCGTCCCCCATGTTGGGAAACTCCAAACACTTGTCACACCATGATCCCGGGGTCCTGGGTCCTCACTCGGACTCAGGTTGGACCATGTGGACACTGTGGACCATGTGGACCCAGACCAGGAGCCTCCATCACTCATGAAGTAACATATGTCTGTCCGCAGCTGCCCTTCCCCCGCTGCAGTGTGAGCAGCCACCAGAGGGCGCCACCATGAGACGAACGGAGGCGTACTGGCCTGTCCAAGGGGAGGAGAAGACCAGCGAGGACTACAAGAACCCCGAGGCTGAGGACATCGTGAGTACCACCACCAGGGAGAGACCAGAGAGAGACCAGAGAGAGACCAGAGAGAGAGACCATAGAGAGACCAGAGAGAGAAACCATAGAGAGACCAGAGAGAGAAACCAGAGAAAGACCAGAGAGAGAGAGATCATAGAGAGACCAGAGAGAGAGACCATAGGGAGAGACCAGAAAGAGAGAGAATATACTGTTGTTTGGGATGTGGTCCTGTGAGGACTGGATGGAATGCCACCTGAGTTTAAATCTGGTTAAGACTTGTTCTGTTTGCTCTATTTCAATGTTGTGACATCACGGCTCAGAGAGAGTGAGAGAGACCAGAGAAAGACCAGCGAGAGAACAAAGAGAGACCTTTGTCTCCCTGGTCTCTCTCTGGTCTCTCTCTTTCTGGTCTCTCTTTGTTCTCTCAATGGTCTTTCTCTGGTCTCTCTCTTTTGTCTCTCTGGTCTCTCTCTGGTCTCTCTTTGGTCGCTCTCTCTGGTCTCTCTTTGGTTTCTCTCTGGTCTCTCTCTCTCAGGTCCCTCTCAGGTCTCTCTCAGGTCTCTCTCTGGTCTCTCTCTGGTCTCTCTCTCTGGTCTCTCTCTCTGGTCTCTCTCTGGTCTCTCTGGTCTCTCTCTGGTCTCTCTCTCTGGTCCCTCTCTTGTCTCTCTCTGGTCTCTCTCGCTCTTGTCTCTGGTTGGTGGAGTTGAAGCCTGTCTCACATTTTCAGTAGGACTGTTTCAGCTGCATAAATCTGAAACGCCTCTCCTCTTCCATCCCCTCCCCCCCTCCTTCTCTTCTGCTTTTATCGGTGGCTTGTGACATTTCATAACAGAGTTAGAGTAGAGCCTGAGGCTCCTGTGACTATCTGTCTGCTGTTCACATAAACACTTGAAGCAGGAATGTGAGCTTGGGTCATGTGTGTCCAAACCTGCCCCCAGGGGGCGCTCTGACTCTGAAAACAAACATCGCAGGATTAAATACATTTTAAAACAGTGCAGATGACACAGAAAGTCGTCCGTCGGGTTTTCGAACCAAATCCAAACCTTTCTGAATCTGTCACGTGAAAATAAACAAATAAAAATGAAAAGAAACTGCGTTAAACCTCATTAATATTCAGGTTCATGTAACACCATGAAACAGAACCATGTGAGTCACTATGTGCAGTAATCCTCTTCCTCTTTCTCCTCGACGCCCTCGTCCCCGGGGGCTTGGGTTGAAGACCAGTCATTCTCTCCTCATTACAACTGCGACAAATCAATTCAAGAGACCAGAGAGAGACCAGAGAGAGAACAGAGAGAGAGAGAGACCAGGGAGAGACCAGAGAGAGACCAGAGAGAGAACAGAGAGAGACCAGGGAGAGACCAGAGAGAGACCAGAGGGAGTTGGCGTGCCTCTCCTCAGGTGCTGTGCAGCAGCAACATAAATACTGAACCATAAGGGCTTATGGTTCAGTATTTATTTTGCTGCTGCAGTGAGTCCTGCATGTTTTCTTCCCAGCAACAACTGAGAGCAGGAAGTTGGATTATTTAAATATGGCTGATTCTGTCTGTGTTTGGCACGATGTGATGTCACACTGAGGCAGCAGAGGCACAGTATGTCCAGTCTGAGGCAGAGGAGGGGGCTCTGGTCTCTCTCTCTGGTCTCTCCCTGGTCTCTCTCCGGTCTCTCTCTGGTCTCTCTGATCGCTCTTTGGTCTATCTCTGGTCTCTCTCTGATCCCTCTCTGGTCTCTATAGGTCAGCTGTAGATCCTTGTTTGAGAGAACACTGAGGTCTATGGGCAGATCGCCCACAGTACATGTGGTCTTAGGCTGCAGTACCGCGGGTGGCCTCTAGTCCCCTTTCTCTTTCATGTTTATGTTTTATTCCACATTTTGAGCAGTTCACAAACACAGATATTACTCATGAGGAGAGTGTGGCCCCGGAGTGAGCGGGGGGGGGGCGACCTTGTCCAGACACATCCCTCACTCTGGACCTGAGGCTCACAGCTGACCTCAACCCTGAATACTGCACCCTGATTGGACGAATCATCAGCGAGTATGAGCTCAACCAATCACAACACAGACTGACCCAAACAGGAAGTAAAACTCAACCACAAGAAATAATATACTAGACTCTCCAGGTCCAGCTCTGGTTCTCTCCCTCACCGACTCCCTCCTCACACCCTCACCCACTCAACCCCTCACTCCCTAGAGCTGACTCTGATAGTGCTGACTGTGATAGAGCTGACTGTGATAGAGCTGACTGTGATAGAGCTGACTGTGATAGTGCTGACTGTGATAGAGCTGACTGTGATAGAGCTGACTGTGATAGAGCTGACTGTGATAGTGCTGACTGTGATAGAGCTGACTGTGATAGAGCTGACTGTGATAGAGCTGACTGTGATAGTGCTGACTGTGATAGAGCTGACTGTGATAGAGCTGACTGTGATAGAGCTGACTGTGATAGAGCTGACTGTGATAGTGCTGACTGTGATAGTGCTGACTGTGATAGTGCTGACTGTGATAGTGCTGAATGTGATAGAGCTGACTGTGATAGAGCTGACTGTGATAGAGCTGATAGAGCTGACTGTGATAGAGCTGACTTTGATAGAGCTGATAGAGCTGACTGTGATAGTGCTGACTGTGATAGAGCTGACTGTGATAGAGCTGACTGTGATAGTGCTGACTGTGATAGAGCTGACTGTGATAGAGCTGACTGTGATAGTGCTGACTGTGATAGTGCTGAATGTGATAGAGCTGACTGTGATAGAGCTGACTGTGATAGAGCTGACTGTGATAGAGCTGACTTTGATAGAGCTGACTGTGATAGAGCTGACTTTGATAGAGCTGATAGAGCTGACTGTGATAGAGCTGACTGTGATAGAGCTGACTGTGGTAGTGCTGACTGTGATAGAGCTGACTGTGATAGTGCTGACTGTGATAGAGCTGACTGTGATAGAGCTGACTGTGATAGAGCTGACTGTGATAGAGCTGACTGTGATAGAGCTGACTGTGATAGTGCTGACTGTGATAGTGCTGACTGTGATAGTGCTGACTGTGATAGAGCTGACTGTGATAGAGCTGACTGTGATAGAGCTGATAGAGCTGACTGTGATAGAGCTGACTGTGATTGAGCTGACTCTGGAGCTGACTCTCGGCTGTAAACAGTTCGTTGACTTCAGTCTCTGCTTGAATCCAAGACAGATGGGCTAAAGTGTGAGAGCCACTGGACAGGAAGCTGCCGCTTGTTTTTCGGGTCAGGATGTGGTGACCGACCCCGGACGTGGGGACCGGTCTGGCACATGACAGCAGAACTGGGGCCCCTAGGGAATCGCAGGGGTGATGTGTTCTCAAAATAACCCACAAAAAGTGAATAAGTAGCAGCTGTGTGTTTTAAGGCTGTAAAACCCTCACACACACGTTAGACATATTTCTAACCAGTGAGAGAACAGAGAGAGAGACCAGAGAGAGACCAGAAAGAGACCCGAGAGAGCCTGAGAACCCTGCTGCATGTTTCATCACATTCTCAGTGTTCCTGTGATTTTGTTCAGAGCTGTCACAATCTGAGACTGAGACGTTGTGTTTTATACATGTTCCACCTGCAGAGACGGAAGTGAATATTTATTTGTATACATTGTTTTACATATATATATATATATATATATATATATATATATATATGATAGATGGGTGTGGCCTTTGTAGGGAGCAGGAGGCCACACCCCCTCGCTGAGGCCACGCCTCTTCCTGTTTGTGTCTCTGTTGTACAAATGTTCTGATATTTTACACATGTGAACCCTGTGTGCATAACTACGGCAACCACTTTGAAAAACATGTAGGTACCAGGACTGAGGAGAGACCAGTACTGAGGAGAGACCAGGACTGAGGCTGAGACCAGGATTGAGGAGAGACCAGGACTGAGGAGAGATCAGGACTTAGGCTGAGACCAGGACTGAGGGGAGACCAGGACTGAGGCTGAGACCAGGACTGAGGCTGAGACCAGGACTGAGGAGAGATCAGGACTTAGGCTGAGACCAGGACTGAGGGGAGACCAAGACTGAGGCTGAGACCAGGACTGAGGAGATACCAGGACTGAGGAGAGACCAGGACTGAGGAGAGACCTGGACTGAGGAGAGACCTGGACTGAGGAGAGACCTGGACTGAGGAGAGACCTGGACTGAGGAGAGACCTGGACTGAGTGACAGGTTGATGTCACACGTTACAGTGAAGTGTGAACCTCCTGCAGGTTTTTCTCACTTTACACTTGATTTGGAGACTGATAAAACAACGCTGGGACTGTGGCTGCTCTGGTCTCTCTGGTCTCTGGTCTCTTGTCCCTGGTCCCTGGTCTCTGGTCTCTGGTCCCTGGTCACTGGTCCTTGGTCTCTGGTCCCTGGTCTCTGGTCCCTGGTCCCTGGTTTCTGATCTCTGGTCCAGACCGGTCGGACCAGTTCTAGTCTGAGCTGCTGTGGATTGTTTGTTATTTTAACATGAGATTCACTGGTGTCTGATCCTCTGTGTAGAGTTTGCATGTTCTCTCTGTGTCAGTGGAGGTTTCCTCCAGGACTATAACTGTCTCTGTTATAGAATGTGGGTCAAAGTCAGATCCTGTCAGACCTCTGAAGCTCAGCAGGTCAGGGCCTGGTTAGTGATGTGATGGGAGACCTCTGGGAACACCAGGTGCCACAGTGGGGCGGCTGCAGCTGTAAAGTGCCAAACTGTTGTGTCCTTTGGCAAGACACTTCACCCACATTAGAATGAGTCTGGTGTGTGTGTGAATGGTTGGTGGTGGGAGGGGCTGATGGCACAGACTCGCTTCTGGTAGGGCAGCTGTGGCTACAGTAATAGTTTATCACCACTGTGTTTGGAGTGAAAGAATAATGATTCCTGAGTCCTGAAGAGGGCTGTATGAAACTGATATTATTATTATTATGGCTCTTTAACGCCTGAAAACAACAGGACCAATCAAAATGGTCTTTAAGATGTACAATACAAATTAAACCAAATAAATGATAAAACATAATAAACTCACTCTCTGTGTTTCCTCCGCAGCCCATGAAGACGCTGCACCCCGACCCCCCAGGGCCCGGTCCAGGACCCGGTCTGGGGCCCTACATGTCGGACGGCCGCAGGAGGGTGGATTATGTCCTGGCCTACCACATCCCCAAACCCTCGGGGACGCGCCGTCACTCGCACAAATTCAGCGAAGCCGGGCTGATGCGGCGACTGCGGCGCAGCCTGAGCATGCGCAGCAGCCGTGCACCTCTGCAGCCCAAAGAGGACCCCAAGCTCACGGCTCAGGACCACCCCCAGGACTATCACGAGGACGACCGCAAGTTCAAGAGGGACGAGTTCGAGCAGAACCTGCGCGACACCGGACTAGAGCTGGAGAGGGAGGAGCTGGTGAGAGCTTTATGGACTCAATCTGTCATAAATGTTTATTCTACTGCGTCTGACAAGACTGTGTTTTCTCTCTGGTCTCCCTCTGGTCTCCCTCTGGTCTCTCTCTGGTCTCTCTCTCTGGTTTCTCTCTGTTCTCTCTCTGCTCTCTCTCTGGTCTCCCTCTGGTCTCTCTCTGGTCTGTCTCTGGTCTCTGGCCTATCTCACTGGTCTCTCTCTGGTGTCTCTCTGGTCTCCCTCTGGTCTCTCTCTGGTCTGTCTCTGGTCTCTGGCCTTTCTCACTGGTCTCTCTCTGGTCTCTCTCTGGTCTCTCTCTGGTCTCCCTGGTCTCTCTCTGGTCTCTCTCTGGTCTCTCTCTGGTCTCCCTGGTCTCTCTCTGGTCTCTCTCTGGTCTCAGTCTGTAGTATTATGTTTCATTTCTAAAGTTTTAAAGCTGATGATGTTAGATCTGCACTCACAGAATCTAATCAAAGACGTGAACTCTGTCAGACTGTCTCTGACACTGCAGAGCCCTGGGAGTCACTATCTGCCTCTATGGGCCAAGAGCTGATTGGCTGAAAGAGAGAGGGGGGAGTTCCTCTCTTTGATCTAAAGATTTGACATCACAAACACATGAAACTAGAGTCAGAAGCAGCTGTTTTAGAGCCAGAGCTATAGACATGGGTGTAATTCTATTGAGCCTTAAAGGAGCAGTGTGTGAAAATGTGCCCAAAACTGGTACTGCAGCCTCTCCCACTCTCCCTGAGTCAGGTTGCCAGATATGCAGACAAATCCAGCTGGGACCATAACAGCTGAATAGACAAGAGTTTTGTCAACAACAAATCTGTAACCAACACCTTTTTCACAAAGATAGAAATCCTGTTTTTATTCCTTGTTTTGTCGTTAATGATTTGAGAATCATAACGAGACCTTTTTTAGTTCTGCGCCACATGGTACTTTACCAGTGAGATTAGCGCCACGTGGTAAATTCTGGTGCCCGCATCACAGACTTTGTGATTGGTGAAACGGTGGAGGGCGTGACATCGAAATGAAAACAAAAACAAGATTTAGGGTCTGGAAAAGTAATTTAGAAATTCAAATCTCTCTGAACTAAAGTTATCAGTTAAAGAAGTATTGGAAAAGAGCAGTTTATAATTATGACAGATTAGGGCTCTTTAAAGGACAACTCACCCTCAAATCCACTTTTTTTTGCTGATAAACGGTATAAATGAGTGTCCAATAGTGTTGTCTACATATCCTGGTCATAATTTTGTCACTTTGGTGCAAATTAGTTGAAAGTTAAACTTTCTGCCTAAAACCGTCTGTGAGGCGCCATCTGCTGGCGACCTGTATTACTACATTTGAATTTTGAATCTGGCGCCAACACTGGCACGGCAGCAAGACCTGAAGTCTGAAGCAAGACCTGACGTCAGCAGCCCCCCGCCCAGAGCAATGTAAACGGCCCAGTCTCGTTCACGCCCCCTTTAGTCCTCCAGGCTACGCCCATTTAGAGGAAGATTTGAACAGGAAATGTGAGTAACGTAAGCTCCGAGGAGCGGGGGTGAGAACCACTTTAATTATGTCAGAATAGGGCCCTTTAATGAGGACAGATTAGGACCCTTTAATAATGACATATTAAGGCCTTTTAATGATGACAGATTAAGGCACTTTAATGATGACAGATTAGGGGCCTTTAATGATGACAGATTAAGGCCCTTTAATGATGACAGATTAGGGCCCTTCAATGATGACAGATTAGGGCTCTTTAATGATGACAGATTAAAGGAATAGGCCACTGTTTTTACATACTGACATATGTTCTTACCTTACCTTAGACTAGTTGATATGTACCTGTCTGGTCTTTGTCGGTGCGCTCTGTCATGCAAACGAAGAACAAACGCAGCCTCTTCCACATACTGGTACATATCAACTAGTCTAAGGTAAGGTAAGAACATATGTCAGTATGTAAAAACGGTGGCCTATTCCTTTAAGGCCCTTTAATGATGACAGATTTTTTAAGATTAGGTCCCATTAATGATGACAGATTAGGGCCCTTTAATGAGAGTCTTACATATTGCTCCTTTAATGTTACGTACCCCAGCTTTAAAACAAGGTGTGTTTCCAGAACAATATTCCCGACACGGGTTTCCTGAAGATCCACGCTCCCTGGAACGTTCTGTGTCGAGAAGCGGAGTTCATGAAGCTCAAGATGCCGACCACAAAGGTACAGACACAGAGAGTTGAGACACAGACACATCTGCGCATGCGTCAGCTGGCGAGAGCCAAATTCATTTAAACGAGTGCCTTCAAAAATTCACAACAACTAAACTAGAGTGGTCCAAAAAAATTGGCGGTCTGAAAGCAGCATTAGAAAGAGACAGCTAGAGTTAGCGTTAGCATAAGCTTTGAGTAGCAGCACCAGTTGGGGCGGGTCCTGGCTCAAAAGTGGCCAAAATGACGGGCGCTGACATGCTTGCAATACCACCCCGGGCCAGAGGGCTGAACCCGGAAAGGAAATTATTCAATGTAAATGTACGTTTCTTCTGACCTCTCAAAAACGTCTTTACAGGATGGACCAAAAGTTGGCTCTTGGCCCAAAGCTCCGTTGTGTGTCAATGCTGAGGGGGGTGTATTTTTTTGGACCACTCTAGTTTACTTGCTGTGAATTTTTGAAGTCTCTCTTTCAAATGAATGGAGCTTGCGCTGGCTGACGCATGCGCAGATGCGTTTTTTCACAATTTCTTGTGGGCGGGACATGGGGCGGGACCACTCGCGGCCATTTTGGATAGCTCCAGTAGAGCACATATTTTGGCCCATTAGTTAGAACGGCGGAGATAGGCGTGACTCTGTCCGTTAGTACATACAGTCTATGGTTTTGACGCTCGAACGCGCGTCACCATTGACTTTGCATTGAAAGCCGACGCAACTCTTGATCCGGTCTGAACGCGGAATAATTCTAAGGCTAACTAGCTCTCTCTTGTGTCTATGTTGTGCGTACAAGGACTTCCTGGAGGTATTACACTTGGTCTCTTTCTGTTCTTCCTTCTTTACAGCCATCCACTTTTTTGCATTTCCCAAATGTAAAAGAGCTTTTCTTTTTGAGTTTATTTCTATTGTCCATAGTTTTATGATTTTTTATGTTTCATCATGTTCCCTTTAGTTTTACGAAGTGAAACAGGGCAGTAACATCGTGGAGAAGATCCGTCTCTTCATCCACAAAGTGACGGCTCCTCTTCATCCCAACGTGGACCTCAGCGGCTCCCACAGCCTTAAGTGGCTAAGCCACCCCTTCTCCAGAGAGAAGCAGCACCTGTGAGTGAGCTACCACCAGAGAGCTAACACACACTACAGAGAGAAGCAGCACCTGTGAGTAAGGTACCACAGAGAGCTAACACCAGAGAGAGCTGACAGACACCAAAGAGAGCTAACACCACAGAGAGCTAACACACGCTACAGAGAGAAGCAGCACCTGTGAGTGAGCTACCACATAGAGCTAACACCAGAGAGAGCTAACACACACCACGGAGAGCTAAACCCAGAGAGAGCTAACACACACCAGAGACACACTAGGATAGTCTTGTACAGTTCTTCCAATGTGGTTTTACTGCAAAAGGCAAAAACACTTTACTCTGTGGCTTTCACCCAACATCTGTACAACACGTGTGTGTGTGTGTGTGTGTGTGTGTGTGTGTGTGTTTGTGTGGTTGTGTGTGTGTGGGGGTCTGTGTGTGTGTCTTCGATGCAAAGGTGCATTGTGGGTAATGGTCTGGTATGATTTTTATTGTTACCAAGCCAAAAGCAGAGATGCAGAGTATCAGGCTATAGCAGGAGCTAATGTACAGCTGATGTACATCCTGCTCAGAAGGACCTGAGAGTGATGTGTGGGCCTCAGAAGGACCTGAGAGTGATGTATGTGTGGGCCTCAGAAGGACCTGAGAGTGATGTGTGTGTGTGGGCCTCAGAAGGACCTGAGAGTGATGTATGTGTGGGCCTCAGAAGGACCTGAGAGTGATGTGTGTGTGTGGGCCTCAGAAGGACCTGAGAGTGATGTGTGTGTGGGCCTCAGAAGGACCTGAGAGTGATGTATGTGTGGGCCTCAGAAGGACCTGAGAGTGATGTGTGTGTGTGGGCCTCAGAAGGACCTGAGAGTGATGTGTGTGTGTGGGCCTCAGAAGGACCTGAGAGTGATGTGTGTGTGTGGGCCTCAGAAGGACCTGAGAGTGATGTGTGTGTGTGGGCCTCAGAAGGACCTGAGAGTGATGTGTGTGTGTGGGCCTCAGAAGGACCTGAGAGTGATGTGTGTGTGTGGGCCTCAGAAGGACCTGCTCCAGGACGAGGAGGAGCGAGTGGGCAGCAGCTATATTTACTGCTCTGACTAACATCTTCATCTTCACCCTCGTCATCCTCAGCTGTCAGACTGCGGCACAAACACTCCTCCTTCAAACCTTTGTCAGAATATTTTGTTTAAAGTCTGTATCTGAGGAAACAGCCTGAGGTTATTACCCAAGATTCACTGGGCCATTATCCACACATGGGTCATTCTTTTGAGCAGGTCATACACACACACACACACACACACACACACACACACACACACACACACACACACACAGACGCACACATATTCACACAGACATACACTCACACAAACAGACATACACACACACGCACACACACATACACTCACACACAGACACACACACACACACACACACACACTGACTTCTGTCTCTGCTTCACAGGTTCGATCTTTCAGACCGAGATAAATTCTTCGACAGCAAGACGCGCAGCTCAATAGTGAGTGTTTGAAGAAGATTGACTTGTAGACCCAAGACTGAGAGTGTAGACCCAGGATTGAGGGTGTAGACCCAAGACTGAGGTTGTAGACCCAAGACTGAGGCTGTAGACCGAGGACTGAGGCTGTAGACCCAGGACTGAGGTTGTAGACCCAAGACTGAGGCTGTAGACCCAGGACTGAGTTTTCTATAAAACTGTGAGTGTGTTTCAGGTTTACAAGGTTCTGAAGAGGACGCGGTGCACTCGGGCCAAATACAACATGGGTAAGACCCGAGAGGGGCTTCTTTTTTAGACCTGAGGGGGACTCTAACCCTTGAAATTGACGCAAATTTCAATGATTAGAGTTGGGACCTGGACTGAGACACTTGTGTGTAGGTCTAATTCTGTCCTCCTCACAGGGATCACCAGTCTTCTCGCTCACGGGATCTACACAGCCGCCTTCCCCTTGCACGACGTGAGTACAGCCCGAGTCCGAGACCTGTCCCCTCTGAGTCCGAGACCTGTCCCCTCTGAGTCCAAGACCTGTCCCACCAGTTTATGATTGTGTTTTCAGGGCGACATCGAGGGAGTGACAGCAGAGCCCAACGACAGAAAGGTGTGTGTGTATCTGTGGGTGGGTGTGTGTTTGTGTGTCTGTGTGTGTGTTTCTGTGTGTGACATCACAGTCCGCTCTCTCCACAGCTGCTGTATGAGGAGTGGGCCAGTTACAGTGTGTTCTACAAATATCAACCAGTGGGACTGATCAGGTCAGAATACACACACACAGACACACACAGACACAGATACACAGATACACATATACACATACACACAGCTGTGACTTTTGTGTGTTCAGGAAGTACTTCGGGGAGAAGGTGGGGCTCTACTTCGCCTGGCTGGGTGTCTACACTCAGATGCTGATCCCTGCTGCTCTGGTCGGAGTCATCGTTTTTCTGTACGGCTGTGCATCTGTGGACGACAACATCCCCAGGTACAGCCCGAACTCTGACCCCTGACCCTGACCCCCGACCCTCCGTGGATGATGACATACAGACTGAGGTACAGACTTGTGTGTTAGAGTGAATACCCGGTACATTGGTGTGAAGACCTGTGTGTTAGCATGAATACCCGGTACATTGGTGTGAAGACCTGTGTGTTAGCGTGAATACCCGGTACATCGTTGTGAAGACCTGTGTGTCCTGCAGCATGGAGATCTGTGACGCCCGTAACAACATCACCATGTGCCCGCTGTGCGACCAGGCCTGCAGCTACTGGAAACTGACCGACGCCTGCGGCACGGCGCGTGCCAGCCACCTGTTCGACAACCCGGCAACGGTCTTCTTCTCCATCTTCATGGCTCTGTGGGGTAAGAGCGACGACAGCGGCATCTCCTGCTGCCACACTACAGTCTCACTACGGTCTCACTACAGTCTCACTACAGTCTCTCTCCAGTCTCTCTCCAGTCTCACTACAGTCTACAGCACGGGTCCCCGAATGGCGGACCGCGGTCCAGGTCCGGACCCCGAGACCCTTTTCTCCGTAATTTTTTTGTTCAGAAGTACATTGTAACAATTGATTGTCAAATTTTTACCAAAAGCGATTTGTAAACAGGCAGGCACGGGGTCCTTCGTAAAAATACTTTACGGAGCTGTCAGATAACTTTAGCAGTGTCTAAACTAGAGAAACAGTCTATGGTTAGAGATGAAGAAAGAGACGGGAATGAGTGCTGTGTATAGAGCGATGGACGCTAGCGTCTTCTGTGTGTGAGGAGGAGGAGGAGCAGCGACTCCTGTGTGTGAGCGGAGAAGGAAGAAGAGCAGGTGTGTGAGCTGCTATTGCCGATGTTTAGTCCGAATGTACACATAAAAAACATTGATAAAAGCATTAACAAACAGCGTATGCCCAGCTTTAGTGCTCACTGCGAGTGCAGAGGATTTTGGGCATAAAAAGTTGTTGTGGTCAGAGAGTGTGGAGGCAATGACAGAAACGATATTTGATGGGAATGAAGGACATTAACAAAAAAGTCTCCCAGATCCCCTTATCCTCCACAATTAACTTGTGTTGCACCCTCTGCTCTGAGTGTTTGGGAGAGGTTTATGATGTGTTTATGTTATGTGTGAATTATATACACCTATATTTATATATTTTTTAAATTAATTCTTACTACACACTGTGTCAGTGCTGTACAGGTGCAGAGAGGCTGTGTCAGTGCTGTACAGAAGCAGAGCTGAGCGGCTGTGTCAGTGCTGTACAGGTGCAGAGAGGCTGTGTCAGTGCTGTACAGGTGCAGAGAGGCTGTGTCAGTGCTGTACAGGCGCAGAGCAGAGCGGCTGTGTCAGTGCTGTACAGGTGCAGAGAGGCTGTGTCAGTGCTGTACAGGTGCAGAGAGGCACACCAAATACTAGGTGTGTTCCATATGTCTCCACTAGGGGACTGGAGACTGAGGCTCACCCAAGCCCCGGTGATCCAAGATGGCGCCCTATTCAAATGAATGGTTGTGCCCAGTGGCGCTTTGTGACGGCATGGGGGCTGAAAGATTAGCGGAAGTCGCCTGGAACTCGCAAAGATCTATGGGAAACTCGCAAAGATCTATGGGAAACTCGCAAAGATCTATGGGAAACTCGCCTGTATTTGGGCATCGTCTGGTCCTCCCGGTTCTGTGCAGTGGATGATCTCCCATAATGCGTTGCGCCAAACACACGTGTGTGGGTCTCACACCAGGTCTCACGCACGTGCACAGAGGGGCTCAGCTGCGCTCTGACCAATCAGAGCAGTTCATCAGAGCGGGAGTTTTTTTTTTTATTATTTTTTTTTAATTTCAGACACTCACCAGACATGTACACACAGGACACACAACACAACATAACGCAATGCCAAATCCCACCCACCAAGCAACCTCAAAACAAAATACACAAGCCCGTCGACAGATACAAAACTAACAGGCAAGACAAAAAAAATATATATATATAACTAAATAAACAACAACAAAAAATAAGAAAAACAGAGCGGGAGTTAGAGCGAGAGCCAGACGAGCAGAATTTGTGGCACTAAAGTGTGGATTTAAACAAAACCGAAGGATTTAAGAAGAAAAAAAGTTCAGGATAACAAAGGACACTAAAATCCCCACAAAATCCGACCTTTATGAAAGCTGTAGGTTCTCTGTCAGCTGAGGTCAAGCTGTTTTAATATGCATTGAGTTCTATGGGGAAAATTTCTGGGTAGCCCACGTGAATTTAGTCTGGTTCAGTCTGCAGTACCGCGCGAATCCCCCGAGCACATGAGTTATTCAGCTACAAGCTAGTAATACCCTATCCAGTTATTATAATAGATCCATGGGCTCACCCAGAGACTTGAGACCTGAGACCTGAGACCTGAGACCTGAGAGCTGAGGCTGAGACTGAAGGTGTCTGTGTCTCTCCAGCCGTTCTCTTCATGGAGCACTGGAAGCGGAGGCAGATGCGGCTCAACTACCTCTGGGACCTGACGAGCTTCGGAGAAGAAGAGGAGGTGAGCTGAGGAGGTGCAGAGGAGGAAGAGCTCCGTCACACAGCAGGAGCTTAGAGTAGAGCCGCTGCTCCTGCATGACTAGAGGAAGAATCTGTGCCGGAACTGACCCCACAAAATGTGTTCAAGCCAAACGTACACGCTGAGATTGTGTGTGTGAATGTGCGTGTGACAGTGTGTATGTATGTGTGTGTGTGTTTGTCTTTGTGTGTCACTGATGCCCCTTGTGTTTGTGTGGTGTGTTTCAGGAGGAGCACAAGGTTTGGACAGTTTCCTTTTTACAAATACTTTGCTAATTCACTGCTTCATGCCTGATATAACACACACACACACACACACACAGAAACACGTACACAGACACACACACACACTCACAGACACAGCCTTAGAGAGAGTTTTGAGTTAAATGTGTCTATTGTGTAACACACAACGGTGAATATTCAAATGTTTATAAAGATACACATCTTGACATCACCTGGTCCTGCAGCGCTCTGCTCACACCCTTCAGACTCACCAAAGGTCACATGGTCTCTTCTCCTGCACTGGTCCCTCTCGCTGGTCTCTCTGATCTCTCTACAGTTTCCCTCTGGTCTCTCTGGTTTCTCTGGTCTCTCTGCTCTCTCTGCTCTTTCTTTGCTCTTTCTCTGGTCTCTCTAGTCTCTGCTCTCTCTGGTCCCTCTAGTCTCTCTAGTCTCTGCTCTCTCTGGTCTCTCTCTGGTCTCTCTGGTCTCTGCTCTCTCTGGTCTCTCTGGTCTCTGCTCTCTCTCTGGTCTCTCTGGTCTCTCTGGTCTCTAGTCTCTAGTCTCTTGTCTCTTGTCTCTTGTCTCTCTGGTCTCTGGTCTCTGGTCTCTTGTCTCTTGTCTCTCTGGTCTCTGGTCTCTAGTCTCTTGTCTCTCTGGTCTATGGTCTCTGACAGCGGTGCTAACAGATGCTTGGGTTTGCCACAGTGGGAGGACACAAACAAATACCAAAACTGGCCCATGGTTTTATGTCCTCTCTTCCTCTTCCTGGTCTTTGGTATTTGTTCTTTCTCACTGCGCTGTAAACACTGGACTTCCACAGACTTGGATCAGGTTCATGTCTTTATTTTATAGATTACACTCATAAAAATAAACATCTGTGTGTCTATAAAAGTATCTGTAAGATCCTGAGTCCAAGCTGAGCTCCAGTGTCTGCAGTGTCTCTGGTACCATAACAGTCTATCTGGTACCATAACGGTCTCTCTGGTACCATAACGGTCTCTCTGGTACCATAACGGTCTCTCTGGTACCATAACGGTCTCTCTGGTACCATAACTGTCTCTCTGGTACCTTGACTGTCTTTCTGGTACCATAATTGTCTCTCCCATGACTGTCTCTCTGATACCATGACTGTCTCTCTGGTACCATAACTGTCTCTGATTCCTTCAGGACCATAATCGCGCTGAGTACGAGTTCAGAGTCATGAAGAAGTCGCTGAAGAAGGAACATTCAAAGGTTTGCGTTTCTTTGTAATTTATTTGTGTTTTCTGCTGACAAGAGGGTCATGACTCAGCTCTTTCAAAACACACCAGGGAGAGACCAGGGAGAGACCAGGGAGAGACCAGGGAGAGACCAGAGAGAGACCAGAGAGAGAGAGAGACCAGAGAGAGAGAGAGACCAGAGAGAGACCAGCGAGAGAGAGGCCAGAGAGGGACCAGGAGGAGACCAGAGAGAGACCAAAGAGAGACCAGAGAGATCCGGAGGAGACCAGAGGGAGAGAGAGACCAGGGGGAGACCTCTGCGCTGGTCTCTATCTGGCCTCTCTCTTTCTCTCTGGTCACTCGCTGGACTCTCTCTGTTCTCTCTCTCTCTCTGGTCTCTCTCTGTTCTCTCCCTCTCTGGTCTCTGCTCTCTCTCTGATCTCTCTCTCTCTCTGCTCTCTCCCTCTCTGTTCTGCTCTCTCTCTCTGCTCTCTTCCTCTCTGGTCTCGGGTCTCTCTGCTCTCTCTCTCTCTTTCTCTGGTCTCTGTGAGTGTGACATCATAGCCTCTTCCCTTTGCTTCACTCTCACTGTTTATGTAGATAATGCTGAGGGCAGCAATTAGCGAGACAGGATGTGACAGGACTGGCCCTGACTCTGTCTCTGACCCCTGACTCCTGACCTCTGACCCCTGACCTATAACCTCTCTTGTGGTGGTGTTGCAGGAGGAGAAGGTGAAGCTGACCTGTACTGACCGCATGCCGGCCTACGTCACTGTGGTGACCGTCATGTTCTTCATGGTAACGACTCACAGAGCTCTGACCTTTAGGATTCGGCCTCTGCCTCTGTCTCTGCCTCTGCCTCTGCCTCTGTCTCTGCCTCTGCCTCTGCCTCTGCCTCTGTCTCTGCCTCTGCCTCTGCCTCTGCCTCTGCCTCTGCCTCTGCCTCTGTCTCTGTCTCTGTCTCTGCCTCTGCCTCTGCCTCTGCCTCTGCCTCTGCCTCTGCCTCTGCCTCTGCCTCTGCCTCTGCCTCTGCCTCTGTCTCTGCCTCTGCCTCTGCCTCTGCCTCTGCCTCTGCCTCTGCCTCTGCCTCTGCCTCTGCCTCTGTCTCTGCCTCTGCCTCTGCCTCTGCCTCTGCCTCTGCCTCTGCCTCTGCCTCTGCCTCTGCCTCTGCCTCTGCCTCTGCCTCTGCCTCTGCCTCCGCCTCTGTCTCTGTAGACCTGACGCTCCTCTGTGCAGATCGCCGTGACCTTTGCCATCGCCTTCGGTGTGATCCTGTACCGCATCAGCATCAGAGCCGCGCTGCACATGAGCACGTACCCCGCGGCGCGCGCTAACATCCGTGCCACCGTGAAGACGACGGCCGCCATCATCAACCTCATCATCATCATCATCATGGACGAAGTCTACGCCGCTGTGGCACGCTGGCTCACCAGGCTGGGTGAGACTGTAGACCCAGGACTGAGGCTGTAGACCCAGGACTGAGGCTGTAGACCCAGGACTGAATAAACCTGTTTTTCAGAGGTCCCTAAAACTGACAAGAGTTTTGAGGAGCGTCTGATTTTCAAGACCTTCGTCCTGAAGTTTGTAAACGCCTTCTCTCCCATCGTGTACCTAGCGTTCTTCAGGGGACGGTGAGGACCACACTCTGGGGTCAGGGGTCAGGGTCTGGTCCAGGGTCAGGGGTCAAAGGTCAGGTCTCATGTCTCTGTGCTCCTCAGGCTGGTGGGACGTCCTGGAGCTTACCTCTATGTGGTGGGCTCATATCGAATGGAGGAGGTGAGTTCAGCCCCTTCCCTCTCCTCACCCTCTGTCTCCCCCCTCCTCACCCTCTCTCTCTCAGTGTGCTCATGCAGGTTGCCTCATGGAGCTCTGTATCCAGCTCTGTATCACCATGTTGGGGAAACAACTGATTCAGAACAACCTCTTTGAGATCGGCATTCCGTAAGAAACACACACACACGCACACGCACGCACATACACACACACAAACACACACACACACACATATACACATACACATACACGCACACGCACACACACACGAACACGCGCACGCACACACACACACACACACACACACACATATACACATATACACGTACACATATACACATACACATACACATACACATACTCATACACATACACAGAAACACACAAACACACAGTGGTTAGCACTCTCGCTTCTCAGCAAGAAGGTCCTGGGTCTATCTCTCTGGTCTGTCTCTGGTCTCTTTCTTTGGTCTTTCTCTCTGGTCTCTTTCTTTGGTCTTTCTCTGGTCTCTCTCTTTTGTCTTTCTCTCTGGTCCCTCTCTTTTATCTTTCTCTCTCGTCTCTCTCTGGTCTCTCTCTTTTGTCTTTCTCTCTGGTCTCTCTCTTTGGTCTCTCTCTGGTCTCTTTCCTTGGTCTTTCTCTCTGGTCTCTCTCTGGTCTCTCTCTGGTCTCTCCTTGGTCTTTCTCTCTGGTCTCTCTCTGGTCTCTCTCTTTTGTCTTTCTCTCTGGTCTCTCTCTGGTCTCTCTCTTTGGTCTCTCTCTGGTCTGTCTCTGGTCTCTCTCTGGTCTCTCTCTTTGGTCTTCCTCTCTAGTCTCTCTCTTTGGTCTTTCTCTCTGGTCTCTCTCTGGTCTCTCTCTTTGGTCTTTCTCTCTGGTCTCTCTCTAAACCAGGGATGTACCGATTTTTTGTAATCCGATCCGATTCCGATATTCTTAAATATTGTTTTGCCGATACCGATCCGATACCGACCCAATTCAAAGCATTAAAGATTTTGCAACCAGTATTACTTTAAAATGTTTTTATTTATTATAAAATGACTAAAAATATTGTTTGGCTTTTGCTTAACAGACCCATTGAGTTACAGTGCCTTGCGAAAGTATTCGGCCCCCTTGAACCATTCAATATTTTGCCACATTTCAGGCTTCAAACATAAAGATATAACATTTTTATTTTTTGTTATGAATCAACAACAAGTTGGACACAATCGTGAAGTGGAAATTTATTGGATAATTTAAACTTATTTAACAAATAAAAAACTGAAAAGTGGGGCGTGCAATATTATTCGGCCCCTTTACTTTCAGTGCAGCAAACTCAGTCCAGAAGTTCAGTGAGGATCTTTGAATGATCCAATGTTGTCCTAAATGACTGATGATGATAAATAGAATGCACCTGTGTGTAATCAAGTCTCCGTATAAATGCACCTGCTCCTTGATAGTCTCAGGGTTCTGTTTAAAGCGCAGAGAGAACCATGAAGACAAAGGAACACACCAGGCAGGTCCGAGATACTGTTGTGGGGAAGTTTAAAGCCGGATTTGGATACAAAAAGATTTCCCAAGCTTTAAACATCTCAAGGAGCACTGTGCAAGCAATTATATTGAAATGGAAGGAGTATCAGACCACTGCAAATCTACCAAGACCCGGCCGTCCCTCCAAACTTTCATCTCAAACAAGGAGAAGACTGATCAGAGATGCAGCCAAGAGGCCCATGATCACTCTGGATGAACTGCAGATAACTACAGCTGAGGTGGGAGAGTCTGTCCATAGGACAACAATCAGTCGTGCACTGCACAAATCTGGCCTTTATAGAAGAGTGGCAAGAAGAAAGCCATTTCTCAAAGATATCCATAAAAAAGTCTTGTTTAAAGTTTGCCACAAGCCACCTGGGAGACACACCAAACATGTGGAAGAAGGTGCTCTGGTCAGATTAAACCAAAATCGAACTTTTTGGCCACAATGCAAAACAATATGTTTGGCGTAAAAGCAACACAGCTCATCACCCTGAACACACCATCCCCACTGTCAAACATGGTGGTGGCAGCATCATGGTTTGGGCCTGCTTTTCTTCAGCAGGGACAGGGAAGATGGCTAAAATTGATGGGAAGATGGATGGAGCCAAATACAGGACCATTCTGGAAGAAAACCTGTTGGAGTCTGCAAAAGACCTGAGACTAGGACGGAGATTTATCTTCCAACAGGACAATGATCCAAAACATAAAGCCAAATCTACAATGGAATGGTTCACAAATAGACGTATCCAGGTGTTAGAATGGCCAAGTCAAAGTCCAGACCTGAATCCAATCGAGAATCTGTGGAAAGAGCTGAAGACTGCTGTTCACAAACGCTCTCCATCCAACTCACTGAGCTCGAGCTGTTTTGAAAGGAAGAATGGGAAAGAATTCCAGTCTCTTGATGTGCAAAACTGATAGAGACATACCCCAAGCAACTTGCAGCTGTAATTGCAGCAAAAGGTGGCGCTACAAAGTATTAGCGCAAGGGGGCCGAATAATATTGCACGCCCCACTTTTCAGTTTTTTATTTGTTAAAAAAGTTTAAATTATCCAATACGTTCGTTCCACTTCACGATTGTGTCCCACTTGTTGTTGATTCTTGACAAAAAAAATATTTTTTATATCTTTATGTTTGAAGCCTGAAATGTGGCGAAATGTTGAAAGGTTCAAGGGGGCCGAATACTTTCGCAAGGCACTGTAGGTCATAGGTAAGAATCACACCAGTATTGAATATTTCATCTTGATCATAAACTTAACATAAAAAGAAATATCAAAGAGGAACAATTATCAAAAAGCTGCCCTCAACATTCAGTATAACAAAAGAAAAGAGCTGGTCCATAACTGAATGACCACAAAAATCCAGTACTTAACCAGTGTGTGAACTCTGTAAATGTAAACTCTCCGATAGCAAAAAATCAAATGCAACAAGGCAATTGTGCTACATTTAACCTTCATTCAACTCAAAACAATAATAAAAAATAGAGGAAGGTACTCCTTCTTTTAATCGATGGTGCAGCAGCAGCAACAATTCACCAAACATACAAAATACTATTCCAAATACAACATTCAAAAAGGGAGTTTTACATTGTATTTAGTTTACAGTAGGGCTTTGACTTCAAAATTCTAATATAATTCGAATATAAAAATATATATATATATATATATATATATATATATATTCAAACAAATATTAGACAGCCCTTAATATTCTAAATGTTTTTAATGACTGCGAATAAAATGGTTAGCTCCCAAAGGTTTCACCGGGACGTGCTAGGCAGGAAACAGCTAAGCTAGCTAGTTCAAAAACTCTCTGGAACTACAAGAAAACTAAACAAAGAATTCTGAACATCAGCGGTGAGTTACCCATTTATATATCCAGTGTTGGGCACGTTACTTTGAAAAAGTAATTAGTTATAGTTACTAGTTACTTCTCCCAAAAAGTAACTGAGTTACTAACGGAGTTACTCCACTATAAAAGTAACTAGTTACCAGTACAAGTAACTATTGCGTTACTTTTTCGTTTTGTTCTGGAACATAATGTGCACTCGAGGTGCGCAGTTTTATCTTTAGCCTCAGTGAGTCTGAAATAGTGCCAATATTTCCATCTAGAAAAGGCTGTTTTGTTGCTGAAGTCCTGTTCACTCTTCATCTCTCTCTGTGCTGTAAGCACTAAACACCAACACGCTCCACTGTGAATGTGGAAACACCGGTGAAGCACTGACTTCAGCCCAATCAGATGAACATATATATCATATAAATCAACTGGACAGTTTGTTTGGCTACAGCAAAATATGTTTCATGCCCGCGTTGTTTGTTCATACAAAACTCAAAACTATGAGTTATGGGTCTTACCTTATAAATGACCTGCACAGGCCACTTCCGGTTCAGACCAGTTCCTTGTTTAAGTCCAGATAATAGTTTGAGCGTAGATATGTAATCCTCCATTTGGAAATGAGTCCAATGAGTTTTAAAAAGTAAAACAAAACGCGTGTCCTCCATAAACTCCTCTGTTTTGCTGCAGCCGGGTGCATCCAATTTCTAAAATCAACCGTCTTACACTTCACCTCTCTTTCTTATCATTCCTATAGTCATTGAAAAATTACCCTATGTGCATTTTAAATTATCTTAAAATGTGTTATATGTATGTTAGCCAAACCTGTTGCTGCCCTTAGCAGATAAACCAGGAAGAGCAAGGAGCTTATCGATGGAATTGTATGCAGCCGACTTCTGCGCTCACATGCGCTCCTCTGAGGCCTCACGGTGATACAAGCTGTGGTTGAGCGCGATTAGGACCCATATTTGTTTCAAAAACACAATTTATGACCATCCTCTCAACTGTAGACATGTGGATTGTAAAGGAAATATGTTTTACATCAGCCAATAATTGCTGAGAGGTTTTCTCATCTTCCCTTCTCTCATGACAACACGTTCATTGTGCGTCTTGAGTAACGCGCAGTAACGGGATGTCGGAAATGATAACGGCGTTATAGTTACTGTCAAAGTAATTAGTTAGATTACTCGTTACTGAAAAAAGTAACGGCGTTAGTAACGCCGTTACTACTAACGCCGTTATTCCCATCACTGTATATATCAAACATAAATCCATCAGATCCTCTTCAAATGTGTCCTAAAATGTTTGTTTCATGTTAATGGTTACTTCCAGGTTTTTTGCGATCGCTTTTTGTCACATTAAAACAGTATTTTAACTCGGCTAGCTCTGCTAGCTTCTCTGCACAGACGGAAGTAACAGCTAGCTTTGAGGAGCCGTTTAATAAATTAAAATTAAATATTCAAATACATTTGAATATTTAAATTGGTAAAAAAACGAACTTTGAATATGATTTTTGTGCAAAAGTCAAAGCCCTAGTTTACAGCAGCCGTAAAGCGAGAGCATGCTGAAAAGTGACGTAAATCGGCTTCATATTTAACAAATCCGATAATATCCAATCCTTACAAAATACCCATATCGGCCCCCGATACCGATACTCAATATTGGATCGGTACATCCCTACTCTAAACTAAGTACCATACCAGTTAAACTGGTGGTTGTGTTTGAGTGAAGACCTGGTGGTTGTGTTTGAGTGAAGACCTGGTGGTTGTGTTGGAGTGAAGACCTGGTGGCTGTGTGTTGCTGACAGGAAGCTGAAGAAGCTGATGAGGAAGAGAAAGTCAGATCTGGACGGAATCAGTGAAGAAGAACGACACAAGACTCTGAAGCGCCATGAGAAAGACATGATCCTGGGACCGTTTTCAGGATTGAACCCGGAGTACATGGAGATGAGTGAGTCACCTCTCTCTCTGTCTCTCTCACCCCCTCCCCCCTCTCCCTCCCTCTTTCCCTTTCTGTGTTTATAATAGCACAGTTCTTAATGATGTGTCTTGGTGCTTGGTGTCCTCCAGGTGCCGCTGAACTCTGACTTTGTAAATGTCAGAGCACTTTGTGAGTTTGTGCTAAAGGAGGCTCCTCCTCAGTAGAACCTCCTCAGTAGAACCTCCTCAGTAGAGCCTCCTCAGTAGAGCCTCCTCAGTGGAACCTCCTCAACTGAACCTCCTCCTCAGCCTAAGTAGAGCCTCCTCCTCCTCAGTAGAGCCTCCTCAGTAGAACCTCCTCAGTAGAGCCTCCTCAGTGGAACCTCCTCAGTAGAACCTCCTCAGTAGAGCCTCCTCAGTAGAGCCTCCTCAGTAGAACCTCCTCAGTAGAGCCTCCTCAGTGGAACCTCCTCAGTAGAACCTCCTCAGTAGAGCCTCCTCAGTAGAGCCTCCTCAGTGGAACCTCCTCAGTAGAACCTCCTCAGTAGAACCTCCTCAGTAGAACCTCCTCTGTAGAACCTCATCAGTAGAACCTCCTCAGTAGAGCCTCCTCAGTGGAACCTCCTCAGTAGAACCTCCTCAGTAGAACCTCCTCTGTAGAACCTCATCAGTAGAACCTCCTCAGTGGAACCTCCTCAGTAGAACCTCCTCAGTAGAACCTCCTCAGTAGAGCCTCCTCAGTAGAGCCTCCTCAGTAGAGCCTCCTCTCTCTCCTTCAGTACATTCCTGGTCCCTCGCCCAGTGGCACAGTGCTACATCTGCAAAAACAAATCCATCTCCTCAATCCATTACAGTTGATTAGCTTTTAGTTAATTACTGTGTTGCCTCCTCCCCCTCCTCTGGTCTCTCTCTGGTCTCTCTCTGGTCTCTCTCTGGTCTCTTTCTGGTCTCTCTTTGGACTCTCTCTGGTCTCTCTGGTCTCTCTCTGGTCTCTTTCTCTGGTCTCTCTCTGGTCTCTTTCTGGTCTCTCTCTGGTCTCTCTCTGGTCTCTTTCTGCTCTCTCTTTGGACTCTCTTTGGACTCTCTCTGGTCTCTCTCTGGTCTCTCTCTGGTCTCTTTCTGGTCTCTCTCTGGTCTCTTTCTGGTCTCTCTTTGGACTCTCTCTGGTCTCTCTCTGGTCTCTCTCTGGTCTCTTTCTGGTCTCTTTCTGGTCTCTCTCTGGTCTCTCTCTGGTCTCTCTCTGGTCTCTTTCTGGTCTCTCTCTGGTCTCTCTCTGGTCTCTCTCTGTTCTCTCTCTGGTCTCTCTCTGGTCTCTCTCTGGTCTCTCTCTGGTCTCTCTCTGGTCTCTTTCTGGTCTCTTTCTGGTCTCTTTCTGGTCTCTCTTTCTACTCTCTCTGGTCTCTCTCTGGTCTCTCTTTGGACTTTCTCTGGTCTCTTTCTGGTCTCTCTCTGGTCTCTCTCTGGTCCCTCTCTGGTCCCTCTCTGGTCTCTCTCTGGTCTCTCTTTGGACTCTCTCTGGTCTGTCTCTGGTCTCTCTCTGATCTCTCCCTCTGGTCTCACTCTGGTCTCTCTGCAGTAATCCAGTTTGGGATGGTGACTCTCTTCGTGGCCTCCTTCCCTCTCGCTCCTCTCTTCGCGCTCCTGAACAACATCATCGAGATCAGACTCGACGCTAAAAAGTTTGTGACGGAACTGAGGCGACCGATCGCTGCTAAAGCCAGAGACATCGGTGAGACACACACACACACAGACACACAGGGACACATAGGGACACAGACAAAAAGGGACACAGACACACACACAAACATACTCACACACAGAGACGCACACAAACACACACACACGCACACACACAAACAGACACACACACACAGGTACACACACACAGACATAGAAACACACGCAGACACACACACACAGACACATACACACACAAACAGACACATACACACACACACAGACATAAACACACAAACACACACAGGGACACGCACACACACAGACATAGACACACACACACATACACAGGGACATACACACACACACACACACACATAGAGAGACATACATACACAGACACACACAGGAGCAGTGTGTTCCGTGGTGTAGCAGCGACCTCTGGAGGCCGCAGAGGTTTAGTATATAATATGTGAATAATGAAAAGAACCGAGTCCAGACCCGAGTCCAGACCCGAGTCCAGACCCGAGTCCAGACCCGAGTCCAGACCCGAGTCCAGACCCGAGTCCTCACAGAGGAGGTACAGTGTGTTTAGGATTTTCCTGACAACCTGTTGTTTCTGTCGCAGGGATCTGGTACAATCTTCTTCGAGGCCTCAGTAAAGTCGCTGTCATCGTGAACGTGAGTCACAGTCCCTTACAACGAGAGGAGGAGGAGGAGGAGGAGGAAGAGGAGGGGAGAGGAGAGGAGAGAGGAAGAGGAGAGAGGAGGAGGAGGAGAGAGGAGGAGGAGAGAGATGAGAGGAGGGAGGAGGAGAGAGGAGGAGGAGAAGAGAGGAGGAGGAGAGAGGAGGAGAGAGGAGGAGGAGGAGAGCGAAGAGAGGAGAGAGGAGGAGGATGAGGAGAGAGAAGGAGGAGAGAGAAGAGAGGAGGAGGAGGAGAGCTAGAGGAGGGAGGAGCATTGATACTCAGTGAAAGTACATTAAGTCAGATCTAGTCCTGGTCCTAGTCCTGTCTCTGTAGTGGATGTCCCTGTGCTCTGTACCTGTGTTTTGTACCTATGCTCAGTCCCTGTGCTCTGTCCCTGTGCTCTGTACCTGTGCTCAGTCCCTGTGATCTGTCCCTGTGTTCTGTCCTTGTGCTCTGTACCTGTGCTCTGTGCTCAGTCTCTGTGCTCTGCACCTGTGTTCTGTACCTGTGCTCTGTGCTCAGTCCATGTGCTCTGTCCCTGTGCTCTGTACCTGTGCTCTGTCCTCAGGCCTTCGTGATCTCCTTCACCTCTGACTTCATCCCTCGCCTGGTGTACCAGTACATGTACAGTGCAGATGGTTCCATGCACGGCTTCGTCAACCACACTCTGTCCTACTTCAACGTCGCAGACTTCCAGCCCGGGACCGCCCCCCTCAACCCCCACAACCTGGGCTACAGGGTCAGCACCTGTAGGTCAGTGTCACATGACCCCCACAACCTGGGCTACAGGGTCAGCACCTGTAGGTCAGTGTCACATGACCCCCACAACCTGGGCTACAGGGTCAGCACCTGTAGGTCAGTGTCACATGACCCCCACAACCTGAGCTACAGGGTCAGCACCTGTAGGTCAGTGTCACATGACCCCCACAACCTGAGCTACAGGGTCAGCACCTGTAGGTCAGTGTCACATGACCCCCACAACCTGAGCTACAGGGTCAGCACCTGTAGGTCAGTGTCACATGACCCCCACAACCTGAGCTACAGGGTCAGCACCTGTAGGTCAGTGTCACATGACCCCCACAGCCTGGGCTACAGGGTCAGCACCTGTAGGTCAGTGTCACATGACCCCCACAGCCTGGGCTACAGGGTCAGCACCTGTAGGTCAGTGTCACATGACCCCCACAGCCTGGGCTACAGGGTCAGCACCTGTAGGTCAGTGTCACATGACCCCCACAGCCTGGGCTACAGGGTCAGCACCTGTAGGTCAGTGTCACATGACCCCCACAGCCTGGGCTACAGGGTCAGCACCTGTAGGTCAGTGTCACATGACCCCCACAACCTGGGCTACAGGGTCAGCACCGGTAGGTCATTTTTAAGTCGTTTTAAAAAGTAGAATTAGTGCTGTGAGCCTCTGTAACTCTGTGTGTGTGTGTGTATTTTGAGTCCTTTGCTTTTTACTTTGTACACTCACGATTGTGTGTCCTCCTCTGACTGAAAATATGCTGATAACACCACCATCATCGGTCTCATCAGTGACACTGATGAATCCTCTTATAGAGCAGAGATACAAAATGTGGTTCAGTGGAGTAAAACTAACAACCTCCAGTTGAACGCATCCAAAACATGTGAACTGGTCTACGACTTCAGTCGCAATAGTTCTCATTTGCCTGTCGTAATCGACAACTCCCAGGTGCAGATCGTAGAGGAGTGCAAGTTTCTGGGTTTAACTCTGTCTAACGACCTGAAATGGGTTAAAAACACTGACCGAGTCGTTAAGAAAGCTCGTCAGCGTCTTTACTTTCTGCGTAAACTTAGAGAATTTACCACTAACTCTAAGATTCTGCTTAACTTTTATCGCTGCACCATTGAGAGTTTACTTGTTGGTTCTGTGTCTGTGTGGTTTGGAAACATCACAGATAAAGAAAAGAGAGCTTTAAACAAGGTGCTCCGCTCTGCAAAGAGGACCGTGGGCTGTGAGCTTCCTGTTCTGGAGGTTCTTTATAAATCCAGACTTCTTAATAGAGCTCTAAGAATTATCAATGACTCTTCTGGCCACCCTGGAAAAGCCTTGTTCCAGCTTCTTCCCTCTGGCAGAAGATATCGCTCTCTGAGATGCAGGACATCTCGTTACGCTAACAGTTTTTATCCACAAGCTGTTATCAGTGTGAACAGAGCACTTTAATGATTTGCACTTGTTTTGAAACTGTTTTAGTCGATCGATTTCACAGTGACATTTGTTGACTGTTTTATTTGTTTTATTTCCTTACTTTTAATGTTGTTTTATGTCTGTATTTGTCTGTGCACACTGGAGACTTTTTGCTAATGTGGTTTTTTTTACTGCAAATGGCAAATAAACGGAATCTGAATCGTGTGTGTGTGTGTGTGTGCGTGCGTGCGTGCGTGTGTGTGTGCGCGTGCGTTTCAGATTTAAAGACTACAGGGAGCCTCCCTGGTCGAGCACAAAGTATGACCTTTCCAAAGAGTTTTGGGCGATTCTGGCAGCGCGCCTCGCCTTCGTCATCGTCTTCCAGGTAAAAACTCACATGGTCTCTGATGCTGGTCTCTGGTGCTGGTCTCTGGTGCTGGTCTCTGGTGCTGGTCTCTGGTGCTGGTCTCTGGTGCTGGTCTCTGCTGCTGGTCTCTGGTGCTGGTCTCTGATGCTGGTCTCTGATGCTGGTCTTTGTAATGAGTGATGGGAGGGTGTTTGGTCGGAGCCCTTGATGGTCCGGTGTGTTCTGGTGTGAAGAGAATGGAACAATATCTGAATCTGAACATTGTAAACCAGGCATGTCCAAGCTCAGGTCCGGGGGCCAATAGTGGCCCTCAGTGTCATTGTACGTGGCCCTCTGCCTCGCTAACCCACAGTAGTCTTTGAGATCCATCCATCCATTTTCTACCCTTTAATCCATTTCTGGGTCAGGGGGGTGACAGTCAGAGATGCCACCCAAGTCTCATAGCACCAGCCCCTCTGCAGGTGGTGAGTCCACAGGAGGGCGGCTGCTCTCTGAGTGTGAGCATAGCCTTGATCTTTCATGTCTTTGTCTTTGAGATCATAAACACAAATTCACTGTGTCATCTATCCAACTTCAGCTCAGACCATAAAACATGTCGTAACTGTTTTATGGTATTATTTGACTTTACTTTTACTTTATTTGTACAAACTGTACTCATGGTTTTTGATTGTGTCACGTCCATTACTGGAGCTAATGAAGCTGCTGAGATTGTAAACATGTGTCATTCAGCCAACTTCAGCTCAGTTATAGATAATCATAAACCTCAGAACAGGCTCCTGGACCAGTCTGGGGAAGTGGCCATCTTACTAAAAAGTTTGGACACCCCTGTTGCAAAGCGCTTTGGGAGACCTTGGTGTGTAAAACGTGCTACATAATTAAACTCTTCTTCCCGTAGAACGTGGTGATGCTGATGAGTGACTTCGTGGACTGGCTGATCCCGGACATTCCCAAAGACATCAGTTTGCAGATCCACAAAGAGAAGATCCTGATGGTGGAGCTGTTCCTGAAGGAGGAGCAGGGACGGCGCCTGGTGCTGGGCAGAGACAGTCACTATGACAACGGCCATCACCGTCACCACGACAACCACCACGACAACCGCTGCTCCGCGCCCTGTGGCGACGGAGCCAGTCAGCCACGCTCCCGACCCGCCTCCCACTCACACTGCTAGGAGCTGACCCCTGACCCCTGACGTTTGACCCTTGACTCCTGACTCCTGACCCCTGACCCCATCGTCAAAGACCTACAGCTCATAATCCTGACTCATGTATTTAAGTCTCGCCCTGAACCACAGTCTCGAGGACTTTACAAAGTTGTGGATTTGCCAACAGACGATCAGAGAATCAAAAACAGGAAGTGCCATAAAAACAACCACAGAGAGATTGAGGACCTCTGTCCACAAACGTAAATGTCCTGGATCCTCACGGAAGATTCCAGATTTCCCAAAGCCATATTCCTCGACTCTGGATGTGTTTTTTGGATGTAAAAGTGTAAAGGATGAAGCCATCGTTCTGAGGTTCCCGTCGCGCGCACACAGGGGGACACTTTTTACTGTTGCACACAAACATGTTCCTGCCATTTCTGACGCAAAGAGAAGAAGGAAAGGTTTTATTTTTGCCTGGGACTGATTTGAGTCACAGAATAGAGTTAAACCAATGACTTTTGTTCAAAGAAGAAATAATGAGACTATTTACTTTGTCGTGTTTTAGAAAAAATATATTCAGTAGAAAATACGTGATGAAACAAGCACTACCATGATGCTGCCATCAGAGTGAGCAGCGTCTGCAGTCAGAGCCCCCTGTAACTCCTGATGCTGCCACCAGAGGGAGCAGCGTCTAGTGCCCCCTGTAACTTGTGATTGTAAAGAACCTTATTTCAGCGAAAAATTACCAAAACTAATTTATGGGAAAAACGTTTGTTATAAGACAGAAAAAGTGTCTTTAAAGGTGATGTCATAGTGATGTCATAGTGATGTCATAGTGGGATAATGACATCTTACACCCCTGATCTCCCCTAACTGCCTGCATTGTGTCAGTTCTACTCAATAACAGAATAATTGTCGTTGTCGTGCTGTGCCTCGTTCTGTGATTGGCTCCCAGTTCTATGCGACCATTTGGGCCGGGGTTTCCGGGCTGCTGTCTTGATGGAAGAGACTGGAAGAAAATATGTACAAATCCCACAAACTTTAGGTTTTGTGGATTTAAGGAGAAATGGTTTGACATTTCATTTCTGTAGAAAATATTGACCCTGACAACTGTCCCTACAGACCCCTGACCCTACACACCCTGACCCCTGACCCTACAGACCCTGACCCTACAGACCCCTGACCCTACAGACCCTGACCCCTGACCCCACAGACCCTGACCCCACAGACCCTGACCCCACAGACCCTGACCCGATCCTACAGACCCTGATCCCACAGACCCTGATCCCACAGACCCTGATCCCACAGACCCTGATCCTACAGACCCTGACCCCACAGACCCTGACCCTACAGACCCTGACCCCTGACCCCTGACCCCACAGACCCTGACCCCACAGACCCTGACCCCACAGACCCTGACCCCACAGACCCTGACCCCACAGACCCTGACCCTACAGACCCTGACCCCTGACCCACAGACCCTGACCCCACAGACCCTGACCCCACAGACCCTGATCCCACAGACCCTGATCCTACAGACCCTGACCCCACAGACCCTGACCCTACAGACCCTGACCCCTGACCCCACAGACCCTGACCCCACAGACCCTGACCCCACAGACCCTGATCCTACAGACCCTGACCCTTGACCCTACATCCCACAGAACCATATCATGTTTTATCCAATGTGTTTATGCTGAAATCTCTTTCTAACTGAATCTTGTTTGCTCCAGTTTTTCCCGTTGCCTTAAACGACTTCTACCTTTAAACAAAAGCAACCGACTGAAATGAATTGTTATGAAAATAAAGAAATGCTTTTGATTTTGCACACTGATGATTCTGCTCCTGTTCCAGAGAATCATCTGTAACAGATCTGGAATAAAAGTCTCCTTTGAACTGCTGTTGTCTGTGGGGGAGGTCTGGGGGGGAGGGGGGCTGGAGGAGGAGGCCGGGAGAGGTTTGGAGGGGGAAGTCTGGAGGAGGAGGCCTGGAGGGGGAGGCTGTGACCAGGACAGATTAGTCAACATAGATTTGTTTCTAAGAATTCAGATCATAAAGAAAACTGGACTCATTGATAAAGAAAAGGATTTTGATTTTCTTTCAGGCTACAACTTTCAAAGAAGTAATGAATGAACCTGTGAAGCCTATAAAATAATACCATTATTGATTGACTGCGGAACCTTCCGCAGTAATATTCCGTCATTTTTTTGACACGGATGTTTGGGAGATTATTTTTTCCATGCATTGAGAATTCTGCAATGCATTTTAAACCAGTAAATGCAATGATTCAAACTTCAACAATAGGGTTTTTTCATGTATCAACTAATAGGGATTTTTCCATGCAACCTAATAGGTTGCATTATACCACCAGACCAAGACCCAAACGAAGACTCAGACCACCACCAGATAATGATTTTTCCACAGACCAGGTTTTCCTTAGTTACAGGTAAAAATGCAACCAAATTGTTTCAGCATGGTGATGGGGGATTTTTCAGTTTCAAGGACACTTTCAATACATTCAGTAGTTTCAAGGAGGTGTTCCTTAGTTACCAGGAACCAAATTGTTTCAGCTGTTTAAGAATTTAACCAGTTTCAAGGATATCAGGAGGTTCAAGGATTTCAGGAGTTTCCACACTTTCAACAGTTTCCAAGGTTTAAAAAAGTTTCAAGGATTTCAGGAGTTTCAATGTTTCAACAGTTTCAAGGATTTCAGGAGTTTAAAGGTTTCAACAATTTCAAGGACTTCAGGAGTTTCAAATATCTATCAAGTATTTTAACAGTTTCAAGGCTTTTTAAAGGATTTCAAGGATTTTTTTTAGCAGATTTCCACATTAGATCTGTTCCGCAGTCAATCGCAATGGCTTCAGCCATTGCAAGTTTCTAGTTATTATTATCATTGTTATTATTTATGTGTTAATATTATCATTATTATTATTTATTTATCATCATCATCATCATCATCATCATTGTTGTAATTAGTATTCTTTATCTGGAGGGTGGCGGTGAATGAACCTGTAAGTCAACACTTTGGGAAAGGCGGCTGGAATGAACAGGAGATGGCTGAGGGAAGTGATTTGTCTGGAAATGGGGAGATGCTTACATGAGAAAAGAAAACCTTTCTCATGTAAGATCCAAAGGTAGTAGACGGAAACGTAAAAAGCAAACAAATGTCTCCAATAAATCGGAAAGTTGGTATCGCCCCTCACTGATCCTCCTGCAGGTGATGAGTCCACAGGAGCTGAGATCTTTCAGTGGGCGATTCAGGCAAAGTGGACTTAAGTGTCTTGCCCAAGGACACAACGATAGCAGTCATCAGTGGGAGTCGTGAAGTAGGTCTTATGGTGGGCTTGAACCCATAACCTTCAGGCTCAAAGGCCAATGCTCTACCAACTGAGCCACTGTCGCTCACTGGTTCTTTAATGGTTATTTGTAAAAACGCTGTGCAGCAAATAAAGGCCGTCAAGCTAAACAACTTAGATGATAAGAAAATATTAGTCTCAGGGGTTAGAGGTGTGATCTCAAGAATCCCAATAATGGAGACTATGGATACAATTAAATAGTTTAGCTGAAGCGAAAGTTACCGATGACAACTAGGTTTGGAGAAAGATGTGAGAGTTTGTCTGTAGTGCTTGAGTTTGATGTGAGATGCTTGCCAAATAAAGTGTTTATTGGATTTATGAGCTATGAAGTGAAACCGTACATGCAGGAAAACAGATATGCGGAAAATGCTCTGGAGAACATGAGTGTGGACAATGCGAAGAAGGAGCAAAGTTGAAGTGTTGCAACTGTGGAGGGGAGAATAGTTCAGCGTTCCGAGGATGTGAGGCTAGCGAGAGGGCTGCGGAGGTGCAAAGAGTCACACAAGGCGTGTCCTACGCAGAGGCGGTGAAGAAAGTGTCGAGTTCTTCCAGGGAAGTGAGAGTAAATCCTGCATCGAATGTAGTGAGTAATGATAGTGTTTTGAACCCTCCAGTCCCAAATTTAAAGAAGATACTTTATGTGTGAATAAGAAAGATTTTATTCATCTGAGTGTCTCTATCCATGCCAATGTGACATGTAAATCTCTCCTTTGTGAGATAAATAAAGCACATCTTACCTTTTCTCTTCTCTTCTCTTCATGGTGGAGGTCATTAATTGTGCTGCCCAGACAGAAAAGAAAACTGAAAGAATAGTGATAATTGTTAAGGCTGCAGAAAGATATCTGGGTATTAAAGGTCTAGGATTGAAATTGAAGAGCTGTTAAACAAGAACCAAAATAGAGAACCCTCAAACCTACAGCCATGTTCTGGTGGTTCCTAATGGTGGTGACGGTTCTGCAGTGGAACGCCAGGAGCCTTCTTTCAAATGGTCAAGAATGTAAACATCATATTTCTGCCCTGCAGGACAAACCTCAAGTCATATGTGTTCAAGAGACTTGGCTACAACCCCAAATGGATTTTATTATTCAAGGACATACAAGCATAAGGAATGACAGGGAACGAGGTGAAGGTGGAGGCGTAGCTGCTTTTATTAAAAACGGCTGAAATTACTGTGTGTTACATATAAATGATATATGGTTAAACGTATGAATGGGGTGAGGAGAAACTACACTATGCCAGTTTTAACTAAGAATGGCACAGAGGCAAACAACAATTTCAACAAAGCTAAAATGTTGGCTGAAACTTTTGTATCCGTCCACAGCTCTGACAACCTGACGCCTGCAGCACGAGAAAGTAGGGCAGCACTTTGGCCCAGTTTGGTTATTTGATTCAATCACAACCTACAGCTCAGGAAGATCTCGACCTTCCATTAAATCTTTTTGAGTTGAAGAGAGCTCTGTCTAAGGCGAGACAAACAACCCTGGTAAAGATGATGTATGTTAAAACATTCTATTTCAATTGGCTGATGAGACACTTGAATTATTACTGAGTTTGTTCAATCTTGTTTGGGACACTAGGAGCATTGGAAACAGTCTGTTGTAGTCCCAGTGTTGAAACTGGGAAAGTCACCTTCTGACCCGTCAACTTAAAGGCCTATTGCGTTAACGTCACAGTTGGGAAAGACTATGGAGCGCATGGAAACAGAAAGATTACATTTTGTTTTAGAAAACCAGAATTTTCTTTCCACTCACCAAAGCGGCTTTCGTAAAGGTAGGAATACCATGGACTCTGTATTATGCCTGGAATCAGAAATTCCAAAAGCAAAGACAAATAAAGAAAAGGTTATCGCTGAGTTTTTTGATGTTGAGAAGGCGTATGACATGGTGTGGAAAGAAGGCCTGCTCATTCAGTTGCGCAAAGTTGGTATTGGGGGTAATTTACAAAATTGGGTTAAAAGCTTCCTGTTTGATGTTGTTATGATGTTGAAAATGGTATTCCGCAGGGAAGCGTGTGAAGCCCAATCCTGTTTAATGTTTTGATAAATAATATTTTTGAGGGTGTTGATCGTTCTTTTGAACGAAGTCTGTATGCGGATTATGGAGCATTGTGGGTAAGGGGAAGAAACCTTGAATTTACTGTAAAGAAGCTGCAAAGAGCAATACAGCAGGTGGAGAAGTGGACTCTAGACTGAGGATTTAAACTGTCTCCAAAGTCCCAAGTGATGTGTTTCTTCAGCCGTCACAAAGCAGTTTCACTGAAACTATATGGAGCGCTTGAAAAAGTGAAGGAAACAAAGTTTTTAGGTGTAATTTTTTTGTGAAACCCTATTGGAAAAGTTCAAAATAATGTTAAAAGTGAATAATTTGTTGCGTTGTTTATCTGGCCAGGACTGGGGAGGCAGTAGGAAATCACCGTTAAATATAAACCGGGCTGTGATGCGTCCTACTCTCGATTATGGGTGTTAAGCCTTTTTGTCTGCTCCTGTGACTACTTTAATAAAACTTGATATGGAACAAGCTAAAGCCCTACGCGTCATGCAGAGCTCTTAAAACATCTATTTCTGCAATGCAGGCCGAGTTAGGAGAAATGCCATTGAGAAATAGTAGATTGAAACTCATGTGGGCGTATTGGGTGAATTTAGAAGGGCAAATTTGGTCGCACCCAGGAACAAAGGTCCTTAAAGAATGTTGGGAACATGAAAAGAGAGATAGCTATAGTTTTGGTTGGATAGCAAAGGCCAAAGCTCAACTTGCTGAGTTAAGTGGAATTAGTATGTGCCCTATACCGACTTTGTCAACTATTGCCCCTTGGAAGTTTATTTCCGCACCAGTTGATATTAGTCTCCAACATAAACTCAAAGAGAAAACAAAAAGGCTGCCGCAATTTCTTGTACAAGAACTGATCGATGAACATTCTGAGCATTTGTTTGTTTTTACTGATGGATCCAAAGATCCTGTGAGTGGACGTACTGGTTCTGCCTTCTTTGTCCCAGAGCTTGACATAGCAGTGAAGCGAAGATTAACAAATAATCTCTCTGTGTTTACTACAGAACTTGTCGCAATAAAGCTAGCTCTGGAATGGGTTAAAACAACTTTGCAGCGCTCATGTATCGTTATAGCTTCTGATTGTTTGTCTGCTCTGTAAAGCATTTAATCTGACTGTAGACCAGGCATCCTCTATTGTATATTCTCTGTGAGGCTTTCGTTGTATAGTAGGGATAGCAAAGGAAGGTTTCTCACCCATCATCTGTACTTCTTAGCAAGTTTTCCCGACGTTTCGTCCTCAACCTGGGGACTTCTTCAAGGAATGAATTCTCGGACCGCGCGTTGGAGATTTATAACCTATGGGTGTGGTTAGCCACACCCTAATCCTGATACTAACTCATAAACAATCTAAGGTCTGATGTAGAAGGGAGCAGGTCTAACGACCCTGCTGAGGCTAACGACCCTAACTCATTAGCATGTCACAGACCTATTGTCTGCTGGGATGCTCAAGTGGAGTGCAGGTCTCACCCCTCCTAACTCATTAGCATGTCACTGACCTTGTCCCAAGTTAGGGCGTTGTGGTTGGAGGCCTTGAGGTGGAGATGAACAGCCGACTGTGGCCGACTGTGGCCTCCACCTCAAGGCCTCCAACCACACGGTGGATGACACAGAGGTTAAAATTCTGGCTCGGGAGAAGAATTGGTTTGAGAGAGGAGTGAAAGAAGCCATTTTTGTGAGGAAACAAAAACCTTCTCTTAACAGAGGAGGAGGGTTAAGATTTGTTTTGCCTCGCATCTATGACGACATCCTAAAAACAACGCCCTAACTTGGGACAAGGTCAGTGACATGCTAATGAGTTAGGAGGGGTGAAACCTGCACTCCACTTGAGCATCCCAGCAGACAATAGGTCTGTGACATGCTAATGAGTTAGGGTCGTTAGCCTCAGCAGGGTCGTTAGACCTGCTCCCTTCTACATCAGACCTTAGATTGTTTATGAGTTAGTATCAGGATTAGGGTGTGGCTAACCACACCCATAGGTTATAAATCTCCAACGCGCGGTCCGAGAATTCATTCCCTGAAGAAGTCCCCAAGTTGAGGACGAAACGTCGGGAAAACTTGCTAAGAAGTACAGATGATGGGTGAGAAACCTTCCTTTGCTTTGACTAATCCCTGTACGACTGAGGGCTTACACAAACGTATAGTAGGGATGTTGGAGTGTCGTTTCTTTGGGTTCTTGCCCATGTTGGAGTAGAGGGTAAGGAAGTGGTCAATATGCTGGCTAAGGATGCTTTAAATTCCCCTTCAGTTCATATAGATGTGGCATTGAGTAAATCAGAAGTCAAACCTATAATAAAAGAGCATGTGAAGAAGGTCTGGCAGGAGTATTGGGACATCTGTGATACTGAGCGGCATCTATATGGTATACAGCAGAATGTGGGTCCATATAAATGCCGGGGCAGGAGCACAAAGGAAGAGAGAGCCATCACGCGTTGGAGAATAGGTCACACAAGTCTGAACAGTTCATTATTTAAGATAGGAAAACACTCTACTGGACTTTGTGACTATGAGCAAGAGAGAGCTGAGTTAATCCAGTGGTGTCAAGGAAATGAACAAACAATTACGCTAAGGAATCTACTTCAGAGTCCATCCAGAAAATGCTCAGGAGTTATTTTTAATATCTGTTCATGCAGTCTTAATACAGTAGGTGGCGGTAAATGCACCTTGGTAGTTTGATGCAGATCGCCATTAAAGAAGAAGAAGACTTTGGGAAAACTACGCGCTGACGTCACTTTGCAGAACTGCGTCGGGAAAAGAGGAAGGAGGGCTCGAAGTTTTAGAGTTTCGACACGTAAAATACATCCGAATTAACTAGTTTAGATGGTGTCTTGCAAATTTAGAGTCTATCTGGTACTTTATCCCCAATCATATTTTTGAGTCAGTTGGTGGACCACACCTTCAAAACTTCCTGTGTCATTGGCTAATTTCCACCAGCAATGTCTGCTTGCTTGGAAATTGTGCTTCAATCATAATTTCTCCACATAAATATTCTTTGCGGAACAACGAACATGTTACAATAAGAAATCGGTCTTTGTTTTTTTACCTTATGAACAGTTTATGGCGAAGTATGAATTCCCTCTTCCCTTCAGAGAATACAAGTCTGTGATCAAAGCCATCCCTCCAGAGTTGCTCCATCTTATAAGATGCCATTTATCCTTTTACAACATCGACAATATTGGTGATAACTCTATTGTGCTCACCTTAAATGGGATTAATTTACTTGATAGAAAGTGTAATAATCACCATATCCGTCAAATGTTTCAAAATCACTCCTAGGTGTATGTTTTTTTGGAACTCCTTAATAGAGGAAATAGACTGGAAGAAACCCTGGCTATTGCCAAATAAATACTGTATATCAAACAAAATGAAGGAAGTTCATTTTAAGATTGTTCATAAAATCTACCCTGTCAACTCTGTCATCTCAAGGTTTACAGCTGTTGATGAAAACTGTACATTCTGTCAAACACAGGAAGAAACTCTCGAGCATTTGTTTTTCTATTGTAACATTGTTCAAATATTTTGGGCAGAATTGAGTGACTCTAATTTCAAAAATCGTCCAAAGGGTCATTGTTTTACATGTAAAGATATTATCTGTTATTTTGAAGATAACACAACCACGAGATCATTTAACGATGTAGTTAATTTTTTTCATTCTGTTTGGTAATTTTTTTATTCACAAGCAAAAATGTTTGAAATCACAGTTGTATTTCCCCCTATTTTTAAGTGACCCTAACCCGAAGCAAACGACTCCAAGACTGTTGCAAAGACCTCCTGACACGAACTAAATGAACTTTTTTGGTTTATTAATTTATTTTTATTTTACATATTGTATTGTGTTGTTTTGATGTGAGCTCTCTATTTCCAGATGTCTCGTCTTTGACGATTGTTGTAAATTGGAAATAATAAAATTTTGAAAAAAAAAAAAGGTGACGTAAAACACGGAAGTGAAAGTAAACAGTTGTTCCGCAGTAGATAATACACGTTTGCGGCTCCGAGACTGTGGCACAGGGTGAGGGTCTGAGGGGCCCGGGGACATGGACAGTTCTCTGGAGTTCAACGCGCTGCTCCTGCGCCTGTCCTCCGCTCTCTCCGCGGAGCAGCTGGAGTCTCTGAAGTTTCTCTGTAAGGACCACGTTGGGAAGAGAGACCTGGAGAAGTGCTCCACGGGAATAAAGCTCTTCCAGATTCTCACGGAGAGAGCCAAACTAGGACCCGACAACCGAGAGCTCCTGGGCCGCATGCTGAGCGAAGTGCGGCCTGACCTGCGGGACCAGCTGCTGGGCTCCTGCCGGACTGAGGATCCAGGAGAGCAGCGAGGTGAGGAGGGAGGGGGAGAGGGGGGGAGAGGGGAGCAGTGAGGTGAGGGGAGAGGAGGGGGGAGCAGTGAGGTGAGGGGAGAGGAGAAAGGAGAGAAAAGGATTTAGAGGGTGTATAAACGCTGCTCTTACAACAGTCTGATATACCATAAACACACACATGAGCCTCATCGTTGTATTCACAGACCATCACAGACCTTTACAGACCTTTACAGACCCCGGTATCAGGTGCATTTAGATGAGAATATCCTTTATTATTCTCTCAGTGGGGAAATGACAGTGTTGCGTCACACAATCACCTCAGATATGATTAAAATACTATGAGTGAGACTGATCTCCGAGTTCCTGAAGGTCCTGTGTCTCCGCAGACGAGCTGGACGCTGCGACGGAGGTGCTGGCAGAGAACCTGGGGAATCAGTGGCGTAAACTGGGCCGAAAGCTGGGTCTGAGCGAGGTCAAACTGAGCTCCATCTCCAGGGCACACCCGGTGGACCTGGAGGAGACCGCCCTGGAGCTGATCCGCCAGTGGAGGGCGCTCCGCGGGGACCAAGCCACTGTGAGGGCGCTGGTGCAGGCGCTGAGGGACTGTGAGCTGAACCGGACCGCGGACACACTGGAGGACACTCTCTCACCCAACGTTCAGGATCACCAACTTCAATCAGGGCTGGACTCAAACTCAAATCTATTCGTTTCACACGGCCTCTAACTCTCGGTGTCTCTCTCTGTTCACATAAACATGAACCACAGCTGATACAGTCTCTACACAATCAAAACAACCTTTTTTTACATGTGCCTTTAAAGTAGCTGCAGTGTCAGGCTTCACCAGCAGGGGGCAGCAGGGTTTATTATGTAGAATAAAAGGGAATTTCTGATGTTTGAGTCCATTTAACTGAGATTATTTTGATTTAAATCCATGAGAAACGTGATGCTTTTTGTATAATTTCTTACGAGGATGAAATGACATTGTTTCCAAAAGTCTGATCATAGATAAAACAAAAGCCACTCTTGTGTTTAATGCTGTTTATTTCATCTTTGATTCTTCAGATTCATTACATTTGCCATTCCCAGTAAAACCACATTCTTCTTCTTCTTCAATTTAGGTTTCTGAAAAAGAGAAGTTCCAGGTCAGGACAGTAGTGCGAGGAGAGGGGGGAAGAGGGTAGACAGAGAAGAGAGGAGCGCGGGGGAACGGAGAGGAGAGAGAAGAGAGGCGGGAGAGGAGAGAGAAGAGGAGAGAGGCGGGAGAGGAGAGGAGAGAGAGAGAAGAGAAAGGGGGGAGAGAGAGGGGGGAAGAGGGTAGACAGAGAAGAGAGGAGCGCGGGGGAACGGAGAGGAGAGAGAAGAGGAGAGAGGCGGGAGAGGAGAAGAGAAAGGGGGGGAGAGAGAGGGGGGAAGAGGGTAGACAGAGAAGAGAGGGGAGAGAGAGAAGAGAGGGGAGAGAGAGAGAAGAGCGAGGCGGGAGAGTTGAGAGGGGGGAAGAGGGTAGACAGAAGAGAGGAGCGCGGGGGAACGGAGAGGAGAGAGAAGAGAGGCGGGAGAGGAGAGAGAGATGGGGGAGAGAGAGAAGAGCGAGAGGGGAGAGGAGAGAGAGGAGAGAGGTGGGAGAGGAGAGAGAGAGAAGAGAAAGGGGGGAGAGAGAGGGGAAGAGGGTAGACAGAGAAGAGAGGGGAGAGAGAGAAGAGAGGGAGAGAGAGAGAGAAGAGCGAGGCGGGAGAGTTGAGAGGGGGGAAGAGGGTAGACAGAAGAGAGGAGAGAGGGGGGAGAGAAGAGAGAGAGGGGGAACAGAAGAGAGAGGTGGGAGAGGAGAGAGAGAAGAGGGGGGAGAGAGAGAAGAGCTAGACAGGGGAGAGGAGAGAGGGGGGGGCAGAGAGGAGAGAGAGGGGGAACGGAGAAGGGAGAGAGGGGGGGACGGAGAGAGAGAAGAGAGGCGGGAGAGGAGAGAGAGAAGAGAGATGGGGAAGAGAGAGAGGAGAGAGGCGGGAGAGGAGAGAGAGAAGAGAGAGGGGGGAAGAGGGTAGACAGAGAAGAGAGGGGAGAGAGAGAGAAGAGCTAGACAGGGGAGAGGAGAGAGGGGGGGGCAGAGAGGAGAGAGAGGGGGAAGAGAGAAAGGGGAGAGAGGGGGGGACGGAGAGGAGAGAGAAGAGAGGCGGGAGAGAGAGAAGAGAGAGGGGGGAAGAGGGTAGACAGAGAAGAGAGGCGGGAGAGAAGAGAGAGGGGGGGGAAGAGGGTAGACAGAGAAGAGAGGGGAGAGAGAGAGAGAAGAGTGAGAGAGAGGAGAGAAGTGAGAGGCGGGAGAGGAGAGAGAGGGGGGAAGAGGATAGACAGAGAAGAGAGGAGAGAGGGGGAACGGAGAGGAGAGAGGCGGGAGAGGAGAGAGAGAAGAGAGGGGGGAGAGAGAAGAGCTAGACAGGGGAGAGGAGAGGGGTGGGGCAGAGAGGAGAGAGAGGGGGAACGGAGAAGAGAGAAAGGGGAGAGAGGGGGGGACGGAGAGGAGAGAGTCTGAAGTTAAAGGAGACAGTAGTGAGAGAGTCTGGAGGCAAAGGCAGGACTGTGGTGATGTGCTACATAAATAAATGTGGCTCACAGCACTGGTAGAGGCGGTTGAGGCGGGCGATGTCGTTGGCGCTCATCTGTGTGGCCTGACCGAACGCCACGTTGGGGTTTGGGATGGGCTCCATGGTCGGACGGTTGTTCTTGGAGAAGGCGTATCTGCAACACAGGCTCAGGTCACCCCCATCCTCACCCCATCCTCACCCCCATCCTCACCCCCATCCTCACCCCCATCCTCACCCCCATCCTCACCTCATCCTCACCCTCATCTTCACTTTACACTCATCCTCACCCTCATCTTCACTTTACACTCATCCTCACCCTCATCTTCACCTCATCCTCACCCCATCCTCACCCTCATCCTCACCCCCATCCTCACCCTCATCCTCACCCCCATCCTCATCCTCATCTTCACCCCATCCTCACCCTCATCCTCACCTCATCCTCACCTCATCCTCACCTCATCCTCACCCTCATCCTCACCCTCATCCTCACCTCATCCCACCTCATCCTCACCTCATCCTCACCCTCACCCCATCCTCACCCCCATCCTCACCTCATCCTCACCCCCATCCTCACCTCATCCTCACCCCATCCTCACTTTACACTCATCCTCACCCTCATCCTCACCCTCATCCTCACCCCATCCTCACTTTACACTCATCCTCACCCTCATTCTCACCCCCATCCTCACCTCATCCTCACTTTACACTCACCCTCACCCCATCCTCACCCCCATCCTCACCCCCATCCTCACCCCCATCCTCACCCCCATCCTCACCTCATCCTCACCTCATCCTCACCCTCATCCTCACCTCATCCTCACCCTTACCTTCATCCTGATCCTCACCTCATCCTCACCTCATCTTCACCCCGTCCTCTCCCCCATCCTCACCAACTCCCCCATCTCCACCCTCACCCCGACCCCCTCTCTTCTCACCCCACCCTCATCCTCATCATCACACCATCTTCATCCTGACCCTCATCCATCCCCATCTTTGTCCTCACCCTCATCCTCACCTCATCCTCACCTCATCCTCACCTCATCCTCACCCTCATCCTCACCCTCATCCTCACCTCATCCTCACCTCATCCTCACCTCATCCTCACCCTCACCCCATCCTCACCCCCATCCTCACCTCATCCTCACCCCCATCCTCACCTCATCCTCACCCCATCCTCACTTTACACTCATCCTCACCCTCATCCTCACCTCATCCTCACCCCATCCTCACTTTACACTCATCCTCACCCTCATTCTCACCCCCATCCTCACCTCATCCTCACTTTACACTCACCCTCACCCCATCCTCACCCCCATCCTCACCCCCATCCTCACCCCCATCCTCACCCCCATCCTCACCTCATCCTCACCTCATCCTCACCCTCATCCTCACCTCATCCTCACCCTTACCTTCATCCTGATCCTCACCTCATCCTCACCTCATCTTCACCCCGTCCTCTCCCCCATCCTCACCAACTCCCCCATCTCCACCCTCACCCCGACCCCCTCTCTTCTCACCCCACCCTCATCCTCATCATCACACCATCTTCATCCTGACCCTCATCCATCCCCATCTTTGTCCTCTCCCCCATCCTCACCGACCCATCTTCACTCTCAACCCGACCCCATCCTCACCCTATCTTTACCCTCATCCTCACCTCCTCTCTGATCTCTGCCCCCTCCCCTTAACCTCTGCCCCCTCCCCTTGACCTCTGCCCCCTCCCCCCGACCTCTGACCCCTCCCCCCGACCTCTGACCCCTCACCTCTCGTACTGCATCACAGAGTTGTAGTCGTACGGAGTTCCTTGGTTCAAAGTATCAACGATGTAAAAATTATAATCCATCCCTGAGAAGAAAGGTCGGAGGTCAGAGGTGTGTGTGTGTGTGTGTGTGTGTGTGTTGTGCGTCTGACCGTCCATGATGTTGTCCCAGTGCACTCTGATGTGTGCGTCTCTGTCAGATCTGGTTTGTTCGTGGTTGAATCCGAGCGCGTGCAGAAGCTCGTGTTGCACCGTGCTGTGATACACACAACCCTGACGATCGATCGACACGGTCTGAGCGCCGCCCTGCCGCCCCACGTACGAGTAACAACTACACAACACACACACAGACACACACAGACACACAACAGCGAGAGAGAGTCTGAGAGCCTGTTGCCACATATACAGTACAGACCGAAGGTTTGGACACCTTCTCATTCAAAGAGTGTGCTATTATCATGATCATGAAAATTGTAGATTGACACTGAAGGCATCAAACCTATGAAGATAACATAAGATATACTTTATTGATCTCACACAGGAGAAATTTACACGTCACATCTGGCATGGATAGAAACACTCAAGATTGTGCAAAAAGAAAGAAATGTGCAAACATGTTAAATGCAGGATATATGTACAATAAAAAAGTGGCAAACAAGAAACAGTGTCAATAGTTTTTCTCAGTCTTAATGCAGTAACTTAAAGTGACTTGTTGTACAGTCTGACAACGGTGGGGATAAAGGCCCTGCGGTAGCGCTCCTTCCTACACTGAGGGTGCCTCAGTCTTCCACTGAAGGAGCTCCTCAGCTCCTCTACAGTCCTGTGCAGTGGGTGGGAGGTATTGTTCATGATGGAGGTGGCTTTAGCTAGCACCTCCTGTCCCTCACCTCCTCCACAGAGTCCAGGGAGCAGCCCAGAGCGGAGCTGGCCCTCCTGACCAGCTTGTTCAGTCTGCTCCTGTCCTGCTCTTTGCTGCCCGGGGCCCAGCACACGGCAGCGTAGTAAATGGCAGAAGCTACCACAGAGTCATAAAAAGTCCTGAGCAGAGGCCTGCTCACTCCGAAGGACCTCAGCCTCCTCAGAAGGAAGAGGCGACTTTGGCCCTTCTTGTACAGGGCGTTGGTGTTATGGACCAGTCCAGTTTATTGTTAATGTGAACACCCAGGTACTTGAAGCTGTCCACCAGCTCAATGTCCTCCCTTTGGATGTTCAGCCGCGTGTAGGAAAGTGGGAGAGCTGGTCTGCACAGGTCCTCAGCAGCCTGGGACTGATGCTGTCCGGTCCTGCGGATTTCCTCTGCTTCAGTCGCTGTAGTTGACACCTCACCTGGTCCGGTGTGACGGAGAGGGGGGGGGCCGGGGTGTACTGTCAGAGGTGGGGGCTGGGGGTGTGGGGGCAGCCGAAGGCAGTGTCCACTGGGCTGGGGACGTGTGAGAGGTGGGGGTGGGAGGGGGGGCAGGTGGAGAGGGGGGAGAATCAAAGCGGTTGAAACATTGGTTGAATTCATCCGCCTGGTGCTGGTCTGAATGAACTCATGTGGAATTATGTACGTACTAAAAAAGTATGAAACAAGTGAAACTATGTCTCATATTCTGGGTTCCTCAAAGTAGCACCTTTTGTTCTGATTACTGCTTCAAGAGGACCTGAAATGTCTCTTTCAACTCTTGAAGGAGTTCCATGATGCTTAGCACTTGTTGTCCCCTTCACTCTGTGGTCCAGCCCCAAAACCATCTGGACTGGGTTCAGGTCCGGTGACTGTGGAGGTCATCTGGCCCAGCACCATCACTCTCCTTATTGGTCAAACAGCCCTTCCACAGCCTGGTGTGGATCTACAGGCAATAGTCACACACACTTACACACACACTTACACACACACTTACACACACACTTACACACACACTTACACACACACTTACACACACACTTACCCGCTCCTGGACTCGATGCTGATCCACTCGTGGTCTCCGCTCTGATACGGTCTGAAGTAAATGCAGGAAACAGCAGCGAAGGATTCAAGACCACGCTGGATTATGGACCTCTCTCTGTCGGCTGCAACAGGGGTCAGAGTCAGAGTTCAGAGTCAAGGGTCAGAGTCAAGGGTCAGAGTCAAGGGTCAGAGGTCAGCTCTTGAGTAGGGTCCATGGTCCTATGATAATAACTGGATAGGGTATTACAGCTTGGAGCTGAAGGACCCATGTGCTCGGGGGATTCTCGCAGTACTGCAGACTAAACCAGACTAAATTCATGTGGGCTACCCAGAAATTTTCCCAATAGAACTCAAAGTAAACTAAAACAGCTCAACCTCAGCTGACAGAGAACCTACAGCTTTCATAAAGGTCAGATTTTGTGGGGATTTTAGTGTCCCTTGTCATCCTGAACTTTTTTCTTCTTAAATCCTTCGGTTTACTGCCACAAACTCCGTTCTAGCTCCGCTCTGATTAGCAGCTCTGATTGGTCAGAGTGCGGCCGAGCTCCTCTGTGCACATACACGAGACCCACACACGCGTATTTGAAGCAAACCATCATGGGCCCAAATATAGGCGAGTTCCGCAAATCACTCTGTCCCCGTGAAGTCTCATGAACTATCAGCCATTCATTTGAATAGGGCGCCATCTTGGATCACCGGGGCTTGGTGTACGTGCATGAGCGCCTGGGTGATCCAAGATGGCGTCCTGTTCCAACCAGTGGCCTGTGCTTAGTGGCGCCCCCCCATGGGCACTGAGAGATTAGTGGAACTCGCCCATATTTGATCATTCCTCTGGTCCTCCTGGTTCTTTGCAGTGGACGACCTCCCATGATGCTTTGCTCCAAACACTAACGTGCACATGTGTGTGGCTCTCATGCACGTGCACAAAGGGCAGCGTTCTGACCAATCAGAGCGGTGTTAAAGCAGGAAGAAGAGCAGCGGTTTGTTGCATTGAAGTGGATTTAAAGAAAACTGAAGGATTTAAGAAGAACAAAGTGGAGTTCAGTGCAGGACCTCAGGTGGCCCCTGGGCCCAAGAGTGGGACAGAAGACTCTGGTTTGTCTGACTCTCCCAACAAGGGCTCTGCTCACAGCAGGAGGGTCCCTCACAGGTCACTCACAGCAGGAGGGTCCCTCACAAGTCACTCACAGCAGGAGGGTCCCTCACAGGTCACTCACAGCAGGAGGGTCACTCACAGCAGGAGGGTCCCTCACAGGTCACTCACAGCAGGAGGGTCCCTCACAGGTCACTCACAGCAGGAGGGTCCCTCACAGGTCACTCACAGCAGGAGGGTCACTCACAGCAGGAGGGTCCCTCACAGGTCACTCACAGCAGGAGGGTCCCTCACAGGTCACTCACAGCAGGAGGGTCCCTCACAGGTCACTCACAGCAGAAGGGTCACTCACAGCAGGAGGGTCCCTCACAGGTCACTCACAGCAGGAGGGTCCCTCACAGGTCACTCACAGTAGTGGTTGGCGATGTAGTAGGGGATGTAGACCTTTCCGTCACTGTACTTGAGCCACAGACAGCCTCTGGAGGTGCAGGGGTCAGCGTTGCGGTCAGAGCTCACTGCAATGTCCCCAACCAGCTCCGGCTCATCTGGCTCTGGGACTGCACACACAGACATACATACACGCACACAGAGACACAAACACAGAGACACACACACACAGTGTCAGCTGTGTGTGTGTGTGTGCGTGAGTGTGTCTATAACTGTGTGTGTGTCTGTGTATTGTGTCTACTGACCTCTCTCTCTGTTCGCTCGCTCCAGCAGTTCTCCCACTGACAGCTCTCGAGTCGTGTCCCCAGTACGACTCATCTCTGTTAGGAAGAGAAATATTATTCTATATATTCACACACAAACACAACGACACACACATACACAAACACAATGCCAGACAAGTACACACAGTGTGTCTCAATATTTAGTGTTCACCTTCTGCCCATGAAGAGGAGGCCACCAACAGAACCACAAAGGTGAGGAAGAGCATGACTGCAGACCTGAACACACACACACACGCACAGACACATAGACACACAAAGACAGACACACACACACACACACACACAGTGTATAAGTTACAGTCCCAGACCCTCTGCTGCTTCATTCTTCCACAGTGTCTGTTTCTCTCTCGCTCTACTACCACTGAAACTATCAGTCTCTTGGTCAGTCTCCACTTGCTGCCCCTGCTCCTGCTGCTCCTTCATCGCATCCTGATGGTGTGTGTCTGTGTGTGTCTCTGATGGTGTGTGTGTGTGTGCGTGTGTGTGTGTGTCTTACCTTCAGGACCAGAATGCAGAGAAACTCAGCCTCAGGTCTTTTATAAACCTCTGAAAACTATTTTGATCTTTTTATCACAGTCACTTTATCATAGGTTAAGAGGGTGAGAAGGGGGACACCTGTAAGGGAGGAGGGGGAGGAGGAGGAGGGGGAGAGGGGAGGAGAAGGAGGAAGAGGAGAGGGGGAGGAGGGGGAGGGGAAGGTAAAGCAGGGGGGAGAGAAGAAGTGGAGGAGGAGGATGAGGAGGGGGGCACCTATAGGGGAGGAGGAAGGGGAGGAGGGTGAGAAGGGGGACACCTGTGGGGGAGTAGGAGGGTGAGAAGGGGGACACCTGTGGGGGAGGGGGGGAGGAGGAGGGTCAGGTGAGGTCAGGCTGGAGGGGGGCGGAGGAGGAGGGGACACCTGTAGGAGAGGAGGAGGGTGGGAAGGAGGAGGGAGGGAGGTGAGGTCAGGCTGAAGAGGAGGAGGGAGGGAGGGAGGGAGGTGAGGAGGACACACTTGAAACGTATTAATTTGAAGAATCATTATTTATTCGTTGTTGTGAAAAACTTTTTTAAAAAGTTTAATATTTAGCGTCAAACACGTGGCTCTGATTGGACCAAGAGCAGCTGCAGAGATGGTACAGGCCACAGAAACACCCCCCGCTTTTTTGTCCAAATGGTTTGATCCATGTGTGCGCCCTCTGCTCACATTCACACGCGCATGCGCACACACACGAGTGCGTCTGCTCCGCTCCACAACAAACATCTATTTCTGAGAAAACCAGAGAGGACCAGAGAGACCAGAGAGACCAGAGAGAGATCAGAGAGGACCAGAGAGACCAGAGAGGACCAGAGAGGACCAGAGAGGACCAGAGAGGACCAGAGAGGACCAGAGAGGACCAGAGAAGACCAGAGAGGACCAGAGAAACCAGAGAGACCAGAGAGAGATCAGAGAGGACCAGAGAGACCAGAGAGAGATCAGAGAGGACCAGAGAGACCAGAGAGACCAGAGAGGACCAGAGAGAGATCAGAGAGGACCAGAGAGACCAGAGAGACCAGAGAGGACCAGAGAGGACCAGAGAGGACCAGAGAGGACCAGAGAGGACCAGAGAAGACCAGAGAAGACCAGAGAGGACCAGAGAGGACCAGAGAGGACCAGAGAGACCAGAGACCAGAGAGAGATCAGAGAGGACCAGAGAGACCAGAAAGAGATCAGAGAGGACCAGAGAGACCAGAGAGGACCAGAGAGGACCAGAGAGGACCAGAGAGGACCAGAGAGGACCAGAGAAGACCAGAGAGGACCAGAGACCAGAGAGAGATCAGAGAGGACCAGAGAGACCAGAAAGAGACCAGAAAGAGATCAGAGAGGACCAGAGAGACCAGAGAGGACCAGCGAGGACCAGAGAGGACCAGAGAGGACCAGAAAGGACCAGAGAAGACCAGAGAGGACCAGAGAGACCAGAGAGGACCAGAGAGACCAGAGAGAGATCAGAGAGGACCAGAGAGGACCAGAGAGACCAGAGAGGACCAGAGAAGACCAGAGAGGACCAGAGAGACCAGAGAGGACCAGAGAGACCAGAGAGAGATCAGAGAGGACCAGAGAGATCAGAGAGGACCAGAGAGGACCAGAGAGACCAGAGAGGACCAGAGAGATCAGAGAGGACCAGAGAGGACCAGAGAGACCAGAGAGGACCAGAGAGGACCAGAGAGAGACCAGAGAGACTAGAGAGGACCAGAGAGACCAGACAGGACCAGAGAGAGACCAGAGAGAGACCAGAGAGACTAGAGAGACTAGAGAGGACCAGAGAGAGACCAGAGGCAAGGCAAGGCAAGGCAAGTTTATTTATATAGCACAATTCATACACAAGGCAATTCAAAGTGCTGAACAAAACAAGAAAGCATTAAAATCATAAATTATCACAGAACATTAAAAAGAAAAGATAGAAATATAAAATCCCTCAGTTGTATGCACAGTTAAACAGAACTGTCTTTAACCTGGTTTTAAACATTGTCAGAGAGGAGGCCTGTCTCACATCTTCAGGAAGACTGTTCCAGATTTTAGCAGCATGAATCTGAAAAGCAGCCTCCCCATGTTTAGTTCTGACTCTGGGCACTAACAGGAGTCCAGTCCCTGTGCTCCTCAGAGTCCGGGCTGGTTCATATGGGACTAACATGTCACTAATATATTTTGGTGCGAGGCTATGGAGAGACTTGTACACAAGCAGAGCTGTTTTAAAGTCTATTCTCTGAGCCACAGGAAGCCAGTGCAGGGACCTGAGAACTGGACTAATGTGGTCGTACTTCCTGGTTCTAGTCAGGACTCGAGCTGCTGCATTTTGAATGTACTGCAGCTGTTTTACAGCCTGTTTGGACAGACCTGTGAGCAGGCCATTGCAGTAGTCTAACCTACTGGAGACAAATGCATGGATAAGAATCTCCAGGTCTGCTTTAGACACTATGTTTTTGATCCTGGCAATGTTTTTTAGATGGTAAAAAGCTGCTGATGTTACTGATTTGATGTGGCTATTAAAATTTAAGTCTGAGTCCAGTATTACCCCTAGATTTCTGACCTGGTTTGAAGGTTTTAGGGAGAGAGACTGTAGGTGACAGATGACGCTCTCTCTTTGTTTCTGGGGACCAAAGACAATCATTTCAGTTTTGTCTGCGTTTAGCTGAAGGAAGTTGTTTTGCATCCACTCACTGATCTGTTGGATACAGTGAAGGAGTGAGTCCACTGGTCCATGTTCTCCTGCAGTCAGTGAGACATAGATCTGAGTGTCGTCTGCATAGTTATGATAGGAAACTTTGTTTCTGCGTATTAACTGACCTAACGGCAGCATGTAAAGATTGAACAGAAGAGGTCCCAGGATCGACCCCTGTGGGACTCCACAGGTCAGGGCCATATGATCTGAGACACAGTTTCCAATCTCCACAAAGTACTTCCTGTCTTCAAGGTAAGACCTAAACCAACTTAGGGCGGTGCCAGCGACTCCAACCCAGTCCTCTAGTCTCTGTGAGAGGATCTCATGGTCGACGGTGTCAAAGGCAGCACTTAGATCTAACAAGATTAAGATTGAGACTTTGCCTGCGTCAGTGTTCAGCCGGATATCGTTTGTAACCTTGACAAGAGCAGTCTCAGTGCTGTGGTGGGGTCTAAAGCCGGACTGAAACATATCAAATGAGTTGTTGATTATAAGAAATCTAGTAAGCTGTAGGTAGACAACTTTCTCAAGGACTTTCCCCATAAATGGCAGATTTGAGATGGGACGATAGTTGTTAAGTACCGTAGCATCGAGACTGCTCTTTTTTACCAGGGGCCTGATGACTGCAGTTTTCAGGGCCTTTGGGAATATTCCAGAATGAAGGGACATGTTTACTATCTGTGTGAGTGAATGTAACAGACTGCTCAGAACAGACTTTAGAAATCTAGTGGGTAGTACATCCAAGCTGCATGTGGAGGAGCTCAAACTGGAGATTATCTCTTGGACAGTTTTATCATTTACAGGTGCAAAGTGAGTTAGCTCAGAGAGCCTTTCTGGCTGTTGGATGGTTATCTGTGGATTGGAGACAATGGCGTTTTTGATGCCTTGAACCTTGTCATTGAAAAAATGAGCAAATTCATTGCATTTACGTTTGGAAGTGTTAGGATTTAAGCAGACAGAGACGGATCGTGGTGTGCCAAACTCTGGAAGTTTATTTAAGTTGCTCTCAAGTTCCACTGGTTTACTCTGTTTCTTTTCCTCAGACAGAATAAAGGCAGTACACAGTTTATATAGTCATTGTCACGTCACACATCGAAAGACATACGTGTCACAAAGAGACAGTCAAATCATAGTCATAACATGGAGTCCTTGTAGAGTCCTTGTACAGTCCTGCACGTAGGCCATATTGCTATCTAATACTAATACCCTCCCCTTTGATCACATAATCACATGTGATCACTCAAATCGATCAATCAATAAAATGGAAAAAGAAAAAAAAAATTCCAAAAAAAAAACTTCAAAAAATTATTAAAAACAAAGAAAATGTATGCATTAAACTCATAATCATCAAATCAATATCAGTGGATTTTATCCTCTATCCTGGGAAAAAACAAACAAACAAAAACAAATCAAAAATAAAAACAAACAAAAACTATTGGACACACAAGAACTCAGCAGATTCAGTCAAAACACAGACAAAAACGAGCTGAGTCTCAAATTTGAAGCTAATTTCACTTTTATTACTCTATACTTTTATTCTAATGCTAATTGTTTACACTACACTTCACTTATTTCACTGTATTATTTTCACTTTTCAATCTTAGACGGTGTACTTTACTTTTACTATTCACTATAGTTTAAACTATTCTAATCTATTTACAAATATGTTTGCATATTTGCTTCTATTGAGCCATATTCTTAAACATACATTTTAATCTAATAAATCTCTCTGTAGTTTTACACTCTCATTATCAGTGGCATATTATCAGTGGGATTTTGCTCCATCTCTATTCTCATTCTCAGGAATAAAACTGTGAACACAGTAAGGCAAATGGTCAACATTTACACTTCTATAGTGGTCAGTGATTTATTACTTTTTATTATCTAAAGATATTATTGTCAGGCAGTTTGGGATGAATGTACATCTTTAATCAAATTAGTATTATCCTTACAAGAGCTAATCTATTTGAGCAGGTTTGGGGTTGGGGTCAGTTATTCTACAATGGTGTTTGTGCTGGAAACTTCTCCAAGATATCCAAATATCTACTATTGTGTTTTTGTGCTACACCCAAATGCATCAAAATGCTTTTAAATGCTTTTGAATCTCTGTTGGTTGTAATCTATCTCATTAATCTAGGCATTAATCTAGGCTACACTCATATGAACTTTTGCATAGTCAACATTCACTCATGTTTGAACACAAGTGAATTTGGCAAGTATCTAATAAAACTGTAAGTAACTTTATCTACTTTTGAAGTAAATGCTTGTGAAATGGTCCCTTTACCATTTGATATTAGCACTGGCTGGAAATATTCTCTATTTTTGAAAGCATCTATGGTTGATGCATTTATCTATTTCTCTATTTTTACTCTATTGTGACTCCAAAGTTTGGCTGCAGTTTGAGCAAAGGCATATTTCTAATTTGTGACTTCTGTCACTTTTAATATCTCTAACATAACTCTGATTCTAATATTCTAGCTGCTCTATCAGAAAGATAACATTTTATGGAACTATTTTAACTCTTACGTGGAAATATGTTTATGAACAACAAAGAAAGGACAATTCTACTTTTTTACTACTACTAAAAACGCTACAATACTAATACTTTATCATTTTAAAAGTTTTTGTCTGTCAGATGTCTGAATACTTAACATGTATATTGCATTTGTCACAGTTTCTGGTTGTAGCAATAGCATCGGCAATAGACGTTTTCATTGGCTGGTTCTTGTTCTGCAAATGGCTGTGTCCAATAGATCATCAGATGTCCAGAAGCTAGGGACAAACAAAAACAAAAGAAAGAATCATGAGTATCTGTCTCATTTAGCACTCATCAATGTATGATTTCAATAATATAAACATCACTCCCCAGTTTTCTCTCAGGTCCTCAGGTCCTCAGGTCCTCAGGGTCCCCTGAGGGTGAGTCTCAGTCGTCATCAGGTCAGGTCATATTTCGAGAGATGTCATCTTGGACATCAGTAGGGTCCAAGCCATGGCTCTGGTCTTTCCAGTTGGACATCAGATCTCCAGATACAGTCTTTTCAGTTGAAGCACATCAGGTCACTTGGGATGCACTTCTGGTCAATGGTGCAGTGTCTCAGTTCCTGTACACAGCTTGTAATGCAATAGTTACTTTCTATGGTTAAGTCACTTTGATTCTACTTTAACACAATTTCTATTCATGCTGTTGCTAATGTCTCTCAGACAAAAGCAAGCGCAATGATTCAGTTTACTTCTCTAATTTGTGTTTTTATCAGATCTAATTCAATCAATGTAATTACTTCACACAGTACAAAATCAAAACATCAAAAGTGTCAGGACAGAGGTCAATTAAGTCCATGACAATATAGAATTCAAATGAACATTTCTGGTCTCAAAAAATACTGATTCAAGTGATAGACAATTAAAAATATGTGTTTACATTGGAGTAAACTTTTAAAATGCTTTTTTCTCATGTTCTGCTTTTTCATGTATCTATATGTAAATGTGAATGTGTGAGTGTATGAGTGTGTATGTGTGTGTGTGTGTGTGTGTGTATGAATTTTGGGGTTGTCTCTCCAGACTCCACGAACCACCTGTAGGTCTCAAAGGTCACACTGTGGTGATGTAAACCAACTGGACACACTTTCAACTCCCTCTAGGTCTCTACCTGACGCTCCACCCATCACGTCTCCAGATACCTCTCTTTCATGGCCCCGGTCTCTCTCACACCCACTCAGTTCTGCAGTGGCGTGGGGAGGGGCAAGGAGGTGGCATTTTCCTTTGCTCTTTGATCTGTGACCTGTGGCTGGGTGGGCTTTGCGCTGTCCAGTGTCCAGCAGTGACCCCTCCCACAGTGTGCCAGAGTCTGAAAAACAATCCTTGAAACAGCCAATTTAAAAAAACAATAGATATCAGTATGCGAATGAGATTGTTTTTCTCTCTGAAGTCAAAACAATTTGAGCGCTCGGGGTTTTCCCAAGCGCTATGTAAATAAAGATTACTTATTCTCTTACTAATGATGACATTTTAAAACCAGAAACTAAAGAAGTTATCAAAACAACAATTATACTCAAAACAAACAACCTTTTAAACTTTAAAACATGTATTATATACTTTTGTACTGTGTGATTAATTATCTATGCGTCCTTGGGTTTCTTGAAAGACGCCATGAAATGAAATTATGAAAAATCTCTATAAAAATGAACATTAATTTGTAAAAACATTTAAAACAAAACTTGAAATCAAACAAAAGATTTAGCTCCAGCTAAACTGGATTTGGTTCAATAAAACTCAATTGTGCGTCGGAGCTGCCTCCTCATGTCTCTGAGCAGCAGCAAGGTCACGCGTGTAGTCAAAACAAAAACAAAAGTCACCGCTTGAATGTGAATTGGGTGAATTGGGTAGTTTAACTTAATAATATAATACTTTTACAGCCTAATTCTCTCTTTCTTTTTTAGACGAAGTCTACAATCATTAATCACTTTTAACAGATTCTAATTTAAATGTTTGAAAAACGGCTTTTGTAACTAAAATAAAAACATAAAAAAATTCTCACTAACAGCTATGAAATATCAGAGACAATAATGGACTCACAAAATAAGCAGCAGATTTAAAAAGAAAAGCAAAGCTTTTTGTACTAATCTTTGGGTTTCAAAAACATACTAATTCAAAACTTCTATTCCCTAATGGTGTTTAAAAACGTTTAACTGTGTCTAACACAATGTTCAAATGGCAAATTTAGCAAATTTAACGGAATAACTACTATGAAAAGCCAAATTCCTAAAGCAGTAGCTCCCCTTTAAATCAGAGCAGCAGCTCAGCAGCAGCAAGGGCGGGGGGGTTCCTTTCACACAGACGCGCACACACAGGCAGAAAGATACAGAAGAATAACTTTCAAGATTACTTTGTTAAGCGAATATAACTGATGTTGTTCTTTATACTTTTGTCATCCAAATCTAGAAGTGATCACTTTCCACACTTGTAACAAAAGGCACTCTTGTCTTTGACGTTTACGCTTCTATTTTATCGAGGTAGCAAACTAATTTAAACTTAAAATCTCTTTCTAAAAAACAAAAACAACTGTTGGATACAGCCCTCTCATAGCTTAACTGTAGATAAAACTCGGCAAAAAATTTAAATAACTCACGAAAGCTCTCATAGCTCAACTTTAGATAAAACTCTGTATTCTCCGGTGAACTCTGTTCACTCCAAAAAACAAAAACTCCCTTTTCTGTATGTAATTTAAACCGTGATCACTGAAATATTGTTGCTTCTTTACTTTTGTCATTTATCAGCCTGAAATTCGTCAATTTCAAAACTTTTGTAACAAAGGCCTCCTTAACACGTTTCCCTTTTTATAATAACTTTTATGTTTACACCATGGTTTCACTTATGGATCCTCACTTTAATGGCCAACACTTTTCACTTATGGATCCTGTTATAGAATTATATACCCCATGAAGGAGGAAACTCAAAGGTCCTTTGTCTGATCAAAAGCGTAAGTTTATTGTTAACGCACAGTGCGGAGAGTCAGCATATGCACACAAAGGCAGCATGCTCAGCTCTGGGGGCCAGAGCCCCCAGCTTCCTGTATCCAAGACACACACCAAAGATAGTCACGCCCACAACGGAGCGGAGGGGGCCACCGGTGAGGAGGCGCACAGGAAGCGCCGGCGCCATCCCCTGTGGTGGCAGTGGCATGGGGTGTGAACAGACAGACAATGGTGGAAATGCAGGTCATACAGATGCAAGACGGAAAGACACAAGGGTGTGACAGACAGCAGGGACCTTCACAAAGCTCAGCATGGCGTCAGAAGGTCGTCTGCATTGATAAAAGGCCTTTGACGTCCGTGTATTTGCTGCGGCTGGTTTTATGTAATTACTCCAAAAACTGTCACCACACTCCCCTCTTTTGATAATTCAAAACCATTTTTGCATTAATCAGTTAAATACCAGAGGCATCGTAATCACACCACCTTCAAGCTTGAAACACTTAAATTATTGCTGTCCAAAGTGGACAAGAAAAGACACATGCTTGTCAATAAAAGAAAGAGCACATTATAATAACACAATGGATCCGGACAGCGATAAGAGAAGGCAATATTAACATAATAAACACGGTCAGCACGGAAAGTAGTGTCAGTGTGGTCAGCATAACAGTCCAAGGGCCCATGCCGGTCTACGTTCGGTAGTCTTTTCCGCGGGAATACTCACGAGCAGTGCCGTCTCGCAGTCAGTGGCACCGCTCCCTATGAGCGTGTGTGGAGCGTTAGTGGTCATGGCGATGTTTGGTCTTGGAGCGGCAAGACTCTAATTGCGTTGAAGCCTTGGCCTCAGCACTCGGTTGGGCAGAGTGCTCGGGGTTTGGGGTGTGGAGACCATGGCTTGAGCACGCTCCAGATCGGCCAGGCCCAAAGCTCGTTTGATGGGAGACCTCATGACAGCACGCTTCACCATGTGCCTCATCAGGAACTGTAGAGCAGCCCTCATCTCCACCTCCTCCGGACACACGGGAGACGAGACACCAGGGGGGCACTCCAGCAGAGCTCAAATCTGCATTATGGCCAGAGGGAACAAGCTCTGGAGAAATCTTTGGAATGGGCAGCAGCTCTGCATACTTGCTGCAGCTGAGCAGAGCGCTCAGGGCCTTCATGGCTCCCGAGCCTTGGGATCCGGGGGCTGGGGAGTTGGGCAAAGGGGGGTCGCCTCGGGAACGCTGGGAATCTCTGGGTGTTGTTGTTGGCCTGCTTCACCGATGGTGGTCGCACGCCGGCAGACCTACTCAGCGTAGGGAGCCGCGGATGGGCCTGGTCCGTCCGCGCCCTCGGTGTCCTTGTCTATGGCCCTCAGTGGCAGCACCGCACGACAGTGGTTGGCGTGGATCCAAGTTGTCCTCTCCGCGACCTTAACGGCAGTGTCCGTCACCAGGAGGGCGAGGAATGGGCCGAGCCAGCGCTTGGACCGCCAATGCTTTCGTCTCGTTTCCTTCATCAGGACCCAGTCGCCTGCGCAGCCTGTGGCAGGGCGCGTAACTGCAGTGTTTACGTATATCAATGCCCAGATATACAGCTAACAGCTACAGTAGCTAACAGACAGCGGGGAACACGTTGTTTGTATCAGAGCAATAAGAGACGTGTCTTTCCCCAAAGTGCAGCGGCTCAGTGGGACACGAGTGTGTGTTCTGGCGATTTAAATAAAGTCTGATTCTTGAACGTTTGAAGTGTTATTGCAACAGCACCAACTGTGAGAGCGAGCCTCAGGCCAGAGGGAGACTGTTAGCATTAGGTTAGCTTCAAAATGACTGCTCAACACCATAGGCCCGCGGTTAGCGCGTTAGCGCTGTAGTTCTGCGCTGGAGAAAATAAAAAATCGAATTTTAAAAGAAAAGAAATCGCCCTAAATGTAAAACTCGAATTAATGATTAAAATCGATTAATTGCCCAGCCCTAACTGAAGCTACCTTTTGCTAGCGACTGGTAGAATCGACGTATTGCCCAGCCCTGAATTCATCCAATGGGGATAATTGTAAATCCCAGCCCTAACTGAAGCTCACACACCAGACACCCTGCCATTGTCACACCTGCCTCATTAAGTGTCTACTACTTCAAAATGTCAAAAGTGAGGCTTACTTGAACAGAAACAGTTCAATGCATAGATAATCCCTGAGTGACAAGGCAAAGCTATAATAACTAACAATAAATGAGTAATATCACTTACTGGAAAAAGCTCTTTAAAATAACTTTGATATCTGAATAGGATTGAAGTTAGGGTTTACAGTGTAGTGGTATCCCCAATGCTGCTGCATTCATTTGCAAGTAGGGCCATAAGCGCTCGCCGGCGCAGAGTTTCGCTGCATTCATATGCAAAGTAGGGACATTAGCATGGTACTGATACGGCAGTTTGGAGGACAGGCACCCAAACCCTAGACTGCGCCTTTTTGAAAACTGCCTGAGATACCCAGAAAAGAGGCGTGATTTCCCTGCAGTTTAGGGTTAAGTAACTTTTCATAAGTAAGTAAGTAAGTAAGTTTTTATGTTTTATTACCGCCTTTTCACTGCAGATCTGAGTCTCAAAGCGGTTTACAATTGTTAATTTTGGGACATTTGTCTCTCACTCCACACAGAGATGGGAGCGGGGGCCAGTCTACAGGAGCGCATGCCAGAACTATAGGACATATTTTTAGTGGTAGGGGAAACCGGAGTACCCGGAGGAAACCTACGCAGACACGGGGAGAACATGCAAACTCCACTCAGAAAGGCCCTGGTCCGACCGGGATTCGAACCCAGGACCTTCTTGCTGAGAGGCGAGAGTGCTATCCACTCAGCCACCGTGCCCGCCAAGTCCTGGTTCAGACCTATTCAGAATTGGTTTAGTCCTAGTTTCAGACCTGGCTCAGACCTGGCTTCAGTCCTGGCTACATGCTCAGTCCTGGCTCAAGTCCTGGCTCGAGGACCTGGCACAAGACATGGCTCAGACCTGGCTCAGAACACCTGGCTCAGACCTCGGCTCAGACTGCACAGACCTGGCTCAGACCTGGCTCAGACCTGGCTCAGACATGGCGCAGACCTGGCTCAGGACCTGGCTCAGACCTGGGCTCAGACCTGGTTCAGGACCTGGCTCAGACCTGGCTCAGACCTGGCTCAGACCTGCTCATACCTGGTTCAGACCTGGTTCAGAGACGCTGGTTCAGACTGGTTCAGCGATCCTCAGTATAAAAATGCGACAAACGTGCTTTGGTGTGTCGTGGGAGTCTTTGAGCAAAAGCGTTCCTTGCAGCAAAAAATAAAAAAAAGGGGTTTTTTTATTTACCTCCGGGTGCTACGGTTGGGGGGGGGGGGGCAAAACATCAAAAATCATAAAAAGGTACAAGAGAGACATGCTCGTTCTACAGGCGAGACTCAGAGACCATGGACGGCATAGACACGAGTCGTTGATGGAGGGGCAGGTGGTTGAGGAAACCCCAGCACAGGCCTGTCTGCTGTAGCCTGGGGTGAGGATGGGGGCTTCAGAGGCGCTGTAGATGAAGAAGGCGTGACTGCTTCGGAGCAGGCTGGGGATGAGGATGTTGGTGGTGGTGTATATATATGGCTACATTACTCATCTCCATTCCATTTATCATGAAATAAAGTGTATTTTTTCACTTAAAATTTTTCTTTTATTTATGCCATAAATTGGCATATGGTATATTTCTGACCAATATATCAATAATCGTCATATTGTGATAAAATCGTTATTGTGATATTATTGTTATCGTGAGCTTTGTATCGTGTATCATATCGTACCGTGAGGTACCCTTAGGTTCCCACCCCTAATTTTGACAAATGAATTGTCTGAATATTGTTTTATATATCCTCACAACTGGGTCAAAAATAAAAACAGATTCAATTATATGCTAGTTTTCCTCAGAAAATAAGCTTTAAAATGAAGTGTAACATGCCATAGTCTAACATGTGATAATGAACATGTCCCACGGGCCTGTGCCAGTCTGGTTTATACAGTACTCCGCGCCTTCCACGGGCTGCAGTACTGTCACTTACCTGTAGAAGGCGCCAGGCGTGCGCCCTGCTCCACGCGCACACAAACAAGACGCTTTGCCTACGACATTGGAACGCGACGAGCTGCTTTTGGTGACAGCAAAAATAATTCTCCCAAACAGCCGTCGTCTGATACAGAGCTGTTCCACCTGCGGTTCTTCCACATCCGTCCGTTTCTGACGCCGTGGGCCGCTCCCCCCGCGGCCCCTGGACGCAGCACACAGCGGCCCCTGGACGTAGCACACAGCAGCCCCTGGACTCTTTGAATGAGACGTTAGCTTCGGCTGCTTTGTTTTACTGTAGCCCCGGAAGAGGCCACAGGAGCCCGCGGGACCACAGTCACCTAACCCCGCTGAGGAACGGTAAGGCCCCGCTGCACACGCTCTCCCCCGGCTCCATGCTCTCAACCCCGGCAGGGACGAGTCCGAGGCTCCGCGGAGCTAACACCGCTCGGCTAACGGCACACAGTCGGGTCCCGGCTGGTCCTGCCCCGGGGCACAGCCTCACAGTCCTCAAACTGTGTAACACCATGTGACATTATATGATGGTCATTACATACATGTGGGAGAAAGGGCACTACATAGGGCTGTAAGGACCACCTGGGACTCTGGGGAGCACAGGGACTGGTCTCCTGCTGGGACTCTGAGGAGCACAGGGACTGGTCTCCTGCTGGGACTCTGAGGAGCACAGGGACTGGTCTCCTGCTGGGACTCTGAGGAGCACAGGGACTGGTCTCCTGCTGGGACTCTGAGGAGCACAGGGACTGGTCTCCTGCTGGGACTCTGGGGAGCACAGGGACTGGTCTTCTGCTGGTCCCAGAGTCCCATAACCTTTTTGAGAAGCTCACAAATATATACGGACGCTATTGATATCGATATCTCTCACGTCGCTCTCATGTCTCTCTCTCTCTCTGGTCTCTCTCTCTGGTCTCTCTCTCTGGTCTCTCTCACGTCGCTCTCATGTCTCTCTCTCTCTCTGGTCTCTCTCTCTGGTCTCTCTCTCTGGTCTCTCTCTGGTCTCTCCCTGGTCTCTGTATAATATTCCTGGTGTCTTGTGGCAGGTACCAGGCTGGCGCAGATCGTGAGTTGCCCGTGGATCATGCGCGACACTGGGGGGAGTCTTGCCCAGAACCGGTGGCAGGGAGACCTGGGGCTGACGGCGGTGGGTCAGGACGACACCGGGGGAGGTACGCACTGACCGCTGCTTTTATTATTTACATTTATCAATCCACACGTGAAACATTTACAACCGAATCTAATCTGCAGCGTTTGTCTCTAGAGCAGGTTTTACTCAATATACATTTAATATCAAAGCTGAAGGACTGGACTTCTGCTGTTTGATTCATGGTTTTTTTCCAAACAGGAAGTCATGATCTTGTCTTTTGTGATAACATCAGTGTTGGACTCTGAGCTGATTGGCTACTTCCTGGTCTTTCCCTTTAAGAAGAATCATTATCGCTTCATGTCAGACACACTCCACCAAACACATCTTATCTACACAAACTCGTTCAATTTTAGATCCAGGTCTAAACCAGCTGCAGCTTCAGAGTTTCAGCAGCTACAATATAAATAAGAACATTAGCAACATTAGGACAGGAGTGATGTGTTCTCCTGTCACAGCTACAGCCTCAATCACAGTTCAGACCATAGACTGTAAATATTAACGGCCGTAGTCACGCCTATCTCCGCCGTTCTAACTAATGTGCCACAACTTCCACGGTCTATGGGCAGTTTCAAAATGGCAAATGTGATAAAACGCATCTGCGCACAAGCCCCATTCGTTTAAGGAGTGCCTTCAAAAGTCCACAGCGACTAAACTAGACTGGTCCAAAACACTCCCCTCAGCATGACACACATGTGGAACGGAGCTTTGGGCCAAGAGCCAACTTTTGGACCATCCTGTAAAGACGTTTTAGAGAGGTCAGCTAATGCTATATGTTAGCGTTGAAGAATTCTTATTACGGGTCCACTCCATGGATCTATAATAACTGGATAGGGTGTTACTAGCTTATAGCTGCCCCACCCATGGGCACAGGGGGGTGCCCGTGGTACTGCAGACTAAAATCACCCAGGGCTACCCAGAAAAAAGTCCCAAAGAACTCTATGTAAATTAAAACGGCTCGACCTCAGCTGACAGAGAACCTACAGCTTTCATAAAGATCGGATTTTGTGGGGATTTTAGTGTCCCTTGTCATCCTGAACTTTTTTTCTTCTTCCGCACTTTACTGCCACAAACTCTGCTCTTTGCCTTCCCGCTCTGGCTCTGCTCTTCCGCTGCTCTGATGATCAGCTCTGATTGGTTAGAGCGCAGCCAAGCCCCTCTGTCTCCCATCATGCGTTGCGCTAATCCACTGTGCAGAACCGGGAGGACCAGACAATGCCCAAATATAGGCGACTTCAGCTAATCTCCCGGAGTTTATTATTTTAAAACTATTAAATTCAAGTATCTCTGAACTACTGTTATCAGTTAAAGAAGTATTGGAAAAGAGCAGTTTATTATTATTAGATTAGGGCCCTTTTAATGATGACAGACTAGGGCCCTTTAATGATGACAGACTAGGGCCCTTTAATGACAGATTAGGGCCCTTAAACTCATTGAGTGCCACAAACAAAATTTTACGTTTTTTTTTTCTACATTTTGAAAGTAGACACCCTGACACACATTGTGTGTAAATTTGGGAATTCTATAATTAATTTAACTGCTTATATGACGATCTAAAACTCATTAAACACTTCAACATGCGTTATTTATTGTTCAGAACGCAGCTTTTATGGTTGCCGCCAACAGTGATGGGAATAACGGCGTTACTTTTTTCAGTAACGAGTAATCTAACTAATTACTTTGACTGTAACTATAACGCCGTTATCATTTCCGACATCCCGTTACTGCGCGTTACTTAAGACGCGCGATTAACTTCTCTTTTTACTTCATGATATGACTCGTGCGCGTGTTGTCATGAGAGAAGGGAGGATGAGAAAACCTCTCAGCAGTTATTGGCTGATGTAAAACATATTTCCTTTACAATCTACATGTCTACAGTTGAGAGGATGGCTCATAAATTGTGTTTTTGAAACAAATATGGGTCTTAATCGCGCTCAACCGCGGCTTGTATCACCGCGAGGCCTCAGAGGAGCGCATGTGAGCGCAAAAGTCGGCTGCATACAATTCCATCGATAAGCTCCTTTCTCTTCCTGGTTTATCTGCTAAGGGCAGCAACAGGTTTGGCTAACATACATATAACACATTTTAAGATAATTTAAAATGCACTTAGGGGAATTTTTCAATGACTATAGGAATGATAAGAAAGAGAGGTGAAGTGTAAGACGGTTGATTTTAGAAATTGGATGCACCCGGCTGCAGCAAAACAGAGGAGTTTATGGAGGACACGCGTTTTGTTTTACTTTTTAAAACTCATTGGACTTATTTCCAAATGGAGGATTACATATCTACGCTCAAACTATTATCTGGACTTAAACACAAAACTGGTCTGAACCGGAAGTGGCCTGTGCAGGTCATTTATAAGGTAAGACCCATAACTCATAGTTTTGAGTTTTGTATGAACAAACAACACGGGCATGAAACATATTTTGCTGTAGCCAAACAAATTGTCCACTTGATTTATATGATATATATGTTCATCTGATTGGGCTGAAGTCGGTGCTTCACCGGTGTTTCCACATTCACAGTGGCGGGTGTTGGTGTTTAGTGCTTACAGCACAGAGAGAGATGAAGAGTGAACAGGACTTCAGCAGCAAAACAGCCTTTTCTAGATGGAAATATTGGCACTATTTCAGACTCACTGAGGCTAAAGATAAAACTGCGCACCTCGAGTGCACATTATGTTCCAGAACAAAACAAAAAAGTAACGCAATAGTTACTTTTACTGGTAACTAGTTACTTTTATAGTGGAGTAACTCCGTTAGTAACTCAGTTACTTTTTGGGAGAAGTAACTAGTAACTATAACTAATTACTTTTTCAAAGTAACGTGCCCAACACTGGCCGCCAATCACTGGTCCTGGTCAAAGTCAAAAAAGATGTTTACGTGGGTTTGTCACTAGGTAGCAGTCTTGATTCATCCTTTAGCGGAAACTTCACTGATGCAGTGTTTTGCTAGCTGCTGACGGAGATGAGGGAAAAGTATAAAAAGTCTGTGCGCATCCGCCAGACACGCATGACGAGCGCTTTTTACATCGAAGAAGATTCAGATTCAGATTCATTTATTTGCCATTTGCAGTAAAACCACATTGGAAAAACTGAGCAAGACTACCCCAGTGTGCACCAGACGACACACACCAGAGCTCTTGCCAAGAAGTGAGTAAACTTTAGGAAGGTGCTCTGGAGGAAGGTGAAGGGAGGCGCTCAGAAGGCAGGTACTCAGGCTGAGAGATCACCATGGGCTGATCTGAGCGGAATAGTAAGAGATAGGGACCAATCAGGACCAACAGAGTCACGCGTGTAAGCGGTCGCGTGTTCCTGCCTCTGTCTGCGAAGAAGCGGAGGAGGATCTTTTTATGTTTTTATTTAATTTTGTATTATATTCCTACAAATAAACATTAGTATTCTAATTGTACAATCGTATTTCATCTCCAGTGTTCATTGTAAAGGAGGTATAAATATTCATATAGATTGAATTATTCCTTTTTAAATGCGTTTTTTGTAGCCTACCTCACGCCAAAAGATATATCTATCTTATATATGTCCGTGGACTCAGAAATTTATGTGTCAGTAGAACTAAAGCGATTTTCATGAACGTTTCCAATCTTTTGCTTAGGATATCTCAGGGGCAAAAGCTGGTAGAAACGGAAGGTTTTCAGCATCTGAAAGTTCAAAGCCTCACCTTTCAAACGCGTTATAGCATGTGATTATGGCAGTAACACAGAGTATGCTGTGGCTTTGCAAATATCAGGAAAAATTGACATAATGACTGGCATTCTAAACCCAAGCTGTTGAAACAAGGCTGGCACTCAATGAGTTGATGATGACAGATTAGGGCCCGTTAATGACGACAGATTAGGGCCCGTTAATGACGACAGATTAGGGCCCGTTAATGACGACAGATTAGGGCCCGTTAATGACGACAGATTAGGGCCCTTTAATGACGACAGATTAGGGCCCTTTAATGACGACAGATTAGGGCCCTTTAATGACGACAGATTAAGGCCCTTTAATGACGACTCGACAAGAAAATGTTACACATTGCTCCTTTAACTCTTCAACAGGTTTAATACATTCTGGAATAATTTTACAGGCCTCCTCTCTGACGATGTTTAAAACCAGGTTAAAAACAGTTCTGTTTAGCTGTGCATACAACTGAGGGATTTTATGTTTTTATCTTTCTTTTTAATGTTCTGTGATTATTCATGATTTTAATGCTTTCTTGTTTTGTTCAGCACTTTGAGTTGCCTTGTGTATGAATTGTGCTATACAAATAAACTTGCCTAGCCTTACATTGTAACCATGGCAACACAGTTTATTCTGCTAAAGACACTTGTACCATGTGTGCATGTTCAGGTGGGATCCCCGCGGACCACCTCATGGCCCCTGTGTCGGGCCACAGCATCCCCAGCCCTATGCACCTGAAGCTGGGGCAGAAGGAGGCGGCCTGGATGGGAGACTACGTGGAGGACGAGGACGGAGACGATCTCGCTAAGATCGAGAGCATCGAGGACGAAGACGAGATGGAGGAGGACCGGCACGAGCAGGCGCCATGGGACGAGGAGGACGGTACTTTAGCCTTGTTTCCACTAGGTCTACCCTACCCTGCTCTACCTTACTCTACTCTACTCTACTCTACTCTACTCTACTCTACTCTACTCTACTCTACTCTACTCTACTCTACTCTCTCCCTCCTGATTGGGAGTGTTTCCTCTGGTCCTGTGTAACCAGTACCAGGTCCTTCTTTAGTCTCTCTTGGTCCTGGTTCTATCCAGAGCGGGTACTGGAGGTTTCTGGTACTGAGATCCTGGGTGTTTTGTGCAGGTCTCGTGGAGGAGGAGGAGTACCACACACACGCACAGTGGCCCAAGATGCCCTCTCAGGCCGCTGCATACTCACACTTTCAACAGGTCCCAGAGAAGTCGGACTGTGAAGAAGATTATGAAGAAGAGGAGGAGGAGGTGGAAGAAGAGGAAGAAGAGGAAGAAGATGAGGAAGAGGAGGAGGAAGAAAACATGGGAGAGAGTTCAGAGGTTTACGCTGTTCATTAAGACTAAACACAGAAGAATCCAACAGTGACTTCAGGCCTTATCTGTGGTTATCCTGAACTTACTGTGTGGATTCTTCTGTTCTTTGACGTTAATAATGTCCAACTGTCGTGAGCGTGGATTATACCCGTGTCTCTCTCTCTCATACCCGTGTCTCTCTCTCTCTCTCTCTCTCTCCTCTCATACCTGTGTCTCTCTCTCTCTCTCTCTCATATACCCGTGTCTCTCTCTCTCTCATACCCGTGTCTCTCTCTCTTCTCTCTCATACCCGTGTCTCTCTCTCTTCTCTCTCTCATAACCATGTGTCTCTTCTCTCTCATACCCGTGTCTCTCTCTCATGCCTGTCTCTCGCTCATATCCGTGTCTCTCTCTCATACCTCTCTCATGCCTGTGTCTCTCTCTCATATCCGTGTCTCTCCCTCTCATATCCGTGTCTCTCTCTCATACCTCTCTCATATCCCTGTCTCTCTCTCATATCACTGTCTCTCTTCTCTCTCTCATACCTGTGTCTCTCGTCTCTCTCTCTTACCCGTGTGTCTCTCTCATACCCCTGTCCCTCTCTCTCATACCCTTGTCTTTGTATCTTTCTCTCTCATACCAGTGTCTCTCTCTCTCATACTTGTGTCTCTTTGTATCTCTCTCTCTTACCCGTGTCTCTCTCTCATACCCGTGTTTCTCTCCTCCTAGTCCCCCTCGGTCGCTGCCCTCTGTCCGGGTCGGTCCCTGGGCTGGACCCGCCTCAGCAGCCGTCGCAGCATAGGTTTGGTGGGACAGTGGCGCCGCTGGAGACACCGAGCCCAGTGGATGAACAAGTGGAGGAGAGGGAGAGTACGACACAGTCTCTACAGCCAGCCCAAGAGGAGCTACAGGGGGGAGGCCCGGGGGTCCACAGAGGCACACAGAGGTGAGGACACAGGGGAGGTGAGTACACAGGGGAGGTGAGGACACAGGGGAGGTGAGGACACAGGGGAGGTGAGGACACAGGGGAGGTGAGGACACAGGGGAGGTGAGGACACAGGAGAGGTGAGGACACAGGGGAGGTGAGGACACAGGGGAGGTGAGGACACAGGGGAGGTGAGGACACAGGGGAGGTGAGGACACAGGGGAGGTGAGGACACAGGGGAGGTGAGGACACAGGGGAGGTGAGGACACAGGGGAGGTGAGGACACAGGGGAGGTGAGGACACAGGGGAGGTGAGGACACAGGGGAGGTGAGGACACAGGGGAGGTGAGGACACAGGGGAGGTGAGGACACAGGGGAGGTGAGGACACAGGGGAGGTGAGGACACAGGGGAGGGGTGAGGACACAGGGGAGGTGAGGACACAGGGGAGTCCACAGGGGAGTCCACAGGGGAGTCCACAGGGGAGTCCACAGGGGAGTCCACAGGGGAGTCCACAGGGGAGTCCACAGGGGAGTCCACAGGGGAGTCCACAGGGGAGGAGGCCCGGGGGTCCACAGAGGTGAGGACGAGGTTAGAGGAGAGGAAAGGGGAGAGAAGATAGGGGAGAAACTGGGAGAGAAAGGAGAGAGAGAAGAGGGGAGGAAAGAGGAGGGAGGGGAGAGATAAGAGAGGAGAGGAGGTTGAGTTTTGAGAGAGTAGAGGAGTAAGTTTTGGGAGGGTTACAGTTGAACAGATAATCAGTCACTTGATGATGTCATCAAAACTAACTTGTGCAAAGGTCTGAATGAGGCACAAACATGCTCTGTCCCTGTGGTCATCACTGTAGAGTCCCTGTGGTCATCACTGTAGAGTCTGTAATATTCTGATGTTTGTCCTGACAGAGCTGGAGGTGGGGCCAGAGGGAAGGGACAGAGGCCAGAGTCTGTCAGAGAGACCACTGCAGCCGGCTCTCACAGAGGAGCACGTCAGCTGTGTCACAGGTACACACTGCTGTGAAAGAACAATAACACTGAACGCACAACACTACACTATGTTACACACTCAGAGGACGGGAAGAAGAATATCCAGACTGGATGTGGAAAATGAGCCTTGTGTGCCCAGTCTGCTCCACCACAGAAGGATACGACGCACGCTCAAGCACACGCACAGGCACACGCGCACACATGCACACACACTCACACAAACTCACACAGACTTCCCTCTCTAAGCACACATCCTCAAACTCATCTGGGGGAACCCTGAGGCGTTCCCATGTCAACTGAGGAACACAGTCCCTCTCCACGTGGAGGAGCAGCGGCTCTACTCAAAGCTCCTCAGACACTCTCACCTACAAAGAGATCGCAGCTACAAGCGATCCAGCTAGTCCTCATCCTCAGGTGTTATCTGAATGAAGACAATGACAGTTGTGTGTCTGTGTGTGTGTGTGTGTGTAGGCTTCCTGGAGGAGTCCCTGCAGCAGTACGGCAGTTTGATCCCGGTCCATGTGGACGACGTCACAGAGAGACTGCAGAACGTGTTCAGCGAGAGCTTCTCCCAACCACACAGGTGGGTCTCTCTCTGGTCTCTCTGGCCTCTGCTCTTTCTCTGCTCTTTCTCTGCTCTTTCTCTGCTCTTTCTCTGCTCTTTCTCTGCTCTTTCTCTGCTCTCTCTCTGCTCTCTCTCTGGTCTCTCTCTGGTCTCTCTCTACTCTTTCTCTGCTCTTTCTCTGCTCTTTCTCTGCTCTCTCTCTGCTCTCTCTCTGGTCTCTCTCTGGTCTCTCTCTGGTCTCTCTCTGGTCTCTCTCTGGTCTCTCTCTGTGCTCTCTCTGCTCTCTCTCTGTGCTCTCTCTGGTCTCTCTCTGTGCTCTCTCTATGCGCTCTCTCTCTCTCTGGTCTCTGTCTGCTCTCTCTCTGCTCTCTCTGCTCTCTCGCCCGTCTCTCTGGTCTCATGTCTGGTGTGTGAGCAGGAAGGCCCTGATGCAGCACCTGGTACAGTCCTTCCAGCGTTCCTCTGGTAGCTCTCTGGCCAAAGGCTTCAGGGTCAACTACAAACGCCACGTTCTGACCATGGACGACCTGGGCACACTGTACGGACAGAACTGGCTCAACGACCAGGTGAGCTCTCCCCTAGCCTGGCCTTAGCCATCCGTACACTCCGTTCAATCATCATTTCACTGCATGTAACGTCTGTGTCTAGTCCCTGTGTTGGCGATTACAATCGGTTGAATTTCGACCAACCATTCAGAGAGCGCGGGAGGCGGTGTTGTAGTTAGTTGTGGGTGATGTCAAGAGTTTGCGTCGAACCGGCAAGTTGTAGTTTGGTAATGGCGAAAAATGCGATAGTAAAGTAATCCGGTCTGGTTCTATCAAGAAATTGAAGCTGGAGCAAGAGGAATGTTTAGTAAATGTAATCGCTGGAAAAAATTGTGGCGCTACTTCCCACAGTCTCCGTTAGCGGCAAAGGAGATGGCTAGGCTAAATGCTAAATGCTAACAACAGACTCGGGTGCACTACATACGTCATGGTAAACTCAAATCCAACCGTTTCAATCTACAAAAGGAGTTAACCCCTCCTATCTGTTAACGGAGCTCAACGGAGCGCCTCCAGACCATCGTACAAAATGTAATTTGTACTATGGTATGGTACGACCAGGCTAGCTCTCCCCTGGTGTCGTGACTCTCCCCTGGTGTCGTGACTCTCCCCTGGTGTCGTGACTCTCCCCTGGTGTCGTGACTCTCCCCTGGTGTCGTGACTCTCACCTGGTGTCGTGACTCTCACCTGGTGTCGTGACTCTCACCTGGTGTCGTGACTCTCACCTGGTGTTTTTCAGATTATGAACATGTACGGGGACTTGGTCATGGACTCTGTACCAGAAAAGGTGAAATATAACTTATTATTATATTACTTTTATAGAAACCTGTTGTGTCTGTTTTATAAATAAAGAAAAGTAACAGGATGTTCTTTCTTCAGGTTCACTTTTTCAACAGCTTTTTCTACGACAAACTACGAACGAAAGGATACGACGGCGTGAAGCGGTGGACCAAGAACGTACGTGTGCTGACTCCCTCCCTCCCCCTGTCCTGACTCCTCCCTCTCTCCTCCCTCCCCCTCTCCCCTCCCTCCCCCTTGTCCTGACTCCTCCCTCTCTCCTCCCTCCCCCTCTCCCCTCCCTCCCCCTTGTCCTGACTCTTCCCTCCCCCTTGTCCTGACTCTTCCCTCTCTCCCTCCCTCCCCTCTCCCCTCCCTCCCCCTTGTCCTGACTCTTCCCTTGTCCTGACTCTTCCCTCTCTCCTCCCTCTCCCCTCTCCCCCTCCCTCCCCCTTGTCCTGACTCTTCCCTCCCCCTTGTCCTGACTCTTCCCTCCCCCTTGTCCTGACTCCTTCCCTCCCCGTTGTCCTGACTCGTGTCCCTGTCTCAGGTGGACATCTTTGGTAAGGACCTGCTGCTGATCCCCATCCACCTGGAGGTTCACTGGTCTCTGGTCAGTGTCGACATCCGCCGCCGAGCGATCACGTACTTCGACTCCCAGCGGACGCTCAACCGCCGCTGCCCAAAGGTACGACCACTCCTCATGTTTAGTCCTGACTCATGTCTCTTTATGGTCTTTTTCTGATCTCTATTCTCTGGTTTACCCTACTTTCTCTCTCTGGTCTCTCTCGCTCTCTGGTCTCTCTCTCTCCCTCTGGTCTCAAATGTGAGTGGGATTAACGTTGTATGTCTCAATGTTTTTGCAGCATATTTTTAAATATCTCCAAGCCGAGGCAATCAAGAAAGATCGACAAGACTTTTTGGACGGATGGAAAGGCTATTTCAAAATGGTAAGATTCAATGTTGTCCTGAAAACCAGCTGTGCATCGTTCTAGTGCCTGCATCACAAACCAGGTGACATTTCTGGTCAAAATCCTGGTCTCTCTCTGGTCTCTCTAAACAAACATAACTCATGATATACTAGCAGTTAAATGATGATCTATGGAGAGGGCTTACACAGGACCTCAGACTGCAGCTTCATGACTGTAGTGTGTATGAATGAGTGAGGGCCATCAGACTGCAGCTCCATGACTGTAGTGTGTATGAATGAGTGAGGGCCATCAGACTGCAGCTCCATGACTGTAGTGTGTATGAATGAGTGAGGGCCATCAGACTGCAGCTCCATGACTGTAGTGTGTATGAATGAGTGAGGGCCATCAGACTGCAGCTCCATGACTGTAGTGTGTATGAATGAGTGAGGGCCATCAGACTGCAGCTCCATGACTGTAGTGTGTATGAATGAGTGAGGGCCATCAGACTGCAGCTCCATGACTGTAGTGTGTATGAATGAGTGAGGGCCATCAGACTGCAGCTCCATGACTGGTGTGTGAGGGCCTTCAGACTGCAGCTCCATGACTGTGGCGTGTGTTTCAGAATGTGGGTCGGCAGAACAACGACAGCGACTGCGGGGCCTTCGTGCTGCAGGTGAGTCCAGCTCCAGAGACACAGAACTAACCCTGCTGCTGCTGTGGATCCAGAGAAAGAAAAAGTGGAAGCTTGTGTTTGTAACAAACTATGTGCCGTAATCAGAGATGCTTAGAATCAATGTTGGCTGTAGAGTGATCATTTCCCCTCTCTCCCCCTCTTTTTCCTCTCTCTCGCCCTCTCTCTCCCTCTCCCCCCCTCTCTTCCCCGCAGTACTGTAAGTGTTTGGCCCTTGGAGAGGCGTTCACCTTCGGGCAGCTGGACATGCCCCGTCTGAGGAGACAAATGTACAAAGAACTGTGTCACTGCAAACTCATCCTGTGACCCTCGCCCTCTCACCACCTCTGGACCAACCGCTCGGACTCAGAACACACACACACTCTTAAACACACACACACACACACTCGTTCACCACGAACAGTGCACACGGCCTTCTCTGGACTCACAACGTGACATCACTTTTGTCAAGTTCAAGCTTTCAGGAAACCACAGAAGGAAGCATGGCTAATGCGAGCGGTCTCCAGACAAGCTAGTGTTAGCGGGCTATGCCGCGTCTCGTCGATGTGAAACTTTGATATTTGATTCATTGTGTTGTCATACAAGAATAACTATCCAACTTTTTTCTTTTTTTTTTAAAATATATATATATTTGTCCGTATGGATTTGTCACTGTAAAAAGGCTTTTACTTACTTAACAACCACAATGGAGCTACATTTTTTGAAACGAGCTAGCAGAGGGCTATGCGAGCGACTGGAGGGTGTCTGTCCTTTTTGGCGGCCGTTTTACATTTTCATTCACAAAAGTCTTTCAAAGGAATGGACATAGAATGATATTGTGTCCAAATCTGTTTGTCACATTAGATCAAAATATTATTCACCAAATTCTCGGGATGCACTGATCTTGGTGTCGCATGTCGGTCTGATTTTGGAAATTGCTGTTTGAATCGAGTCTTGGTTTGATAGTTTTTAACTTTTTAACTTTATTCATTCATTCAAACATTGCAGTCATGTTTAATCACAAATGGTCCCAAATGTAGTGGAAACACCGATGCCCTGACGACTCGCTGGACGGTGAGCTGCTACTTTTTTTTCCCCACGTTATTTGAACCCTGTGGCCAGTGAGCTGTCAATCTCCAGAGCGGATGTTGTAGCCCAGATTCCTGCTTCAGTCTGTTTATGTGAACAGCAGAAAGAGGGAACATGTAGGAAACACACAGGACGTGTTGATGGCTATTGTCAGAGCGGATTATTCTGAGTTTTAGTAAAGGTCAGATGTTTGTTTAAGGCTTAGGAGGAGGAGAGTAAAGAAGCTGGAACTGTTTGGGCAGTAATGAAGCGGTGCCATCATATTAAAGAACGTTCTAAGCCTTGAACAAAGATTTACTGAACTTGTTTTAAAATATTTACTTTACTTTTTTGTCTCAGTGATTGAATTTACCAGAGTGTGTTTAAACAGTTTTAACTCATCATTAAATCCTGTTCATTTACATCACTCTCTCAGCTTTGATTCCAGCCGCTGTTGGTTAAACATGAAAACCTGCAGCTTATATTCAGGTGTGGCCTATACGTGGACAATAAGTACTTTCTTTCAAATCAGCAGGTGCGGTTTATCCACAGGAGCTCTGGTCTCTCTCTCTGCTCTCTCTCTTCTGTCTTATCAGTTGATGTACTTTACTTATTGGTTGACGCTAACTCTGATGTCTGAGTCGAACTGTTCTGTAACTTTCAGAATAATGTCTCCAGCTCCTGTTCTGATATGAAGGATTTTAAGAACTGTTTGTTGGTTTTTTGTTTCCCTTTCTCTGGTGTCTGTTCATATCGAGGATCGGCTTCTATTGAAATGAAGCTGGATCAGTGCATCTCGACCAGAAACACTTTAAAACACAATTTAACTTTCAATACGTTTTCTGTTATGTGAAATGAAAACTGTACAGTGGTCCAACAGCACGAGCTACCTTTATTTGATGTCGGGAGAAAACATTTGTGGCTCTTTGGCCTGGTCTCTCTCTGGTCTCTCTCTTTCTCACACTAGCCTCTTTCTGGTCCCTTTCATTTCTCTCTCTGCGGCCTATCTGGTTTATCTCGCTCTGTGGTCTCTCCCTGGTCTCACACTCTGCTCTCTCTGGTCTCTCTCTCTGCTGTCTCTTTCTGGTCTCTCACACTCTGCTTTCGCTCTGGTCTCTGCTGTCTCTCTCACTTCAGCAGTCTTGACATCAGGTGATAAGTGTATAAAGTGTGAGTGAGGGGTTTTACACAGCTATTTTGAGAACACATCACCCCTGTCATAAACCAGGGACCACTGTACTGCATTCAACATCACAACATGGCTCTTAGAATTGTAAACTTTACTCCTGGTTTCAATGACGACGCTCTCTAGTCCCCTCTGTAGCTCTCTTACTAGTGTTTCACCGGGGTACAGCTGATTGTAGATAACTTTGATATGAAATCTATTGTGTTGGTCAGAAAACGCCCAATTTTTAATGTTTTTTTTTTCCCAGGCGGCATGATGGAAGAGCGAGGTTTGTCACAGTAAAAAAATAAGCTTTGTTTTCTCGACATCAGCAGCAGAACCTCCTCGTCCCAAACCGAGCAGTCAAAGCGTTGTGTCAATCGATTTCTTAAGAAAAGCTGCTTTTTTGGGGGTTTTTGATTTTGTCTTGAGAGCTATGAGGACCACGATCACGCCAGTGCAGAGACGACGCCACCAGTTTTATATCTTCTATATTATTACGATGGTTGCTCAGATTAATGTGACTTTATTTTGTTTTTGTATTCTGTTTTTGCATTGCTCAGCGCCTGTTGTATCATAGCCTCTCTGTCCCCAGTACGTTCATGTAGTTTCAGTTGTACACGTGTGAACTAAATGTACAAACATGAAAATAAACTTTCTGAAACAACTCGCTTCTTTCTGCACGGATACATTAATGACTTTTTAAGCCAAGGAGGCAGAATGTTGAATTTTAGAAGATGTCCAAGATGTCCAAATAAAATGTATCTTTAAATACTACAATGATTAGGCCTTAATAGGTTTTAAGATGTTATTTGATAATCCGGAGTCCAACTGCTGCAGGTGAATTAGTCCAGTGTTTCAGAGTTTATGCTCTGGCCCAAGAGGGAAGGAGGAGGAGCAGGACACTCAGGTATGAGGGGGGCCAGGTTATGGAGAGCTTTGAATGTCAGATTAGTTTTTCACTTTCATTTGAGTTGGTTTATCAGGATCCTTTTAGCGTCATAAGTAGCATGAAGTCATTAAGTAGGATTTTTCTTTGGCTCAAGGTACAAACAAATAGTAGAAATGAATAAAAGGCATGCATAAGAAATTTTAAACAATTCTTAAAATTACTACAATATACAAGTGCGCTAAGAACACACAATAGATATTTACCAGTACAGTAATGCAACAGTATTAATGGCGGTCAGTTATGAGTCCAACTGAGGGGTAGATGCTGTTCTTACGACGGGAGGTTCTGGTCCGCACCGTAGCCTCCAGCATGAGAGGAGTTTGTCATCCATCCTGGTCCGTCAGTGAGGGAAGTTAAAACAGGTTTTTAGACAAATGAGTCATGGAAAATATTGCTGAGGGGGTGATTGTTGATTGAATAATCTGGGTCTACTATTAACAGAAGTGGACCCAGCACTGAACCTTGAGGGACTCCGTGGCATAGTGCTGATAGTGATGGTGTGACCTGCACCGTTTTCTGTCTGAGACACAGGGTTTTAAAGCTGTGCATGTGACCCATGGATGTATTATACTGATGTGACCCCAGTGTCCACCAAACTTTAATAGAATTATGTGGTCACAGCGCTCACTTTTCATCACTAAAGCATAGTCATAGACTGTATACAGATGGACAATGCTTACGCAAGCCCTCAATGAAGACCAATTAGGAAGTGCTCATGGTGAAGTTTTCCTCCAAATCGCTCTGACCCCTATTGACTTACAATTACAATTTTTACACATGTCGTTATATATATTCTGTTATTACTTGTCTGCAGCATATACTACAGTTCGTGACTTCCTGTAACATACAATGGAAATAATAATTATTTTCATTCATATTTTCTGTCCTTTCTTTGTTTTGAGTATATACTGTGGAACTACTTTTCTCGGAGCACGATTTGTCCCAATATGTCACTCTATAAGAAAATACAAGAACTAACGTCAAAATAGAGAATAAAGTTTACAAAATTACATATATTTTTAACATTATGAAAATGTGTTTGAACAACTTGTCTGTACGTCACTCTCTGCAGCCAATCGTGAGCCTCCCTTGGGACGGGGGCGGGACCAGAACTCATGACGTAGCTCGGTTCGATGAGCTTCAGCCTCTGCCCCTGAGCGCACTCACACACGCCGACCCGTGAAAAAATGTCCGCCGAATACGAGCACAGGTAAGGCCCATCTGCGGACCCCATCGCACCCGGGGACACATCCACCCGACACGGACTCACACTACCGCGAACCTGCCGTGATTTTACCCGGTGAATTGCGCGCCAGCTGGCTTAAAGCGGTTAGCATCGTTTAGCTAACGCTGCTAGGCTAGGCTAAAGAAATGCTACAGTTTTCCCTGTGTTTGAAAAAAACAAACGTACATTTTGGGCTGAAACGGTTGAACTGTCTAACTGCGCAGGGGCGTATTGGGTACGGGGGTTTAACATATCCAAATGAAATGAAAACAAAAATATCCGTGTGGAGCTCGGTTGCTAACTCTGGAGACGGGGCTAGCAGCTGCTAACGCCGGGTGGAGACACGTGAGCGGCTCGGCCTGGGTGCGGCCTGGAGTCACCCCTCGCTTTTTCTCCCCGAATCGAGTAGTTGTGACACGGTGAAGCATAAATCGACCCCCGCGGCTGCTCACGGAGTTTATATATTGCGATTGGCTCAGGTTTTAACGCGGGATGCGCTGTGCTCACACAGCCGGGTTTGTGTCGCGCACATGGTCCGTGAGGGCGTCCATTTTAGCTCCCACCTCGGTCTCGCGCGACATCCCCATAAAACACTGCTTCCCCTTTTCTATAGCAGTAAACACTCGCATTTCCCGTTATACATCTCGGGATTATGTGTATATCCCATGTGTGTGTATTAGAAGTGGTCGCCTGTGGCCTGTGCCCGTTCAGCCCTCACCCTCACTGAGCCTCTTTCTCCCTCCTCGGGGAACCTCCTGCGAACACCGTGGACCGAAAGTGTTCGTCATGAAAATGGCGGATACTTGGGTCATATTGCGAAGCCCCGTGAGTTACTAAACACCTCGTAGTAATCGCCCGGTCCTTGGGTCACACCGCGGCTGGTGCGGGATTGAGGAATCGTTGATGGTCTTGAGGCGGGTTTGATGGTGCAGAATGTGAGGCCTACAAGCCGCTGGCCCTGGCTAAACACGTTCCCATTGTCAGCTGCGTTTCTTACGTGTTACGTGTCCATATTAAACCATGAGTTGTTGTCTTGTTGTGTACATGGCTGTTAATAGTGCTCTATACACATATTGGTGTTGACGCTCCGGTTGCACAGACTGTTACGGTGGTATTAATGTGTTCTGTTCTTTTACAGTGAAAATGGCCCCGATGGAATGGAGCCAGATGGAGTCATTGAGGTAAGTTTCCTGCTAACGAAAAATGAAGGAAGGAAGGGAATTATTAATTCTGTTGTATAGGAATTTAGACATGTACCCAAAAGGATTAAGCTATGAGTCTAAAGTAACATTTTTAAATCAATCCTGATGATGCGGGTCTCAGTATAGTCATGTAAAGTTGGTTCATTATTAAAAGTAGTTGGATGTACCACACTATCTTTAATGATGCCACCATCAGCTGTGAATACCAATGATATGGTCCAGCCTCCAACATGTGCTTTTTGATGTCCCCAGGGAAACTGGTCTGAAGTTGTGGATAATTTCGATGAGATGAACCTTCACGAGAAGCTATTGAGAGGAATCTATGCCTATGGTTTTGAGAAGCCTTCTGCCATCCAGCAGAGAGCCATCCGGCCATGTATCCAAGGTAACTTTCACTTGTCATAATGATTACTATATTATAATAACTGTAGTTTTGTTATGGAGTAAGTGTGTCTGTCCACACCTGCCAGTATTGGATATATTATATAAATATATTGGTGAATGTTGGAGGCTCATTATTCCTCAGGAAAGCTACTCGGTCTCAGCCCAAAGGGGCTGGGTTCGAATCTCGGTCGGAACAGGGCCTTTCTGAGTGGAGTTTACGTGTTCTACCCATGGCTTATTGCTCTGGTTTCCTATACCACTAAAAATGTAGAATAAGGAAAATCCTCCAGTTCTGGTCCTGAAGACCACATAGAGAGAGGGGTCGGATGCAGAGGATGCATCTCTACAGACACAGTGTAACTTGGTCTAAATCACTGCAGTCAGTGTTTGCTCACGGTCCTCATCAGTAAACACAAGACTCTAGTCTCTTCTACTCTGACATCAGCCACGTTCTGGTGTTGGGCAATACTTTAATTGGTGCATAGTTCAAGTATAATATGGATTGGCTCATGGCGTGTGCGTTGTGTAATCTGTATAGTTATCAGGGTGTGGTGAGACTGCTCTCTGTGTGTGTGTGTGTGTGTGTGTGTGTGGCTTCATGTCCTGATGTGTTGTGCTTCTGTCTCAGGCTCAGATGTCATTGCTCAGGCCCAGTCTGGTACTGGAAAGACGGCCACCTTTGCCATCTCCATCCTGCAGAAGCTGGACTTGAGTTTGAAGGCCACACAAGCCCTGGTGCTGGCCCCCACCAGAGAACTGGCTCAGCAGGTGTGTGTGTGAAGCTGTTTTTATTCACATATATTAATCACTTATTTCATCTGTATCAGACACAGAACCTTCCATTTTGCACTCAGTCAGTTAAAACACCCTGGACCTGTTTAGACAGGACCAGCGGAAAGTCTTCAGTGGGTCATTCAGATGACACAGTATATGACTGAGGTTTCTCTTACGCTGTCAGTGTGTTGCTTGTTCTGCAGCTTCAGACAGTCCTAACGTTATGTCTCCTGCAGATCCGCAAAGTGGTGGACGCCCTAGGTGATTATTTGGGGGCCACATGTTACGCCTGCATCGGAGGAACAAACGTCAGACAAGAGTCTCAGAAGCTGACAGAAGACGTGCCCCACATAGTGGTGGGCACTCCAGGGCGGGTCTTCGACATGTTGAACCGGAGCATACTGAGTAAGCACAGATCTGTGTGTGTGTGTGTGCGCGCGCTCCTTCAGAGCCTCTAACAATCCTGTGCTAAGACCTTTTTTTTTTTTAATGAGCAGGAGTCAAACCTCGTCCCATATTGTAAAAGTTTAAAACGGCCATGGCTGCTGTTGTGTTGCGGTGATGAAACTCATGCGTGTCAACTGACTGTGTGAGTGTGTGTTTGGGGACCTGTGGGGGGCGTTCTGTCCTCCACAGACCCCCCCTCTCTCAGCTCACACAGACATGATCTTACACTCTCTCTGATGCAGCAACAGCAGCCTCCACTTAATCGGCTTGAAAGAATTTAAAATTGCGACACATCCATCTATTTTCTTCTTCTTTATCCGTTGCTGTGTCACGAGGTGGCAGCAGTTTGAGTAGACACAGACGTCCCTCTTCACACACCTCCAGCTCATCTGAGGGAATCTCTCTGTCCTGGGAGGGGCCACAGCCTCTGGCTCCTCCCAGTCTGACTGAGCTTGAGATAAGAATAAAGGTTCTGATCTTTAAATGTGGATGATACTTATATTTAAGAAACTAATGGTGTTTTGAGAATCACATTGATCCATAAGAAACTATTCTACATCATTGGTCCAGGCTGATCTCTGCCCACTTTGGTCAAAGGAGTAAATGCACAGATGCTAAAGCTAACCCTCACTGTATCCCTGGCCTTCAGGAGGAGGTCCCTGTTCTCTTCTCACTGCTGCTGCTCTGTTTCCAGGGTCCAAATCCATTAGAATGTTTGTGCTGGATGAAGCGGACGAGATGCTCAGTCGTGGGTTCAAAGACCAAATTTATGACATTTTCCAGAAGCTGCCTGCAAGCACACAAGTAAGTCCTGACGCCTTTTCAGGAGTCAGATCAAAACTCTGTAGCCGCCTCAATAACCGAGAGATGTGGTCTTTATGAATTCAGTCTAAAGCAAATATTAGGAGTGGTCAGTCTTTATCTGGATTTACTTTTGTGTTTAAGTCTAAGTGCTCTGTGTGATCCTGGTGAGTGTGCCTCAAATAGTTACTGAGCTAATTTACTTTGACTTGTAAGTCATAAGAGCCAAACTTCTCCATTAGCACTGAGCATTGATCTAGCGGGTTAGCATCAGTATTCAGTCTATGGGAGTTTATGGCAACTTGTGCACCAAGTCCGTCCATACGTCAGACTGAACAGTGTGTGATCTGAAAGTTGAAAAAGCTTAAGTTACATTTTCATTGGATAAATGTGTTTCCTCTGAGCCTGATCCAGACTGATTTGAGAATTAGGATGAAGGATGTTTGAAGCACAGGGTTAGTGCTACAGGTTGTTGCGATGATGAAACTCATGCGTGTCAACTGACTGTGTGTGTGTGTGTGTTTGGGGACCTGTGGGGGGCGTTCTGTCCTCCACAGACCCCCCCTCTCACTCCTCACACAGACATGATCTTACACTTTCTCTGATGCAACACCGTACATCAGACCATAGGAAGCCATAGGAAGACCATAGGAAGCCTGTACAGAGGCTATATCTGCTCCACTGACTCCCCCTGTCCTGTAGGTGGTGCTGCTGTCCGCCACCATGCCAACTGACGTCCTGGAGGTTACCAAGAAGTTCATGCGTGACCCCATCCGTATCCTGGTGAAGAAAGAGGAGCTGACCCTGGAGGGAATCCGTCAGTTCTACATAAACGTGGAGAAGGAGGTGTGTGTGTGTTGGTGTGTTTTACTGGGACGCCTCAGTGTGCGTCGCTTGGACTGGTTTCCTTGTGATATGTGTGAGAGAGACATGTTTAGATCAGTGGTGTGTGTTCTGACCCTGCTCCGCCCTCAGGATTGGAAGCTGGAGACTCTGTGCGACCTGTACGAGACCCTGACCATCACACAGGCCGTCATCTTCCTCAACACACGCCGGAAAGTGGACTGGCTCACTGAGAAGATGAGCTCCAGGGACTTCACCGTGTCTGCTCTGGTGAGGCCTGTTCTCTCTTCACATGGCAGGTGCCTCTGCTGGGCCCTGGCCTTGGGCTTCTGTTTCTTCTACTGAGTAAATTACATTGTGTTGCAGCACGGAGACATGGAGCAGAAGGACCGTGAGGTGATCATGAAGGAGTTCCGCTCCGGCAGCAGCAGAGTGCTCATCACCACCGACATCCTGGTGAGGACACGGTCAAAGTCTTATTTTCTAGTTGTAACAAGTGAGTTCCTGATGATGTGATGTTCCTACAGGCCCGAGGCATCGACGTCCAGCAGGTGTCACTGGTCATCAACTATGACCTGCCCACCAACCGGGAGAACTATATCCACAGGTACTTGTCCTTCATCCTCCATAAGCGCTCACTCAGCCCTGGTCTAACCCTTGTGTTCTCCTTGGGTCAAAGTGATAAAAAATACCCTTAATACATGTTTGTGCTGATGACCAGCCCTGGGTCATTGAAACTACGCAGTGGTTATTACATTATTAAGTTCATGTCAAACAGACTTGTTTGGTGAAAGAGTGTGGAGTTTGCATGTTCTTATTCCCCTTTCCATCTTTGAGGGCTCTCTGGTCTCATTGATGGAGTTCTGTGGTGTCTCGAACCCTGGTCTCTCCCTCTGGTCCCTAACCCCTGGTGTCTCACCCTCAGGATCGGGCGCGGTGGTCGTTTTGGCCGTAAAGGCGTGGCCATTAACATGGTGACTGAGGACGACAAGCGCACACTGAGAGACATCGAGTCCTTCTACAACACCACCATCGAGGAGATGCCTAACAACGTGGCCGACCTGATCTGATGACCCCTGACCCCCGAGTGAACTCTGACCACTCCACACACATGATCTTCTGCCTGCCATGTTCTTGTGTAGAATCTCAATCATTAGTAAAGACATTTCTCTGGCCAACACAACGCAGTGTTTCCTGTCCATGCAGATCACAGGGGCCCGCTACACACACACACACAACACACAACACAACACACACACAGCTCATCAGGAGACACTTTTAGCTTTTATATTATAAACGTACAAAATGACAAAAAAAGAAACTTAATTGCCCGAAGATTAACTCTATCTCGACTCTAAAGCGTGTCTCCAGCGGCGAATAGTTCTTTTGTGTTTCTTTGCTCCTAACCTCCAGGCCCCTCCTCTCTCCTTCTCTCTTTGCTGTCCTCCTCTCCTCCTCTCGTCTCTAACCCCCCTCCCCTGCGAGGCCTTCTGAATCATGAGCCCACATGAGCGTAGTTCCGGGAGTAGTCAGCAGAGGGCGTCCTCCTAAAAGAGTTCATTCAAAGGTGTGTTTATAATCGCTTTTCTCTTTTGTTTCGTTTTTATTTTTCTGATGTCACTTTCCTCAGCTACCTCGCCACACCGGTGGGAGGAGTTTTGTAACGCGGACCAAATGGCCCTCCCCCCGGTGGCTTCGACAGCGTCTGTCGCAGACATCGGGGCGGCGCGGTAACCATGGAGATGGCTGTTTTGAAGTGACTGGATGAACTTGTTAACCTTTTGGGACAGAAGCGGTGTATCAGATTTTCTACATTGGATTCTGTATAGTATTTATTTAATGGTCTTTAATGAAAATAAAGGTTGCTCCTTTAGCAGCTGTGCCAGTGTTTTTGTGTTCAGAGCCAGAGGATGTTTTTGGCAAATCCTGTTTTTGTTCAGTCCTTCTCTGAGCACTCAAACGCCCACATCTGACCACTAATAATCCAACATCAAAATGTGTTAAATTTGACTTTTACAATAAAGTTTGGATAAGATTTGAACACCCTTTGGCGTGGAGAATGGATACAAAGACTGAATAAAGCTCATAAGAATGACTGATGCATCACGTGTCCTTTGCCTGCGTACGCCACACTCATGCAGCGCCCCCTCAGGCTGTACGGAGGACTGCAGCTGATCACTTTGAGGAGCTGAGGCTGATGGGTATTGGTTAAACATGACACCAACACTGGAATAAAATAACCTTATTCCTCATGTTACAGAACTGATTAAGAAAAACACTAATGGAATACTACAGTAATTATTCCTTTTTATAGACATGAGTTCTAGTTCTGTCAAAGTGGCTTATGTAACGTGAGAACTATGTGGGGCACGGTTGGTTTTGGTTTAAATTCAGAAGGTTCTTGTTAAGAGTTGAGATTTAGTCATGAGTCACTGGTCCAGAGGAGAATAATGCATCGATTTTATACAGCGCTTTTTTGGACACTCAGACTCTTCACATTATTCTTTCGCTCCATACACTGATTACTGTAGCTGGGGCACACTGACAGAAGCGAGGCAACCAGTCTGTGCCATCAGCCCCTCCCACCACCACCAACCATTCACACACACACACAGGCACACACCATATACTTTCTACTTTTCCATATCACGATTTAAAATGTGAATAACACTTGGTGTAACTCCGTCCTGCCACCAGAGTGCGCTGCAAACATATGTAAAGACCTGTTTGAGAAGTCTCCAAAACGAGTGATGTCACAGGTTTCTCTGGTCGCTCGAATGAAAATCTTTGTCTTAAATACGTTCCTTTGAGTCGAGAACCATTAACCTGACTCTCAGCGATCAGCGCCCACAATGAAGAGTTCGACACAGAGGTGAGAGTTGGCGTTTATTACAGACACAACAGAAATGAACTGTGACTAATGCCCTGTTTCCACCAGCCCTCCTCTACTGTGTGACCAGTACCAGGTGCTTTAGTCCCTCTGGTCCTGTGTAACCAGTACCAGGTCCTTCATGGTCCTGGTTCTATCCAGGCCGCGCTTGTACTAAAGTGTTCTAACTGACAGTGATTGGTCAGAGTGCTGCTCGAAGCCATGGTTGTTTTGGGGATGTTGCTAGGATACGGTACCGGATATTAAAGGTATGGTCTAATCTTATTTGACGAGCAGAATTATTAACAGTCAGGAGGACCAATAGTCATGATGATCCACCTGGAAGAAGATCTTTCTATTCCAGTGTAATGGGAACACCCAGGTAGAGCAGCGCTGGTGCACATGGTCTGAAGACACTTTTAGGACATGGTTAGGAGAACTTGTACCAGCGCAACATATAGTCCATGAGACACTTGGTCACCTCCACCGCCCAGGCCCGGAGTCGCTGCAGGAGCACAGCGGCCTCTGCCTCTGTCAGCTCGGTTTCCTCATACTCTCTACAGCTCGAGAAGTCTGCGGGAGACAAGTGTCTGCGATTACTGAAGATACAAGATACAAGAATTTATTTGCCCTTTGCAGTAAAACCACATTGGAAAAACCGTGCAAGTCAGAGAAGACGGCACACACCAGAGCTCTTGCTGCTAAAGTTAATAGAGAGTTGAAGGACCACAGTGTGATTCTCAAAGTTCTCTGACAAGTTTTGGTCTCGAGGCTCCAGACCTATTCCAGGCTCCAGAAGTATTATCATGAATTGAAAACTTTAGGACACATCTGCATAGGGTCTAATTATGGATATAGGTTCAGTATATAAATGATTTTGGATATATATATATTTTATTTTTATTTTTTTTGAACAGTGTTAATACTGCACAAAAGGAGTGGGCTGAAACAAAAAGCTTATTAGCACCGCACCTCCAAAGTAAATTACAATAAAACTTTACATATCATAATGAAAATAGTACAGAACAAAGATATAAAGGCACACAAAAGAGCTACATCGGCACATCCTGAATTATAAAATAATCCACCATCAATTTACAGAGTAAAGAATATGTCCTGACATTGACATTCACTTCACTGACCAGAGAGAGACCAGAGCCTCACTCACAAAAGGAATCGCCCCTTGAGATGGATCATCTAGTTTCCGAGGGGGTCCTCAAAATCAAGTTTAAAAATAACAGTTCAGCAGCAACAGTCAATTATTTACTAAACAAAATGATTACATTAAACAAACTCAAAAATAAAAGAAAACAGGACAAAAGCTCAACACATTCACTCACACACACACTCACACACACACTCAGCTCTCAGAGGTTACACACTCCCCTAAAACTACAGTAAAGTACAATACAAGATAAATAGATTAAAATACTGATGGAGAATACAACTGAACACGGCGGAGACATAATTACAACAGAAGACACATCAAAAGCAGTTACAGACAGTTTTAAAGTTCTGCTACACAGCGTTCTTAAACAAAGGGAAGGAGGAAGAAGGTTCCAGTCTGTCGGGGCTTTGTAATGAAAAGCATGTTTTCCTATTTCTTTTTCAACACGAGCGGTGTGGAAGAAAAGAGTCTCAGTGTCAGTGTGACGAAGACTGTAAGAAGAGCTAAAAGGTGTAAGATAGTGTTTCAAGTATGTGGGATAATTAAAATAATTTCATTTGAAGATGAAGAGTAACCAGTGGGAGTGTCGACGTGCAGGCAGTTTCAGTCACACTTTGAACTGTTCTTCTTATTCTTATTACCAGAGTGAGACACAACAACAGTCTGGTTAAGACAGATCATAGAGACACAAAATCACCATATGATAATTTTAGATATACTGACAACAAGTTACTGAGAACTGATTAAACCCATTTCGCACAAAAAAGAGATGTTGCTGCTAGAAAGCAGAGTATTTTTTACAGAGTGGGCAGTGACCCTTTGTAGTGTTGTGCGATAAAAAGCCAGGGTGTAAAGCCAGTTGGAGACGGCAGTGACTCCTCACCAACAGACCCAGCTGCCCTATCAGCTGCTTTTATAAATGAGACTTTAAATGTTCTTATCTTTCTATACTGTGTGATGCATTAAACGATCCTTGGGAGGAGGTACCTCTCAGCAGATGCACAGCTCGCCCTGATTCTCCTTACTGTCATTTGAACAATAGAAATGACTTCTGTTCCAAGCAGCAACACTCAAACTTGAACAATAAGCTATTCATTGATTGCACTACACCCCCTAGTGGTGACTCAATATTTCTCTATATTTTTCAAAAATCTTTAGTTTGTATTTATACTTGAACAAGTTAATGTTTGGACATTGCTTCCTCTCCGTCTCTATTTGGTTCCACAGTTGTACGCCATTAACTGTCAGGCTAAAACTTTTCAGAGTGGTCCTATGTTTCTGAGATTTAAAGTTTAGTTCCCCTCGTAATCCAACACTTCCGTTACGCTCTAGAAATCTACTTTGTGTTTGGTTTGGTAACAGTTTGTACCTTGCTTTGTATAACATCTGTCCTGACTGGAACTCATAAGGAGTTTGTGTGGTCCAAAAACCCGGCTCTATGAATTAATCTCACAGCTCTTTTTGTAATATTACCAACGGCTTTAAAGTATTTTTATATGTACTACCCCATACTACAGTGCAGTAATTTAAATCAGAGAGCAGTATAGTGTGTGTAGAGCTCTGATGTTTAAAGTGTGCTTAGCTTTTGCTATTTCTGAAATGCTACCTGCTCTAAAACAGCGCCCTCTATCTGTATAACATCCTCAGCGGTGGGATTACAGTTGCCGAATATCATCATTTTACTTTGACTGAGATTCAGAGATAGTTTATTTTGTTTGAACCACTTACTGACACTTTTGAGTTCCAACTTAATCTTTTGACACACTCATTTAAGTCGTCTCCTGATGCAAAAATATTGCAAATAAGATAAATTAAAAGTATTTGGGAGGTTTTACAAATATCATTGCTGTACATAATCAACAATTTGGGACCCAAAATGGACCCTTGAGGTAATCCACTCACAATCTCCCGACAACTCGACTGATAGTGACCCATTCTCACACATTGCTTCCTCTTTTGTAAATAACTAGTGCCCCACTGCAGTGCTACTCTCTAATCCCATAATGCTCCAGTTTATTGATTAATAGCTCATGGTTTATTTTATCAAAGGCTTTACTTAGGTGGATGAATAATCCTATTGCATATTTTCTGTTGTCTAGAGTATTAGTTATATCTTCAATGAGGTCACAAAGCGCATGTGAAGTTAAACCAAACTGATAATCGGAGAGTAATGTGTGTTTTTTTAGTTTGTGAACAGATGTTTGTCTCCTGACTTGAACAGAGGGATCACTTTGGCAATCTTCATGCTTTCGGGAAATAGTCCAGTTTTCAACGATAAATTACAAATGTGTGTTAGTGGCTCAGAAACACTTTCAATAAGACTCTTCAAAGTCTTCATATTGATATCACAGTGATCTGTTGAAGTTTTATTTTTACACCCTTTAACCAAGTCCAGAATCTCTTTCTCCTCAACAGGATTGAGAAACATTGTCATAAGATTTGTGTGTATGAGTTCACAGTTATATTTTTCAACATTCTTAATTTTAGCAGCAAGATTATATAGCTTCAGTATATAAATGATTATGGATATAGCTTCAGTATATAAATGATTATGGATATAGCTTCAGTATATAAATGATTATGGATATAGCTTCAGTATATAAATGATTATGGATAGGGATGCACCGATCCGATACTGGTATCGATATCGGCGCTGATACCAGAAAAAATACTGGATCGGATATCTTCGTAGAGAGAGGCGCCGATCCATTTTCTTTTCTTTTTTTTTTTTAAATTATACATTTTTTTAAATACATACCAGGTACCGCACAATGTCTTAAAATACATTGTGCATAATGTACATATACGTATAAAGTGAATGAATTAAAAGTAATTTATCAGATCTCACGTACACGTCACTTCCTCGTGGCGCTCTACAACAACAACACAGCATGGAGCGCAGGAAAGAGCGTTGTTCACGCGGCGGTAAACTAGCGAAATACGACACGACTAAGCACCACGAGAAACAGCATGGGGAGTTTCTGCATCGAAAGGAGATTACGTGAAAACAACGAGACACAGATGATACTGACGCAGCGTCACAAAAAGCTTTTCAGCAACAACCCCAAAGTGTTGGAGTTCGTCAGTTTGGGCTCGCAGCCCCATAGACCATTTGGAACCCAGGTACATGCCGTCGCCAAATACATATCTGAAATCCAGTTAAAGCTACGGTACTATTATTTATTTACATTTTCATGCAGCGTGTTTTGTTTGTGTTAAGTGTTTTTTTATTCAAACACAATTAATATAAGTACATTTATATTCAATAAATGTATAAGGTATAATACAGTGTTGGAATAGTTCTCTTTATAGTTGCATTATTGCACATTTATGTTGAATCCATTTTTATCTGGAAAGTTTAGCGCTTTAGTTCATCCACTGCTTTTGCAGTTACTTGAACAAAGAGTTCAATTATTAAATACATTTTAGCATGATCATTTCCGGTATCGGTCAATATCGGTATCGGCAGAAACCCATAGCTCTGGTATCGGTATCGGTATCGGCAGATACCCATAGCTCTGGTATCGGTATCGGTATCGGTAGGAAAAAAGCTGGATCGGTGCATCTCTAATTATGGATATAGGTTCAGTATATAAATGATCATGCAGCCAGCGGAAATTCAATTTGGTAGACGTCAGCCAAAGGTAACCCCTCCAGGCCGGTTCTCATCCCCAGCCTATCGCACTGCAAACGCCCCCTTCCAATCACCGTACCGGCCAGGCAAGCCGCTTAAAAGCGGAGAAACTCCCACTCTCGGCCTTCTCGAAGCCTTGCAGAGAATCGCCTGGAGGAATCGTTTTCGTCTACTCACGCTACTCGGCGCGACCCTGGCGTCCTCCGTCTGGCTGCTTGTGGTCTGCTCCTCCTCCGCGTCCCTGCACTGGTCTGCTCCTCCTCCGCGTCCTTGCACTGGTCTGCTCCTCCTCCGCGTCCCTGCACTGGTCTGCTCCTCCTCCGCGTCCCTGCACTGGTCTGCTCCTCCTCCGCGTCCCTGCACTGGTCTGCTCCTCCTCCGCGTCCCTGCACTGGTCTGCTCCTCCTCCGCGTCCCTGCACTGGTCTGCTCCTCCTCCGCGTCCCTGCACTGGTCTGCTCCTCCTCCGCGTCCCTGCACTGGTCTGCTCCTCCTCCGCGTCCCTGCACCTGCTGTGGTTCGCATATCTCCACTGCTCTCCTCCTCTGCGGGCTCTTTCTGCGGGCTCTTTCTGCGGGCTGCTCCGCGGGGCCCCTCCGCGGGTTTATGTGCGGCTCGTTCCTCGTGGTCTGCTGCCGCGCGCAGAAGGTCTGGCGGTGCCGTGCGTGTCCCTGCCTCGATTGGCGGTGCCGCGTTGTCCCGTTGCTTTTCCCAAGTCTCTTGGCATGTGAGTACAGAGTGTGCTGACCACGGACAGATTAATCCCGGAGTTTTGGGCTGCAGGCGATTGGTTTTTGCCCTACGCACTTGACTGCAGGCGTCAGTTTTTTCGCCCCGTGCTTGGTCTGCAGGCTCCGTTTTCACACGTGTCTGAGCTAACCGAGGGGCAATGCATCTTAAATGGCATCAATCTCTATCGTCTGAGGGATATAAGAGGAGCAATGTGCATTAATTCAGATTCATGTTCTGCCACTTGCAGTAAAACCATGCATTTAAATAGCTAGGTCGCTGGTATTAAATTAGGTAACTAAACTGCAGTTGTTGCATTTTGAAAGTGCAGCAGGAAGAAAAAGGGCCGAACGTGAATCTGCAATGAGTGTGAAGTGGTGTTGGAGCCATGAACGCATGGATCAGTGATCGTTCATGCGCATCTGCCATAACCAAAGCAGAAGATGGCTCCAGGGGACGTCTGTTATTCGCATGGGATGTTTCGGATTCGGGTCGTTTTTTTTTCCCTCAGACTGTTAAACAATCATTGGCATGGTTCTCTGACCGCCGCTGCTGCCGGTCCCCGCCGCCGTTCCTACTGATGCCTGATCCCGCCGCCGCTGTTCCTGCTGCCGCTCCTGCTGCCGTTCCTGCTGCTGCCTGTCCCTGCTGCCTGCTCCTGCTGCTCCTACTACTGCATGTGCCGCTGCTGCTGTTCCTGCCGCTGCCGCTCCGCGGGCTCCCAGGCTGCACCTGTCTCTACGGCTCGGCTCTTCAGACACGTACGTAACCTGGCTCACGGAGACAAGCGGCGCACGCTGGCGTGACACGTCTGTTTGTTCGTATGACTCGCCTTGTGGTGCTGCTGCTCCCGCTAATGCTGCTTCTGCTGCTTCATACTGCTACCGCTACTGCTGCTACTGCTGCCGCTGCTGCTGCTGCTTCATGTACTTCGTCATCTCTCTTCACTTCGCTTCTCTTACTGAAACACTAAACAGCTACAACAATATTCTACTGCTGTGGCTTTGATACAGGATTTTGCCGTTATTATCTACGGATGCTGCAGCTGCTGCCGCCGCGGCTGATACAGGTCGTTGCCGTTATTATCTGAGGTTACTGCTGCTGCCGCTGCTGCTACTGCTACTGCTGCAACCCACTCTCTCAGAAGCTCATCCTGCTTCTAATGGACGCAGCCCGGCCGAGTATGCCGCGCTGCGCTGGACTCGCACCTATGCTCCAAGGGTCGCTTCGGCGGTCATGCTTCATCTCTCTACTTAATCTTCTGATTCTATCAGATGCAGCTGGCCGAGTGGCTGCGCTGAGCCGTCAATCGGACTCCGAATCAAAGGCATCCATACCTGTATTCTTCACTCTTCTGATCGCAGGCTCCCCATCATGCTGCCCATCCTGCAGCGGCTCTGAGCGGCGCTGAACTCCGGCTCTTCTTCCAAGTACATGTCTGCCCTCCTCGCAGCATCTTCCTGCTCGCCTTCTATGGCTCCTCTGCATAAGCGTTTCACCACTGCTCACTCAACCTTCAATGCGGTCCGAGACACGGCTTTTCCCGACCATCCTACTATCCTGATTATCTACTCTCCAACCCAAGATTCTAAGCGTAAGGGCGCCTGCAACTTCAATGGCCCTCTCCGATATGTCTCTGCCCCTACAGGTCTCCGCTTCTACACGGACGTGCCCCTTCCGTGGGTTTTGGGGGGTTTTTTCCAGGACCATTGGGTTGCCGGGCCGTGGCCGCTACTTTCCACCGGAGCATCTCCTCTGCCCTACACGAGATATTCCCAGTGGTCGTGGCCTGCGCGCGGCGGAATCACACGTGGCAGAGAAAGAGGATCTCCGTCATGCGTGATAATCTCGACTTCCAGGAGTTCCGACGCCTCTGCCCTTCTGCCAACCCATCACCATGCCAGATCCCCTGCATGGAATCCCTCGCCCTGGACTAGTCCCTCCGTCTCTTCACCTCCTCATCTCCTCCGCTGCATCCTACATAAAGACGGGTCTCTCACCTTCCACACTGAAATCATACAGTTTCGCGTGGAAAGTCTACTCCAGCTTCTGTCACGCCCACTGCATTCCACTCATTCCGCCCTCTGCTGTCACGATCCATGATGCATTACACTCGCCTCCGCTCTCGGAAAGGAGATCTCAACGGACCGTTAATTCTTACCCCTGAAAACCTCCCATGTCATCCAACTGGTTCAGAGCCCAACTCAAGTCCGTACTGCTGCTTTGTAAACTGTCTCCCCATCTCTACACAGCCCACTCCTTCCGGATAGGCGCGGCCACGCGCGCCGCGTCACTGGGGCTCCCCCATTCCGCCCTCCAGCAGCTGGGCCGCTGGTCATCATCGGCCCTCTCCTCATACATCAGGCCTGACACCTCGACCATCCTGGCAGCCCAGCGGCTTCTGGCATCTCCATAAAACACTCGCTAAACTTCCTGGTGGCGGCTGCAGCTGAGTATCCGCAAGTAATGGTCACAGCAAATAGCGGTCACAGTATATAGTGATAGCGGTCACAGTATATAGCGATAGCGGTCACAGTATATAGCGATAGCGGTCACAGTATATAGCGATAGCGGTCACAGTATATAGCGATAGCGGTCACAGTATATAGCGATAGCGGTCACAGCATAGAGCAGTCTCGACGTTCTGTCCCCTCCAAACCAGGCTGCAAAAACTCCATCAACACACAGCCTTTTTGGGGTTTGAACGCTCCATCGCAGGAGGCCCTCCGCTCTGAAGGCCGCACCGGGGCCTAGGGCGCCAAACCTCCTCCCAATAAAATACTCAAAAGCTTCTTGTTTCACGTCTCTCCAAATTGAAATGCAGCCAGCGGAAATTCAATTTGGTAGACGTCAGCCAAAGGTAACCCCTCCAGGCCGGTTCTCATCCCCAGCCTATCGCCCCCTTCCAATCACCGTACCGGCCAGGCAAGCCGCTTAAAAGCGGAGAAACTCACACTCTCTGCCTTCTCGAAGCCTGCAACCACCGCCTCCCCTCCTCCTCCTCTTCACCCTGCCTTCAATCTGCCTTCAATCTGCTTCCCGCTGCCAAATGCCGCCACCAGTGCCTAGGTCCCGGGGGATTGGCACGCTCCATCGCAGGAGGCCCTCCGCTCTGAAGGCCGCACCGGGGCCTAGGGCGCCAAACCTCCTCCCAATAAAATACTCAAAAGCTTCTTGTTTCACGTCTCTCCAAATTGAAATAGATATATATTTTTTTTCATGTAGTTCCAGAGCCTAATAGAGGCTTGATTCGGAGGCTCCGCAAAAACAAACAACTGAGCATGCACGCAGCTATGAGCATCAGCACCGATGATTGACAGCCCTTGGCATCACTTGATTGGTTAATGTGGACGGCATCGTGGATTCTGAGCTATAGCTAAGAGAAGGGAAGGTGGGACTTACCTGTAATATTAGTTACTTATTTTATGTCAACATTTAAGGCCAGGAGGTCAATTTAATAAAATTCTTAATTTTTTTTATTCATTTAGAGTTCCAGACTATCACTTTAAGGAGCAGTGGTTGCTGTAGTAACAGGGACCATCTCCTGATGTTAATGGTCAGGACCAGAGGATTTAACCTATTGTACATGTTTTAATGGTAGAGGAGACCTACGCAGACACAGGGAGAACATGCAAACAGGCCCTGTTCTGACAGGGAATTGAACCCAGGACCTTCTTGCTGAGAAGGGAGAGTGCTAACCACTCAGCCGCTGACTGACAGTGTTTTTAATGAGCTGAACACAGATTCACACACACTCACACACGCACGCACACACACACACATACACACACGCACACTTACATACCACACACAGACACACAAACACACACACACACAGACACACACACACACACACACACACACACACACACTTACCAAAGTCAGAGCCCAAGCGCTCAGGTCGGGGCAGATGCAGACACGAGGCCTGTGTCTCAAACTCCAGTATTTCTGCTGGTTCCACACTCTTCCTGCGACCTGCAACAGAGAACATGAGAATCTGCTGCCAGAACTAGAGGCCGCCCGTGGTACTGCACCTAAATCCACATGGACTAGAGGAGATTTCCCACAGACCTCAGTGTCACTATAACGTGCTCAGAGACAGAAGGCTCACATGTCGCTCTGTGTGCGTGTATGTGTGTGTGCGTGAGTGTATGTGTGTGTGTGTGTCTTACTGGAGAAGTACAGCACTGTGGTGTTGGCAAATTGCATTTCCATCTTGAACACCACACAGTCGGAAGAGTTCGTGAGTCGAAACAACTTGTACGTATCTCCTGGAGCAAATACACAACGTCTACACAACATATATACACACAAGTACACACACACCCACACAAACGCACACACATACTTCCGTTCTGTGCCACCAGCATGCCTCTCTGGGGGGTGAGTGTTGCCAGAGTCTCATTTTCACAAATCGACAGTCTGAAAAACATCACAGAGTCTCAGCCATGAAACACCTGGTCCTGACATGAACCAGCTGCTGAGGGACTCACCATGAACCAGCTGCTGAGGGACTCACCATGAACCAGCTGCTGAGGGACTCACCATGAACCAGCTGCTGAGGGACTCACCATGAACCAGCTGCTGAGGGACTCACCATGAACCAGCTGCTGAGGGACTCACCATGAGACTAACCTGATCTTGAGGGACTCACCATGAACCAGCTGCTGAGGGACTCACCATGAGACTAATCTGATCCTGAGGGACCATGTGAAGGTGCAGTCCTGCTGCTCTCTCCACATCCAGAAGCTAAGATAAGTGCCTGGAAGTAACCAGAGGAGGCAAACACCAGCTGCTGCAGAGACACCAGATGAGCCACCAGAAAGCCTACACCTCAGTTGTACCATATAAACAGGGTTCTAAGGGACTAAGTAGCTAAATCAATGGGGATGTGACCTGTGTCCTTCCTTGAGGCAAATGGCAAGATCTCCCAAAGCTGCTCTGTCCTCTGTTCTGCTCAGACCCTGGTCAGTCCCCTCCTCCACATGGACATCAAGAAGACCCAGCTATATACATTTATAAATAATTCTCACCTTTTTCCCTCCGCGGGCAGTTATCCCTCTCTAAGCAGTATCTTAGCTGTTCCTAGCACTGCACATTTCTGGACCAATATAAGCTCCTCACCATGCATGGCGGGTTCCATCCCAAATCCAGCACCCTGAGAGTGTACGTAAGCCGTAAAGAAGGAGGCAGAGGACTAGTGAGTGGGAGAAACATCCAAACTCCATAACTACATCATGGAGAAGGCCAAAACATACTCAGTGAGATGAGGAGGTGCTGGAGGAGGCCCCTCATGGGAGGAAAAACCCCGACATGAGGAGGTGCTGGAGGAGGCCCATCGTGGGAGGACCAGCCCCTATATGAGGAGGTGCTGGAGGAGGCCCATCATGGGAGGACAAATCCCTACACGGCATGTACCACTGGAGTATAGCAGAAAGGGCTGATTCCAAGGTACAGATACACCACACCAGAGGAGACCCAAGGTACACACCACACCAGAGGAGACCCATGGTACAGATACACCACACCAGAGGAGACCCATGGTACAGATACACCACACCAGAGGAGACCCATGGTACAGATGAAGCAGGAGCAGTACCTACGTCTTTATCATGAGCACAGCCTGATACTGCTGTGTGTCTTCGGTGATGTCCATTATGAGGCTGGGACTGAGCAGAGTCTGCACAGAGTTTCTCAACACACACGAGTCTGTGCTCATGGCATGGACAAACCACGTCCCTGTGAGCTGCACACAGGTACAAAGCACAGGTACAGACACAGGCACAGGTACAGGGTGCTACATAGTACGAGAGAAAGGTATTTTTCTAAAATGATTGAAGGCTGCAGTAACAATCTGTGTGTTCTGTTCTCAACAGTTAATAGATTAACAAACCCCCCTGTTCAGATGCCATTAGAGCTTACTTCCAAACGTAAATGTAATGAGTTTGCAATTTTCTTTCAATGACAAGGTTCAAAGCATCAAAAACGCCATTGTCTCCAATCCACAGATAACCATCCAACAGCCAGAAAGGCTCTTTGAGCTAACTTACTTTGCACCTGTAAATGATCAAACTGTCCAAGAGATAATCACAAGTCTGAGCTCCTCCACATGCAGCCTGGATGTACTACCCACTAGATTTCTGAAGTCTGTTCTGAGCAGTCTGTTACCTTCACTCACACAGATAGTAAACATGTCCCTTCATTCTGGAATATTCCCAAAGGCCCTGAAAACTGCAGTCATCAGGCCCCTGCTAAAAAAGAGCAGTCTGGATGCTACGGTACTTAACAACTATCGTCCCATCTCAAATCTGCCGTTTATGGGGAAAGTCCTTGAGAAAGTTGTCTACCTACAGCTTACTAGATTTCTTATAATCAACAACTTATTTGATATGTTTCAGTCCGGCTTTAGACCCCACCACAGCACTGAGAGTGCTCTCGTCAAGGTTAAAACGATATCTGGCTGAACACTGACGCAGGCAAAGTCTCAATCTTAATCTTGTTAGATCTGAGTGCTGCCTTTGACACTGTCGACCATGAGATCCTCTTACAGAGATTAGAGGACTGGGTTGGTGTCGCTGGCACCGCCCTAAGTTGGTTTAGGTCTTACCTTGAACACAGGAAGTACTTTGTGGAGATTGGAAACTGTGTCTCAGATCATATGGCCCTGACCTGTGGAGTCCCACAGGGGTCGATCCTGGGACCTCTTCTGTTCAATCTCTACATGCTGCCGTTAGGTCAGTTAATACGCAGAAACAAAGTGTCCTATCACAACTATGCAGACGACACTCAGATCTATGTCTCACTGACTGCAGGAGAACATGGACCAGTGGACTCACTCTGTATCCAACAGATCAGTGAGTGGATGCAAAAAACTTCCTTCAGATAAACGCAGACAAAACTGAAATGATTGTCTTTGGTCCCCAGAAACAAAGAGAGAGCGTCATCTGTCACCTACAGTCTCTCTCCCTAAAACCTTCAAACCAGGTCAGAAATCTAGAGGTAATACTGGACTCAGACTTAAATTTTAATAGCCACATCAAATCAGTAACATCAGCAGCTTTTTACCATCTAAAAAACATTGCCAGGATCAAAAACATAGTGTCTAAAGCAGACTTGGAGATTCTTATCCATGCATTTGTCTCCAGTAGGTTAGACTATTGCAATGGCCTGCTCACAGGTCTGTCCAAACAGGCTGTAAAACAGCTGCAGTACATTCAAAATGCAGCAGCTCGAGTCCTGACTAGAACCAGGAAGTACGACCACATTAGTCCAGTTCTCAGGTCCCTGCACTGGCTTCCTGTGGCTCAGAGAATAGACTTTAAAACAGCTCTGCTTGTGTACAAGTCTCTCCATGGCCTCGCACCAAAATATATTAGTGACATGTTAGTCCCATATGAACCAGCCCGGACTCTGAGGAGCACAAGGACTGGACTCCTGTTAGTGCCCAGAGTCAGAACTAAACATGGGGAGGCTGCTTTTCAGATTCATGCTGCTAAAATCTGGAACAGTCTTCCTCAAGATGTGAGACAGGCTTTCTCTCTGACAATGAGGTTTAAGACGAGGTTGAAAACAGTTCTGTTTAGCTGTGCATACAACTGAGGGATTTTATATTTTATATTTTTATCTTTCTTTTTAATGTTCTGTGATTATTTATGCTTTTAATGCTATCTTGTTTTGTTCAGCACTTTGATGTGCCTTGTTTATAAATTGTGCTATACAAATAAACTTGCCTTGCCTTGTCAGTTAAAGGCACAGGTACAAGTACAGACATAGGTACAGACACAGGTACAGACACAGGTACAGACACAGGTACAGTCCCTGGTCTCTTACGTCTTGGACTTGGCCGGGGCTGGTCAGCTGGTCACAGGTGAGAGGAGCTGCTCTACAGACGTAGAGCAGAGCACAGAGCACAGCACACACAGCCTTCATCTCTGAGGAAGAATACAGATTACAAGACAGCCTTCAACCATGGAGACCAGGGAGAGACCAGAGAGGGACAAGAGAGAGACCAGAGAGGGACCAGAGAGAGACCAGAGAGGGACCAGAGAGAGACCAGAGAGGGACCAGAGAGGGACCAGAGAGGGACCAGAGAGAGACCAGAGAGGGACCAGAGAGGGACCAGAGAGGGACCAGAGAGAGAGACCAGAGAGAGAGACCAGAGAGGGACCAGAGAGAGACCAGAGAGAGGCTTGAGTGAGACCAACCGATCTATGAGGACCCTGACTCTGTGTGGTCCTTCTCCTCTGCTTGGGCCTCGAGAGAGACCACTGGAGTAAAGTGAGAGTACCCACCTCTGTCCTGGTCCTCTGTCCACAGAATCACAGCTGTGGCCCAGACCTGGGACCTTTATATTTCTGGATCAAGGTTTGTCTGATATTGATCTGAACCTGAACCTCTATTGTTGACTTGGGACAGTTGTGTAACTTTAGAATAAACACAACATTTACCAGAGACACAGTCATACACAGAGTCATACACAGAGTCATACACAGAGTCATACACAGAGTCATACACAGAGTCATACACAGAGGTAGAAAACACTTCACAAAAAATGCCAAATGGAGAAGAAAATACATTTGAGTAGATTTTGATACTTTTTAAGCAACCACATGATATTTTGACACTTTCATTAACAAAAATGGGTTAGATATACCTGATGCTTTTTTTAAAATAAATGTGGTTACACTTAGAGGAGAGGGACTTAATTTATATGGTCTGTTTTGATTTTACAGAATAATATTTGAAAGAACAAAAATGCAGTCGGACAGTGATTTTGGGCGTCACGTCATTGACCCATTTACAACACAGCAGTCTATGGAATAAACACAAAGAGAACCTTGGTGTTGTCTTTGACGACTCATTTTGTTTTGACAAACAGATTGACAGTGTGGTCAGGTCGAGGTTTTATCAGCTCCGTATTTTAACTAAGGTTAAGCCTTTTTTAAACCACTGGAGGAAACCATCCATCCATAAGTTCTAGAATTGATTATTGCAATGCCCTTTATTTTGGAGTTTCCCAGTCCTGTCTTAATCGTCTCCAGTTAGTGCAAAATGCTGCAGCTCATTTTTTAACAAACACCCCCAGACGTGAACACATCACCCCAGTCCTTTTTTCTTTAAATTGGCTTCCAGTTTCTTCTAGAGTTGATCTTAAAATTCTTCTCTTTGTTTTTAAAGCCCTCAATGGTCTCCCCCTTTCATACCTGTCCCAACTTCTAACAGTTCGTGACTCGGGCAGATCATTGAGGTCATCAAATCAGCTCGTACTGGAAGTGCCTAGGACTCGGTCCAAACATTGGGGTGATCGATCCTTTTCAGTGCTGGACCAAACCTCTGGAACAAGCTGCCCCCTGATCTGCGCACCAACACTGACTTTGGCCTTTTTAAATCCAGACTTAAAACATATTCATTCAGACTGGCTTTTAATACTCAGTAGCACAGGGACACTTTAGTTTCTTGTGGTTTTATCTGTTTTATTGTTTGGTTGTATGAATGTTTTTAACAGATTTTAAAAAAGGCGACACTTTGGTTGCCTTGTGTGTTGTAAAAGGCTCTATAAATAGAATTTGATTGATTGATTGAAAACCAAAAGGTGAAGGTGGTGGTGAGCAGGGCTGTGGTCTGATGTAAAGGTTCACTACCCCCTCCTGGACCCCCTGCAGTTCACCTACAGAGCCAACAGATCTGTAGACGACGCCATTAACCTGGCCCTCCACTCCATCCTAGAGCACCTGGACTTCAACACCATCCTGCTCCAGGACAAGCTTTCCCCGCTCAACGTGCTCCACCTGCTCCACCTCCTTGTGGAGCAGGTGACTTCCTGACGGACAGGAAGCAGCGAGTGCTTCTGGGGAAGAATGTCTCTCGGATTCTCGGATTATAAATACAGGAACCCCACAGGGCTGTGTTCTTTCTCCCCTGCTCTTCTCCCCGTGTACCAACCACTGCACCTCCTCCCACTGCACCTCCTCCCACTGCACCTCCTCCCACTGCACCTCCAGCCACGACTCTGTGACCCTCATCAAGTTCGCGGACGACACCACCCTCATTGGACTCATCTCCAACAACTATGAGCCCTCCTTCAGGAGGAGGTGGACCGGCTGGTGTCCTGGTGTCTCCTACAGGAGGAGGTGTTCTGGTGCAGTGGTAACAACCTGGAGCTGAACGCCCAGAAGACAATGGAGATGATTGTGGACTTCAGGAAGAGCACTGTCCCCCCGCCCCCGCCCTCTCTGATGGACTCCCCCCTCACCTCTGCCCCCCTCCTCCCTGATGGACTCACCTCTGTGGAGTCCTTTCGTTTCCTGGGCACCACCATCACCCAGGAGCTTGTGGTGTCTGCTCTTATTAATAATTCGACATAGATCTGTGGGTCTTCATATGTATAGAATGTGATGGGACATGTCAGCACTAAATTACAGAAAACTGCTGACTCTTCTCTCTAATGAGACGAAGGAGACGTCTGGAAAAACAACAGACCTTATAAGTGTGAACATCTTTATCATGAGACTGAAATACTGTATCATGATGGTTGTAAAGTGTGTCTTGTGACTCTCCTAGTTTCCATAAGGGCTCGCTGCTTTGTGTGTTCGGGGTCATTCTGCTATCCCATCTTGTCAGGGCCCCGGGGCTGAAGCGCTGAGCCTGACTTTGACTTCATGTGTTCTGATTATGCCATTAAACTCTTTAATACATAACTCAGAGTGGATTCCTTCTCCAACACTTCACTGGTTTGTGCGAGGAACCTCCTCCATCACCTCCTCATCACCTCCTCCATCACCTCCTCATCACCTCCTCCATCACCTCCTCATCACCTCCTCATCACCTCTTCATTACCTCCTCCATCACCTCCTCATCACCTCCTCCATCACCTCCTCCATCACCTCCTCATCACCTCCTCCATCACCTCCTCCATCACCTCCTTATCAGCTCCTTCATCACCTCCTCCATCACCTCCTCCATCACCTCCTTATCAGCTCCTTCATCACCTCCTCCATCACCTCCTCATCACCTCCTCATCACCTCCTCCATCACCTCCTCATCACCTCCTCCATCACCTCCTCATCACCTCCTTTATCACCTCCTCAATCACCTCCTAGTTACCTACATCACCTCCTCATCAGCTTCTCATCACCTCCTCATCACCTCCTCATCACCTCCTCCATCACCTCCTCATCACCTCCTCCATCACCTCCTCATCACCTCCTCATCACCTCCTCATTACCTCCTCCATCACCTCCTCATCACCTCCTCCATCACCTCCTCCATCACCTCCTCATCACCTCCTCATCACCTCCTCCATCACCTCCTCATCACCTCCTCCATCACCTCCTCATCACCTCCTTTATCACCTCCTCAATCACCTCCTAGTTACCTACATCACCTCCTTATCAGCTCCTTCATCACCTCCTCCATCACCTCCTCATCACCTCCTCCATCACCTCCTCATCACCTCCTCCATCACCTCCTCATCACCTCCTTTATCACCTCCTCAATCACCTCCTAGTTACCTACATCACCTCCTCATCAGCTTCTCATCACCTCCTCATCACCTCCTCATCACCTCTTCATCACCTCCTCATCACCTCCTCATCACCTCTTCATCACCTCCTCCATCACCTCCTCATCACCTCCTTATCAGCTCCTCCATCACCTCCTCATCACCTCCTCCATCACCTCCTCATCACCTCCTTATCAGCTCCTCCATCACCTCCTCATCACCTCCTCCATCACCTCCTCATCACCTCCTCATCAGCTCTTCATCACCTCCTCATCACCTCCTCCATCACCTCCTCATCACCTCCTCCATCACCTCCTCATTATCTCCTCCATCACCTCCTCCATCACCTCCTCATCACCTCCTCATCACCTCCTCCATCACCTCCTCATCACCTCCTCATCACCTCCTCTTCACCTCCTTCATCACCTCCTCCATCACCTCCTCCATCACCTCCTCCATCACCTCCTCCATCACCTCCTCATCACCTCCTCATTACCTCCTCCATCACCTCCTCATCACCTCCTCCATCACCTCCTCATCACCTCCTCCATCACCTCCTCCATCACCTCCTTATCAGCTCCTCCATCACCTCCTCCATCACCTCCTCATCACCTCCTCCATCACCTCCTCATCACCTCCTCCATCACCTCCTCATCACCTCCTTCATCACCTCCTCAATCACCTCCTAGTTACCTCCATCACCTCCTCATCAGCTCCTCATCACCTCCTCATCACCTCCTCATCACCTCCTCATCACCTCCTCTATCACCTCCTCCATCACCTCCTCATCACCTCCTCTATCACCTCCTCATCACCTCCTCCATCACCTCCTCCATTGTGCGCTCTGCAGAGGAAGTGATCGGCCGCAGCCTTCCATCGCTGCAGGACCTGTACGTCCCCCGAGCTCGAGGCCGGGCTGGTCGTATCACAGCCGACCCCTCTCACCTGCACATGGACTATTCCAACCACTCCCCTCAGGCAGGAGGCTGCGGTCCATCAGGATCAGAACCTCCCGCCATAAGAACAGTTTCTTCCCCTTTGCTGTTGGACTCATGAACACTTTGTAATCCATCACTGACCTTTGACCTCTGACCTTATAGTCACTTTATGCTACTGTCACTTTACTGCACTCGGAACAGTCTGTTGTGTGTACTGTATATAGTATATATATATATATATATACTATATACAGTATATATATATATCTATCGATCTATATATCTACACATATATATTAATAGAGTATATAGTAAACTGAAGACATTTACGTAAATTTTTAATTATGCCTTTTTGTTTTTATTCTGCTTTTACTTGTTTGCACTGAGTACCAAAAACATTTCCTAGTTAGTGACTTCCTGTTAGTCACATGACAATAAAAGGATTCTGATTCTGATTCTAAATTCATCCTCTGCATTTGACCCTGTGTCACTAAGGCGTCCGTCAGGAGCAATGGTCGCCATAGTAGCAGCCCCCGGGAACCACCTGCAGATGTTGATGCTCTGGTTCAGGACCGGAGCTGGAGGATTTATTATTGATTGACTGCGGAACCTTCCGCAGTCAACCATTGGTTTTGTATTTCTTTATTCCGTCATTTTTTTTGACACGTTTCACAGCTTTCACATTTTCAACAATTTCCACAAGTTATACATCAAAACGTTCCACATGTTTGGGAGATTATTGCTATTACTTTTGGGACTTCAGCGATTTTCCGGTTTTTCCGCAATCGGACAAAAATCTGCATTGAGAATTCTGCAATGCATTTTAATAGGCCCATGCATTTTAATAGGACTTCAGCTCTTTCAGACATTTCTACAGTTTCAATGATTCAACAGTTTCAAGGATTCAACAGTTTCAAGGATTTCAGCAGTTTCAAGATTTCAAGAGTTTCAAGGACTTCAACAGTTTCAAGGACTTCAGCAGTTTCAAGGACTTCAGCAGTTTCAAGGACTTCAGCAGTTTCAAGGACTTCAGTGTAATCATGCAACCTAATAGGGATTTTTCCATGTAAACCAGTATAATGCAACTTAATAGGGATTTTTCCATGTAAACCAGTATAATGCAACTTAATAGGGTTTTTTCATGTAAACCAGTATAATGCAACTTAATAGGGGTTTTTTCCATGTAAACCAGTATAATGCAACTTAATAGGGGTTTTTACATGTAAACCAGTATAATGCAACTTAATAGGGTTTTTTCCATGTAAACCAGTATAATGCAACTTAATAGGGTTTTTTCCATGTAAACCAGTACAATGCAACTTAATAGGGATTTTTCCATGTAAACCAGTATAATGCAACTTAATGGGGATTTTTCCATGTAAACCAGTATAATGCAACTTATTGGGGATTTTTCCATGTAAACCAGTATTATGCAACTTAATAGGGATTTTTCCATGTAAACCAGTATAATGCAACTTAATAGGGATTTTTCCATGTAAACCAGTATAATGCAACTTAATGGGGATTTTTCCATGTAAACCAGTATTATGCAACTTAATAGGGGTTTTTACATGTAAACCAGTATAATGGAACTTAATAGGGGTTTTTACATGTAAACCAGTATAATGCAACTTAATAGGGATTTTTACATGTAAACCAGTATAATGCAACTTAATAGGGATTTTTCCATGTAAACCAGTATAATGCAACTTAATAGGGTTTTTTACATGTAAACCAGTATAATGCAACTTAATAGGGATTTTTCCATGTAAACCAGTATAATGCAACTTAATAGGGTTTTTTACATGTAAACCAGTATAATGCAACTTAATAGGGGTTTTTACATGTAAACCAGTATAATGGAACTTAATAGGGGTTTTTACATGAAAACCAGTATAAAGGATAACAGTTTAAAGGATATCAGGAGCTTCAAATACTTCAGGAGTTTCAAAGATGTTTAAAGTATTTTAACAGTTTCAAGGATTTCAAGGATTTTTCAGCTAAATTCCACATTAGATCTGTTCCGCAGTCAATCGCAATGGCTTCAGCCATTGCAACGGTTTCTAGTTATTATTAATCTTTATTAAGGGCACAATACAACACGGTCCATAGTTAAAAGGAAATATCCAATACACACAGTATATTGCATTTTGAAAAAAAAAAAAAATATATATATATATATATATATATACAGGAAAACAAAACAAAAAAGAGAAGATTCCAGCTGCTGTACAGTATAAAGGCATGACTTCCGGTAAATCCATAATCTGGAGATGAACAGCAGTGAGTTCCTCAGACGACACATGAATCTGAACTGAACATTACCCAAATGTTTGATCTATTTGTACATGTTTTTAGTGGTAAGGGAAACCTACACAGACACAGGGAGAACATGCAAACTCCACTCAGAAAGACCCTATTCCGACCGGGACTCGAACCCAGGACCTTCTTGTTGAGAAGAGAGAGAGCTAACCACTCAGCCACCGCACCACAGGAAATATGAGGCTGTGAATCCTGGAAGTGCAGCAGGTCTGAACATTGATTGTCCAATCAGAAAGCAGTCCAGAGAGACCCCAGAGACCAGAGAGAGACCAGAGAGACCCCAGAGAGAGGCCAGAGAGAGACCAGAGAGACCCCAGAGACCAGAGAGAGACCAGAGAGAGACCAGAGAGGCCAGAGAGAGACCAGAGAGACCCCAGAGAGACCCCAGAGACCAGAGAGAGACCAGAGAGAGACCAGAGAGGCCAGAGAGAGGCCAGAGAGAGACCTGAGAGATATGTTCCTTCAAATATTTGTTCCACGCGATGACGTCAATGTCATAGCATAAAACGAATAGGGCACTGTCCGGTTTCCGAAATGTGCTAAAAATAGCTCTGATGACTGCGCATGCGTGCATGTTTCGGACAAACATTGTGTACGACTCGTTGAGTTCTACTGTGTTCTCCACATACGCGTGTGTATTTATTTGGGCTAAATCATTGAATCATGGTGACTACAAAACACTGCAGTTATGGTAGATGTGGGAGCGATTTCAAATACTCTGAAAAGGACTATATGAAAGTAGAAACATTCAACCCGTTCGTTAAACCACACCATCGGACCAGACCAGGACCAGATCAGACTAGGACCAGACCAGGACAAGGACAAGAGGTGGGTGCTTGTGGTCGGCAGAATTTCTCTCATGAAAATGTTAAAAAGGACTCATATTTGTTCAAAACACTTCGTCTGTGAAGCTGGTCTGAGTATCCAGATCCAGTCCTAGCTACGTTTAGCTGGGACTGGACCTGGACCGTCTGGACCGCTGTATCAGGTCCGTCTGAGCTCTTCTGAATGTAGTTAGCACAAACTTTCTCTTTATACCATTTACCCCATCAATCCATGTAAGTATTGTTTGTCCTAATCCAGAAAGTTTACAATTCTCACACCTGAAGAAAGATGAGGGATTTTTTCAACTTCGTGACTATCGGAAAATAAGTACAGACGAAGCGCGTTATACGCTTTGTACCAACTGAACACACAAAATAAACTTAAGTCACTTTTATTAATGCCAAAAGGTTCATTTAATGACTGCAAAGAAAATAGTTCCCAAAGGTTTTCCCGTGGCAGGCGAGTAACAGTGAGGATAGCTAACCTACTTCAAAAAAGCGATCGCTTTAGTCGCATTAAAAAAGTATTTTTGTCATGAAAACCATAACAGATAATTCTGAAAACCTCCGTGCACTTGGGTTACGAATGTGTGTATAATATATTCTCCCATTAACATTTACATGTGTCGATTGATTGTCTTTTGCGTTTATTGAGTGTGGCTCCGATAGTTTCTCTCTCAGAGACAGTAGTGGCGTAGCCCGTTGTGACCCCATGGATCTATTATAATATCAGCTGACAGTAGCTAACTAATGATCAAACTTATTACAGGGTGGATAGTGCAAAAAAACTTGATAAATGAAAGTTAATCACAGCAAAATAAACAAAGAAGGCGCTAGCATTGCAATTTAAATGACTAGATAATGTTAGCATAATCCTCACCATTACCTTTTTATCAACTCAAACTTTCTACCAGTTACTGTAGACCACGATCAAGCCAACGTTATAATTGGTCTATACTATGATCCCTGATGGTTTGATGGTGGAACAAGTGGTATTTGATTCATTTCGGCAGTGTTTGTCCGAAACATGTGGGCGGGAGTTGACAGGCGGCGGGGGCGTGTCTTAGTGACGTCATTTAGATAGTTCGCTATCAAGGACACACTTCACTGACGATGGAGCCCCCTGCTGGAGAAGTCTGGTAGCAGCACTCTCCTCCTACTTCATTGAACCTCATTGTGACTTATGCTGCAGTCTGTTCATTACTATTCACCTACTGTCCCATTGTATGTGTCACCCAGCCTCTTTGACCTGCAGCTGGATCTACAGACTCAGTCCTAGGTCTACAGCCTCAGTCCTGGGTCTATAGCCTCACTCCTGGGTCTGCAGTCTCAGTCCTGGGTCTACAGCCTCAGTCCTGGGTCTACATCCTCAGTCCTGGGTCTACAGCCTCAGTCCTGGGTCTACATCTTCAGTCCTGGGTCTACAGCCTCAGCCCTGGGTCTACATCCTCAGTTCTGGGACTACAGCCTCAGTCCTGGGTCTACATCCTCAGTCCTGGGACTACATCCTCAGTCCTGGGTCTACATCCTCAGTCCTGGGTCTACAGCCTCAGTCTTGGGTCTACAGCCTCAGTCCTGGGTCTACAGCCTCAGTCCTGGGTCTACAGCCTCAGTCCTGGGACTACAGCCTCAGTCCTGGGTCTACATCCTCAGTCCTGGGTCTACATCCTCAGTCCTGGGTCTACAGCCTCAGTCCTGGGTCTACATCCTCAGTCCTGGGTCCACAGCCTCAGCCTATTCCAATGTAAGACACATTAAGGACAGTCACATGTTTAAAAGAGCATTTATTGTCTCACAGTCGGGATCATTGACAGTTTCCACAGTTATGTGGATTAAAACCAGGAGGAAACATAGTCCACCCAACACTTGAGGAGTTCCAGGGTCCAGGCCCGGAGCCGCTCCTGGAGCAAAGCCACCTCCTCTTCTGTCGCATCAGCGTCTAAGTCTTTACAGTTTGTTAAATCTGTGGAAGAAAAAAATCCAGAGTGGGTTAGACACTTATGGTATTGTGTTCGACGTACGTCCAAATGCAAATATTTCTAAGAAAAGTGTGTTTTGTCCCTGTGCTCTTGAACGCATCACTGTCTGAGTTCCCAAAAGGATCTTTACATCAGAGGGGGCGGGTCCCAGCTCCAATGGTCAATGAGCATGTGCTGCAATCTGGCTCCTTGCCAGTGGGGGTGCACCCGGAAACAGTATTACCCAATGAATTCTTATGACACCTTTTTTTCCTCTTTACAGGATGGTCCAAAAGTGGGTCTTGGTCCAAAAGTTACTCTTGGTCCAAAAGTGGTTCTTGGTCCAAAAGTGGGTCTTGGACCAAAAGTGGTTCCTGGTCCAAAAGTGGCTCTTGGTCCAAAAGTGGCTCTTGGACTAAAAGTGGGTCTTGGTCCAAAAGTGGGACTTGGTCCAAAAGTGGTTCTTGGTCCAAAAGTGGTTCCTGGTCCAAAAGTGGGTCTTGGTCCAAAAGTGGGTCTTGGACCAAAAGTGGGTCTTGGTCCAAAAGTGGGTCTTGGTCCAAAAGTGGTTCTTGGTCCTCTTGGTTCCAGATGCTATTCGAGGGGAGTATATGTTTTTGGACCAGTCTAGTTTAGCCGCTGTGGACTATAGAATGCTCTCACTGAATGAATGGGGCTAATGCAGCTGACACATGCACACCTTTTTTCACATTTTCTAGAGGGAGGGGCCACTCGCGTCCATTTTGAAAAAGACTGCAGGAAGTAAAAGGGATGTCACATACGTTTCAGTGGCGTCTGTTCATATTTACAGTCTGTGAAGCAGCACCGGGTGAATGCACTGAACTTTGGACACAAACACAGACACACACACACACATAGACACACACAGACAAACACACACACACATACACACACACACACACACACACACACACACACACACACACACACACACACACACACACACACACTTACCAAAGTCAGAGCCCAAGCGCTCAGGTCGGGGCAGATGCAGACACGAGGCCTGTGTCTCAAACTCCAGTACTTCTGCTGGTTCCACACTCTTCCTGCGACCTGCAACAGAGAACATGAGAATCTGCTGCCAGAACTAGAGGCCACCCGTGGTACTGCACCTAAATCCACATGGACTAGAGGCCACCTGTGGAACTGAAGTCTTCAGAACTACAGTTTTCCCCTTGTCCTGTGGAAGTAGAGCCACTGCACAGACCAGGAGAACCAGAGCGGACCAGAACACTTCTGCTGATGTTTGGACCAATAAGAACCAATAAGACCAGGACACTGATCTGAGTGAGCAGACAGGGGCAGACATCTTGGAGAGACTAGGGGCAGACATCTTGGAGAGACCAGGGGCAGACATCTTGGAGAGACCCGGGGCAGACATCTTAAAGAGACCAGGGGCAGACCTTACTTGGAGAGACCCGAGGCTTGGTACCAATCAAGGATGCCTTTGTGTGTGTGTGTGTGTGTGTCCTTACTGGAGAAGAACAGCATTGTGGTGGTGTTGGAAAAGTCCAACCTGATTACTAGGCAGTCGGAGCAGCTGCTGTGAAGCGATTGGTACGTTTCCTCTGAAGAAAAATACACAATATTTATATTTACAGTTACACACGCTTACACACGCTTACACACACTTACACACAAACACACTGTACACACACTGACCTCCATCATCTGAGGTCAGCAGTCCTTTCAGAGGAGTGAGTGAGATCACGACCTTTTCACAATATGACATTCTGAAGAATAGAAAGTATACTCAAACAGATATCTGCAGTACACACACAAACACTCCACTCCACTCCACACACAATGTATATAAAGTGTGTATATATATATATATATATATATATATATATAATATATATATATATATAGAGCAGCACCTACGTCTTGTACTTCATGCAGCCTGATACTGCTTTGTGTCTTTGGTGACGTCCATCATGAGGCTGGGATTGATCAGAGTCTGCAGAGTGCGTCTCAACACACACGAGTCTGTGCTTGTGGCATGGACAAACCACCTCCCTGTGAGCTGCACACAGGTACAGGTACAGACACAAGTACAGGTACAGGCACAGGTACAGGTACAGACACAAGTACAGGTACAGGCACAGGTACAGGTACAGACACAAGTACAGGTACAGGCACAGTACAAGTACAGACACAAGTACAGGTACAGGCACAGGTACAGGTACAGGTACAGACACAGGTACAGGTACAGACACAAGTACAGGTACAGACACAAGTACAGACACAGGTACAGGTACAGACACAGGTACAGGCACAGACACAAGTACAGGTACAGGCACAGGTACAGACACAGGTACAGGTACAGACACAGGTACAGGCACAGACACAAGTACAGGTACAGGTACAGGTACAGACACAGGTACAGGCACAGACACAAGTACAGGTACAGGCACAGGTACAGGCACAGGTACAGGTACAGACACAAGTACAGGTACAGACACAGGTACAGGTACAGACACAGGTACAGGTACAGACACAGGCACAGGCAGGTACAGGTACAGACACAGGTACAGGTACAGACACAGGTACAGGCACAGGTACAGGTACAGACACAGGTACAGGTACAGACACAGGTACAGACACAGGCACAGGCACAGGTACAAGTACAGGTACAGACACAAGTACAGGTACAGGTACAGACACAGGTACAGACACAGGTACAGGTACAGGTACAGACACAGGTACAGGTACAGACACAGGTACAGGTACAGACACAAGTACAAGTACAGACACAGGTACAGGTACAGACACGGGTACAGGTACAGGTACAGACACAGGTACAAGCACAGGTACAGACACAGGTACAGGTACAGACACAGGTACAGACACAGGTACAGACACAGGTACAGACACAGGTACAGGTACAGACACAGGTACAGGTACAGGTACAGACACAGGTACAGGTACAGACACAGGTACAGGTACAGGCACAGGTACAGACACAGGTACAGGTACAGGTACAGGTACAGACACAGGTACAGACACAGGTACAGGCACAGGTACAGACACAGGTACAGGTACAGACACAGGCACAGACACAGGTACAGGTACAGACACAGGTACAGACACAGGTACAGGTACAGACACAGGTACAGTCCCTGGTCTCTTACGTCTTGGACTTGGCCGGGGCTGGTCAGCTGGTCACAGGTGAGAGGAGCTGCTCTACAGACGTAGAGCAGAGCACAGAGCACAGCACACACAGCCTTCATCTCTGAGGAAGAATACAGATTACAAGACAGCCTTCAACCATGGAGACCAGGGAGAGACCAGAGAGGGACAAGAGAGAGACCAGAGAGGGACCAGAGAGAGACCAGAGAGGGACCAGAGAGAGACCAGAGAGGGACCAGAGAGAGACCAGAGAGAGACCAGAGAGAGACCAGAGAGGGACCAGAGAGGGACCAGAGAGGGACCAGAGAGAGAGACCAGAGAGAGAGACCAGAGAGGGACCAGAGAGAGACCAGAGAGAGGCTTGAGTGAGACCAACCGATCTATGAGGACCCTGACTCTGTGTGGTCCTTCTCCTCTGCTTGGGCCTCGAGAGAGACCACTGGAGTAAAGTGAGAGTACCCACCTCTGTCCTGGTCCTCTGTCCACAGAATCACAGCTGTGGCCCAGACCTGGGACCTTTATATTTCTGGATCAAGGTTTGTCTGATATTGATCTGAACCTGAACCTCTGTTGTTGACTTGGGACAGTTGTGTAACTTTAGAATAAACACAACATTTACCAGAGACACAGTCATACACAGAGTCATACACAGAGTCATACACAGAGTCATACACAGAGTCATACACAGAGTCATACACAGAGTCGTACACAGAGTCATACATAGAGTCGTACACAGCAGCATTTACCGGAGACACAGGAGACAGTGAGATAACAGATCCTTTTCTTGTCCCACAGTGGGGAAATTTCAGTGTTGCAGCGCACAGACAGGACGGTAGTAAGAAACACAGGGAGCACACAAAAATATGCAAAAGAAGTGGTAGCTATGTTTCTTAACTGGCTATAAATGCTTCAATATCAGTCTTTAAAAAATATAAATATATGTATATATAGTGCGGAGTTATATACTGTACATATAGAGCGGGAGACCAGACAGTATATATTAACACAGTATATATTAACACAGTATAAACACAGTATATATTAACACAGTGTATATTAGCACAGTATACATTAACACAGTGTATTTTAACACAGTATATATTAACACAGTATAAACACAGTATATATTAACACAGTATATATTAACACAGTATATATAAACACAGTATATATTAACACTGTATATATTAACACAGTATATATTAACACAGTATATATTAACACAGTATAAACACAGTATATATTAACACAGTATAAACACAGTATATTAACACAGTATATATTAACACAGTATACATTAACACAGTGTATATTAACACAGTATATATTAACACAGTATATATTAACACAGTATATATTAACACAGTATATATTAACACAGTATAAACACAGTATATATTAACACAGTATATATTAACACAGTATATATTAACACAGTATAAACACAGTATAAACATAGTATATATTAACACAGTATAAACATAGTGTATATTAACACAGTATATATTAACACAGTATATATTCCATCCATCCATCTTCTACCCTTTAATCCATTTCTGGGTCAGGGGGGTGGCAATCAGAGATGCCACCCAAGTCTCATAGCACCAGCCCCTCACTGACCCTCTGCAGGTGGTGAGTCCACAGGAGGACGGCTGCTCTCTGAGTGTGAGCATAGCCTTGATCTTTCAGTGGGGGCTTTGGGCAAAGTGGGGTTAAGTGTCTTGCCCAAGGACACAACGACAGCAGTCATCAGTGGGAGTTGATGGAGAAGGTGCAGAGGTGGGAATTGAACCCACAACCTTCTGGCCTTAAGGCCAATGCTCTACCAACTGAGCTACTGTCGCCAGTATATATTAACACAGTATAAACATAGTATATATTTACACAGTATATATTAACACCGTATATATTAACACAGTATATATTAACACAGTATAAACATAGTATATATTTACACAGTATATATTAACACCGTATATATTAACACAGTATATATTAACACAGTATAAACATAGTATATATTTACACAGTATATATTAACACCGTATATATTAACACAGTATATATTAACACAGTGTTCTTTGTGATTCATATAAAAATCTTCATCTTCTTTTGTTCTTTCTGTAAAAACTGAAACGTCCCGGTGTCGAGGACTGTCCCTGTGCTCCACTCTGAAATTCCTGTGATTGGTGCTTTTGTGCTGCGAGGTCCCGGAACGGTGCTGCGAGGTCCCGGGACAGACTGCGAGGTCCCGGTACAGACTGCGAGGTCCCGAGACAGAATCTACATAATTACCCGATCACTTTAACGCAGGGCCTTTCCCGGGGGCCAGTCTTTGTGCGGCTCCTTGGAGACTATTAGTCGAAGCCCAATGCCTGTTGCTAAGAGAGAGAGGCCACTGGAGCAGAAAATCTAAAGACCCCCAAAGAACCCCCCCTCTCCCCCTGCGCTGGGACACGGGGGTACAAGGGTCCTGTGTGGGCTCAGATCACACTGCTAGTTTATTTGTGTGGCACAGTCCATAGACACATTCAACTCACACAAGGCATAAATAACAAACTCACAATGAGATAAAACTCCCGTGTTATTGTTGTGTTCTCTGGGTCTGAACGCTTTGATTTTCTGATTTGCTGTTGGTGAATCCATAACTTTGTCTTCAGAGATAATTGTTGTGATTTAGAGCGATACACAAAAAAACTGAAGAAATACAGGTCTTCAACCGGAGATTGAATTATCTATGTAGGTTCTTTTTCCCTTTACACTGTCCCCTAATATATTCTGAGGCCAACCACCCTAGATTTAATATATACTGCGGCCTACCACCCTAGTTTTAATATATACTGAGGCCTCTCCCAGTTCAGAGAGAGACCAGAGAGAGACCAGAGAGCGACTAGTGAGAGATCAGAGGGAGACCAGAGAGAGACCAGAGGGAGACCAGAGAAAGACCAGAAAGAGACCAAAGAGAGACCAGAGAGAGACCAGAGAGAGACCAGAGAGACCAGAGAGAGAACAGAGGGAGACCAGAGAGAGACCAGAGGGAGACCAGAGAGAGACCAGAAAGAGACCAGAGAGAGACCAGAGGGAGACCAGAGAAAGACCAGAGAAAGACCAGAAAGAGACCAGAGAGAGACCAGAGAGACACCAGAGAGAGACCAGAGAGAGACCAGAGACAGACCAGACCAGAGAGACCAGAGAGAGACCAGAGAGAGACCAGAGAGACCAGAGAAAGTCTATGTTAGCATTGTCCATCTGTCTGTATGTATCACATGTTTCTCAGGATTGATTGAGTCTTCTTCTTCTCCTTCTCCTTCATCTTCTTCCTCTTCTTCATTATCGTCTGATGAAGGCGTCTCTCTCACTTCTGCATCAGATTAAAGGTACCCACAGTGACGTCACACGATGCTCGACGCAGCACGAACTTTCACTTTCAGCGTATGGAAAAGTGACCCACGTCATTCTGGGGGGGTCCGGCACCACCCCCCCCCCCCCCCCCCTCACCCCCCTCACTCTCAGCCCCTGCTCTATATTTCCATAACAAAGACGGCGCAAGTGAAAGGGTTAAGCCTGTGAGCTGGACTCCCCAAACAAGTATAGCCCCCAATTTGAGTCTCCATGGGGAGGAGGGGAGAGTGGGGTTGTGGGGGAGGCAGGGGGGGCGAGGATGGGGCCCCCCGACAATAGGGCCCCGGGGGGAGGAGCGCAGAGGAATCCTTTACGGAGTGCACCTGCGGACTGAAAGGGCTCAACAATGAGGAGCGAAACGGGCAATTACTCAAGAGGAAAGAGTGGGGAAGGGAGGGGGGAGGGCTGAGGGGGAGGCAGGGGGAGGGAGGCGGGCGAATATTCAGGGGGTTCTTTAAAGAGCCGCAGATGCCGTGTGGAGCGAGGCCTGGGTTTGGTGCAGTTGTGGTATTGTGTAAATGTGATAGTTTGTGTTGAGTTGGAGCAGAGGGTCTACCCCGAGCTCCGACCTAACCCACCCGACCTGTACCCCGCGTACAACCTAAAGAAATTGACCAAAGATGCAGAGGCCTGGGATCAGGTCTCGGCATGTGTTTTATATCCAGAAAAAATACAGAAGGGTTTGCTATCTGTATACAGATGAACAATGCTAACCCGGTAGCTCAATGAAGCCCAAAAGGGAAGTGCTCATGGTGAAGTTTGGCAAAAAAGCAAAACAAATGCCCATATAAGGAAAATGTTATTAATAGAAATGTAATTATGCTCATGTTGAAGTGAAAATCTGTCATTTAATTGCACGTGTTTTCTCAGTCCTGGGCCTAAATAACTCATTTACAATCATAAGTGTCTTGCCTCCAAAGTAGTCTGTAGATTGGGCCTCTCATTACAAGTACTCTTTAGCTAAAACTTAACCCTCAATAGTGAATTAACACTGTTTACAGAAGGACAATGCTAACATGCTAGCTCACTGCTAACCCATGAGCTCAGTGAAGCCCAATAGGGAGGTGCTCAGGGTGAAGTTTGGCTCCTCTCCACTTCCATGTAAAAGTAAACGCAATATTTTGGACTTAAATCTGTGGATTTTTGCTCTGATCCTTTGTTTATATGTGATGTCTTTGTAAATCTAGGTATAACCATGTAAGGACTGACCAATCAGCTTGTTTTAGCAACCAATAGTCCCCCCCCTCCCTGTGGTGCGGTTTAAACTTCTCCAGAAAACAGTGATCAGCAGAATTGTATTAAAAACACTTTTATTAAAATATACATTTAGGTCAAACTCTCGTTAAGAGCAGAACAGAACAGGAAGTGGATACAGCAGGACCACTCCCTGCCCATATAAGGGAATGGGAAGTGGATACAGCAGCCACTCCCTGCCCATATAAAGGAACAGGAAGTGGATACAGCAGGACCACTCCCTGCCCATATAAGGGAAGCCCTTTAAAACACTGGTTACATCAGGTCTGAGATCAAACCGCGGTCCTTAAAGTCTCGCATTGCAAGGATCAGGTTCATGTTATGTACAAATGCATCAAGGGATGCCCGACAGGTGCATCATGGGACGCCTCACAGGTGCGCCTCAGAAACAAACATTCAAAACATGGATTTAATTCAGTTCAGACATTTTTGAAAAAAGTAAAAACAGCAGCCGGTTCAGACTGACGCAGTCCTCAGCTAATCAGAACAGGCTCATCACAGCAGCACGTCGTCACGGCGACAACTGGAGGAAGTGGGCGTGGTCACGCCCCAGGTATGCAGACTGCCTTTCTGCTCACAGACACAGCCCTGAGACCAAAGGGGGGCGTGGTCAGGGAGAGTGTCCTCAAGTAGGCGTGGCCTCAGATGGGCGTGGCTTCAGGCATGTCCTCAGATGTGCGTCAGTGGGACGCTGCCGGGGCTCAGGTAGTGCGGCTGCACAGTGCTGTAGCCTCTGTGAGCCTCTTGAGCGTCTCCTGTGCTGTTGGGGATGTACATGCTGATCATGTCACGCAGGTCGCCCTGCAGCGCCCCCCGGTGGTGGGAGGGGGGAGGGGAAGCCTCAGGCTTCACCATGGAGACGGGCATGGGGGCGGGAGGCTGAGGGCTGTAGGACAGCGGGCTGCAGACAGAGACACTCGTTAGAGACAGGTTCAATACAGACTGTTTACATGTACGCTAACCCTATAAACCAGCACCTGTGCAACCCAGCACCTGTGCAACACAGCCAGCACCTGTGCAACACAGCCAGCACCTGTGCAACACAGCACCTGTGCAACCAACACCAGTGCAGCAGAGCGAGACCAGAGCCTCCGACTCTGACCCAGTAAATACCTCAGGTATCGTCCGTCGCTTGTCCAGACCGTTTTTATTGATCTTCAGATAAAAACACAAATGTTACATTTACATCGGCCGAGCCTGGGTCGAGTTGTAAGAACCTTCATTGGCATTACTAAAGCTGCTGAGGGGATCATTTATCATTCAGCATTGCTAATGCAGTGGTTAGCAATGCCGCCTCACAACAACCTGGGGCCTAACCCAAACCCTGAATACATACAGTCTGGTATCAAAGACTTAAAGACTGTTCCACAAGTTATTACAGGCCCTTTCCAACATGTGAGGACTCCCCCAGAGGCCCCCCCCCAGAGGAGCCCCGTCTCATTTCAGATGCATCACAATTGAAGCCACCGTTTATTCAAATTAGCCTGAAAAGCGGCGTGTCCTAAAGCCCAGTTCTATGTGACAAGGTCTGATCTTAAACATGTTACCGTTTGACTCTTTCGGCTTTTCAGGACCAAAGATGTGACAGAAACATGTGGAAACGAGTGATAGAACTAGGAACTAGACTGTGCCATTGTTTAGAAAATCATGTCGCTGAGCTTTAATAAAAGGACAACACCAGGAAACGGTGAGACACCTTCTGCATGGGGGCAGGTTTTAGATAAGATTGTTTTTTAGAGAGACCAGAGAAAGACCAGAGTGAGAGACTAATGGGGAGAGCACATACTGCATCTTTGAGATAAAGACTTTGGTCCAAATGCAAAATGTGTCCCAAAACAAACTCAGTGCAGAGTCAGACATGGGGGGGTGTGGGGCTGCCTTTCTTCAGCAGGGACAGGGAGGAGGGCAGAGTGTTTACTCTGGTGTATGAAGACTTTTGCACGCTCAGAACCGTGTTTTGCTTCAGTCTAAACTTTCAGTAATGTTTTTGTTTTTAAACACAAAGTATATTTGAATCCAAACTTTATACATTTCTTTTGATAAATATTGTGTAATATAATGGTTTGGTTTTTTAAATTTCTCAGAATTCCATTGATTTGAATGAGAGCAGTCAAAAAGACTGCTGTGGAGCCGAAGGCTCAGGATGAAACAGAAGCTTCAGTGTCTGGACCACACACAGCTGTCCTGATCTACATTCAGCTCACGGGCACGCTCACGCTCACGGGCACAACAATTCCTCAGACAGATCCAGTGAAAGGTTTGTGTCGAGAAGAAAAGACAAAGTAAACTGAAAACATTAAAGATAATTAAATCTAAAACTTTGTCACAGTGAAGACCCTCACAAGTGAAGACCCTCACAAGTGAAGACCCTCACAAGTGAAGACCCTCAGGTCTTGTGGAAACACTTCAGATCTAAACTCATCTAAAAGAGACTCAATGTAAAAATATAAAACATACACATCTTAAATATACTTTACAAATAAACACACAGCACTATTCACCTGTAGGAATTGTGTGTATATTAAAGTCACCTGTAGGAGTTGGCCCCGGGCATGTAGCCCTGGCTGACCCCGGGGCTCATGGGGCCCATGGGGCTGAGGCTGTTGTACTGCAGCGCGGACAGGTCGTACCGATGCAGCTGCTGCGTGTAGCTCATGTCCCCCTGCATGCCCCCGTACCCCCCCGTGGGGCCCCAGCCGTAAGCGTCCATGCGGGGGCTGGAGCTCTGTCCCTGGGCGCTGTGTGGGGACAGGAGGCCCCCAGGGGCCAGAGGGAACTTGGCCCCGGGACAGTCCTTCTTGAGCAGCGGCTTGCTCTTCCTGCGCGGCTTGTACTTGTAGTCTGGGTAGTCCTTCATGTGCACGGCCCTCAGGCGCTTGGCCTCGTCTATGAAGGGCCTCTTGTCTGCGTCGCTCAGCAGCTTCCACTCGGCCCCCAGGCGCTTACTGATCTCAGAGTTGTGCATCTTGGGGTTCTCCTGAGCCATCTTCCGGCGCTGCCCGCGGGACCACACCATGAAGGCATTCATGGGCCGCTTCACCTTGTCCATGGGGTCGCTGTCAGGGGCACAGGGGCCCTTAGAGGCGTGGTGCTGGGGCCCGCTGTTCAGAGGGGACAGACCCTGGCTCTGGCTCTCGTGCTCCAGCAGACTGTACATGGTTCCGACACCAGAGACACCAGCGAGAGGACAGCGGCTGTGAGAGATTATCTAATCACAGCTGACGGAGCAGGTGTGTGCAGGGCATCCGGGGGAACACAGCAGAACAGAGAGAGTCAGAGCATGTCCTCCTGTGCCTATGTCTCTGTGTCTCTGTGGGACCCTTGTGCTCTGGTGCTGGCCCCTCTCTGGGGCCTGGGTCTTATTGTCATTCAGAACAGGCCCCTGGCCCCTGGACCAATGGCAGGCGCGCTCCTCCTCTGTGCGCGTGCATTTACACCTCAAAAGATCCGGGGCGCGGGACACAAGTTGACGTAAGTGATTCATGCCCCCCCGCCGAGAGGAGAGGAGAGGAGAGGAGGAGAGAAGAGAGGAGAGAAGAGAGGATAGGAGGAGCAGAGGAGAGGAGGAGGAAGAGGAGAGGACGCTCCATCACGTTCTCTCAGGTCGGCAGATCAGGCTCTGCTCTGGGTTCCTCCGACTAAACGGAAACTCAGAGATCGAGCCTTTTCGGTTGTTGGTCCTATATGATGGAATGAGCTGCCCCTGTGTGTGAGACTGTCTGAGTCACTTCCTGTATTTAAGTCTTGTCTTAAGACTCACTTGTTCTCATTGGCTTTTAAGTGATTTTCAATTGATTTTTTTTGCCACTGTTTTGTATTTTGTAATTGTATATTTGTGTATGTATTTTTATGTACAGCACTTTGGGTCAACATTGTTGTTTTTATTAATGCTTTTTAAATAAACTGGATTGGATTGGAGGAGCAGCAAGGAGAGAGGAGAGGAGCAGAGAGGAGAGGAGAGGAGCAGACCTGAAGACCTCTGAGGTTTTACTGTCGTTCATAAAGTAAACTATGGACATTGGTCTCTTCCTTTTACAGCTCTGAGTTTGATTTTCTAATCTGTGAATCCACAACTTTGTAAAGTCCTCAGAGACGACTGATTCAGGTCAAGACACAAATACATTAAATAAACTATTGTTTCGAGGCAAATTCTGGGATATTAATAATGCTTCAGTTATTATACACAGTGGTGATAAACTACTACTGTAGCCACAGCTGCCCTGGGGCACACTGACAGAAGCGAGGCGACCAGTCTGTGCCATCAGCCCCTCCCACCACCACCAACCATTCACACACACATCAGGTTCATTCTGATGTGGGGGAAGTGTTTTGCCTAAGGACACAACCACAGTTTGGCACTTTACAGCCGCCCCACTGTGGCACCTGCTGTTCCCAGAGGTCTCCCATCACAGCACTAGCCAGGCTATGCCCCGCTTAGCTTCAGAGGTCTAACCAGATCTGGCTTTGACCTGCAGGGGGCGCCACATAATCTACAACAGAAATCTTCAACCTGTGGCTCCCAAAGGATTCAAGAATCTAACACCTGCTGCTGAAAGATTCACTTTGAATTCCTTACTTTTCTACGATGCTAAAGGAGTAGCTCTCTTATTAGCATGTACAGCTAGCTAAGAAGCAGAGAGCTACTTGTCTGTACTCCCTGTGCGCTGCAACACTGACATTTCCCACTATGAGACGAATAAAGGATCTCTCCTATCTCTGCCGCTTCTGTTCTTTAGCAGCGTCTCCTAGTGTCTGTTATGACTCGTTCTGTTCCTCATTCACTGATTCCAGATAAATTGTTGTTGAGTATATTTTCAAAACGTTAACATGGAACATAATCTTTTTCTCAGTAACACAAACCAGTCCAGGATAAAACACACACATTTATTACACACACACACACACGCACAGTCCAGCACCAACACACGTCTACACACATCCCACTCACTGTCCCAGAGAAGAATGGGCCAAAATTCTAACATACGACATGTGGCAAGCAGCGGTTTGGTCACGTTCAGCTCCAGCACTGGTCCTGCTCTCCTGACTCTGGTCCTGTTCTCCCTCGAGTGTTGGTCTTTGTCTTGGTCTTGGTCTTGGTTCTGGTGCTGGTCTTGGTCCTGGTCTAGTCCGCCTTGGTCTTGGTTGGTGGCTGCGTGTTCCAGTAGTAGAGCAGCTGCAGCACCAGGATTCCATTACACAGAGACGAGACCATGTACGTGACAGCCATTAGAGAATCACCAGTCTCCTGCAAAACACACATCATCAGAGACCAGAGGGAGGCCAGAGGGAAACCTGAGAGAGAGACCAGAGGGAGACCCGAGACGGACCAGACCAGAGAGAGACCAGAGAGAGACCAGAGAGAGACCAGAGAGAGAGACCAGAGGGAAACCTGAGAGAGAGACCAGAGGGAGACCCGAGACGGACCAGAGGGAGACCAGAGAGAGACCAGAGAGAGACCAGAGAGAGAGACCAGAGAGAGAGACCAGAGAGAGAGACCAGAGAGAGAGACCAGAGAGAGAGACCAGAGAGAGAGACCAGAGAGAGAGACCAGAGAGAGAGACCAGAGTCCTACAGCCTCAGTCCTGGATCAGTTCCTGGGTATGTACAGTGCCTTGCGAAAGTATTCGGCCCCCTTGAACCTTTCGCCACATTTTAGGCTTCAAACATAAAGATATAAAAATTAAATTTTTTGTCAAGAATCAACAACAAGTGGGACACAATCGTGAAGTGGAACGAAATGTATTGGATAATTTTAACTTTAACAAATAAAAAAATGAAAAGTGGGGCGTGCAATATTATTCGGCCCCCTTTGCGCTAATACTTTGTAGCGCCACCTTTTGTTGCAATTACAGCTGCAAGTCGCTTGGGGTATGTCTCTATCAGTTTTGCACATAGAGAGACTGGAATTCTTGCCCATTCTTCCTTGCAAAACAGCTGGAGCTCAGTGAGGTTGGATGGAGAGCGTTTGTGAACAGCAGTCTTAAGCTCTTTCCACAGATTCTCGATTGGATTCACGTCTGGACTTTGACTTGGCCATTCTAACACCTGGATACGTCTATTTGTGAACCTTTCCATTGTAGATTTGGCTTTATGTTTTGGATCATTGTCCTGTTGGAAGATAAATCTCCGTCCCAGTCTCATGTCTTTTGCAGACTCCAACAGGTTTTCTTCCAGAATGGTCCTGTATTTGGCTCCATCCATCTTCCCATCAATTTTAGCCATCTTCCCTGTCCCTGCTGAAGAAAAGCAGGCCCAAAGCATGATGCTGCCACCACCATGTTTGACAGTGGGGATGGTGTGTTCAGGGTGATGAGCTGTGTTGCTTTTACGCCAAACATATCGTTTTGCATTGTGGCCAAAAAGTTCGATTTTGGTTTCATCTGACCAGAGCACCTTCTTCCACATGTTTGGTGTGTTTCCCAGGTGGCTTGTGGCAAACTTTAAACGAGACTTTTTATGGATATCTTTGAGAAATGGCCACTCTTCCATAAAGGCCAGATGTGTGCAGTGCACGACTGATTGTTGTCCTATGGACAGACTCTCCCACCTCAGCTGTAGTTATCTGCAGTTCATCCAGAGTGATCATGGGCCTCTTGTCTGCATCTCTGATCAGTCTTCTCCTTGTTTGAGATGAAAGTTTGGAGGGACGGCCGGGTCTTGGTAGATTTGCAGTGGTCTGATACTCCTTCCATTTCAATATAATTGCTTGCACAGTGCTCCTTGAGATGTTTAAAGCTTGGGAAATCTTTTTGTATCCAAATCCGGCTTTAAACTTCTCCACAACAGTATCTCGGACCTGCCTGGTGTGTTCCTTTGTCTTCATGGTTCTCTCTGAACTTTAAACAGAACCCTGAGACTATCAAAGAGCAGGTGCATTTATACGGAGACTTGATTACACACAGGTGCATTCTATTTATCATCATCAGTCATTTAGGACAACATTGGATCATTCAAAGGGCGACAGTAGCTCAGTTGGTAGAGCATTGGCCTTAAGGCCAGAAGGTTGTGGGTTCAATTCCCACCTCTGCACCTTCTCCATCGACTCCCACTGATGACTGCTGTCGTTGTGTCCTTGGGCAAAGATCCTCACTGAACTTCTGGAGTGAGTTTGCTGCACTGAAAGTAAAGGGGCCGAATAATATTGCACGCCCCACTTTTCTGTTTTTTTATTTATTAAAAAAGTTTAAATTATCCAATACATTTTGTTCCACTTCACGATTGTGTCCCACTTGTTGATTCATGACAAAAAATTAAAATTTTATATCTTTATGTTTGAAGCCTGAAATGTGGCAACATTTTGAAAGGTTCAAGGGGGTTGAATACTTTCGCAAGGCACTGTATATAAAGTGAAGTAGACGAGGGTCCTGTCCTGCAGTGGCCCCCCCCCGGAGAGGGTCTGTTTATGTATACACTGTTTACCATCGCATGTTCAACACTCTCTCCCCCTCTCTCCCTCACTCACACTCTCCCCTCACTCTCTCTACGCTCTCCCCTCCCTCTGGGGTCCTAGTGCCAGTCCTGTTTACCTGCATAGATGTGAATATTCGAGCGAGAGAGCCGGAGAAAAGGAGGAAGGCAGACACTGCCGACAGCTGACCAGTGTGGCCGTTCTGAAAGTTGGTGACCGCCTGGATCAGCTGCAACACACACACACAGAGAGACACACACGTTTAATGACATCATACTTGAACAGCGTTATGAATAGTTCTCAAGTGAAACACATTCTTTAGAATCACATCTCTCGAAATCCAACTCCTCCCTCTGGTGGCAGCACAGGGAATTACAGCTACAGCATCTTATACCTTTTTCACATTCATATATTTCTACTCAATATATGTATCACCTGAACTGAGAGAGACCAGAGAGAGAGACCACAGAGAGACCACAGAGAGTACAGAGTGAGACTGGTGGCAGGATAGAGTCACAGCTACAGAAAGCTATTTGTTAGTTATTATTTCACATTGTAAATATACAGTATGTGAAGTCTGTGTAGATAGAGGGGTAGGAGAGGGGGGTGGGGGCTTACCCGTCCGATGACCACAGCGGGCATGTTAGAAGCCTGCAGGGTCGTGATGAGGGAGGGGGGAGTGATGGGGGAGAGCAGAACAGCCAGGACCACCCCATACAGCAGCACCAGCAGCACTCCTGCAAAACACACACACAGGCTTTACTATGGAAGAGTGTGGGTGTGCGTGCGTGTCTACCTGTGCTGGTCCTCTGGTTGTAGGCGAGGATGAGGAATGAGATGCGTGTGTGTACACCTGTGTGTGCGCGTGTGTGTGTACCTGTGTGTGCATGCATGCATACCTGTGCTGCTCCTCTGGTTGTAGTGGAGGATGAGGAATGAGGTGTGTGTGTGTGTACCTGTGTGTGTATGCGCCTGTGTGTGTGCGCGTGTGTGTGTACCTGTGTATGTGTGTGTGTCTGTGTGTGCATGCGGGCGTACCTGTGCTGCTCCTTTGGTTGTAGTGGAGGATGAGGAAGGCGATGATCAGTGTCTGCAGCATGAGGAAGAGCGCCTCTCCCCACGCACTGGAGGAACACAGGTTGTTAAGACTGGTCTCTCTCTCTCTCTTTGGTCTCTCTCTCTCTCTCTCTATCTCTGGTCTCTCTCTGATCTCTCCCTAGTCTCTCTCTATCTCTGGTCTCTCTCTCTCTCCCTAGTCTCTCTCTCTCTCTCTCTGATCTCTCCCTAGTCTCTCTCTATCTCTGGTCTCTCTCTCTCTCCCTAGTCTCTCTCTAGTCTCTCTCTGGTCTCTCTCTGGTCTCTCACCTGAAGGGGAACTGGTTGATGATGCTGTAGGCCATGGTTCCAGTGATGGCCACCAGCTCCAGAAGAACAGACTTCAGGCTCAGACCCTCAGCACTGGAGGCTCCTACAAGCTTCAGGATCTGAGGAAGCTTCACTGGAAGAGATAGAGCGAGAGAGCGAGAGAGAGAAAGAAAGACACACACAGAGTCAGCCTGGATGAATGCAGTCAAATGTCTCATTTGCATAAATATATTTAGTCCTGGATCTACAGCCTCAGTCCTTTATTTTTATAGTTCAATATGGTGTGTCCCCAGAATTCATAGAAACAAACGTGTGTATGTGTGTGGGTACATAGTATTTACCAAGGACTGATCCCAGGATGATGCCGATGCCCAGACCTTTGCTGATCACAACCTTCAAACATGGAACTGCAGGAGAAATCAGGTTATAGGTCACTTTCATGTAGGGTCTCTCTTACAGAGTGCTAACCACTCAGACACTGTGTTAGCAGTACAGAGGCCTCACACCTCTAGTTCTTGTTCCTTTATCTATCTTCCCTACACAATAGTATATTATAGTATGTATTTATGTGAACATGTGTTTGTATAAAGTGTTTTACTGTTAGTCTTAAAACACTGAACTACAATCCTCAAGTTTATACAAAAGAACGACCTGAGTAAAAAAGGGTGAGGCCAAAGTGCCTGAAACCAGAACCGTTACGTGTGTGTGACCCACTTACACCTCACACTCATGCAACACAACCAGTAAAAGCAACACAACATGTGTGCTGTGTCTGTGCTCAACTCAATACAACAATTATTATAATAAACTATTATGGTTTAGGACCAATTCATTGAGAGAGACCAGAGGGAGAGACCAGAGAGAGGGAGAGACCAGAGAGAGAGACCAGAGAGAGAGAGACCAGAGAGAGACCAGAGAGACACACCAGAGAGAGAGACCAGAGAGAGAGACCAGAGAGAGACCAGAGAGACACACCAGAGAGAGACACCAGAGAGAGAGAGACCAGAGAGAGAGACCAGAGAGAGAGACCAGAGAGAGAGAGACCAGAGAGACACACCAGAGAGAGACACCAGAGAGAGACACCAGAGAGAGAGACCAGAGAGAGAGACCAGAGAGAGAGAGACCAGAGAGACACACCAGAGAGAGACACCAGAGAGAGAGACCAGAGAGAGACCAGAGAGAGAGACCAGAGAGAGAGACCAGAGAGAGAGACCAGAGAGAGAGACCAGAGAGAGAGACCACCAGAGAGAGACCAGAGAGACACACCAGAGAGAGACACCAGAGAGAGAGACCAGAGAGAGACCAGAGAGAGAGACCAGAGAGAGACCAGAGAGAGAGACCAGAGGGAGAGACCAGAGAGAGAGACCAGAGAGAGACCAGAGAGAGAGAGACCAGAGAGAGAGACCAGAGAGAGACCACCAGAGAGAGAGACCAAGAGAACCAGAGAGAGAGACCAGAGAGAGAGACCAGAGAGAGAGAGACCAGAGAGAGACACACCAGAGAGAGAGACCAGAGAGAGAGACCAGAGAGAGAGAGACCAGAGAGAGAGACCAGAGAGAGAGACCAGAGAGAGAGACCAGAGAGAGAGACCAGAGAGAGAGACCAGAGAGAGAGAGACCAGAGAGAGAGACCAGAGAGAGAGACCAGAGAGACAGTTGATGTGTGTTGACAAAGACATAGAACTTCGTGACAGTTCCTGTGGTTGTTTCAGGAGTCACTGAGTAAACACACAGATGTTCCACCACAGCGTCAGACTATAAACTTACAGGTCACGTCTTTAAAGCCATTATTATTAAAGCCTCCCAGGTCACTGCTCAATCAGAGAGAGAACCAACACAAACATCAGAGATAAGGAAGTATCTGCCCCAGTGTCTGCCGCAGGTCGTGGCAGGCAAACGGCGCCATGCCCCCCGCTCACACCCACACTATTACCGTGTAAGAAGTTAAAGTTGAGGAAGAACTCGTCATAACAGGACTCTGGCATGAGATAAGTCAGCAGTAATCCTCTGAGCGGATCCATGAAGGAGGACCCCCTCTCCAGTGCTGCGTCTGCGGCCGCCATGTTGGACCAGAGAGAGGGAGGGGAGAGGGCGACACTTGCAGGACACTCTGGGAAGTGCAGGATGACGGTTTTTTATTTATTTAATTGTATTATTTTGTATTCATTCAAGATATAAATCAGTACAAACTCTAATAGATACATAACAAGAAAGTGCATTACAAATAATCCTGCCAACACGAGTCACATGGGTCACTACCAATGACGTGAACACCCGGATGTCTAGTCATTAACTAGTTTTTAATTTTTATTTTTACTTGACTCACTTTTAATATGAGCTAAAATGGGTGAATATAACTCGAAATTCAGAAAAACAGTTTGTTGAAAGGCTAATGCTAAAGACCAAATGCTAACGGCTGACAGTAAACAGTGTGTTGCTATGGTAACTAGCACCGGGATGAACCAGGACAGTCCAGAGCCAAAATCATGAAATAAAAAGTGTCATTGTACCACTATGACGTCACACTCAAGTGTATTGCCTTCGAGATAGATAGATAGATACTATATTGATCCCCCGAAGGAGAAATTCAGGTGTCCAGTAGTAGCAAAAAGAAAAATGATCATTCTAAAAAAAGATAACAATAATATTGATGATACACCAATTGAGAAAGTCAAACAAAATGCTTTCTTAGGAGTTATAATAGATGAAAAGATCAATTGGAAACCCCACATAAGTTACCTGAGAACAAAGGTTGCTAAATGTGTGGGACTGATGAAGCGAGCGAGTCCTTCACTGAACACAAATGCCCTACTCTTGTTGTATCATTCATTTATTATGTCATATTTATTTTATTGTTTTGAAGTTTGGGGAAACTGTTACTAGTCTCACTTACAGCCTTTAGTCACTTTGCAAAAGAAGGCTATTAGGATTGTATCAAATGTTCACTATAGACATCATACACACCCATTATTTTTAGACTTGGGACAACTTAAACTTCAAGACTTGATTCAATTTAAAACTGCTCAAATAATGTTCAGGGCATCGCAAAACTCTCTCCCACCGAGTTTGCAAACGCTGTTCCATGATAGAGATGCTCACCATCAGTATAGACTAAGAGGAAACAAACAACTGTACTTACCTACATTTAGAACGACTTTAAAATCAATGTGTATCTCCGTGTGTGGAGTTACTCTGTGGAACAGTCTATCTGATGAAATTAAAACGTGTTCAAACCTGATTCAATTCAAAAGAGTGTATAAAAAGAAATAGTGAATAAGTACAAAGAGGAAAGAGAGTGATGCCCTCAGCACTGAGCATTTGGAGGAGAGAGGTGTATGATCGGGGAGTGTTTGGGCCTGTGTGTGTGTGTGTGTGTGTGTGTGTGTGTGTGTGTGTGTGTGTGTGTGTGTGTGTGTGTGTGTGTGTGAGAGAGAGTCTTGTCTTAAACCATTGGTGGTAGTTACTGTATGTACTTTACAGTAAACATTTGTATAATGTGATTGTGATTCCTTTGCTCTGAACTCTGTCTACAGTCACTTGGACACTAGTAAATCTGTTGCGAGAATGCTTTTCATCGATTATAGCTCTGCTTTTAACTGCCTTGTCCCAGGTAAACTGATGGAAAAGCTCATGTCTCTCGGTTTAAGTGTTGCCATGTGTAAATGGATTTTTAGCGTTTTAACTGACAGATCTCAGAGAGTGAAAATCAATGAGTGTTTTTCTGATGTTGTTTCTGTGAGCACTGGATCTCCTCAGGGATGTATTTTGAGTCCTTTGCTTTTTACTTTGTACACTCACGATTGTGTGTCCTCCTCTGACTCAAACTTGATCATCAAATATGCTGATGACACCACCATCATTGGTCTCATCAGTGACAATGATGATTCCTCTTACAGAGCAGAGATACAAAATATGTGGTTCAGTGGAGTCAAACTAACAACCTCCAGCTGAACGCATCCAAAACATGTGAACTGGTCTACGACTTCAGTCGCAATAGTTCTCATTTGCCTGTCGTAATCGACAACTCCCAGGTGCAGATCGTAGAGGAGTGCAAGTTTCTGGGTTTAACTCTGTCTAACGACCTGAAATGGGTTAAAAACACTGACCGAGTCGTTAAGAAAGCTCGTCAGCGTCTTTACTTTCTGCGTAAACTTAGGGAATTTACCACTAACTCTAAGATTCTGCTTAACTTTTATTGCTGCACCATTGAGAGTTTACTTGTTGGTTCTGTGTCTGTGTGGTTTGGAAACATCACAGATAAAGAAAAGAGCTTTAAACAAGGTGCTCCGCTCTGCAAAGAGGACTGTAGGCTGTGAGCTTCCTGTTCTGGAGGTTCTTTATAAATCCAGACTTTTTAACAAAGCTCTTAGGATTGTTAATGACTCTTCTGGCCACCCTGGAAAAGCCATGTTCCAGCTTCTTCCCTCTGGCAGAAGATCAATCAATCAATCAAATCTTTATTTGTAGAGCACATTTAAAACAGCCTAGGCTTACCAAAGTGCTGAACAGACAGCAAGGAAAAATTATAAAATAAAAACACATAAAATACAGAAATGTATATACAAAAAGAAATCGAAAAATTTGTCTCTGTCTACTTGGTAAGATGCGTTTTAAGCAGGGATGCGTTTTAAGCAGGGATTTAAAGTGCTCGAGTGATTGTGCAGTTCTGATGAGCAAAGGTAAAAAGTTCCACAACTTTGGCCCTATAACAGAGAAAGCTCTGTCTCCTCTGGTCTTCAGCCTGGTCCTAGGGACGACAAGAAGGTGCTGATCTGCAGAGCGCAGTGCTCTGGAGGGAAGGTGAGGCTGGAGGAGTTCATATAAATAAGAAGGTGCCATTCTATTAAAACTTTTAAAAACGATAATAAGAATTTTAAAATGAATTCTTAAATATACCGGGAGCCAGTGCAGGGATTGCAAAACAGGAGTGATGTACTCCCTGCGCTTTGTCCCTGTTAAAAGACGGGCTGCTGCATTTTGCACTCCCTGTAAGCGGCTGAGCTGGGCCTGGTCAATGCCGACATAGAGGGAGTTACAATAATCAAGCCTGGAAGTGATAAAAGCATGAATGGCCTTCTCAAAATGGGCATGTGGAATATAAGATTTTACTTTGCTAAGAACTCTGAGATAATAAAAACTTGTTTTAAGAACAGCATTTATCTGCTTATCAAATTTAAAATGGCTGTCAATAATAAATCCTAGATTCCTGGCGTGGGGCTTTTCATAAACCATAAGAGGTCCTATAGCACTGTCACAGTTCAGCAGAGGGTCAGAAGTAATGATTTGCACTTGTTTTGAAACTGTTTTAGTTGATCGATTTCACAGGGACATTTGTTTACTGCTTTATTTGTTTTATTTTTGTCTTTTAATGTTGTTTTATGTCTGTATTTGTCTGTGCACACTGGTGACTTTTGCTAATGTATTCCTATGTGGTGTTTTTACTGCAAATGACAAATGAACTGAATCTGAATTGTGCATTTACCCAGTATGGTATTGTTTGTCCTGTGTCTGGGTGAGGAGGGTTTGGATTAATATAAGCTTTTTGCTTCCTCCAACTCCTTTTCAATCCCTGTACGTGTTTTTTCTTTTGTTTTCTTGTTTCCTGTCAAATTATGTGTGCAGGTTTTGAAATAAATATTTCATTCATTCATTCATTCATTCATTAATCAGTCACAGCAGCACAGATGGAGTAGTCTCTGGGTGGAACAGGACAGGTCGAAAGATGGAGTAGCCGCTTGGTTTGGACCATTTTCTCTGCTCTAGTCCAAAGTACAATGCTAAATGCTTCATTAGCATCCATTCCTCCAGTGGATTTTCACCTGATCCGCATGGTTTGGACCATGAATCCTCTCTGCTCCAGTCTGGACCAGTGCAAAACTTTGCACACTGTACTGAAGCAACAAAAAAGCAATAAAAATTTAAATTGTAAAGCACAAAACAACAACTGTTAATCAGAGCTACTAAGGACTTGCAGCCATTACCCAGCGCATCTTTCAAAAAAAACAATAATAATAATATGTTCTAAAACAAACATTGCACATAAATCATTTTTTCAAGTGAATCAAGGTTCTCCTTTTCTGGGTTTAAAATGAAATGAAATGAAGGTTCTTTACAAACACATTTTTCGCAGTGACATGAGTAATAACATTTAAAGATGCTTATATTAAAGCTGAGGTTAGTAACATAGATAACACTGTATGTGTCCAAACAAAGAATCTAGACAAAACAAATCAGACCACAAATTGCAGTCTCTATCTCATTGGAAGACGTTTGATCTTTTGTGTAAGAAAGAGCGCTGGGAGTCATTATTTGACTCTTTGGGCAGAGAGACGATTGGCTCTGGTGTGAACTGTAAATCTGGTTAAATGTAGTGCACACACGGACCAGCAGGGGGCAGCGCTGTCGCTCAAACCCTCGTGGATCTAACAGCACATGAGTTAACCCTTCCCTGTCCTTCCTAAGTCTTTTAAAATGGACTTTTTCTGAGATAAACCAAAGTTCCAGGTTTGTTTAAGTGACTAGGACACACACACTTTGATGCTACTTCAAATCATTCGAATGTAATGTGTGTAAAGAAGAGGGAATGACGAGGAGGGAGGTGAGTTCGCATGTAGTCTGACTCCAACATGGCCTCCCGTGTGCCCAGGTTCTCTCTGACCGAGTGTGAGTCTGTGGACTTCCCGGGACAGCCCTACTCTGCCTCGGTGCTCTCTGTGGGCTACTGCCTCCCGCAGGCGGACGGTACAGTGCGGGCAGACGGCTCCATCACGCTGCTTTCCGGTCCCCGTACGGTCCTGGTGGACACCGGGGGGCCCTGGTCCCGGGATGCGCTGCTGGGGAGGCTGCAGGAGAGAGGCCTGGTCCCGGGGGACGTGAGCGTGGTGGTGGGCACTCACGGACACTCGGACCATGTGGGGAACCTGGGGCTATTCCCCGGCGCGAGGATCATCGTGGGCTATGACGTCAGCACGGGTGACTTATACGAGCAGACCGGGCTCGCGAGGGGGGAGGAGTACCGGCTGGATGAGCACGTGAGTTTATCGGGACAGGCCTGGTTCTGTGCCTCAGGTCTGCAGCGAAGCTGAACAGTCCATTTACTCCATTTACTCTACTCTTGTAAATCATTACACGTTATATATATCCAAGCAACAAAACCAGTCTCTGGAAATTCCTTGGTAGCCATGGCTTCCAGCAGCATTCTGACCAATCACTGTCAGTTATAACACTTTAGTACCAGCTTGGCCTGGATAGAACCAGGACCAAGAGGGACTAAAGGCCCTGCTACTGGCTACACAGGACCAGAGCAAACACATTGTAACTTGAATTCCAGAAATAAATGAACCTTTGGACTGTGCTTCTTTAAGACTGAAGAGGTTTAAAAACTAGAACTATTGTTGTTGGTCTCAGGTTCTATCCTCTTTATAATCTAAACAATAAATGTGTAATCGGTGAAGTCCCTGACACCCCTCACTTTGTTTATAGCTTCCTGGAGCTGATACGATGCCTGTCACTGACACATGTTTATGAGGCCAATAATCCTGAGTCTGATAACAGGACTGAAGCTGTAGACTGAGGCTGTAGATCCAGGACTGAGGCTGTAGATCCAGGACTGAGGCTGTAGACCCAGGACTGAGGCTGTAGACCCAGGACTGAGGCTGTAGACCCGTGTGTGTGTTCAGGTCTCTGTGATGCCCTCTCCTGGTCACAGTGGACAGGACGTGAGTGTGCGAGTGCAAGGCCTGGACGGGGGGACTCTGCTGGTGGCGGGGGACCTGTTTGAGAACCGTTCAGACGAGTCCAGTTGGAGAGAACTGAGCCTGAACCCTGAACTGCAGCAGCTGCACCGACAGAGGGCGCTGGAGAGCTCTGACATCATCATCCCGGGACACGGACGGCCCTTTAGAGTGACCAGGGGGGACCAGGAAGACTGAGGAGACCAGGAGGAGACCAGGGGGACTGAGGAGACCAGGCGAGAGAGGGAGAGACCAGAGAGAGACCAGAGAGAGAGACCAGTGAGAGTGACCAGGGAGTGTTTTGATCTTTCGTTTCTTGTTTTGTTCAAAACTTTGTCTTTTATAAGAATTGTGCTATACAAATAAACCTACCTTACCTTGACAATTTTGGCTTTTACTCTTTGGTCTCTGTCTGGTCTCTCTCTAGTCTCTGGTCTCCCTGGCATCTCTCTAGTCTCTCTCTGGTCTCTCACTGGTCTCTCTCTGGTCTCTGTCTTGGCTCTCTCTAGTCTCTCTCTGGTCTCAACTTCATGTTGGCTGGGAGGTCTTAGTCCTCCTCCTGGCGTGAGTATGTGTGCTCCGAGGATCCACTACAGATAAAGAATAATCACTTTGTTCTGAGTCAAAGTCTAAAGTCGATGATTTATTGTTTTTATCCTGAATCTGGCTCAGTGGAAACAGTCGATAACCTCAGACCCAGGGCACTTTGTGTACAGAGACCTTCACACACAGTTCTCTACATTGTATTTCATTCTGTCAGTCGACGATAACAAACTGTTTGATTCTCTGATCTGATCGTTTTTTTGCAAATCAACAACTTTGTAAAGTCCTAGAGACGACTGCTGCTGAGAGAGGCCTCTGTCAGAAGGGTTTTTTTCTGAAAGACACTGATGTCACACTGGTGATGTCACAATGTGGTGATGTCACACGGTGATGATGTCACACTGTGATGTCACACAGTGATTATGTCACACTGGTGATGTCACACTCTATCAGTCTATTGAAGGTGTGTCTGGGGAACACTGCAGTGTTGTCAGCAGTAAAGGAGTCATGCAGATACAGAGGGTGGGGCCCCTGTGATGTCACATACAAACACTATGAAGGACCTCAGTCCAAGATACATTTATTTTTTATTTTAAAGCTGGGACCTATCTTTCAAACCACTGTCATTTCATCTCTAAGAGAAATAAAAATAGTTTATATCACTATTTTCTATCATGTAGTGTTGGCCTCTTTGGATCAGAGAGAGACCAGAGAGAGACCAGAGAGAGACCAAAGAGAGACCAAAGAGAGACCAGAGAAAGACCAAAGAGAGACCAGAGAGAGACCAAAGAGAGAGACCAGAAAGAGACCAAAGAGAGACCAGAGAGAGAGACCAGAGAGAGACCATAGAGAGACCAAAGAGAGACCAGAGAGAGACCATAGAGAGACCAGAGAGAGACCAGAGAGAGACCAGAGAGAGACCAGAGAGAGACCAGAAAGAGACCAAAGAGAGACCAGAGAGAGAGACCAGAAAGAGACCAAAGAGAGACCAGAGAGAGACCATAGAGAGACCAGAGAGAGACCAGAAAGAGACCAGAGAGACACCAGAAAGAGATCAGAGAGAGACCAGAGAGAGAGAAACCTCAGAGGTAGATTCACAATACCCTATAGAACAACAATCCATTTCTATAAAGATTACCAGCATTTTCACTGCCGCACCTGTTTATGACTCTTTATGACTGTGATGGAAACAGGCAAACACATCCCGCCCTGACACACACACACACCACACACACAGACACATACCACACACACAGACACATACCACACACACACACACACACACACACCACACGACACCACACACACACACACACCATACACACCCACAAACACAGATAAGATTAAGACTCGCTCAAAGTGCAGCCTCCAAACGCACCAGTCCACATCCTTCATCGCTCCTGGTCTCTTTGGTCTCACTCTCTGGTGTCACGTCTCTCTCGCCCACTGGAACCATGTGCACCGGAGCCTGCTCTAAGTTTGTTGCCTATGGTCTGTACCCTCTGGCCGCAGTCTCCATCCTCTGCAACATCATCCTCTTCTTCCCCGACTTCAGCACCAAGTACGCGGGCGATGACAGCAAAGACTCCCCCCGCCTCACCACCGAGGTCAAGTACATGGGCGGCCTGGTTGGAGGAGGCATCATGGTGAGTGTGAGACACATGGTCCAGAGGCATCATGGTGAGTGTGAGACACATGGTCCAGAGGCATCATGGTGAGTGTTAGACACATGGTCCAGAGGCATCATGGTGAGTGTTAGACACATGGTCCAGAGGCATCATGGTGAGTGTGAGACACATGGTCCAGAGGCATCATGGTGAGTGTGAGACACATGGTCCAGAGGCATCATGGTGAGTGTGAGACACATGGTCCAGAGGCATCATGGTGAGTGTGAGACTCATGGTCCAGAGGCATCATGGTGAGTGTGAGACACATGGTCCAGAGGCATCATGGTGAGTGTGAGACACATGGTCCAGAGGCATCATGGTGAGTGTGAGACTCATGTTCCAGAGGCATCATGGTGAGTGTGAGACTCATGGTCCAGAGGCATCACGGTGAGTGTGAGACACATGGTCCAGAGGCATCATGGTGAGTGTGAGACACATGGTCCAGAGGCATCATGGTGAGTGTGAGACTCATGGTCCAGAGGCATCATGGTGAGTGTGAGACTCATGGTCCAGAGGCATCATGGTGAGTGTGAGACACATGGTCCAGAGGCATCATGGTGAGTGTGAGACTCATGGTCCAGAGGCATCATGGTGAGTGTGAGACACATGGTCCAGAGGCATCATGGTGAGTGTGAGACACATGGTCCAGAGGTGACAGTCAGGCCTGTTCTGTGGCACCTCCTGGTTTGACAAACACACTGTGGGCTAGTCTCTCTGGTCTCTCTCTGGTCTTTTTCTGGTCTCTCTCTGGTCTCTCTCTTGTCACTTCTGGTTGAATAAACACATTGTGGATTTGTCAGAAATGCAGATACAGTGGTTCATTGTTCATCAAACAATGAACCACTGTATTCAGCTGTGTACATTTTTAGAACACATCAGTACATGTGAACTTAGGCTGCAGTACCACAGGTGGCCTCCAGTACATGTGGATTTAGGTGCAGTACCGTGGGTGGCCTCTAGTCCCTGTGGAGATGAGTTTAAGCCTTGTGTTGTGATGTCACAGGTCCTGATTCCAGCCATCCACATCCAGCTGACCAGCGCTCGCAACTGCTGCGCCAACCGCTGTGGGGTGAGTCCGTGGAACAGTTACATGACAGAAGTGGGAATGCTGGGATCCCCAGTGTCCACGAGAGGGCGCTGTCGCACACTGAGAGGTGGAAGACAAGGCCACTAATGTGTTTATGGTTCAAATGCACTATGGCCAATTCAATGTAATTTAAAAACACTCTGGTCTGTTTGACAGAGTCACGTATCACCAGAATGATTGACAGGACCAATAGTCTCGATGATCCAGCCGGAAGTAGACTGTTCACAGAATAATGATAAAGTCCTGAATGTTCAAGGATCATATGCTTGCTTCATGTTCAAACCATAATAAATGAGGCTTATTTTCCTCCATGTTTGTAAAGTCTGAAAAATGGGACATGGATCGTGATATATCACAGAATCACAATAATATTGAGGCCAAAATATCGTGATACTCCGGAATCCTCAAACTCCCTCCTCCGATCAAAACTGTGTCCTGCTTGTAACCAGCAGTAGATTCACCTGGTGTGTGTGTGTGTGTGTGTGTGTGTGTGTGTGTGTGTGTGTGTGTGTGTGTGTGTGTGTGTGTGTGTGTGTGTGTGTGTGTGTGTGTGTGTGTGTGTGTGTGTGTGTGTGTGTGTGTGTGTGCGTGCGTGCGTGTGTGCGTGTGTGCGTGCGTGCGTGTGTGTGTGTGTGTGTGTAGATGTTCCTGTCAATTGGCTTTGCAGCGCTGGGAGTGCTTGGCGCCATCTACAGTCTGACGGTGGCATCGCTGGGTTTGTCCAATGGACCCACATGTTTGTGGTCCAACCCAGACAACCCAAATGAGAGATGGGGAGCTCCCTTTGCCAACAGGTACCAGGACCAGAGAGAGAGAGACCAGAGAGAGAGACCAGAGAGAGACGTCACCATGTCTGGTGCTACCGTTACTGTGTCTCGCTAACGTCACCGTGTCTTGCTAACGTCACTGTGTCTTGCTAACGTCACTGTGTCTCGCTAACGTCACCGTGTCTTGCTAACGTCACTGTGTCTTGCTAACGTCACTGTGTCTTCCTAACGTCACTGTGTCTCGCTAACGTCACTGTGTCTTGCTAACGTCACTGTGTCTCGCTAACGTCACCTTGTCTCGCTAACGTCACCGTGTCTTGCTAACATCACCGTGTCTTGCTAACATCACCGTGTCTTGCTAACGTCACCATGTCTTGCTAACGCTGCCCTGTTTGCTCCGCCCCTCAGCAATGGCAGTTACCTGGGCAATAAGGACATTTGGAAGTGGTGTAGAGAGCCAGAGGGCGTGGTGGAGTTCAACCTGGGCCTGTTCTCTACGCTGCTGGTGGCCTCCTGTCTGCAGCTGGTCCTCTGCGCCGTGCAGATGGTCAACGGGCTGTTTGGCTGTCTGTGCGGCACCTGCGGCAGCAAGGAGGTACGTACTACAAGTATGAGTACAAGTATGAGTATGAAGCAAGGAGGTACGTTCTACAAGTATGGGTAAGAGTATAAGTACAGGCATGAGTACGAGTATGAGTATGAGGCAAGGAGGTATGTACTACAAGTATGGGTACGAGTATGAATACAAGTACAAGTATGAGTAAGAGTAGGAGTACAAGTATGAGTACAAGTTTACTTCCAAGTACAAGCACTGGTACAGTATGTGTACCAGTAGTAATAGTAGCAGCAGTAGTAGCAGTAGCAGCAGTAGCAGTAGCAGCAGTAGCAGTAGCAGCAGTAGCAGTGGCAGCAGTAGCAGCAGCAGCAGTAGCAGCAGTAGCAGTAGCAGTAGCAGCAGTAGCAGCAGCAGCAGTAGCAGCAGTAGCAGTAGCAGCAGCAGCAGTAGCAGCAGTAGCAGTAGCAGCAGTAGCAGTAGCAGCAGTAGCAGCAGCAGCAGTAGCAGCAGTAGTAGGAGGTGGTATATAATGTCTGTCTGTGTGTTTGCAGTGAGAGCAGCGCCCCCTGGTGGGAGAGGACCGCTCTGCCTGAAGAACAACCTTCATTGCTGATTTTTTGGATCTAGATTTCAAAACATGAGATTTTTGCGTCTGTTCTGCGTCAGGTGTCGTCCTGAAACTGTTAAAAGTCTCTGTTTTATTATTGTTTTTGTTCCAAATAAATGTCCCTATTTTTATTCATTTGTTGAGTCATTTCATCTCGATACAAACATGAATAAAATCATTCTAAACGTTACTAACAATAGGAATAAAGAGATAATGTGCACGTGTTTAATGCTAACACACACAGCCTCAGTCCTGGGTCTGTTTATAGTACGATGCAAAAAAGCAGCGTAGGACTAGTGAGTTTCAGTAGCAGTAGTAGTATAGTAGCAGTAGTAATAGTAGTTGCAGTAATATAGTTGCAGTAGAAGTACTAGACTATAGTAATATATATCATAGAATACTGAGTTCTTTCTGGACCTGAAGCCAATTGTCCACTCCGCACTAATCCTGGGTCATCTCAGGTTAAATTGTCCCCTCCCTCCCCCGCTCCCCCTCCCTCTCACGCTCCAGCAGAGGGCGCTGTGCTGCTGTCTGTCCCGTGGAGAGCGGACCTCAGCTTCAGGTGAGTTCCTTTCTCCATCTCTATCTTCCATTCACAGGTTTATTTTTGCGTTTTGCTGTTTTTGATCTTGTTTCTTCTGAATCTCGTGGTTTTTTTTTATCTTGTTTCCTCTGAATCTCGTGTCCTTTGATCTTTTTTCCTGAGTCTCGTGTCTTCGTGCAGACCTCTGTTGTTGGAGCAGGGGGTAATCTCGGCTGTAATCTCGGTATTATAGCTGCTGCAGGTCAGATAACTGGACCAGACGGAGATTCCTAAGTAAACAAAAGTATACGGGACAAAATGAAGAACAGAATCTGACAGAGTTTGGAGGCGGATGGTCACGTGTCTTTGTTGTTGCTTAGAATCATGTCTGTGACTATTTGTTTTAAGGCTTTCCTGGACAACACCGGGCGCGTCTCCGTTGACGCGCGTTGGCTGCTGAAACGGACTGGTGGTCAAACCGGCTGCAGCAGCGCGGAGTTCATGGCTGTGCGTTTATCAGCCTGCTTTGTTTTTGTTGGAGACATGTTTGGGCATTGTGTGAATAAATTAATGTTTGGCTGATGGAGGAGTCATGTGTTGTCGGCGTGCATGTGTGCGTGAGTGTGGGCGTGAGAGCGCCTGTGTGTGTGTGTGTGTGTGTGTGCGTGTGTGTCTCTCTGTGTGTGTGTGTGTGTGTGTGTGTGTGTGGTGGGAGGCCTGTGTGTGCATGTGTGTTTGGGCCTGTGACCCCAGCGTTTATTATGATCCAGCCTCTTCGTTTGTTTTCTATAATTATTTAGCGCGTCATACACTTTTATCGGACCCAACTCGCCTCTCCGCGGTTTTAGGCAACAGGCAACAGGCAGCCGTTTTAAATAGAAGCGGTGTGTGATTTGCATGAGCTGTGGATGATCTATGTAAAGCACGGCATATTGAAGCATTGAGGACGTCACGATGGATGAGGCAAAACTTATTGAAAGCAATTGGAAAAAGGGGAGAGAGAAAGGAGAAAAGAACTCTAACATATCCAGTGTTGTTGTGAGATCTGTCTCTCATAAGTGCAGCTCTGTGTGTAATGTGTGTGTGTGAGAGTGCGTGCGTGTGTGTGCGGTGAGGAGAGAGCGCCTCGCAGGTAGACGGGACAGAGCGAGAGAAAAAAGAGCGAGGTGTATCATACACCTTTACATACACCGTGTATGTAAAGTTTAGCGTATTAACATTACGCGAACAATAAATGGTAGATGTACGATCAGGAAACAATTATTTAAATTAATACATGAAAAAAATTACACACATTTGTTAATAATCATTGTCATTAACAAATACTTATAACCAAGGACTACTGCATATATCAATACATGTTTAATAATGTGGTAAATATATTATTCTATTATATTTTCAATGGAAAACGGACCCGACACGCGTCGACGGACGGAACAAATAGGATTGTTTCTATTTCGTCCGTCCGCGTCCGTGGCACCCTCCGTTGACGGAATCCGTCCGACGCGCGTCGGACGTACGGATGTTGGAGGCAGTGGAGCCACTTCCATTCACCCTCAATGGAGATAACGGAGACGTTCAGTAAATACACCACAGCAGCAGCAGCAGGCGTCTCTGACTTTACAAAGTTGTGGATTCACCAACGGATCAGAAAATCAAACTGGAACATTGTGCAGGAATTAATGGATGCCAGAGGAGACTGACCAGAGGGAGACCAGAGAGAGACCAGAGAGAGAGAGAGAGACCAGAGAAAGACCAGAGAGATAGAGACCAGAGAGAGAGAGAGGGACCGGAGAGTTGGTGCAGTCTTTTTAGATTTGAAGAGGGCCTTTGATACAGTAGACCATCAAGCCCTTCTCTCTAAACTGACCCAAGTTAACTTGGCTGAGGACGCGCTTGGTTTACATCCTGTCTGATAGAAGACAGTGTGTGAATGTGGGTGGCACTGTGTTGTCATTTCTAGAATGCCCAGCAGGGGTCCCACAGGGTTCTGTATTGGGACCTACACTTATTTCTATGTACAGTACATCAATGACTTGCCAAATGTTTGTCAAAATGTCCATATTCAAATGTACGCAGATGATGGTGTAATTTTTACTCTTTCTAAAACAACTGCAAAGGCATCATCTACCTCACAGCGGCCCTGGGACATACAGTAAGCCACTGCGGCTCACCAACTCATCTTTAATATTAAACAAAAAGAAAACCGTGTCAATGATGTTCACAAAAATATCTATTAAACTGGGTCGGTCCAACGTGTTCCTTGGAGACACTGAGCTTGACCTTGTTGAGGAATTTCTCGGGGTCACTCTGGATTCAAGTTTTTCCTTCAAAAACCATATTAAGCTCACGGCTAATACAATAAAGTTCAATTTACATAACTTCAAACAAATCAGGCCTTTTATGACAATGATTTTCTCACACATAGATTACTGTATAATCTAGTAATTACTGTCACTGGTCAATCACTGGAGAAACACATCAAAAAATTCTGGATCAAAGCCTTTGGTCATATCATCACTGCAATATCCTGGAGAAATACAAAATACAACATTTTTAAAACGTAATAAATTTGAAACACTGTTGCCTTTTTTACAAAGCACTTCATGATCTTGTCCGCCCCCACTCTCAAACTACATTAAAGCTGCACTAACTGACTTTATTTTTGTATTCATTACAAAAGTGCTATCCATGTCCATGTAGTGCATTGGGATATATGTCCTTTTGAAGAAAAAGTAGCGCAGGTTTGTGCTGGCGTGACATTATATTTTAGGTCGAGTTTTGATGAAAGAAGGAAGAGAATGTGTTTCGGGTCGCAGATTGTGACCAATCACAGCGGACCACTGGCCCCCACTTTCGTGAGAAATCTACAAGTCCGTTAGCATAGACGGCTGAGTTAGCACAACAAGCCGAGGAGCTAACCTGAAACTTCGTGTGTCTTCGTCACGGTTACTGCTTACACAGCGAGACAGCCATCCAAAAGAAAGTCCCGTTCCTCCGCGCTTCCCGGTTCTATCGTTCTATGGTCACGCCATCCACGTGCAAATCCATATACATGTATTATCCATATTGGGAGACACTAGCTCTGTCAACAACAGTGGGTGTGTGTGGGGGGCGATAGCTTCGTGGGTGCGGGGAGGGGAGCAGAAAGAGCGAGGCCAGCGAGTCCGCGGCTTCAAAATCCCAAAGTCAGTTAGTGCAGCTTTAAAGCGTAAGCAGTAACAGGTGTCCGCACCAGAGCGCCCTCTAGAGGAGATGTGGAGATCCCACACAGACTCAGAATCAGAATCATTTTTGTTGCCACGTAAGTAACAGGAAGTCACAGACTTGGAAATTGTTTTGGCTCAGTGCAACAGTCAAAAAGAGAGGTAAAGAGTAGAGAAGGTAAAAAAATGGAGATGACTCTGCACAGCTTTTGCTCCCAAGAGATTATAATTCTTACCACACAATGTGACGTTTCGGGTCACTTCATCACTTCACTTTTAGCAAACATTTACTAATGATTGTTAATGTTTACAATGTCACATAATTACATAATATATTTACATTTGGAAGGTACCACAATGAGGATAGGTCATGCGTTTGTGTTTGGAATGTAGCCACCACCAAGATTAGCCACCAATACTGTAGTTGAGGTGCCTGTTTATGACTCGCAGGAAGAAAAAAGAAACAGGATAGAGGATCATAGAAAAGGTCTCAGATCAAAGTCTTCAGAGATGCACACAAGTCTCTGACCCGCAAGTCCAAGTCAAGTCCAAGTCCCTAGCCCAGGAGTCCAAGTCAAGTCCAAGTCTCTGGACCCGCAAGTCCAAGTCAAGTCCAAGTCCCTAGCCCAGGAGTCCAAGTCAAGTCCAAGTCTCTGGACCCGCAAGTCCAAATCAAGTCCAAGTCCATGCCCTGGAGTCCAAGTCAAGTCCAAGTCCCCAGACCCGCAAGTCCAAGTCAAGTCCAAGTCCCTGGACCCACATGTCCAAGTCTCATTTCCTACGCATTAAAATTATGGCCAATACCATTTAAAATTGACTAAAATATGAATTAATTGTACTGCACTGCTACAAAAAACGTCTTTTATACGGGATGCAGAAGCACATACTGTAGAAGATGTGTGCAGTTTCAACAATTAAAATAAAGTGGAATTGTCTATGTTACAGAGTTACAAACATGTCACTACAGTGAGGGCACAGACCAAAACTATTGTTTGTTACAGGATGACAATGGGACATTTAAAAAAAGTCTGAAATACATAATGTCAGCCAATGGCTGTCATTAAATCTGTTTGTTCACAGCATTTTACGGTTGGCACAACCAACATGAGTTGTTAATGCAAGGTAAAATTGACGTACCCCAGCTTTAATTTTACGAGTTAAGGAGGAGACACGGGGAGACATGGAAACGTCAGGAGGCTCTATCATCCAGCTCTGTTTATTGGAGAGGTGTATAAAGACACATAACAAGAAAAGAATGGTCCTATGTGCGCGTGTATGGTCCTGGGAACATTATGACCACTGGCTGCGCGCTGCCGTCGACAGAGCGGCTCACAGCTCAGACACAACTGATGCACAAAGTGATGAGCCAACGTGTGCATTCCTGCACAGTCAAGACCCGCGATCGTGGTAAAAAAGCGCGTAGAGCCGAGGAGCGTGCACAGCCAAAGAGAGCGCACCGTCATAGAGCGCGCACCGCCATCGAAATAGAGTCCGAGTCTTTAGGGGACGAGTCCGAGTCAAGTCCCGAGTCTTTAGGGGACGAGTCCGAGTCGAGTTGCAAGTCTCTAAAAATAGCGACTTAAGTCGGACTCTCGCGAGTCCCCATCTCTGAAAGTCTTCATTCAGACCCTTTGGACTCAATGTGTCTAGTGTGTATATTCAGAAAGCTTCGTGTTTTAGTAATTGGGAATTAATGTCTCCTCCTCGATTTGAAAGTTTGATGTGTTTGATTCCATCCATCCATCCATTTTCTTCCGCTTTATCCGTTGCCGGGTCGCGGGGGCAGCAGTCGCCCAAACTTCCCTATCCACACACACTTTCTCCAGCTCGTCCGGGGGGACCCCAAGGCGTTCCCAGGCCAGCTGAGAGACATAGTCTCTCCAGCGTGTCCTGGGTCTTCCCCGGGGCCTCCTCCCGGTGGGACGTGCCCGGAATACCTCCCCAGGGAGGCGTCCTGAACAGATGCCCGAGCTACCTCAACTGGTTCCTCTCGACGTGGAGAAGCAGCGGCTCTACTCCAAGCTCCTCCCGTGTGACCGAGCTCCTCACCTCATCTCTAAGGGAGCGCCCAGCCACTCTGCGGAGGAAGCTCATTCGACCGCTTGTATCCGCAATCTCGTTCTTTCGGTCATTACCCACAGCTCATGACCATAGGTGAGGGAGGGAAGGAAGATTGACCGGTAAATCGAGAGCTTCGCCTTTCGGCTCAGCTCCCTCTTTACCACAACGGTCTGATACCACGACCGCATTACTGCGCACGCTGCACTGATCCGCCTGCCAATCTCACGCTCCATCCTTCCCTCACTCGTGAACAAGACCCCGAGAAGAGGTCTGACTTACTGCCGGCAATGCGAACACAGCTCTGACTCCGGTCATACAGGGACCGGACGGCCCTCAGCAGAGGACCCCGGACCCCGTACAGCCGGAGGACCCCCCGGGGAACACGGTCAAACGCCTTCTCCAAATCCACAAAGCACATGTGGACAGGTTGGGCGAACTCCCATGAACCCTCAAGTATCCGATGGAGAGTATAGAGCTGGTCCAGTGTTCCGCGACCGGGACGAAAACCACACTGCTCCTCCTGAATCCGAGATTCGATCATCGGCCGTAGCCTCCTCTACAGTACCTTGGAGTAGACCTTACCGGGGAGGCTGAGGAGTATGATCCCACAATAATTGGAACACACCCTCCGATCTCCCATCTTGTAGAGAGAGACCACCACCCTGGTCTGCCACTCCATTGGCAACGCCCCCGATCGCTGCGTGATGTTGCAGAGACGTGTCAGCCAAGACAGTCCTACAACATCCAGAGACTTTAGATAGTCAGGACCGATCTCATCCACTCCCGGCGCCTTGCCACTATGGAGGCTGCCAACCACCTTGGTGACCTCAGCCAGGGAGATAGAAGTATCCGCCCCAACATCCTCAGCCTCTGCCTCCTGGACGGAGGACGTGACGGGGGGATTGAGGAGAACCTCGAAGTATTCCTTCCACCGGCCGACAATATCCCCAGTCGAGGTCAGCAGCTCTCCACCCGCACCATACACGGTGTTGGCAAAGAACTGCTTCCCCCTCCTGAGGCGCCGGACGGTTTGCCAGAACCTCTTCGAGGCCGACCGATAGTCATGCTCCATGGACTCTCCGAACCCCTCCCAGTCCCGGGTTTTTGCCTCTGCAACAGCCCGGGCCGCGGCACGCTTGGCCTGCCGGTTCTGGACAGCTGCCTCAGGAGTCCCACGAACCATCATTGCTCGATAGGACTCCTTCTTCAGCCTGACGGCATCCCTTACTGCCGGTGTCCACCACCGGGTTCGGGGATTGCCGCCAGGACCAGCACCAGAGACCTGGTTCTAGTTCTTGATGATGGCCGTGTAGAACTGCACCAACATCTGTGCAGGCAGCTTGGCTTTCCTGTCTGCCGCAGGAAGTACATCCTCTGCTGGGCCTTCTTGATGAGGGAGCTGATGGTCGGCTCCCACTTGAGGTCCTGGGTAATGGTGGTGCCCAGGAAACGGAAGGACTCCACAGAGGAGATGGGGGAGTCCATCAGGGAGGGCGGGGGCGGGGGGACAGTGCTCTTCCTGAAGTCCACAATCATCTCCACTGTCTTCTGGGCGTTCAGCTCCAGGTTGTTACCACTGCACCAGGACACCCGCCGGTCCACATCCCTCCTGTAGGCGGACTCATCGTTGTTGGAGATGAGTCCAATGAGGGTGGTGTCGTCCACGAACTTGATCAGCTTCACAGAGTCGTGGCTGGAGGTGCAGTGGGAGGAGGTGCAGAGGAAGTGCAGTGGTTGGTGCACAGGGAGAAGAGCAGGGGAGAAAGAACACAGCCCTGTGGGGTTCCTGTATTTATAATCCGAGAGTCCGAGACATTCTTCCCCAGATGCACTCGCTGCTTCCCTTTCCGGGTTCAGCCCTCTGGCCCGGGGTGGTATTGCAAGCATGTCAGCGCAAGTCATTTTGGCCACTTTTGAGCTGGGACCCGCCCCCACTGGGCACAGCGCGAAAAGCTCCGCCCACAGTGGTGTAGCAGTGCGATAAGCTCCGCCCACAGTGGTGTAGCAGTGCGATAAGCTTCGCTCACAGTGGTGTAGTAGTGCGATAAGCTCCGCCCATAGTGGTGTAGCAGTGCGATAAGCTCCGCCCACAGTGGTGTAGAAGTGCGAAAAGCTCCGCCCACAGTGGTGTAGCAGTGTGATAAGCTCCGCCCACAGTGGTGTAGCAGTGCGATAAGCTTCGCTCACAGTGGTGTAGCAGTGCGATAAGCTCCGCCCACAGTGGTGTAGCAGTGTGATAAGCTCCGCCCACAGTGGTGTAGCAGTGCGATAAGCTCCGCCCACAGTAATGTAGCAGTGCGATAAGCTCCGCCCACAGTGGTGTAACAGTGATCCAGAGTGTTCTCCTCTCTGGTCGGGCATTTGATAAACTGTCAGTATTTGGGTAATTCCTGGCTTAAGTTTCCCTTATTAAAATCCCCCAGGATAATAATCAGAGAGTCCGGGTATAAACGCTCCATACACAGTACTTGCTCTGTGAGTACGCGCTGAGCCTCACGCGCATCCGCGGATGGCGGGATGTAAACAGAGGCAAGAATGAATGAAACAAACTCACGTGGGGAGTAGAACGGCTAACAATGAATGAAGAGATATTCCACTAAATATCTTTTCATGGAGATGTTCCAGAAAAAATACATTCGGACAAACTGTGTTGTCAGTCAGAGGAGGTCAGTCTTGGAACAACCTTCCTACAGACATAAAAGAATGCCCAACATATATTCTTTTAAAAAACAACTTAAACACCATTTTAAAGTAAATCAGTTATATCATTACTAGCTGTAATTTACATAGTTGGATATTGTCTTTTGTTCTTATTATTGTGTGACCTGCCTCGGGACTACGGATGTAAATTAGCAGTTTTGCTACAATCTGGCACCTTTACAATTTGTGTAAAACGTGTATATGATTGTTCATTAATGTGTGTTGTCCCGATCAAATAAAAAAAAAAAAAAAAAAAAAAAAATAAGAGAGAGAGACCAGAGAGGGAGACCAGAGGGAGACCAGAGGAGTGTGAGACCAGAGAGGGAGAGGGGTACCAGAGAGAGAGACCAGTGCAGTCAGTCCAACATAACACGTGTTACCTGGAAAGATTGTGCAGCCTCCTCCACTGTGAAGTATGTTTTTTGGAATGTGGTGATGTCACATGAAACACAAATACATGGCTATGGACACATGAACACTGCTTTTACCGTGAAGGTCCCCGGATGTTCCGCGTGTAATCTGACACACACGCACACGCGTACACACACACGCGCACCCTCTCTCTTTTTCTCTCTAACACACACACACATTCCGTCTCTTTCTCTCTCTCCCCCTCTCTCTCCCCCCCACACACACGCGCGCGCGCACACGCACCCTCTCTCTCTCTTTCTCTCTCTAACACACACACACATTCCCTCTCTTTCTCTCTCTCCCACACACACACACACACACACACGCTCGCACGCGCCTGTCCCTGCTGCGTCTGCTGCATGCTCTACGGGACAATGGCTCCGTAATAAGGCACCGGGGCCTCCATCTCTGCCTTCCCCTCCCCGGGACCCGCACCAGACCCGCACCAGACTCACACCGGGACCACACGGAGGTTCTGGCGGCCGTGTGCTGCGCTGCTGGCGGCTGTGCTTGTCCTCGGAGCCTCGAGATGCTCACGGAGTCCCAGACTCCCACAGCCACACCGACTCCGCGATGCCTTTCAAACGGAGAGCGAGGTACACACCGGGGGCGCGCGGGCTCATGCACGGCTTCATGGGCTGGGGATCCAAGTGTGCATGTGTGTGTAGCTCACGGACTGTTGTGTAGCCTGTGAGGAGGGTGAAGAGGGGGAGCTGGGGGAGTAGGGGGGAGCAGACCTGACCACGCAGGCCTAACCGCGTCTTCTGTTTACAATAGAAGGCGACGGTATGCGGTCTTGTAGGCGTAAATCACGGCTCGATGCTGCGACTGCTGCTACTGCTGCTGCTGCTACTGCTGATACTGCTGCTGCTGCTACTGCTGATACTGCTGCTACTGCTGATACTGCTGCTGCTGCTACTGGGGGCTGTTGCGGTGGCTGGCGGGACGCGGACAGAGGCGTGTGCCCGTGTGGACGGTTGAGCCGGTTGTGCTACATGTGTCGCTGGCCGCACAATAGAAGCCACAGAGACCGCAGTGCAGCTCGTCAAGCCCGGGACTGGGTTGTGCGGACGTGGAAACACAGAGACGTGAAGCCTGTGATGAGGCGGCGGCCGGGTGTGGAGGTGTCGGAAGAACGGGATGTACGTGTAGTTACTGAAGCCGACATTAGAGACGGGAGTGCGGGTCGGGGGTCTCGGGTCTCGGGTCGGAGGAGGAGGCTACAATGTTTCTCTCAGTTTATCAGTAACTGCAAAAGTAACGATTGTGTAAGTAACGTACACACGAAGAGAGAGAGAGACCCGAGAGAGACCAGAGAGAGAGACCAGAGAGAGACCCAGCGTGGGGTTATTATGACATTATTGGGTTATTTTAACTCTGGGTGGATTTGACCCAAAACATCACTCAATATTTCTTAATAAAATAGCATTGATATTTTTTGGGAGATATTTTGAAATACAGTTTTTGTGTCGACTCCTCACTCTGTAAAGGAGACATGAACTGATGAGAGACAGATTCTTATGCTAACACAGACTGTATACAGATGGACAATGCTAACACAGACTGTATACAGATGGACAATGCTAACACAGACTGTAAACAGATGGACAATGCTAACCTGCAAGCTCAATAGGGAAGTGCTCATGGTGAAGTCTTGGTTTATCGCTCTCTGTGATCCTGGTGTTCATGTTGTGATATTGTCTTGCCATATAAGAACAAATATCAGACAAAAGTGACTGACCTCATTAGTGTTTCTGAAATATTTGATGAAACTGTAAAAGTAGGTTCAGAAAACTGCTTGTTCAGGTCCTCTCACACACACAGACTCTCTCTGGGTCGGTGTGTGTGCGTGGTGGTGGTGGTGGTCTCTCTGTTTTCCCCATCAGGCTGAAGTACTGTATGCAGAGGCTGCAGCATGAGGCCTCAGCTCTGACATGTTACCGCCCATTGGCCCCTGAGCCCATTGGCCCCTGAGCCCATTGGCCCCTGAGCCCATTGGCCCCTGAGCCCGGAGACCGACTGAGTGTGACATCACAGAGTGTGCAGAAGGAACATGGATGAGTGGATGCTGCTCAAAGGACCTCACACATTGTCCTAGTTTTAGTATTGATTCATATTTGATTTCTCCTTATATTTTGATTGTGATGTCTTTAGCCCTGTTTCCACCAGCCCCACTCCACTCTACTCTACCCTGCCCTACTCTACTCTACTCTACTCTACTCTACTCTACTCTACTCTACTCTGCTCTGCTCTGCTCTGCTCTGCCCTGCTCTGCTCTGCATGGTTGTGTTTGCCAATGCTGTTCTAAAATTTGAAACAGCGCATTTTGCCTGTGTCGAATGAGTCGCTGTTGATGTTCAAGGTGGTTTTTCTCTAAAAAGAGCAAACATAGGCAGAGCAGACCTGCAGCACGTACGAGCCGTTATATCATATAGATCCATGGTACGAGCTCAATATTTTCCTCAATTTCCGCATCTATTCTCCGTGAGCTCTCGCTGTCCAATAGGATTGCGATCGCCACTCGCGTCGATACGTTTATAAAAAAAAGTTCACTTGCAAGAAGTACAGTCTGAATACGAACCGGACCAAAAGAAAAATGTTTGGTCCGCTTTTGGTTTGGACCAAGCAAGCGGACCAAAGGACTTTTCTGGTCTGAATACACCGTAGTTTACATTGAGTTCTATAGGACTTTTTTCTGGGTAGCCCGCGTGAATTTAGTCTGCAGTACCACTGGTGCCCCCTGTGCCCGTGGGTGGGACAGCTGTAAGCTAGTAATACCCTATCCAGTTATTATTATAGATCCATGCCCACAACAAACCAGTATCCGAGGAAATAGAGCAGAGCTGATGGAGACGCAGCTTTTTAAAATCCAGATATGGGCAGTATAAGGACTGACCAATCAGAGGCTTTCATTCAACCCAGTTTTCTTTAGCAACCTCGTTAGCAACATGCCTGTTACAGCACAAAGCTAACGCCGTCATAACAAACGCCCATCTAAGGAAACCAGTTTATGTTTAAAGTGATTGTCTGGAGTTTGTCAGAGAAAGAGAGAGAGGTACATGATTTGAAAAAAACGACCCAAGCTCCCTCCCCCTTCATTTCTGATTGGTCTACACCTACGTTTCCGTAACACATTTAAATGTTAATCTGAGAACACATTATACATAAACAATATCAATGCACATGCACAGAGGTTTACAGAATTTTTTGTTAACGTTTTCATGACAAAAACAATGTTTTAATGCACGAAAAAAGCGATTGCAGTAAACCCGAGAGTAGATATTAAGGTTGATTGAACATTATAGGGCACATCTGCAGTGGATCTGATTATGGATATATCTTCAGTATATTAATGATTATGGATATAGCTTCAGTATATAAATGATTATGGATATAGCTTCAGTATATAAATGATTATGGATATAGCTTCAGTATATAAATGATTATGGATATAGTTTCAGTATATAAATGATTATGGATATAGGTTCAGTATATAAATGATTATGGATATAGGTTCAGTATATAAATGATTATAGAAATAGGTTCAGTATATACATGATTATGGATATAGGTTCAGTATATAAATGGGTAACTCAGCGCGGATGTTCAGAATTCTTTGTTCAGTTTTCATGTAGTTCCAGAGCCTAATAGAGGCTTGATTCGGAGGCTCCGCAAAAACAAACAACTGAGCATGAGCAGCTACGAGCATCAGCGCAGATGATTGACAGCCCTTGGCATCACCTGATTGGTTAACGTGGACGGTGTTGTGGAAATTCTGCACACAACGAGAGTAAAATAATGTAAACAACTCAGAGCTGTACTTACAAACAAAGTGTGAGTTTATTCATTAGTAAATGTGCACAATTACAATGAATAACAGAACCGATACCAATACCACCGGGCAGCCGTCCGAAATCGACTGCCCCGATTGAGGAAATGACTGTACATTAAATAGACCAGAGTAAACAAACACATATCTACTCTAGATATTACATAAATGAAGTCAACATTGATATGTGTTGCTCAAGGCTTCTCTTTACGCGTCCTAACGCTGATACAACTCTGATATATGTAACAATCTGCTTTTGAACTGAACATATTGTTCCATGACCCAGGTCAAAGACATGATGCAGCACGTCTCCATCTATCACTGACCTGAGCCAACAGAGCATTATGGCCTGGATCTGAATCCAGAGTTCACTATTAGTTAATAACTTACACTCATAACTATTTGGTGTTAATTCAGGTTGCTTTACTAAACTATTTCTATAACAACGGCATCGTGGATTCTGAGCTATAGCTAAGAGAAGGGAAGGCGGGACTTAGAAGGAATACAATTACTTATTTTATATCAACATTTAAGGCCAGCAGGTCAATTTAATACAATTCTTAAATTTTTTAATTCATTTAGAGTTCCATACTATCACTTTAAATTAGCTCTTCTGCATTAAGGCTAACACTGTAGTGATGTCACACTCACTCCTCTCCTCATGTACAGCTCTGTGATGCTCTGTGATGCTCTGCTCTGTGTAACGATGGTCTGTCCTCGTGGTCAGGATGCTGCAGTGGCTGGGGTGCACACGCCTGGGGCCCCTGTGGCTGTGGAAGGCCCTCCTGGTCTGTGTGGCCTTCGCCTTCGCCGGACAGTTGCTGGGGGTCATCTTCAACAAGAGGTACGCAGTCTATGCTAAGGCTAATGCTAATAGGGATAATGCTAAGGTTCAGGTACACTTCCTCTCCGTAGGACTCTGTGTGGTTGCCGTAGTAACAGGGACCAGCTCCAGATGTTCAGGACCAGTGTGTGTTTAGTGGTAGAGGAAACTGGAGCACCTGGAGGAAACCTATGCAGACACAGGGAGAACACGTAAACTCCTCTCAGAAAGTCCCTGTTCTGACCAGGATTCAAACTCAGGACTTAATAGCCGAGAAGTGAGGGGGGCTAACCACTCAGCCACTGCAGAGGAGGCTCATTTAGAACCTGAGAGACCTGTGACGTTATTTGTAAAGAAAAGTTATTTGTATAGAGTGCAGAGGCAAAAACAAACATTCAAATCATAAATAATTATAGTGCATTAATAACAGTGACAAACACAGGCCTTTAACGCTATCTTCAATGTATACTTGGATCAACCTGCGCCATCGTCCAGGGTCCCAGTCCAGGGTCCCAGTCCAGGGTCCCAGTCCAGGGTCCCAGTCCAGGGTCCCGGCTCACACATGAGCTGAGACTGTGATGTTACATTTTTTTGTGTTTCCACTCTGGCACATGGACATGTTTGTACATGAACAGACAGAAACTAAATCACAACAGAAACATCTCAGACTTTACAAAGTTACGGATTCACCAACAACAGGTGTGTGTGTGTGCGTGTGCGTGTGTGTTGCCTCTGACGTGTGTGTGTGTGTTGCCTTTGACGTGTGTGTGTGTGTGTGTGTGTTGCCTCTGACGTCTGTGTGTGTGTGTTGACTCTCTCTGATGTGTGTACCCCCAGCCTCCCCTCCGGCCGCTCCGCCCTCTCGGCCCCGGAGCAGGGCCCCTCGCTGGGCTCCTGTCAGCCGCACACTCACATCATGTTCCTGAAGACGCACAAGACAGCCAGCAGCACGGTTCTCAACATGCTGTACCGCTTCGGCGAGGGGCGGGGCCTGCGCTTCGCTCTGCCCCTGGGCTACCAGCTGGGCTACCCTCTGCCCTTCAACGCTCACAGGGTCAAGGGCTACAGGGCCCCGGGGGAACCCAGCTTCCACATCATGGGCAACCACATGCGCTTCAACAGAGCAGAGGTAACACAGAGACACGTGACACAGAGACACGTGACACAGAGAGACACAGAGAGACACAGAGAGACACAGAGACACAGAGACACACAGAGACACGTGACACAGAGAGACACGTGACACAGAGACACGTGACACAGAGAGACACAGAGACACAGAAACACGTGACACAGAGAGACACGTGACACAGAGACACGTGACACAGAGAGACACAGAGACACAAAGAAACACGTGACACAGAGAGACACGTGACACAGAAGAGACACAGAGACACGTGACACAGAGAGACACAGAGACACGTGACACAGAGAGACACAGAGACACGTGACACAGAGAGACACAGAGACACGTGACACAGAGAGACACAGAGACACAGAGAAACACGTGACACAGAGAGACACGTGACACAGAGACACGTGACACAGAGAGACACAGAGACACAAAGAAACACGTGACACAGAGAGACACGTGACACAGAGAGACACAGAGACACGTGACACAGAGAGACACAGAGACACGTGACACAGAGAGACACAGAGACACGTGACACAGAGAGACACAGAGACACGTGACACAGAGAGACACAGAGACACAGAGAAACACGTGACACAGAGAGACACGTGACACAGAGAGACACAGAGACACAAAGAAACACGTGACACAGAGACACGTGACACAGAGAGACACAGAGACACAGAAACACGTGACACAGAGAGACACGTGACACAGAGACACGTGACACAGAGAGACACAGAGACACAAAGAAACACGTGACACAGAGAGACACGTGACACAGAGAGACACGTGACACAGAGAGACACAGAGACACGTGACACAGAGAGACACAGAGACACGTGACACAGAGAGACACAGAGACACGTGACACAGAGAGACACAGAGACACAGAGAAACACGTGACACAGAGAGACACGTGACACAGAGAGACACAGAGAGACACGTGACACAGAGACATGTGACACAGAGACACGTGACACAGAGAGACACGTGACACAGAGACACGTGACACAGAGACACGTGACACAGAGGGACGTCCTCAGGTGTCACGTGCTCCTCCTCACAGCCACAGACACAGATGGATAATGCTAACATTGACTTCATACAGACTCAGAACCAGACCCGGACTCAGACTCAGTAAAACCCCACATGTGCAAGAGTCCCCATTGTCACCAGACATGCATGCTAGCATGTTAGAGTATCCAGATGTCCTGTAGCCAACGATATCTTCTGCCAGAGGGAAGAAGCTGGAACATGGCTTTTCTCTCTGGTCTCTCTCTGGTCTCTCTCTGGTCTCCTTCTCTGGTCTCTTAATCTGGTCTCTCTGGTCTCTCTCTGGTCTCTCTCTGGTCTCTTTCTCTGGTCTCTCTTTTTGTGATAGCAATAAGACAATATCCAAATATAAATCCCAGGACAAGCTGCTGTGGCTCAAAGTCTTTGGTCATAAAATGTGAGTCCTTCTCCATAAAAGCAGATCATAAACAGGTGCAAGTTTATTTGTGTAGCACAGTTCATACTCAAGGCTCAAAGTGCAGAAAACACAAGAACAGAAGCAATAAAACCACAAATAATCACAGTTTATTAAAGAGACTGAAGATACAACTGTCTTTATTTTCAGGAAGACTGTTCCAGAGTAAATATGAAATCTGCCTCCTCATGTTTAGTCCTGACTCAGAGTCCCAGGACTGAGGCTGTTGACCCAGGACTGAAGCTGTAGACCCAGGACTGAGGCTGTAGACCCAGGACTGAGGCTGTAGACCCAGGACTGAGGCTGTAGACCCAGGACTGAGGCTGTAGATCTCAGTAAACAGTAAACACTGTGTTGCAGGTGGAGAAAGTGATGCCTTCTGACGCCTTCTACTTCTCCATCGTCCGTGACCCGGTGGCTCTCGCCGAGTCTTCCTTCGCCTACTACAAAGAGGTGGCGCCCGCCTTCCGCAAAGCCCGGAGTCTGGGTGAGTTTGCAGACAACCCCCACAAGTTCTTCGACCCGCGGCTCCGCAACAACCACTACGCCCGCAACCTGCTGTGGTTCGACTTCGGCCTGGACCACAACGCCAACTTCTCCTCTGCCTTAGCGCGCCACGGCGTGCGCGTGATCCAGCAGGTTTTCACTTTGGTGCTGGTGTCTGAGTACTTCGACCAGTCCATGATCCTGCTCCGCCACGCCCTCTGCTGGCCGCTGGACGCCGTGGTGTCCTTCAGCCTGAACGCGCGGCAGCAGAAGCCGGAGCCGAGCGGGAGCTGGGTCATCAAGGCGGCGCCAGTGCACGCCAAGGTGATGCCCAACCTGTCGCTCACAGAGGAGCAGCGCGAGAAGCTGCGGGAGTGGAACGCCTTGGACTGGGCGCTGTACGAGGCCTTCAACAGGACCTTTTGGGAGCGCGTGCATAAGTTTGGGTCGGAGCGGATGCAGAGGGAGGTGGGGCTGCTGAGGGCGCGCCGGGAGGAGCTCGCCAAGGTCTGCCTCAGGGACGGCGGGAAACCGGTGGAGGCTCAGCGCATCCGCGACAAAACCATCAGACCCTTCCAGAGCGGCGTGGTGAAGATCCTGGGCTACGAGCTGCAGCCACGGCTCGACAACGCCACCAGGACGGCATGCCTCAGGATGATCCGCCCCGAGATCCAGTACAAGGACGTGCTGGACGCCAAGCAGTTCCCACGGTCTCCATCACCGCGGTGTGCCAAGTGTTCATGAGAAACTCAGAGTCTGAGGCTGAGACAGTAAGGGATGAGCAAGATGAGGTGTACGTCTGCGTGTGTGTGTGAGTGTGTGTGTGTATCTGTGTGTGTCTATTGCTGGGTCTACTTCTGTACACTCCAAAAGCACATGATAAAACAATAGCAAACCGTTAACGTTAGCATTATATAAACGTTACCTGCTGGTCTCTGTCTGGTATCTCTGGTGTCTCTCTGGTCTCTCTGGTCCCTCTCTGGTCTCTCTCTGGTAACTCTGGTGTCTCTCTGGTCTCTCTGGTCCCTCTTTGGTATCTCTGGTCTCTCTGGTCCCTCTCTGGTATCTCTGGTGTCTCTGGTCCCTCTCTGGTCTCTCTCTGGTAACTCTGGTGTCTCTTTGGTCTCTCTGGTCCCTCTCTGGTCTCTCTCTGGTAACTCTGGTGTCTCTCTGGTCTCTCTGGTCCCTCTCTGGTCTCTCTCTGGTAACTCTGGTGTCTCTCTGGTCTCTCTGGTCCCTCTCTGGTCTCTCACAGTGTCTGCCCTGGCCTGGGTCTCTCCCCCTCCCCTCTCCCCTGGTGGAGCATGTGAATAATGATAAATGGTTCTCAAACTGTGGTACGCACACACATGGTACGGGGCTGTTTCTAGTGGACATTTCTTACAGGGCGGGGCCTATGTAACTGTTTTATAAAAATAATGATAAAATGTCAAACTATAAACCACTTTTTACTTTCATTGTTTTGGGGATAGGGTCATTAACACTCATTTTGACTGTTGGTTAGTTTTACACCAGATTTAGAAGGTCTTTTACCTTTACGCACTTTCACTAAGAGCTAAAACCGGTGAAAATAATGGAAATACAGGCCTTTGGTGAAAGGCCTTTAATGCTAATTGCTGACAGTAAACTATGTGTTGCTATGGTAACTAGCACTCGGTGGAAAACCAAACTGAACCAGTCCAGAACCAGTCCAGGAACATTCTAACGGCCATGTGTTGGTTGCCAACTGATCCAAAATGGCTTCATTTGAATTTATAGGAAGTTAAAGATAAAACTTCTCACTTCTCAAAAATAACAAAATATTAACGGCTTATTAACCGAGCAAGCAAGGTTAATAAACGTTTTATTATATGACTCTCGTCTGTGTCTTTACCAATGCTTTTGATATATTTGTGAAGTATATGTTCATGTCCGACTTGGTTTTGTGTGATACGGGCTGAGGACAGATTGTCATGGTAACGGTCCGAGGAAAGATATCAAATGTGATACGCGCTGTTCGGACCAATTGTCATGGTAACGGTCCGAGATGGGAAAATATCAGACCGGTAATCAGCCAATCAGAGCGCGCGTACGGTCCAAGTCATATAATAAATGAAAATAAGGACATAATAGAGAACACAGAGGAACAGAGGTTCAGACAGGCTCTGAGTAACTGCACTACAGTCACTTTGACTGCTCTGGAGTCAGGTCCCAGACTGTTCCACAGTCTCTCTTCTGTTAAAGAGCATTACTGTTGGACACGGAGCCAGAGCTGCTTTGTTTACTTTACTTTTTATAATTTATTTTTGTGCATATCTGTGACGAGACAAAAACATACTTCTGTCTCCTGGAAACATTACTGCTTTGTTTTCAGCAAACTAAAGATCAAAAACATCACAATAGGTTTTATATATTTGAAATGGAACAAACATACATTTACAAGCGACAATGATTAAAATGATCTGTTGTTTCACCGTTCAAATCAAAGCAATGGTTGTTTCCATGGAGACCGACAGCTTTAATCCAGTTATTCTCAGTTTTAAAGGCCTTATCTACATCAGCACCAGCCACACCCAGACTGTGCACAAGTGGACAGTGTGACATCACCAAACATCACCACAGTGTGACATCACCACAGTGTGACATCACCAAAGTGTGACATCACCACTATGTGACATCACAGTGTTAGCCTTCATGTAAGAGGCCCATATCTAGATTTACAGACAACATCACATATAAACACAGGACCAGAGAGAGATAAACCACAGATTTAAGCCCTAAATGGTGATGTCACACAAAGGAGTTTACGTTAACATGGAAGTTAATAGGAGCCAGAGAGAGGAGCCAAACTTTGTTCATGAGCCCTTCACTGCTTTCTTCATGGAGCTGGTGTGTTAGCATTGTCCATCTGTGCACAGTCTCTGCTCGTGTCTCATTATTCCACAGCTTCAGAGGACACTGCACTTTGTAAACTTTACTTTGAGACGTTCGGACTCATGAGGTTGTTGTTGTGATGAATCTTTCTTGTAAATCACTTGTTTGGGCTTTGTTTACGCGGCTGTCGCAGGAAACGACGCATTCTTCCGTCCGAGAAAAATACAAATAAAAAAATACATGTGAAACGCTGCATTTGTTGGTGGTTTAATGCATTTGTTTTTATACAGCGCTTTCCTAAACTTTTCACAGACGCTTCACATTATTTCATTAAGCTTATTAAATTTATTAGTCCATTTCTGGGTCAGAGATGCACCCAGTCCTCACAGCACCAGGGCCTCGCTGATCCTCTTGCAGGTGGTCTTTCAGCAGGGTCTTCAGGCAAAGTGGGGGTAAGTGTCTTGCCCGCAGCCCAAGGACACAACGGCAGTAGACATCAGTGGGGGTAGATTACATGAGTTGTGGGGGAACGAACCCACGACCACATGTCATTATTCATTCACACCACACCCAGTGGTGATACATTTCTATAGTAGCCACGGCTGCCCTGGGGCACACTGACTGGAGCGAGGCAACCTCCCACCACCTCCAACCATTCATACACACACACACTTCATTCTAATGTGGGTGTGCAAGTGTCTTGAAACCTAATAGATCCATGCTTTATTTAAGTTTTTATTTTGCATACTTGAGAGCCCTGTGAGTCATTACTTGCCTTTTTGGGTTGAGAGTGGAATAAAAAAAAGAAAATATAGAAAAATCCACACTGTTACTTATTGCCAAACTCTTGTTAACTCATTGTATTGAGAAATACTATGTAACTTCTGACATTGGCCAAGTTATATAAATGATTCTGCAGTTCATTTATATAAATGTCTGTTTTTGATTGTCTATACCTTCTTATATAATTTAGAAAAAATGCCACCTCCACAAAAAAAGATAAAAGATATCAGGAGCTTTTTTAACAGTTGGAAAGTAAGTAAGAGAAAGCACAAGTAATAGCAAATTATGAATTGTGATGATTAATCTTCTGTTAACATACATAGGAAACTCAACCAACAAAAGAGAACAATATAGGGAATGTTGAGGTAGAAGCAACAGGCCCTTCAGTGCATCAGGCGAGGTTGGAATTTTGTAGGTATGCATGGGACTATGAATTGTTTTTAGAGATTGATCGTATTTGTCAAACAATGTAGTGAGCTACTCACTGTAGATTCTAATTCAATATTTTCTCCTCTGTTTTTATTTATTATAGGAAATTGAAAGATCAGAGCATGATTTATTTCAAGTATCGAGAGCAGTTCCTGAACTGTTAGAGCCTCAGGTGAGGGCTATTATGTAGATTTGGATTAGGTTTAAGTCAGTATAGAATGAACGCAACACAAAACTCAGAAGCTCTGATCCAATTGATTTTGTTTTAACTATTAGAAAAAATCCTTAACTGCTTCTCATTCAGTCTACAGCTGAGTTTAGTATAGAAGGCAACACACTATTGCAAATATAGTGTGTGATTACACAACAAATTCTGGGGGAGAAACTCTGGACCCCGTGTCAATGGGTGTAGACTCAGGTCGTAGTGAATGTCCCCACCAAGATTGGAACCAAACCTACACCATTGCTTGAAACACATAAATCAGACATGCATCATCGTTCATGTGTAAAGACATTTGATACATGAAGAGACCAGTAGGGGGCAGAAACACCCCTCCGCCGCGTCTCACACAGACTCTACATCATGTAAAGAAAATTTAATACGTTTTATACACACACGCACATACATACACAGAGACACACACGTACAGACATAGACCCTCTCTTCACAGCATTATTCCTTCACTCCAAACACAGCTATGATAAACTACTACTGTAGCCACGGCTGCCCTGGGGCACATTGACAGAAGAGAGGCAACCAGTCTGTGCCACTGGCTCCTCCTACCAACAACCAAAATACTCCGTTTTTGAGTTGCCCTGTTTAAATCATGTGCTATACTAATAAACTTGCCGTCGCTTGTCATGTTTCCAAAGGCTTTCTCGCGTCTTTCTCTCCCATGACCTGGCAGCCCGTCTTGGCGCATGCTCAGTGAGCGTTCCTCCTCTCGCTCCTGTTTCCGCGTCCGTCGCCGGTATGAAGGCTATGAACACGTGAACTCTGCGGCCGAACGGACTGGTCCCGGTGCCCGCGGCTCTCCCGGAGCTTGGACAAACACACCGAACATTTGAGGCCAGAATATAATGGTGAGCGGAGTTATTGCATATGCTAATGCTAACGCTAGCTCGGAAGTGAAGGACTCCCGGAAGAGCCCACCTGGGCCAGTGTCAGTCACCTGCTGCTGACGAGGCCCGGAACAAAACACTTTCTATAGAATGTGTTTGTTTGTTATTTACATTTCAGGCCTAACCCTAGGATGTGTTCTGTACGAGCTGGGAGTCAGCGTTGATCGTGTGTCGTTTGAAATGAATGGATCTTTGGATTTAATCTAAAGTTCCGGACTCTTCAACATATCGCAGATCAACAAAACAATAAGCAGGGTCTCCATGACGACTGTGGAGAAAAGTGCAGCACATATGTGCGTGTCTCTGGTCTCACTGGTTTCTCTCCATGGTCCAGATACAATTCCAACTAGAGATTATTGTGAGATTTCATAACACTTTGAAGCAACTATTGTTAAAGTTCAAACTCATCATTCTATCAATGTGCAGAAGCCAGTACTTTTCCCTTGTTTTGTCTATCTGAAGGCCAAGCTACATGGCACCGTGGCAGCTGCTGATTGGAGGTCTCCATGCCTCCGCTCTGTATAATACACTTGCATTCTGTTGTATCTGTGCTCGTGCTGTCTCTACCATCGACAATAAAACATGTCTTCTGTCAGAATTAAAGACACAATCCCAGATTTGGCACATCTTCTTCATTATGATTATCACGCATGAAAAGTTATTCTCCCAAAGCGTCTTCTACAGTATCCTTCTCAGTATCCTGGTCCCTGTGCTTCATGGTCCCTCTCCTTTACCTCAGCCTCCTGGTCCCAGTGCTTCATGATACCCTCACCCTCCTGTTCCCTATGCTTCATGGTCCCCTCTCTCTCCTGGTCCCTGTGCTTCATGGTCCCTCTCTCTCCTGTTCCCTATGCTTCATGGTCCCCTCTCTCTCCTGGTCCCTGTGCTTCATGGTCCCTGTGCTCCTCAGATGCGGTTCATGCTTCTGTTCAGTCGTCAGGGGAAGCTGCGTCTGCAGAAGTGGTACACGGCCACAGGAGACAGGGACAAGAAGAAGATGGTGCGAGAACTCATGCAGATCGTCCTGGCTCGCAAACCCAAGATGTGCAGCTTCCTGGAGTGGAGGGACCTCAAGATTGTGTACAAGAGGTACCACAGGGGGGAGAGAGGGGGGAGAGGGGGAGGGACCTCAAGATTGTGTACAACAGGTACCACAGGGGGGAGAGAGAGAGAGAGAGAGACTATGTTAAATGTTGTGTGTCTGTAGGTACGCCAGCCTGTATTTCTGTTGTGCGATAGAAGAACAGGACAACGAGCTCATCACACTCGAGATCATCCATCGCTTCGTCGAGCTCCTGGACAAATACTTTGGCAGCGTAAGATACAGCACGTGTCATGTGACCTTGTGTGTTGATTTACATATCTGAATGAAAAAACATGAATTGCTTAACAAAATATATTTATTGCTCCTAAAATTCAAAAATAAGATATTCTTAGTCAGGTAGCATAAAACCTTAAACACATCTAGCTTGCTGAAAAAAGTGCATCTTGTTATTCTTCTTTCAGATGATGATAACACTTGATGTTTAGCATTCAATAAAAGAAAAGTACACCAAAAACCAATGTAAACTTTCAGCTAATTAGAGAGTGCTTTTCTAGCAAAAAATAATGAAAATAAATATTTAAAATTCAACAGTTATGTTGAACATAGGCCTAGCTTACTGAAAAAATCTAACAACTTAGACTCGGACACTTTCCTTTCCCCTGAAGAGAACTGTCTGTCTTTTTGTGTGTGCTTGTGAACATGAGCCTCCAGCCAGAGTATCATTCTCCAGTGACTAAACTAGCACAGCTAGTATGTAGCGCAGCTAGCATGTTAGCCGATGCAGAAGTACCGTCTAATAATAAAATTAACTGATGGTGCACCTCCGTGAACATATACTGCTGTTATATAAAGTCACTGGAAGGTCTCTGGACACAGACGCTGCAGAGCTGGAGTATTGGAGAAGAACTTTACACAAAAAGCCGCTAGCTTCCACTAGCGTAACTCCGCTAGCTTAACTAGTCTGGTCTGAACACCCCAAGCCTCTGTAATTTAGAGAATGCTGCGCGTGGAAACTGCGTTCCAGCGTTGGCGGTCTGAAGGCATTGGCGTACTACTGCTACTACTTGCTGCTATCTTTGTTTTGAGTATGATGATTCGACGTGCATATTTTGTATCAACGTATTTTTTGTGTCTATGTCATCAATTACATCGATGCGTTCTCCCAGCCCTAGTCTAACAGTCACATGACACACGTGTCTAACAGTCACATGACACGCGTGTCTAACAGTCACATGACACGCGTGTCTAACAGTCACATGACACACGTGTCTAACAGTCACATGACACGCGTGTCTAACAGTCACATGACACGCGTGTCTAACAGTCACATGACACGCGTGTCTAACAGTCACATGACACGCGTGTCTAACAGTCACATGACACGCGTGTCTAACAGTCACATGACACGCGTGTCTAACAGTCACATGACACGCGTGTCTAACAGTCACATGACACGCGTGTCTAACAGTCACATGACACGCGTGTCTAACAGTCACATGACACGCGTGTCTAACAGTCACATGACACGCGTGTCTAACAGTCACATGACACGCGTGTCTAACAGTCACATGACACGCGTGTCTAACAGTCACATGACACGCGTGTCTAACAGTCACATGACACGCGTGTCTAACAGTCACATGACACGCGTGTCTAACAGTCACATGACACGCGTGTCTAACAGTCACATGACACACGTGTCTAACAGTCACATGACACACGTGTCTAACAGTCACATGACACATGTTTGTGTCTTTAAAAGTCACATGACAGATGTGTGTCCTGTTTCCTGCAGGTGTGTGAGCTGGACATCATCTTTAACTTTGAGAAGGCGTACTTCATCCTGGACGAATTCTTGATGGGAGGAGAGATCCAAGACACCTCCAAGAAGAGTGTCCTCAAAGCCATCGAGCAGGCGGACCTGCTGCAGGAGGTCAGGGTTAAGGATCACATCTGCATGAACCAAAGAGGGGGAGAGAGAGAGACCAGAGAGGGGGAGAGAGAGAGACCAGAGAGGGGGAGAGAGAGACCAGAGAGGGGGAGAGAGAGACCAGCGAGGGGGGAGAGACTAGAGAGAGACGGGAGAGGGGTAGAGAAGCCGCTCAGACTGCAGCCTAACTCTGTGTGTTTCTCTGTGTGCAGGAGGATGAGTCGCCCCGCAGTGTTCTGGAGGAGATGGGTTTGGCGTAGGACCTGAACCACAGTCTCTGCTGTTAAACCTTACCACCTGGTTTCAGATGCATACACCAGGAAGGACACCATGTGGAGTTCATTTCATATCATTATCTCTGATGTTAAAGACAGACATTTACGATAACAATACCGTATTTTTCAAATTCTAAGTCGCAGTTTTTGTCATAGTTTGCCCAGGGAGAGACTTATGTGTGAAATTATTTATCTTAAAATATAAAACAATAGGCCGGGCTGTTACTTTGGGCAAACAAGTTATTAAGAAGATCCCAAAGAAAGAAAACATGTGCTGGTACTGAAAACCATTATATTTAGGACCATAGCTTTTGTTGTGTTGGAATACACTATTATTTTGTAAAACCTTCATTTTGCTCCGACACTTCATCAAACTGCAGCTCACAGGTACCTGACTCAAGATGAAATCTCTCTTCTTGGTGTTGGATTTTTTTTTATACATTTCCCCAAAAATGCGACTCATGTTTTCCTTTTATTTTGCATTTTCAGCTGGTGCGACTTATAATCCGAAAAATATGGTAATGACATCAAAATACACTACATTTAGAATCCGCCACATGGTAGAGAGAGCACAGAGACACAAGTTCTGGTGTTTAAGAAGTTTCTTGTTTTTTAGATGAAATGAACTCAAACTGCTGTAAGGTTAACCTGAGGGACATGACTCTGGCGCCCCCTGGTGTCTGGTGTATGCATCTTTGTAAAATATTGTATTCATATTTATTTATCTGAAATACATTCAGCACAGAACAATAATCATGAATCAACTTTAATCGTTGCATAAGACACAGAATCAATCTATATTTATAAATATAGCACACTTCAACAGTCGAGCTTCCATCGAACTGAAGATTTACAAGGATCAGAGAAAAACTATAATTTTAAAGTTTGCATGCGATTCTTTCAGTGGTCACTGGTTTATGGCAGTGAGGGAGACCAGGGAGAAGGGCCAGAGGGAGAGATCAGAGGGAGAAACTGGAGGGAGGTTGAGAGAGACTGGAGAAACAGTCCTCTGAATTAATCACAGAGGTACACACAAGCCTCAAAAGTGCTTCCTCCCTCTGGTGTCTCTGGTCTCTCTCTGGTCTCTCCCTTGTCTCTATCTGGTCTCTCCCTTGTCTCTATCTGGTCTCTCTCTGGTGTCTTTCCCTCTGGTCTCTCTCTTGTCTCCCTCTCTTTTCTCCCTCTGGTCTCTGCTCTCCCTCTGGTCTCTCTCTGGTCTCTCTCCGGTCTCTCTCTGGTCTCTCCCTTGTCTCTATCTGGTCTCTCTCTGGTGTCTTTCCCTCTGGTCTCTCTCTTGTCTCCCTCTCTTTTCTCCCTCTGGTCTCTGCTCTCCCTCTGGTGTCCCTCTGGTCTCTCTCCGGTCTCTCTCTGGTCTCTCTCTCGCAGTGTAACCAGGGACCACTGTATTTTATATTGTTCTTATTTCTTGCTAATCATGTGGTGGAGCCATTTTATTTTATTGGCGCCATTTTGAGGACTTTCACTCAATCGATATATTTAACGTGAATGTACTTCCTTTGTTTTGAGTTGGTTACGACCGGACCCTCGAGTTCCCCTTAAACCTGCCAGTATTTATTCTGTCTCAGTTTGTACGGTACCATGTTTATTTTATTCTCTGCAGCTGCTTAAGGAAAGTCAGAGGTACATCTCATGCTACATGTGTGCTAACCTGAGTTAGCTAATCGCTACATGGGGCTTACAAGTTTTGTCGGCTTTAAATACAGCTCTATTTTTGTCTGACTTTGGCTCTGTTCAAATCAAACTAATGTGTGCAGTGTGTTGGCTGATGCTAGCGCTCCATGCTAACGAGGTCTTTCTCCCCCCACCCCTTCTGTCTGAATGCTCCCATCTCAAACTCTATAACATTACGATGAATCCTTACTGTTACATCCTGTTCAGAGCAGTTTTCTGGCTTTTAAAACAAAAGTATGGCCTTCATATCAGTTTTGGTAGTTTCCGCTGCGTTGTCATGGACTATTTTGTCTTTTGAAATCCATTAATATTATTGGAAGGATCTCTGGGACCAGGCCCTAGACTCTTAGGTCTCTGGACTGTTTCACATTAAGGACTAAGAATGTGGCCTTCCATCCTGAGTTGTGTTTTTCCATCTCCAGCCCAGTTTCTACCAGCTCTACTCTACTCTATCCTTTACTATCAAGTACAATATCTAATAAAAAACCTGTATCAGGGGAAATTGCTTGGTAACCATGGCTCCCAGCAGCACCCTGGTCAATCACTATCAGTTGGAACATTTTAGTACCAGCTCGGCCTGGACAAAATCGAGACTAAAGAAGGACCTGGTACAAACTAGCTTAGGGTAGAGCTGGTGGAAAGGGTTTTTTATTTTGCTGTGATTTTAAGTGGTTTTATTTTCTTGTTTGGTCTTGACTTTAGCCTGACGTCCACGACTTCATGTCCTGTGTGTGTTTCCGGGTCTGCTCTGGTTTTCTCTGATGTAATGTTTGGACCTGGGCTCTTTGGGCGACACTCTATGCATCGTCTTGGGTCTGATAAAGGAGAAGTCTGCGCCTGCTCAGGACCTGTGGCCCTGTCTCTGCCTGGAACAGTCTCTTCGTGACTTTGTGCACCCTTTTAAAGCAGCAGAGAATATTTGCTTAAAGCTTCTGTGTCAGAATGTGATGCAAACTTAAGCACGTTTATCTCCAGTGTGTTCTGCCTTTGCACCTGCGACGCCTTCACGGTCGGCTTTGTCTTTGGTTTCTACACTTATTCTTCTATATAAGCCTTTCTCTCTGCAGTGGGTTTGAAGGGCTGACGCAAGTTCATGAGCCGGGTTTTCCAGTCTGGGGTTAGTTTAACTCCTGAGCTCCATCTTTAAAGTTGGATTTGCTCAATTCAATGTTTTTGTGGATCGCCCTAAATCACAGCAGCAGTTGCTACAGAGCTGTAGACCCAGGACTGAGGCTGTAGACCCACACGTTAAACAAACCAGAGCGAGAGAGACCAGAGCTAACAGCTACATCCTGGAGTACATCCTGAGTGTTTGATTCTTTGATCTGCTGCTGTGCCTTGGAGCTTCCCACAGTCAGAGAAGCTGACTGTGGGACGCCGTGTGTGCGTTTGGATGTAAATATTCAAAATGGCGGCTTCACCTTTGTGTCTCTGAGTCAGTGGTATACACACAAGTCCCGCCCCTTTGGCCCTGACTATTCTGTGACTATTCTACTGATGTAAAAAGAAAAGTGGACTTGGACCATTAACGCCTGGACTTTTGATACAACCTCAAGGGCTGAAGAACATCTTATTAATGTTCTCACGACTGCAGTTTGTGGTTTTAAACAAAGCAATTGTTCTGTTCATAAAACTGCTCAAGTGTCATAGACTGTATATGCTTTGTACTGTAACAGGGGCAGATGCGTTGCTAAGACGGTTACTAAGGCCTCTGATTGGTCAGTCCTTATATAGTCATATCTGGATTTACAAAGATACTGACACAAACAGTTACTGAGGTGTTTACTTTAGAAGTCTGTAGGAGCCAAACTTCACCATGAGCACTTCCCTTTTGGGCTTCATTGAGCTAGCAGGTTAGCATTGTATATCTGTATCATGGATCTATTATAATAACGGTCTGTATACATCTGTGTTAGCATTGTCCTTCTGTATACAGTTTGTGTTAACATTAGCATCTGTACAGTCTATGATCACTTGCAGCAGAACAGATGTGGGGTTTTCTGGTGTAAAGACGTGAATGTGAATTATTCTTGGCACAAATCGACAAATGGTTGTTTACAAATAATCCCCAAATATGCATCATATTAATATAATCTCTGAATTTAAAGTCCTTGGTCTATTACTTGTTTTAAAGTGTATAAAGTGCCCTGTGTGACTAACTATGCTGTAAACACGTTTGTACCAATGGAATCGAAGAAGTGTGAATGTCATTTTCTACCTATTAATAAATTTTTGAAATGATTTGTTTGTTTATTTCACACCTTTTATTTATTTGCATGTAACTCCAGTAGAGAAACGACTTCAGCCCTGTTTCCACCGTCACAGGAGAAAGGTCTCTTTAATTCTGCAGGAAAAAAGAATTTAAACCAGAATCGTCCGGAAGTTCAGTTTGATCAAATGAGCATACGCAGCAGTAGATAACGTCACGGAATTGGGACGGAAACGGAACTAATATAACAAACTACCTATTAATGTCTAAACTTAACCAGCCATTCCCATAAAATAACCCCAACCCAGCTTTAACCCTAAACTTAACCATCTTACTTAGACCAGTGGCGGAGCCAGACTTTTAAACAGAGGGTGGCCAGGGGGTGGCAAGGGTTTTTTTTAAGGGGTCCACATTTATACTATTCCGAAATTTTATTTCGCACAAAAACTGGCTAAACGATACATTTTAATCTTAATCTTGTCATTATTTTTAATATAAAGTGAACCGAGAGCACACTTGGAAACTACAAAGCAAAAAAGTGTATTTAAATAGTAGTCTGAACAAAAAAGTGCAAAATAACATAATTCAAACATTGCATTACATTTTTCTTTTAACAAATTTAGCAAATTCCTACGGTTCTGGTGTAAAGCAGCAAAGATGTTGACAAACTCATCCATATTCAGCCCTGAGCCTCCTTTACCCAACACTGAGGATACCAAGATGACTCAATCATCTGCCATGGTAGTTCTGAGATGGTTTTTAATAAGTTTTAGGGCAGAGAAACTTCTTTCACACGACGCAGTACTGACAGGTATTAAAAAGATCTTTGCAAGCCTCAAAAGCTCATGAAACACTTTCCAAACGTTCCAAAAGGACAAGGAAGTCCAACAGGGACTCTCTAATCCATTTTTTCCTCCCAAGAATCCGCCTAGTTTGACGTACTTCATGCTTAAGGTCCTCTATATCTGACTCAAAGGTTCTGCCAAATGAAAACAGGGGCTCTTCTTTCAAAAAATTGTTGGGGTCAAGCGACTGCACATCATCCATAATCTTAGCTATTTTGTTTCTTTTTTTGTGTGTGAAAAAACGCCTTCTGCCAATAGACAATCCTGCACCTGTCTGCGACACCCTCTCATTCTCTGAAACTGAATAATGTAAGCTATATTTTAATACAACACAACAAATTCCTCATCATCTCAAAACATACTGCCTCCGAGTCTGACCTTCAGGTTTCATCATCCTGATCTACAGCCTTTTCCTAACAAAAAAAGGCCTGTAGGCAATGTTTCCTCCTTTTCTTTTCATGTTTACACTAAAGGGAAGAGGGCGATGATACGATGGGCAATTAATAATGGAAAATAAACACGCATGCACCCCGCACGCACACACGCGCACAGGCACGCACACACACGCACACAGGCGCGCATACAGGCACGCACACACACATACACACACTAAAAGTTCTACAAACTGAACAAGTAATGCGCTGCAGTACGTGTGTCTATACTTTGTGTCAAATGTAAACGGTTGGCTCTGCGTTGCTAACTTACCTCTTTGTTTTCATCACGACTTGGGCACATGTGAGGCCAACAACCCAAAACATTAGGCTCCACACGGAGTCAGGGTGCGTTCACAGACGGGGGAAACCGTGGGAATTTTTAGCTTTTGCCGGAAAAAGTGCGGAAGATTCTCAAGATTGACATTATTACATTGCCGTCTTCCGAGGGGGGCACTGGGGGTGGCAAGGATATTTTTAGAGGTGGCAGTGGCCACCCTGGCTACCCCTCTGGCTCCGCCACTGACTTAGACACCTAAAACTTAACCAGTCACCACTTAAAGGACAAATCACCCTCAAATCCACTTTTTTTTGCTGATAAACGGTATAAATGAGTGTCCAATAGTGTTGTCTACATATCCTGGTCATAATCTTGTCACTTTGGTGCAAATTAGTTGAAAGTTAAACTTTCTGCCTAAAACCGTCTGTGAGGCGCCATCTGCTGGCGACCTGTGTCACTACATTTGATTTTTGAATCTGGCGCCAACACTGGCACGGCAGCAAGACCTGAAGTCTGAAGCAAGACCTGACGTCTGAAGCAAGACCTGACGTCTGAAGCAAGACCTGACGTCAGCAGCCCCCCGCCCAGAGCAATGTAAACGGCCCAGTCTCGTTCACGCCCCCTTTAGTCCTCCAGGCTACGCCCATTTAGAGGAAGATTTGAACAGGAAATGTGAGTGACGTAAGCTCCGAGGAGCGGGGGTGAGAACCACTTTAAGGACTTATTACACTTTTTGACATGCGCAAACTGAACTTCGGGACGAATACGGGAGTGACAAGCCCATTGATCCATGGGTTCAGGGCGCAGCAGCCACTCGGCTAATTCTTTTCCAGGTCCACTCCCACAGGCCGGGGTGGTATTGCAGCATGTCAGCGCTAACTTGACAGCTAATAGCTTACAAATGGTCTGTCAAGTTGATAATGGAAATATTAACAAAATCTAAGTTGTAAGCTAACAGCTGTTGAGAACGTGTCATTGGCCTACGTCAGTAAAATTACGTACGCGGCAGTTCAACTCGACAAGAGCAGTGTGGCTTCACAGGAGTCAATATGACTGCTATCACACACCAGCAGTGTGGTGTCACAGCAGTTACTGCTTAAACCAAACTTTACATGAAACTTTGACTCTTAAAACCCACATATAACAACATGGAACCATCAACATCTCGCTTCAAATTGCATTAAAAGTGACATTTGTGTCTTTATTAGTTCGTATTTAAACTTTTTACACAATTCATGGACTTCACGTCCTCCATCTTGGTTTGCTCCAGTTGCCATGAAAGGTGCATGTGCAGGTTTGCGTTACATCATAAACAGCTGAGGCAGCTCATCTCGACAAGGGTACCCACCCACACTGGCTTTAACAGGAGCACATCACTCCTGTCCTTAGACCTTTCTGGTACTGGTACTGGATCCTAACAACCTTCTGACAACATAAATTACGTACTCCAGCAGCACTATGGCCTATCACTGTCAGTTAGAACCCTTTGTACTGGTTAAACAGGACAAGTAGAGTCGGGCTTTAGATCCTGGGGCAGGTCCCTGTTCCGAGGCTCAGAGGGGATGGAACATTCTCGGTCCACGCTCCTCTCCTTTCAGAATCAGAATCAGAATCATTTTTATTGCCAACGTAAGTAACGGGAGGTCACAGACTTGGAAATTGCTTTGGCTCAGTGCAACAGTCAAAAAGAGATAATAAAAATAAGAATAAAAAACACTTCTAAAGAATAAATTTAAATTTAAAATAGAGTTACAGTTACTATTTACAATATACAAGTGCACATGGTGCACACAATGTAAGGTGACAGCAGTACAGTGAAGTAAAGTGACGTATGATGGGCAGTAAAGTGACTTTATAAAGGGCGGGGGGACAGGTTAAGAAGTGTTCAAGAGTCCAACAGCAGAGGGGAAGAAACTGTTCTTGTGGCGGGAGGTTCTAGTCCTGATGGACCGCAGCCTCCTGCCTGAGGGGAGTGGTTGGAATAGTCCATGTGAGGGTGAGAGGGGTCGGCTGTGATACGACCAGCCCGGCCTCGAGCTCGGGCGACGTACAGGTCCTGCAGCGATGGAAGGCTGCGGCCGATCACTTCCTCTGCAGAGCGCACAATGCGCTGTAGTCTCTGTTTGTCCCTGACTGTGGCTCCAGCGAACCACACGGTGATGGAGGAGGTGAGGATGGACTCGATGATGGCCGTGTAGAACTGCACCAACATCTGTGCAGGCAGCTTGGCTTTCCTGAGCTGCCGCAGGAACATTGGAACCATGTGTGAGGAGATAAGGCTCGCACCATCAGCACCATCACAAAACTATTCATTATCTTTCTGCAATGAACAGTAGAATCTGTTTTGGTCTGACAGAGAGAGACCAGAGAGAGACCAGAGAGAGACCAGAGAGAGAGACCAGAGAGAGAGACCAGAGAGAGACCAGAGAGAGACCAGAGAGAGACCAGAGAGAGACCAGAGAGACCAGAGAGAGAGACCAGAGAGAGACCAGAGACAGACCAAAGAGAGACCAGAGACAGAAGAGAAAGACAGCTCAGATCCTCTCTCTGCAACATCTGATTTCTCTGCGTTTTTCAGCCTCGTCTGCAGTAACTGTCACTAATTGCTAAAGGAGGAGGAGGAGGGGTGAGTGGGTGAGGGAGGGGGGATCTCTTATGAATGAAACCCAGCGCGCTGACGTCAATGGGGGGGCTGCCTGACGCATGTGTGGGTGGGCAGGGAGAGGGAGAACCACTGCTGCTGCTGCTGCTGCTGCTGCTGCTGCTGTTTCCCAACACGAGGTACCGCTCCTGTTTTCTTCACTGTGTTTGTCATGTGTTGTTGCATGTATCATAAACATACATATGATTTAACAGACATTTCTTATATTTCAAATCTGTTTTTTATGCAAGGTTTATATTGGTCTTTTTTTTATAGTGTGGTGAACTGTAGGTGATGATGATACAAATCTGTGGAATTTTTCAGATTGTTTTAGTGATTTTGGAGAAAGATAAACATAGAACATGTCAACAGGCGTCATGTGTGAGAGAAGAGAGAAGAGGGAGTCGGGAATCTGTCTTTACATCAGAGAGAAATCTGTGCAGAGAGGACAGAAGTGTGTGAATACAAATATGAGAAACTGAGAATAACGTTTGTGTGTGTGTGTGCGTGCATGAGTGTGTGTGTGTGTGTGTGTGTGTGTGTGTGTGTGTGTGTCTGGCTTCTATGGCGACTGCAGCAGATTTCTGATGTTTTCAGTGGAATCAGGCTCCTGTGATGTCACATGCATTGGTTTATTACATGCATTTTTATACAAAGGTGCACTGCGTAACTTATTCACTCGACTCAATTAGTTTGTGTTGCTGTAGACCCAGGACTGAGGCTGTAGACCCAGGACTGAGGCTGTAGACCCAGGACTGAGGCTGTAGACCCAGGACTGAGGCTGTAGACCCAGGACTGAAGCTGTAGACCCAGGACTGAGGCTGTAGACCCAGGACTGAGGCTGTAGACCCAGGACTGAGGCTGTAGACCCAGGACTGAGGCTGTAGACCCAGGACTGAGGCTGTAGACCCAGGACTGAAGCTGTAGACCCAGGACTGAAGCTGTAGACCCAGGACTGAGGCTGTAGACCCAGGACTAGAGTTTGATCCAAAATACTTGTCGTGTCTTTAAACAACCGTTGAAATCTTCTTCTCTTTCTTCTCAGATGTTTTCCTCCACTTCCTGTTGGAGCCTGATACTTCTGGCTTCAGTCTTGCTCTTGCACCTGTCCTCCTCCTCTGCACCTCCCTCAGGGGAAACCACGTCCTCTGCACCACCCTCAGGGCACACCGCCTCCCGGCGACCTCCTACTGGGACGGACGCCGAAGAGGACGCCCTGTTCGGGGACATGGCGCCGGAACAACTGGCAGACATCTTGGTGAAAGCTTTAAGAGACAAGAACAAAGCTGGCGGCGATAAGGAGGACAAGGAGGACGAGGAGGTCGAGGAGTTATCAGAGTTAAAGAAAAGACAAGAACCAGAGCTGGACGAGGAGGACGTGTCGCTGGAGACGCCCACGAGAGCAGAAGAAGAAACTGAAGAACTCAGACTACAAACTCAGCAGGAGGAGGAGGAGGAGGAGCAGCTGACGGCGGAGGAGCTGCACAGTCTGGAGACCATGATGAAGGAGTTTGCTCGTGTCCGGACGTTAGTGAAGAGAGACTCCAACAGTTTCAACGAGGTCCTGCCCAGAAACAAAAACCAGGAGCAGAGGCGTAAGTGGCAGGAGGAGACACAGAAGGCCTGGAACTTTCCCTTCTTCAACACTGTAGATGTCACCAACCACCAGGAGGCGCTAGAGGACACAGGACCCAGTGAAGAGGTAGGTGAAGAGACCAGAGAGAGACCAGAGAGAGACCATAGAGAGGGTCCAGAGAGAGAGACCAGAGAGAGACCAGAGAGAGACCAGAGAGAGACCATAGAGAGGGTCCAGAGAGAGAGACCAGAGAGAGACCAGAGAGAGACCAGAGAGAGACCAGAGAGAGACCAGAGAGAGACCAGAGAGAGGGTCCAGAGAGAGAGACCAGAGAGAGACCAGAGAGAGACCAGAGAGAGACCAGAGAGAGACCAGAGAGAGACCAGAGAGGGTCCAGAGAGAGGGTCCAGAGAGAGAGACCAGAGAGAGACCAGAGAGAGACCATAGAGAGGGTCCAGAGAGAGAGACCAGAGAGAGACCAGAGAGAGACCAGAGAGAGACCAGAGAGAGACCAGAGAGGGTCCAGAGAGAGGGTCCAGAGAGAGAGACCAGAGAGAGACCAGAGAGAGACCAGAGAGAGACCAGAGAGAGGGTCCAGAGAGAGGGTCCAGAGAGAGGGTCCAGAGAGCCAGAGAGAGAGACCAGAGAGAGACCAGAGAGACCAGAGAGAGGGTCCAGAGAGAGACCAGAGAGACCAGAGAGAGACCAGAGAGACCAGAGAGAGGGACCAGAGAGAGACCAGAGAGAGAGACCAGAGAAAGAGACCAGAGAGAGACCAGAGAGAGACCAGAGAGAGACCAGAGAAAGAGACCAGAGAGAGACCAGAGAGAGACCAGAGAGAGACCAGAGAGAGACCAGAGAGAGAGACCATTATTGAGTTTGTCCTTATTTTGTTTTGTGTACGACAGATATTTCAAATGTAATGTGTGGTGTTTTTTTGTGTCCACTATTGAAATAAACTGAGGTTCTGTTTATAATAGTTTTTATAACTTAATTGTCTTTATTCCAGACGGAGAAGGAGACTCTGAGTCCTGCGGAGGAGGAGGTGCTGAGTCCTGAGGAGGAGGAGGCTCTGAGTCCGGAGGAGGAGGAGGCTCTGAGTCCGGAGGAGGAGGAGGCTCGAGCCAAAGCCGAGCAGGACGAGATGCGGCGTCAGGCCGCGGAGGCACAGAGAGCTCGTCTGGAGGAGGAGAAGCTGGCGGACATTGCCTCAGACATGCTGCTGCGCTACATGGGCAAAGAGAGAACAGGCCCAAAGTACAGACCCCTGTCGGACGCTCCAGAGGACAAACGCTCAGACGAACAGACCCAGGACCTGGACCCTCAGACCATCGAGCAGCTCATCGAGATTTCCAGCAAACTGCACCTCCCGGCGGAGGACGTGGTGGACATCATCAGCGACGTGGAGAAGAAGAAGAGGAAGGACACGCCTCCTAACACGCCCCCCAGATACTTCTCTGACCCGGGAACCAGCGACCAGTACCAGGGGAAGCTCCGCGGCTGGTTCCAGCCCAAGACCCAGGACCCCAGGACCCAGGACCTCAGGACCCAGGACCTCAGGACCCAGGACCCCAGGACCCAGGACCTCAGGACCCAGGACCTCAGGACCCAGGACCTTTGGACTCAGGACCCCTGGAGCAAACCCAGGAAGCTGCAGCCCGGGGGATGGTCTCCGCAATCTCCCGATGACTGGCTCAAACCGGTTCCGTATCCTGTTCCTTATTACCACAGATACCCACCTGCCTACTACCCGCTCCCTCTAGCGCCGCCCCCTAGGCCTCTCCCTTGGTACTACAACCCTTATGCTTACAACCGCTTCTTGACAAACCCGGTCGGCTCTTACGCCCCTGGTTCTCGGACTTCAAACCTCGGCCCTGGTTGGCGTTTGCTCCAAAGACCAGCACCGTATTACACCAACAGGGGGCGCTACCTGAACCCATGGAGCTTTAAGATCAAGGCCCCGCCAAACCGACCCCCGTCCCGGCAGCAGCAGTGGTTAGCCTCAGCTGCTAGCCCTCTGGGGAAAGAGGCTAATGCTAAAAAGACTTCCATGACCCTGAGCAGGAGAGAGGGTCTGGAGCGGTTCCTGCAGCAGCTGCTCCGGAACAAGCCTCCAGTGTTGGACTGAGGACTGGGACTGGGCCGGGTCTGATCATTTCTGGGTTTTCCATAGACTTTTTAAATATTGTGTAGAATCAGCGATGGAGAAACGCCCATGAACATCATTTCGATAAAGGGACATATTATGCAAATCAGATGTATCTGCACCAAAAACACAACATACATGAAAATAACTCCAAAGATAAATCCACGGTAAGTCAGCGGGTCTTAAATCAGTCTCCACATGGTCTAGAGGCCACCCATGGTACTGCAGTTTACATCCACATGGACTAGAGGCCACCCATTGTACTGCAGTCTAAATCCACACAGACTGTAAGGAGCTTGTCCTCAGAGACAGGACTACAGCTTTAAGAGATATAAGTCCACACTTAGAGTAAGAAACTTGGCTCTCTCCCTCTGGTCTCCCTCTGGTCTCTCTCTAGTCTCCCTCTGGTCTCCCTCTGGTCTCTCTCTAGTCTCTCTCTGGTCTCTCTCTGGTCTCTCTCTGGTCTCCCTCGGATCTCCCTTGGGTCTCTCTCTGATCTCCCTCTGGTCTCTCTCTAGTCTCTCTCTGGTCTCTCTCTGGTCTCCCTCGGATCTCCCTTGGGTCTCTCTCTGATCTCCCTCTGGTCTCTCTCTGGTCTCCCTCTGGTCTCTCTCTGGTGTCTCTCAGGTCTCCCTCTAGTCTCTCTCTAGTCTCTCTCTGGTCTCTCTCTGGTCTCTCTCTGGTCTCCCTTGGGTCTCTCTCTGATCTCCCTCTGGTCTCTCTCTGCTCTCTCTCTAGTCTCTCTCTGGTCTCTCTCTGATCTCCCTCTGGTCTCTCTCTCTGGTGTCTCTCAGGTCTCCCTCTGGTCTCTCTCTGGTCTCCCTCTGGTCTCTCTTTGGTCTCTCTCTGGTCTCTCTCTGCTCTCCCTCTGGTCTCCCTCTGGTCTCTCTCAGGTCTCTCTCTGGTCTCCCTCTGGTCTCCCTCTGGTCTCCCTCTGGTCTCTCTCTGGTCTCTCTCTGGTCTCTCTCTGGTCTCCCTCGGATCTCCCTTGGGTCTCTCTCTGATCTCCCTCAGGTCTCCCTCTGGTCTCTCTCTAGTCTCTCTCTGGTCTCTCTCTGGTCTCTCTCTGGTCTCTCTCTGGTCTCCCTCGGGTCTCTCTCTGATCTCCCTCTGGTCTCTCTCTGCTCTCTCTCTAGTCTCTCTCTGGTCTCTCTCTGGTCTCCCTCGGGTCTCTCTCTGATCTCCCTCTGGTGTCTCTCAGGTCTCCCTCTGGTCTCTCTCTGCTCTCCCTCTGGTCTCCCTCTGGTCTCTCTCAGGTCTCTCTCTGGTCTCCCTCTGGTCTCCCTCTGGTCTCCCTCTGGTCTCTCTCTGGTCTCTCTCTGGTCTCTCTCTGGTCTCCGTCGGATCTCCCTCGGGTCTCTCTCTGATCTCTCTCTGATCTCCCTCTTGTCTCTCTCTGGTCTCTCTCTAGTCTCCCTCTGGTCTCTCTCTGGTCTCTCTCTGGTCTCTCTCTGGTCTCTCTCCGGTCTCCCTCTGGTCTCTCTCTGGTGTCTCTCAGGTCTCTCTCTGGTCTCTCTCCGGTCTCCCTCTGGTCTCTCTCTGGTGTCTCTCAGGTCTCTCTCTGGTGTCTCTCAGGTCTCCCTCTGGTCTCTCTCTGCTCTCTCTCTGGGCTCCCTCTGGTCTCTCTCTGGTCTCCCTCTGGTCTCCCTCTGGTCTCCCTCTGGTCTCCCTCTGGTCTCCCTCTGGTCTCCCTCTGGTCTCTCTCCGGTCTCTCTCCGGTCTCTCTCTGGTCTCCCTCTGGTCTCCCTCTGGTCTCTCTCTAGTCTCCCTCTGGTCTCCCTCTGGTCTCCCTCTGGGTGTATAGTCAGTTATATATAGGCTCGTTCTGGTCCAAAGAAACATTTTTATAGCTACATTACATTTTTTAAACGGTGTGTTGTTCGATGTGTCTGTGTGGTTCTCACAGACAGTCCGGTTTCTGGCAGAGGTATGTGCTCCGGTGACCTGCATGCTCGTCTGCAAAACAGAAAACTGTCCAAAAAGCAAAAAGTATAAAAAGTGACGCAAAAAAGTGCAACAATCGATGTCCGCTGTTTCTGTGTCAATAAAACTGGAACTGGTTTAACAACAATGTTTTAGTCCAGAGAGATACACACACTTATGTATAGGTACACACACACACACACACACACACACACACAGACAGACACTTATGTTCAGATACACACACACAGACAGACACTTACGTTCAGGTACACACACACACAGAGATTCACACTTACGTACACACACATACCTATGTACAGGTACACACACACAGATACTCACTTATGTACACTTATGTACAGGTACACACACACACACACACAGAGATACACACTTCTATACAGTTACACACACACAGAGATACACACATTTAAATACAAGTACACGCACACACATATAGATACACATTTATATACATGTACACACATATATTTACAAGTACAAACACACACACACATATGCAGTGGGCTGCAGTGTGTGGGATAAATGGCTCATTCTCACAGAGATGATTCATGCATCACGTGATGCAGGGGTGAGTCATCCAGCAGCACCTCTGCAGAACACACACACACACACGATGAGAAAGACACACACAGACGCACACTGAGACACACATGCACACAACACTGATATATATATATATATATATATATATATATATATATACACACACACACACTCATTCCTGTCTCTATTGTATTTTTCTGGTCTCTCTTTGGTCTCTCTCTGGTCTCCCTCTGGTCTCCCTCTGGTCTCCCTCTGGTTTCCCTCTGGTCTCTCTCTGGTCTCTCTTTGGTTCCTCTCTTGTCCCTCTCTGGTCTCCCTCTGGTTTCTCCCTGGTCTCCCTCTGGTCTCTCTTTAGTCTCTCTCTGGTCCCACTCTGGTCTCTCTCTGGTCTCTCTCTGGTCTCCCTCTGGTCTCTCTCGCCTCTCTCTGGTCCCACTCTGGTCTCTCTCTGGTCTCTCTCTGGTCTCTCTCTGGTCCCACTCTGGTCTCTTTCTGGTCTCTCTCTGGTCTCTCTCTGGTCTCTCTCTGGCCTCTCTCTGGTCTCTCTCTGGTCTCTCTCTGGCCTCTCTCTGGTCTCTCTCTGGTCTCTCTCTGGCCTCTCTCTGGTCTCTCTCTGGCCTCTCTCTGGTCTCTCTCTGGTCTCTCTCTGGTCTCTCTCTGGTCTCCCTCTGGTCTCTCTCTGGCCTCTCTCTGGTCTCTCTCTGGCCTCTCTCTGGTCTCTCTCTGGTCTCTCTCTGGCCTCTCTCTGGTCTCTCTCTGGTCTCTCTCTGGCCTCTCTCTGGTCTCCCTCTGGTCTCTCTCTGGCCTCTCTCTGGTCTCCCTCTGGTCTCTCTCTGGTCACTCTCATGGACTTGAGATACATTTTTATACACATGGACGCGATCCATCAGATGTCCAGGAGGGGGCAGTCTTCCCCTCCGCGCCTCACATCCGGGTACTGCTGCCGTCATCTGCCTCCTCCTGCGCACAGCACCACAACATCCGCCTCTCAGTCCCGTCGGTCCAGGTCCATGTGAGTCCAGACTGAGTCCAGACTGAGTCCATGTGAGTCCAGAGAGTCCCGCTGGTCCAGGTCCATGTGAGTCCAGAGAGTCCAGAGGGTCCAGAGAGTCCTGTGGGTCTCAGCATGAAGCCCCCCGCCCGGAAGCGCGCTAAGAGGAGCCTGGATCCACCCGCCTGCCCGGTCCCTGTCCCCGTGTACAAGAGCGCCCGTCTATGGATGGGGAGGGAGCAGCGCTGCCTCCTGAGCTCCCTGGACGGCCTCAGAGGGGCCCCGCTGGACCCGGAAAAAATCAGGGAGCGAGTGTCCTCCCGCAGCGTGCAGGAGGTGACCTATGACCTGTGTATACTATCACACCACTTTCAAAAGATACACATTTGTGAACTAAGTAGAAAAATCTATGTAAAGTAGTTTAGTTGCAACCAAAACTCTGGTCTCTCTCTGGTCTCTCCCACGTCTCTCCCTGGTCTCTTTCTGAGACATAGTTAAACTAACTATCAGTTTAATAGTAGTTTTAAAAACTCAAAATTTGATTTTCATTTAAATTTGCACTAGAAAAAGGATAAACTGTAGAATCAGGACTGAGGCTGTAGACCCAGGACTGTGTTCCCTGTATAATTGGACCTCCTTCCTCTCCTGGTCCCACAGATCAGTGCGGCTCTGAAGGACCTCAAGGACCAGGTGGTGATTTTAGCCAAGCACAGGTACGAGGCGGAGCAGCAGAGCGAGCCCAGACCCCTGGAGCTGTGGATCCAGGAAGCCTCTGCAGTGAGCGGGCCGGCTGTGGAGGAGGCTCTGTCCTCTGCCTTCTGCCAGGTCAGAGTCCTCCATCTGTCCCACTGTGGGGAAATGTCAGTGTTGCAACAGCAGTTACAGAGCAGTGGGACAGAGGAGCACACAGCACAGGATGAAGAACAATATAACTATACTTCAATTAAATAAAATCTGTAGCGATAGCATTAAAAAGGAGTAAGTTTAAATCTCTGACTTTAGCATAATAAAGAAGTGTACAACTATATTTACGAGCATAAATATAAAGTTGTTTGTGTTAGCATATTAGCATGTTAGCAGCAGGAGGATCTGGGACACAGAAGGTTCTAATCTATATTGCACATTTTGACATTATTCAGATTATTATTGCACAGTGAAATGAAGGTAACTAGAGGATACTATTGCATATTCTAAGAATCAGAAACCAGGTGAACTCCAGTAAATCTGGACTTAGGTGGAACATGTCGTGATTCTGTGTCTGTTTCAGATGCTCACTGTGGCATCGACAGAACCACAGACTCTACAGGGAAAATGTACTCTACCCCAAGGTGAGGGTCGCTCTGGTCTTTCTCTGCTCTCTCCGGTCTCTCTCTGGTCTTATATCTTACCATGTGTCCACAGTTCAGTCTCAGTCCAGACGTGTTCAGCACAACGTGAGCTTCGAGAATATCTACCAACATCTCAGCGCTCTGCACCAGCCGCAGCATCTGCAGAGGAAGCTCTCACCCATGGGTAAGAGAGACCAGAGAGAGAGACCAGAGAGAGAGACCAGAGAGAGAGACCAGAGAGAGAGACCAGAGAGAGAGACCAGAGAGAGAGACCAGAGAGAGAGACCAGAGAGAGAGACCAGAGAGAGAGACCAGAGAGAGAGACCAGAGAGAGAGACCAGAGAGAGAGACCAGAGAGAGAGACCAGAGAGAGAGACCAGAGACTGAGAGTACAAGTTTTTTGTTTGTTTGTTTATTCAGACTTTAACTTTCTGTTTGTTCCAGAGAGCGCTGTGCTGCTGGACCTGCTGCTGTCGCTGCCAGAGGAGATAGAAGAGCTGGACTCTGAGCAGGTACCAGAGCGAGACCAGAGGGCGAGACCAGAGGGCGAGACCAGAGGGCGAGACCAGAGGGCGAGACCAGAGAGCGAGACCAGAGAGCGAGACCAGAGAGCGAGACCAGAGAGCGAGACCAGAGAGCGAGACCAGAGAGCGAGACCAGAGAGCGAGACCAGAGGGCGAGACCAGAGGGCGAGACCAGAGGGCGAGACCAGAGGGCGAGACCAGAGGGCGAGACCAGAGGGCGAGACCAGAGAGCGAGACCAGAGGGCGAGACCAGAGGGCGAGACCAGAGGGCGAGACCAGAGGGCGAGACCAGAGGGCGAGACCAGAGGGCGAGACCAGAGGCGAGACCAGAGAGCGAGACCAGAGGGCGAGACCAGAGGGCGAGACCAGAGGGCGAGACCAGAGGGCGAGACCAGAGAGCGAGACCAGAGGGCGAGACCAGAGGGCGAGACCAGAGGGCGAGACCAGAGGGCGAGACCAGAGGGCGAGACCAGAGGGCGAGACCAGAGGGCGAGACCAGAGGGCGAGCAGTTGTTCCTATAAGTTATTATTGCCCGAGTTTGAACTGTGCGATTTTCTGAACGGCTGTGGTTTAGAGCGAAACACTGTGACTCTGTGGAAAACACAGGTTACTTCAGGTTTTTTAATTCTTAAAGAATAATGTTTTTGTTTGTCTTTCAGGTGTACCAGTTCCTCTCCAGAAGGGACCAAGTGGACGGGCCCCCGGGGGCCAGACTCAAACCAACCCCTGTCCTGAACCCTCTCCTGGTCCCAGTCCATCTGCTGACCAGGAAGCCCACGTGACCAGAGAGAGACCGGAGAGAGAGACCGGAGAGAGAGACCGGAGAGAGAGACCGGAGAGAGAGACCGGAGAGAGAGACCGGAGAGAGAGACCGGAGAGAGAGACCGGAGAGAGAGAGACCTGAGATGAATTGACAAACTCAAACGAGCAGCGAAAAAGACAGAAATCCTGTCTCTATTTTTGTAGATCTTACATTTATGTTTCTATTGTTTAATATTTTAGTTTTGTTTGGATTTATCTGAAATTGTTGTTGTCAAAGTTTGCTTCTTGTAACTAGGTTAGGGTCTAGGTTCTCCTTGTACTTATATATTTCCCTAAATCAAAACAGCAACTGAGACTGTAGACCCAGGACTGAGGCTGTAGACCCAGGACTGATGCTATAGACCCAGGACTGAGGCTTTAGACCCAGGACTGAGGCTGTAGACCCAGGACTGAGGCTGTAGACCCAGGACTGATGCTATAGACCAAGGACTGATGCTATAGACCCAGGACTGAGGCTGTAGACCCAGGACTGAGGCTGTAGACCCAGGACTGAGGCTGTAGACCCAGGACTGAGGCTGTAGACCCAGGACTGAGGCTGTAAAATGGCGCCCTCTTGTGTCTTCTACATCATATTTCACATCAGTGGATTTTCTCATGACTTTGACTTTTCACCATCAATGATGTAGATGTATCTGTATTTCTTCAAATAAATCATTATGTGTAAACCATGTACTGTGTAAATACCAAAAGGATGAGATTGTGGAGTCTCGTCTTGTTCTGCTCTCTCTGGTCTCTCTCTGGTCTCTCTCTGCCATAGAGAGTCTCTCTCTCTATGCTCTACCTCTGGTCTCTCTGGGATCTCTCTTTGGTTTCTCTGTCTCTCTCTGGTCGCTGGTTTCTCTCTAGTCTCTCTAGGAGCTCCCTTACAGATAGGGTGTGGAGCTCAGTCATACAGGAGGAGCTCAAAGTAGAGCCGCTGCTCCTCCACATGAAGAGGAGCCAGGTGCACGTCCGTCTGTGAGGAAATGAACCAAGAGATGGCACAACGACTAAAGTCCAAAACATGTTTAATGTGTTTTTTACTGTGAGATAGTTTTTATGCCACTTGTCATTAAATCCTTTTCAGACATTTAGTGTCTTTGGTCAGACCTTTGACCTTGTGGGCGGAGCCTCTGATTTTAAAGCCACACCAGGTGAACCTCATCAGAAGGAGACACCAGAGACAGAGCACATGGTTTAATGCTGGTTTCCACCTGCATGTAGGGCTGGTGGAAACAGGGCTTTAGATCCACACTGTGGGAAGGAGGGGCCGACAGATCTCTCCACATGGAGGAGCAGCGCCTCTACTCCGAGCTCCTCCTGTCTCTGAGGAGACTCTTGGACCTTCACCACAGCCGCCATGATACAAGCTGTCCACATGAGTCACTCATTTGAGCCAAAATGCCTGTCACAGTGAATCACAGTAAAGTGGGTGTGGACCGAGGAGGATCAGGTCAGGAGCACGGAGTCCATCCAGAAGCTGTCATTCAAGCTGCAGCTTTCGTTCATGCAGCAACCCCCCTCCTCCCTGTCGCCACCCAGACCAGCTCTGAGACCATCTGTCTCCCTCCACCAGGAGAGGGTCCAGACCAGATCAGACCAGACCAGATCTGATCTGATTGTTTACAGTTTATACTACAATAAAGTAGTCTTGAGTCGAGCTGAAAGTGTCAGAATAATTATAACAAAAACAAATGTAATAAACTGCTCCGGTCTCTGTAAACTCCTATCAACATGTTTTTTCCGTCTTCATCACAGGTGAATGTGTAACCGCTGATAGGACAGGGCGAGTCTGGGTGGAATTGGGTGTAACCGGGCGGATCTGAGGGAGAAATATGAGGTGTTTCCATCTTCGTCATAAAAGCAGAACTTTGATCCTGAGGAAAAAATTATGACGGGGTTTTATATGTGAGAAAATCCCTGCAGATATCGTTTCCGTGGTGACGTACACAGATTAGGAGGGCTAATCACAGGGCGGGGTGCGGTAACCTTGACCTCGAGTACCCAGAAAGGTGCCATATAAATAACATGTATTTCTTATACAAATGTATGATGTGTTCTGCAGCTCTGAGGAAATGACACTTCTCAATCTGTGATCAAAGAAGAATACACAATATGAAAAATACACAATATGACAAATACACAATATGAAAAACACACAATATGAAAAATACACAATATGAAAAACACACAATACGAAAAACACACAATATGAAAAACATACAATGTGAAAAACACACAATATGAAAAACACACAATATGAAAAAAACACAATATGAAAAACACACAATATGAAAAACACACAATGTGAAAAACACACAATATGAAAAACACACAATATGAAAAACACACAATGTGAAAAACACACAATATGAAAAACACACAATATGAAAAATACAAGATGAAGGTGAAGAGATCCGTGGTCTCACAGAGAAATGCCAGTGTTGCAGCAGCAGTTACAGAACAGAACCAAGAACACTCGAGATAAACCTCACTTTAACTTTCACCTCACACACCTACGCCCTGTTTCCACCGATCTGATTTGACTCTACTCTACTCTACTCTACTCTACTCTACCCTACTCTACTCTACTCTACTCTACTCTACTCTACTCTACCCTACTCTACCCTACTCTACCCTACTCTACTCTATTTATTTATTTATTTATTTAAAGGGACAATGCATATTAATGAACATGTAAATGTAAATATGCCAGAATTAGCCAATGGCTACTTTCCATCTGTAGTCACTGGCAGATCAAGAAAATACAAAGACTAATATACGACATTTAAAAGACAAAATATCATCAGACAAATCATCCACACAATTAAACTGGAGACATAAAACAAAGATACTGGTCAGTGGTTACATGTCTGATTCCCCTTCAGCCAACCTTTAAGTTTAGTTTTAAATACTATGAATGTAGTACAGTCTCGAATTTCTGCTGGGATGCTGTTCCATACCGTGGTCCCTTTCACTGACAGCACCTGTTGACTAAACGCTGTGCGTCTATAAGGAACCACACAGTCACCTCTGGTGGTGGCTCTGGTCACTCTACCACTTGTACTGGATATGAACTTAATGAATTCATTCAAGGATGGTGGAGAGAGTCCATGCAAAATCTTATAAACTGAACAAGCCATTTTAAATGTTCTAAAATTTTCAAAGTTTAGAATATTATATTTTTCTAGTATTAAGCAATGATGAAATGAATATGGTTTTTTATCAAATATTTTTAAAGCTTTTTTATATAGAGACTCAATTGGTTTTAAAGTAGTCAGACTCGTCAGTGACCAGTTAGTAATGCAATATTCAATATGTGAAAAGATCATACAATGAAGAAACATTTTAGCTGCATTTTCTGGCAGTAATGTTCGGATTTGTCTAAAATTACAAAGAAACTACTCTACCCTAGTCTACTCTACTCTACTCTACCCTAGTCTACTCTACTCTACTCTACCCTAGTCTACTCTACTCTACCATGCTCTACTCTACTCTACTCTACTCTACTCTACCCTACTCAACTCTACTCTACTCCACTCTAGTCTACCATGCTCTACTCTACTCTACTCTACTCTACTCTACCCTACTCTACCCTACTCTACTCTACCCTACTCTACTCTACCCTAGTCTACTCTACTCTACTCTACCCTACTCTACTCTACTCTACGCTACTCTACTCTACCCTACTCTACCATGCTCTACTCTACTCTACTCTTCCATACTCTACTCTAGTCTACCATGCTCTACTCCACTCTACTCTACTCTACTCTACTCTACTCTACCCTACTCTACTCTACTCTACTCTACTCTACTCTACTCTACCCTACTCTACCATGCTCTACTCTACTCTACTCTTCCATACTCTACTCTACTCTACTCTATTCTACTCTACTCTACCATGCTCTACTCTATTGTATTTCACTCTACTCTATTCTTCTCTACTCTATTCTACTCTACTCTACTCTATTCTACTCTTCTCTACTTGACTCTACTCTATTCTACTCTTCTCTACTTGACTCTACTCTATTCTACTCTACCATGCTCTACTCTATTCTTCTCTGCTCTATTCTACCATGCTCTACTCTACTCTACTCTATTCTACTCTACCATTCTCTACTCTATTCTATTTCACTCTAATCTACTTTACTCTTCTCTATTCTGCTCTACTCTACTCTACTCTACTCTACTCTTCTCTACCCCACTCTCTTCTCAGTGTAGTTATCACAGTTACACAGTTGTGTCTTTCGTTACACACACGGTACAGTCTCCTACTCTGGAGCGTGCTCGCCCCTCCACAGATCTGCACTGTCACTCACAACAGTGATTGCACTATCATAAAAATGGCAGCCGTCTCTATGGTAAATAAAAACACTCTGGAGCCAGCCCCCACAGATATAAGGTCCTGGTCTGGACCTTGGTCCTCTCACACTCGCTCCTGGAGAGCTAGTCGTGATGGATGGATTACTGCGCAGTCTGGCAGTGGTCTTTCTCTTGTGCGTCTGTAAAACACAACAACATGGGTGAGTGTTTAGAACATGTGAGATCACAGAAACACACAACACATTCTGCCATGTTTAGTCCCGCATGTCTCATGTCAACACAACACAGGGACACTCGGACATTTCTGCACATTTATGGATCAATGCTCTTATTGCTCCGGAGGTCTCTCTCTGGTCTCTCTTTCTCTGGTCTCCCTCTGGTCTCTCTCTGGTCTCTCGCTGGTCTCCCTCTGGTCTCTCTCTGGTCTCTCTTTCTGGTCTCTCTCTGGTCTCTGGCTGGTCTCTCTCTGGTTTCTGGCTGGTCTCTCTCTGGTCTCTCTCTCTGGTCTCTCTCTGGTCGCTCTCTCTGGTCTCTCTCTAGTCTCTCGCTGGTTTCTCTTTGGTCTCTCTCTCTGGTCTCTCTTTGGTCTCTCTCTGGTCGCTCTCTCTGGTCTCTCTCTGGTTTCTCGCTGGTCTGTCCTTGGTCTCTCTCTCTGGTCTCTCTCAGGTCTCTCTCTGGCCTCTCTCTGGCCTCTCTCAGGTCTCTCTCTGGTCTCTCTGGTCTCTCTCTGGTCTCTCTCTGGTCTCTCTCTGGTCTCTCTCAGTCCTCCGAAACAAAGGCTGTGATACACAAATACATGAGATTGAATCATGTCTTTCAGCAGCTTTGCAAAAGAAGTCGTGTAGATTTTGCGAATATTAAAATATGTGAAAAATTCCAATTCCAGTATTCCAATAAAATACAAGTACATTATTTTGAGATTTATATTGTATGTATTGTAACTTTATTCACTGTTATTAATTAATTAATTATATTTTGTCATACTTTCATTTTGTGTCGCTCTACATCACAGCAGCAGTAGATAAAAGACTTTACAAATTGTGGATTCACCAACAACAGATCAGAAAATCAATCAGTTCAAATACAGTAAATGTAATAATAACAAACACATAGAGACATCGGTCCAAAGGAAGCGGGACCAACACTGTCCTTCAGAAACACAGGGAAAATATTACTTCAAACAAATAACAATAACTGATTCCTTCAGCTTATTTTTGTCATTTTCTCTTTCAGCCTCCAAGAAACACTTGTAAAAGAAGGTAAGTTTATTCTACACACTACAATCACAAACTGTAGAGTATAGTCTCACTCTGGTCTCTCTCTGGTCTCTCTGGTCTCTCTGGTCTATAGAAGGAGAGTATACAGTCACAGTGTCAGCCTTAATGTGCAAGAGGCCAATATGAAAATAAACTAATCCACAGATTTACTTTTACATGGAAGTCAAAGGGAGCCAAACTTCACCACGAGCACTTCCCTAGTAGGCTTTATTGAGCTCGCGGGTTGGCATCGTCCTTCTGTAAAGCCTGCGTCATACTGTAAGGGTATCTGCACAAAGTTACGGACGGCTGCTTCAAAGTGTTTATGGCGGTGAAGTGCTGTAAATTTCCCCGTGGACTTTAGCTACAGTATTTACAAAAAACATAAATGTGGAATTATTAACTAGTCCCAGACACATGTCCAAATCGCGTCCACATCCCACGCATACAGTATTTACTGGTTTTTTGGTTCGCTTACACCTGGACTCCCAGGATTCTGAGGCTACTAACTGACACTTCCCACCAGTTTTATTTTTTATTTTTTTACCCATACTCACTTTTAATAATCGCTAAAACTGGTGAATATAACTGAAAAGCAGCAAAAACAGTTTTATTAAAGGATAATGCTAACTGCTAACGGCTGATAGTAAAGTGTGTTGCTATGGTAACTACCAATATTATAATAGATCCATGAGTAACTACTAGAACTCCCATATCAGTTATTTGTCTCCTATTCAAAGCAATAGAGTCTGAGAAATCCCCCAAAAATGGTTAGATTCCCACAAATTATTTAAAAGAGTTTTTATTTTTTTATATGTGCAACAACTGGTTAATATAAATGAAACAACCGTTTGACGAAAGGCTAACTGCTAACTGCTGAGAGTAAAGTGTGTTGCTATGGTAACTACATACCCAGTTATTTTGACTGCGCCAATTCAAACCACTGGGATAAATGCCCCCAATTTTTTTTTTTGTCCCTCAAGTTTTTGTTATTGATAATGTTGTTGTTGTTTTTTAACCTTTACTCACTTTTAACATATTCTAAAACTGGTTATTATAACTGGAAAAACCGTTTGACAAAATGCTAATGCTAACGGCTAACGGCTGACAGTGTGTTGCTATGGTAACTAGCGGACTCTGCTCTGGCAGAAAATTACACGACCCACTTTTTTTTTTCAATAGTTCAAGATTATATAATACAGATAATAGAAATAAACTACAGATAGAAACAGAAGAAGTCACACAGTTATGAAGACCACAAAGGTATATAAGCTGTGATTACACTTAAGCTACCAACCTAAAAGCCTTCATATTAGGCTAACTGCTCTGGGAGGTCTATCGTTAATGTTGATGTATTATTTAAATTCATATTTATGACCATTTGACTGTAGTATCAGACACAGTCTCTATAGCAATGTGGTCCATGTATGTATCTTTATTTTGTTCACAGCCAGAGCACAGGTAGGGATTTAGACATGAGTGAGAGATCAGAGTGAGGAACCAGAAAGACCAGAAAGAGACCAGAGACACCTGAGAGAGACCAAAATGAGAGTGCAGAAAGAGACCAGAGAGAGCAGAAAGAGACCAGAGAGAGACACCTGGGAGAGACCAAAATGAGAATGCAGAGACCAGTGAGAGACCAGAGAGAGACTGGAGAGAGACCAGAGAAAGACCACAGAGAGACCACGAAGAGACCAGTGTGTTTATGTGAACAGCAGAGAGACACGAGGTAGAGCAGGGAAATAAACAGATTGTGCTTATGTGATAAAGGTTGTTGTCAGACTTCATGGACTTTTGTTATTTTGAACTCATAAAGTTTAACCAGCTACGGGACACATGTTTATTGTCAAAACAAATCAGTAAATGAGTCTCGATATGGAAGCTACAACTTCTGCCAGTTCAAACATTGTGATTGTCTTTTACTCTGTTTGTAAACTCATAACTTTTGTGTGTTGTGTCGACCTTTGGCCTTTGTTTTCCTCTCGCCTGGTTGTATAACAGTGTTGTGTGTTGTGTCTTCAGGAGCGGAGCTGACCTCTTGTGACTTTAACCGGGACAGCTCCCCGTTCTGCCTCTTCACCCAGGACACCTCTGACACTGGGGAATGGATCCGACAAACAGGAGAGACCCCGACCCAAGGGACAGGACCCAGTGGGGACTACCCAGACGGAAGTAAGTCAAACACAAAGGCAATATACGATAGACAACAACCCCATACACATATAAGTCACTTTACAAACCGACGAACACATAAGCCCCATTTCCACCAACCCTGTCCATATCTATTCAGTCTATTGTTTATCTCTGTCTTCGCCTCTCCGGGTGGGTTAGCTCCAGGTGCTCCGGTACCAGACTTCAAGTGGTTGTAAGTGAAGAAAGGAAGAATTCTTACTGTAAGGGTGCATTTGAAAGGATTGATACAAGCCTCTTTCTGTGCTTCTTGAATCCAAAGTCAAGTTAAATGAGAATAATAATTATACTTGATGTCTTGCTTGTAGAGGGATATTACATCTACCAAGAATGTAGCAACGCGGTGAACGGAGGAAAAGTCCGTCTTCTGAGCCCTGCCCTGATGCCGGCCTCTGCCCAGTTCTGTGTACAGTTCAGGTACTACATGTACGGAGTGGACAATGCCAACGTGCTGAGAGTCCTGTCCAAGAGCTCCAGTGGTGAAGCAGAGGTCTGGAAGAAGACAGGCCTCCAGAGTCCGTCCTGGCTCTTGGGATCCGTCACTGTGGCCAAACCCTCTGCGGGCAGTGTCAATGTAAGTGACCAGAACATCTCTCAGAACCAGCACCAGTGTCAAGGCCGATCAAGCTGACTTATGTTGCCGTGGCCGTGTCCTGCAAGAGACATGTGCAAAGAGGATTGACGTAAGACCTGGACAAGTCTTCCCCAAGCCTTTCTGGTTTATGCCTCAGATAATGCACTGTACATTGCCCTGCACTACACAGTCTTGCTAACTTGTTAGCTAATTCTGTTAGCAGGTAGTAAAGCTCCTTATAACAACAGTGTACTAACTACGTCAAATGGTTTGTGTGTAAAACTACGTCATTACATACAAACCATTTCACTGATACACTCTTTTACAAACAAACACTGCAATTTTGTTTGTGTCTCTCTGGTCACTCTCTCTCTCTGGTCTCTCTTTGATCTCTCTCTCTCTGGTCTCTCTTTGGTCTCTCTCTGGTCTTTCTCTGGTTTCTCTCTGGTCTCTCTCTGGTCTCTCTCTGGTCTCTCTTTGGTCTCTCTCTGGTCTCTCTCTGGTCTCTCTCTGGTCTCTCTCTGGTCTCTCTTTGGTCTCTCTCTGGTCTCTCTCTGGTCTCTCTCTGGTCTCTCTCTGGTCTCTCTCTGTTCTCTCTCTGGTCTCTCTCTGGTCTCTCTCTGGTCTCTCTTTGGTCTCTCTCTGGTCTCTCTCTGGTTTCTCTCTGGTTTCTCTCTGGTCTCTCTCTCTGGTCTCTCTCTCTGGTCTCTCTCTGGTTTCTCTCTGGTCTCTCTCTGGTCTCTCTCTGGTCTCTCTCTGTTCTCTCTCTCTGGTCTCTCTCTGGTCTCTCTCTGGTCTTTCTCTGGTCTCTCTTTGATCTCTCTCTCTGGTCTCTCTTTGGTCTCTCTCTGGTCTTTCTCTGGTTTCTCTCTGGTCTCTCTCTCTGGTCTCTCACTGGTCTCTTTCTGGTCTCTCTCTTATGGACAGTGGACCAGACCAGTAGCTCCTGATTTGAAAGGGGTGGTTCACTTGTACACATAGCTTTCAGAATTCAACATTAGCGCTTCACATCCGTCAGTGTTTGAGAATCCCAGTTTTCAGGGTGCTAAAGGACCCTTCTGTGTGGAGTTTGCATGTTCTACCTGTGCTCTAAACCCCTTTGTTTGGTCCAGGTGGTGTTTGAAGCTCAGAGAGGAGTTACAGAGTTCTGCGACAGTGCCGTGGATGACATTGTGATCTCAGTCGGCGCGTGTCCTTGTGAGTCAGCGTGCTGTAGTACAATCACAGTTCTCAGAAAACCGCAGATAAGATAAAAATGTTCTCACGTGTGTTTCCCTCCGCAGCCTGCCTCACCGGCTGTGATTTTGATCTTCCGGATGATCTTTGTTCCTGGGATGTCGAGGCTGATGGGGACCTGTTTGGATTCGGACAGTGGATTGGACCAACTAACACTCCGGGAACCGGCCCTAATGATGACTTCTCTAAACCAGGATGTAAGACTTTGTGTGTCCATATAAGGCACTACTGAACAGTTGTTTTAGTGGACATTGTTTTTAAACATGGGCCTTTATGTAGTATACACTGGATCCTCACTGTGACACGGTTCACCTTTCGTTGCCTCACTGTTTCAGTTTTTCATATGCGCAATTGTGCTTTCATTACAGTGTATACTCCACCAACATCACATACCCGCTTGTATAACTTTATTTCAAGTCTCTCTGGTCTATTCTCTGCTCTCTGTCTGGTCTCCCTCATGTCAATCTCTCTGGGCTCTCTGTGGTCTCAATCTGGTCCTTCTCGGGTCTCCCTCTGGTCTCTCTCTGGTCACTCTCTGGTCTCTCTCTCTGGTCTCTCTCTGGTCACTCTCTGGTCTCTCTCTGGTCTCTCTAGTCTCTGGTCTCTCTCTGGTCTCCCTCCGGTCTCTCTAGTCTCTGGTCTCTCTCTGGTCTCCCTCCGGTCTCTCTAGTCTCTGGTCTCTCTCTGGTCTCCCTCCGGTCTCTCTAGTCTCTGGTCTCTCTGGTCTCTCTCTGGTCTGCAGCTACAACCAATAGGTTTTACAGCCTTACAACACGTTATGCTTAACATTGTTACATCACATCTCTCTCCTCCTCCAGTGGGCGAATACATGCTGATGGATTCTACTGAAGCTAGTCCTGGACTCCGATCCCGACTTCTGAGCCCAGTCCTCACCCCAACCACTGGGTGTCTGGAGCTGTCCTTCCACTACTATCTGTACGGCACCAGCAACACCATGCAGATCTCTGTCCACGCCAAACCCTCAGGTAGAAGACATTGATATGTGACCGCTGTATTTGAGGATGTATAATTAGATTCTTTTGGACTTTCAGGGGGAGCACTGGGACCTGCACTCTTCACTAAGACTGGGAATCAGGGCGAGGCTTGGAGACCAGCAGCAGCTCAGTACATCGGATCTGCTCCTTTTCAGGTAGAAATGGGAAAAGTAAAAGGTAGAAAAGTCTGTAAGATTATATTTCTTCTCCTCTTTTCTCAGTTTGTGATTATGGGAACGTTTGGAGAAACTGACAAAACTGATATTGCCGTGGATGCTGTGTGCGTCCTCAGCTGCAAACGTAAGAAGAACTTAGAATGAGACTTTCTCACTAAATCTACAAACGTCTAACGCAAAACATGTGGTTTTTACTCCAAAGCCCCTCAAACAACTCCAGTACCACCAGTGACAACTGCAAAGCCACCAACACCTGGTCCTTCTACACCTAACCACTCACCTGGTCCTTCTACACCCAAACCATCACCTGGTCCTTCTACTCCCAAACCCTCAGCTGGTCCTTCTACACCTAACCCCTCACCTGGTCCTTCTACACCCAAACCAACACCTGGTCCTTCTACACCTAAACCCTCACCTGGTCCTTCTACACCCAAACCAACACCTGGTCCTTCTACACCTAAACCAACACCTGGTCCTTCTACACCTAACCCCTCACCTGGTCCTTCTACACCCAAACCAACACCTGGTCCTTCTACACCTAAACCATCACCTGGTCCTTCTACACCTAAACCATCACCTGGTCCTTCTACACCTAACCCCTCACCTGGTCCTTCTACTCCCAAACCCTCACCTGGTCCTTCTACACCTAACCCCTCACCTGGTCCTTCTACTCCCAAACCATCACCTGGTCCTTCTACACCTAAACCATCACCTGGTCCTTCTACTCCCAAACCCTCACCTGGTCCTTCTACACCCAAACCCTCACCTGATCCTTCTACTCCGAAACCCTCACCTGGTCCTTCTACTCCCAAACCCTCACCTGGTCCTTCTACTCCCAAACCATCACCTGGTCCTTCTACACCCAAACCATCACCTGGTCCTTCTACACCCAAACCATCACCTGGTCCTTCTACACCCAAACCCTCACCTGGTCCTTCTACACCAAGACCCACCTTGCCAACGACACCCAAACCCACCACACCTCCGAGTGCGTATTTCCAAAATGTTCTGCTTGTTCCTCTCCTGGTCCTCTAAAATGACCGTGCTTGTTCTCCTTGTTCCGCTCCTGGTCCACAGTCATCTGTCCTCCTGATTCTGAGTACATCGACTGTGGTCCAGCTTGTATCCCCAGCTGTCAGGAACCTTCCACCAATTGCTCGGGCTCCTGCATCAGCGGCTGCTTCTGCAAACCTGGATATGTCTTCAAGGGCCGGAGGTGTGTGCCCCTGGACAAGTGCGGCTGTCTGGACCACGACAACAACTACTATGAGGTAAGGACTTCTCTATGGCTTTCAAGTTCAGTCGCTTTTGGTGCTATACTGCGTCCTTTTATATGAGCTTCTGTAAGATCCTTTAGGGGCTGGGATTATGAGCCAAGCGAGAGACCAGAGAGACCAGTGAGGGGGATCATTGAGAGGCCAAAGAGAGGCCAGAGAGAGGTCAGAGAGAGGCCAGAGAGAGGCCAGAGAGAGGCTAGAGAGAGACCAGAGAGAGTCCAGAGTGAGCCTAGAGAGAGACCAGTGAGAGGGACCAGAGAGGGGCCAAAGAGAGGCCAAAGAGAGGCCAGAGAGAGACCAGAGAAGAGAAAGGGACCAGAGAGAAATAGAGAGAAACCAAAGAGAGGCCAGAGAGACTAGAGAAAGACCAGAGAGAGTCCAGAGTGAGGCCAGAGAGTGACCAGAGAAGAGAAAGGGACCAGAGAGAGACCAAAGAGAGGCCAGAGAAGAGAGAGGGACCAGAGAGAGACCAGAGAAAGGCCAGATAGGTGTCAGTGACAGATAAATAATCTAGTCGTGTGTGTCTTTTCTTCAGCCTGGTGAGGTGGTGTTTGGAGACGGCTGCTCCCAGCTCTGTCGCTGTGTTGGGAACTACACTCTGGAATGTGTGGATAACTCCTGCGATCCAACTGAGGAGTGTCGGGAGGTCAGCGGCGTGCCAGGATGTTATCCGAAAGGTAACACACAGGAGGGCCATACATCTGTGCAATATGTGCCACATGTGTCCACTGTCACTGCATTCAAGCCCAGTTTACTTGACTCTACTCTGCCCTACTCTACCACTTTACTATCTGGTACTGTATCGAAGCAACAACCAGCAAACCAGTATCCAGGGAAATTTCCTGATAGCCATGGCTTCCAGCAGCACTCTGCCCAATCACTATCAGTTAGAACACACTTTAGTACCAGCTTGGCCTGGATAGAACCAGGACCAAGAGGGACTAAAGAAGGACCTGGTACTGGTTACACAGGACCAGAGTAAACACTCTCAATCAGGAGAGAGAAGAGTCGGGTAGGGGAGGGGAGGTGAGGGTAGAGTAGGTAGAGTAGAGTAGAGTAGAGTAGAGTAGAGCAGAGCAGAGCAGAGCAGAGTAGAGAGAGTAGAGCAGAGCAGAGCAGAGTAGAGTAGAGTAGAGTAGAGCAGAGCAGAGCAGAGCAGAGCAGAGTAGAGTAGAGTAGAGTAGAGTAGAGTAGAGTAGAGTAGAGTAGAGTAGAGTTGAGTAGAGCAGAGGAGAGTAGAGGGGAGGCTAGAGTAGAGTATAGTAGAGCAGAGTAGAGTAGAGTAGAGTAGAATAGAGCAGAGTAGAGTTGAGTAGAGCAGAGGAGAGTAGAGGGGAGGCTAGAGTAGAGTAGAGTAGAGTAGAATAGAGTAGAGTAGAGTAGAGTAAGGTAGAGTAGAGTAGAGTAGAATAGAATAGAGTAGAGTAGAGTAGAGTAGAGTAGAGTAGAGTAGAGGGGAGGCTAGAGTAGAGTAGAATAGAGTAGAGTAGAGTAGAGTAGGGTAGAGTAGAGTAGAGTAGAATAGAGTAGGGTAGAGTAGAGTAGAGTAGAGTAGAGGGGAGGCTAGAGTAGAGTAGAGTAGAATAGAGTAGGGTAGAGTAGAGTAGAGTAGAGTAGAGGGGAGGCTGGAGTAGAGTAGAGTAGAATAAAGTAGAGTAGAAGTAGAGTAGAGTAGAGTAGAGTAGAGTAGAGTAGAATAGAGTAGGGTAGAGTAGAGTAGAGTAGAATAGAGTAGAGTAGAGTAGGGTAGAGTAGAGTAGAGTAGAATAGAGTAGGGTAGAGTAGAGTAGAGTAGAGTAGAGTAGAGGGGAGGCTAGAGTAGAGTAGAGTAGAATAAAGTAGAGTAGAGTAGGGTAGAGTAGAGTAGAGTAGAGTAGAATAGAGTAGGGTAGAGTATAGTAGAGTAGAGTAGAGGGGAGGCTAGAGTAGAGTAGAATAGAGTAGAATAGAGTAGAGTAGAGTAGAGTAGAGTAGAGTAGAGGGGAGGCTAGAGTAGAGTAGAGTAGAATAGAGTATAATAGAGTAGGGTAGAGTAGAGTAGAGTAGAGTAGAGTAGAATAGAGTAGAGTAGAGTAGAGTAGAGTAGAGTAGCGTAGAATAGAGTAGGGTAGAGTAGGGTAGAGTAGAGTAGAGTAGAGTAGAGGGGAGGCTAGAGTAGAGTAGAGTAGAATAGAGTAGAATAGAGTAGAGTAGAGTAGAGTAGAGTAGAGTAGAGGGGAGGCTAGAGTAGAGTAGAGTAGAATAGAGTAGAGTAGAGTAGAGTAGAGTAGAGTAGAGTAGAGTAGAGTAGAGGGGAGGCTAGAGTAGAGTAGAGTAGAGTAGAGTAAAATAGCCCAGAGCCTCATGCTACATGTCTTCATCCTCTACTCAGTTCTCCTTTGAGGAAATCTGCCAGTTTTAGTTTGTTTTAAATGTTTATTATGCTCGACAGAGTCAAACACGTCTCTTTTGTCTCGTTGCTGTAGATTCTTCGACCTGCGTCGCTTCTGGAGACCCGCACTACACCACCTTCGACAAACGCAAGTTCAACTTCATGGGGAACTGCACCTACCTGATGTCTGCTCCGTGTAACGAGTCCAGTCCTTGGTTCGAGGTCCACGCCGACAACGAGAACCGCTGGAACTCTCCCTCCATCTCCTACGTGAAGGCCGTGCACACCTACGTCCATGGGATGAAGATCTCCATCCTGAAGGGAGGAACTGTGCAGGTACCGGACCAGGGACAGACCAATATAATGAGGAGAGTGCACAGGTTTATACAGCGCTTATGTGGACGCTCACAGACGCTTCACATGTCATTACTCACTCACTCCAAACAAATACTCTAACTACCACAGCTGCCCTGGGGCACACTGACAGAAGCAAGGCAACCAGTCTGTGCCATCAGCCCCTCCCACCACCACAACCATTCACACACACACCAGACTCATTCTAATGTGGGGGAAGTGTCTTGCCAAAGGACACAACCACAGAGAGAGACCAGAGCGAGACCAGAGAGAGGCCAGAGAGAGGCCAGAGAGAGACCAGAGAGAGACCAGAGAGGCCAGAGAGAGGCCAGAGAGAGACCAGAGAGAGACCAGAGAGAGACCAGAGAGAGACCAGAGAGAGACCAGAGAGAGACCAGAGAGAGACCAGAGAGAGACCTGAGAGAGACCAGAGAGATACCAGAGAGAGATACCAGAGAGAGATACCAGAGAGAGAGACCAGAGAGAGAGACCAGAGAGAGACCAGAAAGAGACCAGAGAGAGACAAGAAAGAGAGACCAGAGAGAGACCAGAGAGAGACCAGAAAAAGACTAGAGAGAGACCAGAGAGAAACCAGAGAGAGACATGAGAGAGAGAGACCAGGGAGAGACCAGAGAGAGACCAGAGAGACCAGAAAGAGACCAGAGAGAGATAAGAGGGCAGCAAATCTGTTCCTGTTATGGTGCAAAGCAAACATCGTCAGAACAAAGGCCCATATAGAATATTATTATATTATTATTATTATATAAGGAAACTGGCTCCAATTTATGTTCAGCCTTCTCTACATTAAGGCTAACATTGTGGTGATGTCACACTCAGTCCCCTGCTCCTCCTGGTCATTGTGCTATCTTGCCTTTGTCCCCAGATCAATAATACCAATGTGAACGTTCCCGTGAGCCCTGCCCCCGGTGTGTCGGTGTTCAAGTCGGGGAAGTATTTCACCGTGTCGCTGAACTTCGGGGTCACGGTGCGCTACGACGGCAACCACTACATGGACGTCAAGGTCATCAAAGAGTAAGACTACTCTACCCTACCCTACTCTACTCTACCCTACTCTGTAAACTGCTCTACTTTACTCTGCTCAGCTCTACACTGCTCTGCTCTACTCTTCTCCACTCTGCTCTACTCTACTCTACTCTACTCTACTGTTGTACACTACCCTACTCTACACTGCTTTACTCTACTCTCCCCTGATTGGGAGTCTTTCCTGGTCTTGTGTAACCAGTCCCAGTCCTTCTTTAGTCCCTCTTGGTCCTGGTTCTATCCAGGCCGAGCTGGTACTAAAGAGTTCTAACTGACAGTGATTGGTCAGAGGGCTGCTGGAAGCCATGGTTACCAAGGAATTTACCTGGATACTGGTTTGTTATGGGTAAGATGTTAGGATACAGTACCAGATACTACAAAGCGTAAAGAAAACACAACCAAGTAGATTAGAGCCACAGTTCATACACAGGCAACTCTAAGTGCTGAAAGAAAAGAAAAAAGAAACACTCCAATCAAATATCATAACAGTACATACAAAATTTTTTACAATGTTTTTTGTAACTTTTTGTGCAGCTTCAAGTCTAAACTGTGTGGTTTGTGCGGAGACTATGACGGAGACGCTAAGGACGACTTCAGGAAACCAGACGGATCTCTGACCAGCAACCCCAACGACTTTGGACACAGCTGGAACATGGATCCATTGTGAGTACTGTGTCTGCTGCTGCCTACTGAGAGACCAGAGAGAGACCAGAGAGAGACCAGAGAGAGAGACCAGAGAGAGACCAGAGAGAGACCAGAGACAGACCAGAGAGAGAGACCAGAGAGAGACCAGAGAGAGACCAGAGAGAGAGACCAGAGAGAGAGACCAGAGAGAGACCAGAGAGAGACCAGAGACAGACCAGAGAGAGACCAGAGAGAGAGACCAGAGAGAGACCAGAGAGAGACCAGAGAGAGAGAGAGACCAGAGAGAGACCAGAGAGAGACCAGAGACAGACACCAGAGAGAGACCAGAGAGAGAGACCAGAGAGACCAGAGAGAGACCAGAGGGAGACAGAGAGAGAGACCAGAGACAGACCAGAGACAGACCAGAGACAGACCAGAGAGAGAGACCAGAGAGAGACCAGAGAGAGACCAGAGGGACCCGAGAGAGACCAGAGAGACCAAGAGAGACCTCTTTTTACTCCCTTGTTCTTCCTTATCTTGATGCTGACTCACAAAGCAAAACTTTTGTTTGTGTTTCCAGGTGTAATGTCAAACCCAACACCACGGTCCCTGGATGCACAGAGGACGAGCAGGACCAGTACGAGTCGTCTGGATCCTGTGGGATGCTGCTCGACAAAAACGGACCTTTCGCCAAATGCCACGGAAAAGTCAACCCCAATGTATGACCAGCACCAAAAGGACTGAGGCTGTAGATCCAGGACTGAGGCTGTAGACCCAGGACTGAGGCTGTAGACCCAGGACTGAGGCTGTAGACCCAGGACTGAGGCTGTAGATCCAGGACTGAGGCTGTAGACCCAGGACTGAGGCTGTAGATCCAGGGCTGAGGCTGTAGATCCAGGACTGAGGCTGTAGACCCAGGACTTAGGCTGTAGACCCAGGACTGAGGCTGTAGACCCAGTACTGAGGCTGTAGACCCAGGACTGAGGCTGTAGACCCAGGACTGAGGCTGTAGACCCAGGACTGAGGCTGTAGATCCACTACTGAGGCTGTAGATCCACTACTGAGGCTGTAGACCCAGGACTGAGGCTGTAGATCCAGGACTGAGGCTGTAGATCCAGGACTGAGGCTGTAGATCCAGGACTGAGGCTGTAGACCCAGGACTGAGGCTGTAGACCCAGGACTGAGGCTGTAGACCCAGGACTGAGGCTGTAGATCCAGTACTGAGGCTGTAGATCCAGGACTGAGGCTGTAGATCCAGGACTGAGGCTGTAGATCCAGGACTGAAGCTGTAGATCCAGGACTGAGTCTGTAGACCCAGGACTGAGGCTGTAGATCCAGAAAGCATAATCCAAATGTATAGGATATCTTTGAAGCAATGTTTATTTGTATTGCACATTTACTACAAGCGGTGCTGCTCACATTAGAACTAAATGTGAGCCTGAATACTCCTGCAGCTGTCCTGAAGATCTGTCCTCTGCTGCTCTCCCTCAGAACTACTTTAAGGACTGTGTGTTCGACCTGTGTGAGCTGGATGGAGCCAAACCCGTCCTGTGTGAGGCGATCGAGTCCTACGCCAACGAGTGCCAGGACCGAGGGGTCCAGATCGGGGCCTGGAGGAACGACACCTTCTGCCGTGAGGAGCCTTCCGCTCATCAAAACTGAAAGACCAGAGAGAGACCAAAGAGAGAGGCCAGAGAGAGACCAGAGAGAGAGACCAGAGAGAGACCAGAGAGAGACCAGAGAGAGACCAGTGAGAGACCAGTGAGAGACCAGTGAGTGAGCAGTGAGAGAGACCAGAGAGAGACCAGAGACCAGAGAGAGATCAGAGCGAGGCCAGGGAGGGATCAGAGAGAGACCAAAGAGAGAGACCAGAAAGAGACCAGAGAGAGAGACCAGAGAGAGACCAAAGAGAGGGACCAGAGAGAGACCAAAGAGAGACCAAAGAGAGGGACCAGAGAGAGACCAAAGAGAGGGACCAGAGAGAGAGCAGAGAGAGAGAGCAGAGAGAGAAAGCACAGAGAGTGCAGAGAGAGAGACCAGAGAGAGACCAGAGAGAGAGCAGAGAGAGAGAGCACAGAGAGAGCAGAGAGAGAGACCAGAGAGAGACCAGAGAGAGAGATCAGAGAGAGACAAGAGAGAGACCAGAGAGAGAGATCAGAGAGAGACAAGAGAGAAAGACCAGAGATTGACTTTATAAATAATTGACTATCACCTTCAATTATTAAAGTAATCTATTGATTGGGGGTTATGGAACACATCGGGACACAGCCTCAGTCTCATCCCTCTTTCCTTCTCTTCTCCCCAGCTCTGAAGTGCCATCCCAACAGCCACTATGTCCCGTGTGCTGCCCCCTGTCAGGAGACCTGCTCAGGCCTGCCCTCCTCAGGCTGTGGCGGTCCCTGCACCGAGGGCTGTGTGTGCGACCCGGGATACGTCCTCAGCGCTGGCAAGTGCGTGAAGAGGAGCTCGTGTGGCTGCAAGCACACCAACGGCCAGTACTACGAGGTCTGAGAGAACGCTGCCATTATACCTGGTTCTTAAAGCTGTACATTCCCCTGTAAATTAGGCTGCTTTGACAACATAATATAAATAATCTTTTTATTGCTTTTACCACGTTTATCCTATTTCACAAGTCAGGGTACCTAACTTTCAGACCACAAAACTCTAGTTCCTGGCTCTAAAACAGTTCTCACTAGTTCTCATGTATCTCACAGGGTTCTTTCTTACAATGAGAGAGCAGAGAGAAAGAGACCAGTGAGATACCAGAGAGAGAGAGAGAGACCAGTGAGATACCAGAGAGAGAGAGAGACACCAGTGAGATACCAGAGAGAGAGAGAGACCAGTGAGATACCAGAGAGAGAGAGAGACCAGTGAGATACCAGAGAGAGAGAGAGACCAGTGAGATACCAGAGAGAGAGAGACCAGTGAGATACCAGAGAGAGAGAGACCAGTGAGATACCAGAGAGAGAGAGAGACCAGTGAGATACCAGAGAGAGAGAGAGACCAGTGAGATACCAGAGAGAGAGAGACCAGTGAGATACCAGAGAGAGAGAGAGACCAGTGAGATACCAGAGAGAGAGAGACCAGTGAGATACCAGAGAGAGAGAGACCAGTGAGATACCAGAGAGGGAGAGACCAGTGAGATACCAGAGAGAGAGAGACCAGTGAGATACCAGAGAGAGAGAGACCAGTGAGATACCAGAGAGAGAGAGAAAGGTATATGGGAGGATTTTCTTCTTCCGAGTGGATCATCAATTCTAAACACATATTTAATCGGCGTTTCCTCTGATGAGGGTGGTTCTTTCCTAACATTTGGGAAAATTCTCCTATATACCTTTAAAGGACAGCATCTGTATACAGTCCTATCCTGTGTTGTGCTATCCAGTTACCACATCAGTCCTCAGCTGTGCTCAGTGTGTGTTGTGTGTGTTGTGTGTGTTGTGTGTGTTGTGTGTGTTGTGTGTGCTGCAGCCTGGAGATGAATTCTACGTGGAGGACTGTAAACTGAAGTGCAAGTGTAACCCTCCGTTCGTCAGCTGCAGCGCCACCGACTGCCCCCCTGCTCACGAGTGCAAAGTCCAGGAGGGAGATCTGGGCTGTTATCCTACTGGTCAGTGTGGGGCCAGGCTCTGGGACTCTGTCTCTCTCTCTCTCTCTCTCTCTCTGTCTCTCTCGTTCCCTCGCTCTACCATAGCTCAATATAAGCTAACCTTAGTATAATGTTATCTTTCCTTGGCATTATGTTAGATTACCTTAACATAACATTAGCTTAGAGGTTTAGTTTTTTTCAGAAATGTGTGGCTTTGGTAGTACTTGGATGGGAGACTGCTGTAATACCAGGTGCCACTGTGGTGTGGACAAACTGCTGTTGTGCCCTTGAGCAGGACACCTCTTCCCCACATGTGTCTAGTGAAACCCCTGTGTGTGCTGTAGGCTCTCAGGACTGCATCATCTCTGGAGATCCTCACTACAACACGTTTGACAAAAAGTTCTTCAGCTTCATGGGCACCTGCACCTACACCCTGGCCCGCACCTGCAAGAACACCACCGGTAGGGGGCGCTGTTTCACACTATGGTCCCTGGTTCATCACAGGGGTTATGTGTTCTGAAAATGACCCTCTATGTGTATGTGTGTTTGTGCTCTGTGTGTGTGTGTGTGCTGTGTCTGTGTGTGTGTGCTGTGTGTGTGTGTGTGCTGTGTCTGTGTGTGTGTTGTGTGTGTGTGTGTGCTGTGTGTGTGTGTGTGTTTGTTGCTGCAGGACACTGGTTCTCTGTTGAGGGGAAGAACGAGGAGCGAGGCGGCCCTGGACTTTCCTATCTCAGGAAGCTGTATGTGACTGTGGACGGGGTCACCATCACCTTGATGAAGGCCCGCCGCACTCTGGTCAGTCCTCTCACACTGGTCTCTCTCCTCACATGGTCTCTCTCCTCACATGGCCTCTCTCCTCACATGGTCTCTCTCCTCACATGGTCTCTCTCCTCACATGGTCTCACTCCTCACATGGCCTCTCTCCTCACATGGCCTCTCTCCTCACATGGTCTCTCTCCTCACATGGTCTCTCTCCTCACATTGGCCTCTCTCCTCACATGGTCTCTCTCCTCACATGGCCTCTCTCCTCACATGGTCTCTCTCCTCACATGGTCTCTCTCCTCACATGGCCTCTCTCCTCACATGGCCTCTCTCCTCACATGGTCTCTCTCCTCACATGGTCTCTCTCCTCACATGGCCTCTCTCCTCACATGGCCTCTCTCCTCACATGGTCTCTCTCCTCACATGGTCTCTCTCCTCACATGGTCTCACTCCTCACATGGCCTCTCTCCTCACATGGCCTCTCTCCTCACATGGTCTCTCTCCTCACATGGTCTCTCTCCTCACATGGCCTCTCTCCTCACATGGCCTCCCTCTCCTCACATGGTCTCTCTCCTCACATGGCCTCTCTCCTCACATGGTCTCTCTCCTCACATGGCCTCTCTCCTCACATGGTCTCTCTCCTCACATGGTCTCTCTCCTCACATGGCCTCTCTCCTCACATGGTCTTTCTCCTCACATGGCCTCTTTCCTCACATGGTCTCTCTCCTCACATGGCCTCTCTCCTCACATGGTCTCTCTCCTCACATGGTCTCTCTCCTCACATGGTCTCTCTGCTCACATGGCCTCTCTCCTCACATGGTCTCTCTCCTTACATGGTCTCTCTCCTCACATGGTCTCTCTCCGCACATGGCCTCTCTCCTCACATGGTCTCTCTCCTCACATGGCTTCTCTCCTCACATGGTCTCTCTCCTCACATGGTCTCTCTCCTCACATGGTCTCTCTGCTCACATGGTCTCTCTCCTCACATGGCCTCTCTCCTCACATGGTCTCTCTCCTCAGGTGAATGGTCGGCGTGTATCCCTCCCCCACAGTCTGCCTCCTCAGGTGACCATCAGTTTGTCCGGTCAGTACGTCACTCTGCAGACACGCTTCGGCCTCGTGGTCCGATGGGACGGGAACCACTACGCCCAGATCACTGTGCCCAGGTCTGCCACCACACACACAACAGAATTCTTGGTCCAGTCTTGATCCAGTCTTGGTCCAGTCTTGGTCCAGTCTTGGTCCAGTCTTGGTCCAGTCTTGGTCCAGTCTCGGTCCAGTCTCTGTCCAGTTTTGGTTCAGACGTGGTCCAGTTTTGGTCCAGTCTTGGTGCCCCTCTGGTCCCAACAGATCCTCTTGTGTCCTCAGCTCCTTCCAGGACCAGATGTGTGGTCTGTGCGGAGACTATGATGGAAACCCCAACAACGACTTTACCAAACCAGACGGATCCTCAGCCTCCAGCACCAACGACTTCGGCAACAGCTGGCAGACAGCGGAGGACGAGGACCCAGTGTAAGACCAGAGAGAGAGTCCAGAGAAACCAGAGTGACCAGAGAAAGACCAGAGAGAGAGACCAGAGAAACCAGGGTGACCAGAGAAAGACCAGAGAGAGAGACCAGAGAAACCAGGGTGACCAGAGAAAGACCAGAGAGAGAGACCAGAGAAACCAGGGTGACCAGAGAGACCCCAGACAAAGACCAGAGAGAGACCAGAGAAACCAGGGTGACCAGAGAGACCCCAGACAAAGACCAGAGAGAGAGACCAGAGAAACCAGAGTGACCAGAGAGATAGACCAGGGACCAGAGAGATCTCAGGGAAAGGCCAGAGAGAGACCAAGGACCAGCGAGAGACCATAGACAAGAAGACCAGAGAGACCAGAGAGACCCAAGTGAGAACCATATAATATTTCGCTATGTTATGTTTAGTGAAATAGATGTTTTTTCCTTGTTACAGCTGTACTCCTGGTACAAAGCCTGACCCTGACTGTGACCCGGCTCTGGAGGCTGAGGTGGTCAAACCAGAGAAGTGCGGCAAGATCAAAGACCCGGCCGGACCCTTCAGGTGAGAGACTTTATTCACTTGCCTTGGCAACCGTCTTAGCAACACATCTGCCCCTGTTACGGTTGCAGATGTGTTGTTAAGAGGCTGTACATCCAGGGACTGAGTTTATATTGATGATGTGTTTATATATATGATGTATTTTAATTATTTTTTCAATGTATTTTTTTGCGTGTGTTCAGGGAGTGTGTGGCAGTTGTTGACCCGACCCCGTTCTTCCAAAGTTGTGTGTACGACATGTGTCGGTTCAGTGGTCAGCAGAGCGTTCTGTGTGACCAGCTGCAGGCCTACACCCAGGCCTGTCAGAGCGCAGGAGCCAAGGTCCATCCATGGAGGGCGCCAGACTTCTGCCGTAAGCACAGGACCAGGACTCTTTCTCTGGGTACTCTCTGGTCTCTCTCTGGTCTCTCTTTGGTCTCTCTCTCTGGTCTCTTTCTCTGGTCTCTCTCTGGTCTCTTTCTCTGGTCTCTCTCTGGTCTTTCTCTGGTTGCTCTCTCTGGTCTCTCTCTCTGGTATCTCTCTGGTCTCTCTCTGGTCTCTCTCTTGTCTCTCTCTGGTATCTTTCTGGTCTCTCTCTCTGGTATCTCTCTGGTATCTCTCTGGTCTCTCTCTGGTCTCTCTCTGGTCTCTCTCTGGTCTATCTTTGGTCCCTCTCTCTGGTCTCTTTCTCTGGTCTCTCTCTGGTCTCTTTCTCTGGTCTACCTTTGGTCCCTCTCTCTGGTCTCTTTCTCTGGTCTCTTTCTCTGGTCTACCTTTGGTCCCTCTCTCTGGTCTCTTTCTCTGGTCTCTCTCTGGTCTCTTTCTCTGGTCTCTCTCTGGTCCTTCTCTGGTTCCTCTCTCTGGTCTCTCGGTTGGGTCTCTCTCGCTGCGGCTCTCTCTGGTCTCTCTCTGGTCTCTCTCTCTTGTCTCTCTCTGGTGTCTTTCTGGTCTCTCTCTCTGGTCTCTCTCTGGTCTCTCTCTGGTCTCTCTCTGGTCTCTCTCTCTTGTCTCTCTCTGGTATCTCTCCGGTCTCTCTCTGGTCTCTCTCTGGTCTCTCTCTGGTCTCTCTCTGGTCTCTCTCTCTTGTCTCTCTCTGGTATCTCTCTGGTCTCTCTCTCTTGTCTCTCTCTGGTATCTTTCTGGTCTCTCTCTCTGGTCTCTCTCTGGTCTCTCTCTGGTCTCTCTCTGGTCTCTCTCTCGTCTCTCTCTGGTCTCTCTCTGGTCTCTCTCTCTTGTCTCTCTCTGGTATCTCTCTGGTCTCTCTCTTGTCTCTCTCTGGTATCTTTCTGGTCTCTCTCTGGTCTCTTTCTGGTCTCTCTCTGGTCTCTCTCTGGTATCTCTCTGGTCTCTCTCTGGTTTCTCTCTCTGATCTCTCTCTCTGGTCTCTCTGATAACATTAACACAAACACATGATAGTTACATACAGTAGACACACAGAGCAGAGTGTAACTCACCTTGTCCGTCCCCAGCCCTGGCCTGTCCCCCTGACTCGTCCTACTCCCTGTGTGTGGACTCATGTCCTGAGACCTGCCTGGGAGTGGTGGGACCTGCCGGCTGTGAGGACGTGTGTGTGGAGGGGTGTCAGTGTAACCCCGGCTTCATCCTCAGTGACGACCGCTGTGTGCCCCTCAAGGACTGCGGCTGTGTTGACCCCAGCGGAGACTACCACCCTGTGAGTGACCTGGAGCTGTGTTTTACTCCATCCATGCTCATATCAAGAACATAATTCTGTCTCAATACCACATTTTTTTTACTCATTAGAAGAGAGATTGTTTTGGAAATATTATATTCAATGTATTTATGTCTCGCCCCCAAATCATAAACTCAGTTATCTGCGAGGACTTTACATAATTGTGGAGTCACCAACAGAAGATCAGAGAATCAAACAGTTCAAACACAGAAATGCAATAATAACAAACACGTTGGAGCCATTGGTCCATAGGGAGCGGGACTGAGGCTGTAGATCCAGGACTGAGGCTGTAGATCCAGGACTGAGGCTGTAGACCCAGGACTGAGGCTGTAGACCCAGGACTGAGGCTGTAGACCCAGGTCTGAGGCTGTAGATCCAGGGCTGAGGCTGTAGACCCAGGACTGAGGCTGTAGACCCAGGACTGAGGCTGTAGACCCAGGACTGAGGCTGTAGATCCAGGACTGTGGCTGTAGACCCAGGACTGAGGCTGTTTGTCCCTGTGCTCAGGCTGGAGACCGCTGGCTGCTCCCAGGTTGTGAGCAGACCTGCCAGTGTCTCAGTGGAGGAGTGATCCAGTGTCACAACAGCAGCTGTAAACCTACCACCGAGATCTGTGAGCTGCATGAAGGAGAGCACCAGTGCAGACCTCTGGGTCCTTCTACACCCAAACCCTCAGCTGGTCCTTCTACACCAAGACCCACCTTTCCAACGACACCCAAACCCACCACCCCTCCGAGTGCGTATTTCCAAAATGTTCTGCTTGTTCCTCTCCTGGTCCTCTAAAATGACCGTGCTTGTTCTCCTTGTTCCGCTCCTGGTCCACAGTCATCTGTCCTCCTGATTCTGAGTACATCGACTGTGGTCCAGCTTGTATCCCCAGCTGTCAGGAACCTTCCACCAATTGCTCGGGCTCCTGCATCAGCGGCTGCTTCTGCAAACCTGGATATGTCTTCAAGGGCCGGAGGTGTGTGCCCCTGGACAAGTGCGGCTGTCTGGACCACGACAACAACTACTATGAGGTAAGGACTTCTCTATGGCTTTCAAATTCAGTCGCTTTTGGTGCTATACTGCGTCCTTTTATATGAGCTTCTGTAAGATCCTTTAGGGGCTGGGATTATGAGCCAAGCCCTGGGACCAGAGAGAGACCAGTGAGGGGGATCATTGAGAGGCCAAAGAGAGGCCAGAGAGAGGCCAGAGAGAGGCCAGAGAGAGGCTAAAGAGAGACCAGAGAGAGTCCAGAGTGAGCCTAGAGAGAGACCAGTGAGAGGGACCAGAGAGGGGCCAAAGAGAGGCCAAAGAGAGGCCAGAGAGAGACCAGAGAAGAGAAAGGGACCAGAGAGAAACAGAGAGAAACCAAAGAGAGGCCAGAGAGACTAGAGAAAGACCAGAGAGAGTCCAGAGTGAGGCCAGAGAGTGACCAGAGAAGAGAAAGGGACCAGAGAGAGACTAAAGAGAGGCCAGAGAAGAGAGAAGGACCAGAGAGAGACCAGAGAAAGGCCAGAGAGGTGTCAGTGACAGATAAATAATCTAGTCGTGTGTGTCTTTTCTTCAGCCTGGTGAGGTGGTGTTTGGAGACGGCTGCTCCCAGCTCTGTCGCTGTGTTGGGAACTACACTCTGGAATGTGTGGATAACTCCTGCGATCCAACTGAGGAGTGTCGGGAGGTCAGCGGCGTGCCAGGATGTTATCCGAAAGGTAACACACAGGAGGGCCATACATCTGTGCAATATGTGCCACATGTGTCCACTGTCACTGCATTCAAGCCCAGTTTACTTGACTCTACTCTGCCCTACTCTACCACTTTACTATCTGGTACTGTATCGAAGCAACAACCAGCAAACCAGTATCCAGGGAAATTTCCTGATAGCCATGGCTTCCAGCAGCACTCTGCCCAATCACTATCAGTTAGAACACACTTTAGTACCAGCTTGGCCTGGATAGAACCAGGACCAAGAGGGACTAAAGAAGGACCTGGTACTGGTTACACAGGACCAGAGTAAACACTCCCAATCAGGAGAGAGTAGAGTAGGGTAGGGGAGGGGAGGTGAGGGTAGAGTAGGTAGAGTAGAGTAGAGTAGAGTAGAGTAGAGTAGAGTAGAGCAGAGTAGAGCAGATCAGAGCAGAGCAGAGTAGAGTAGAGCAGAGCAGAGCAGAGTAGAGTAGAGTAGAGTAGAGCAGAGCAGAGCAGAGCAGAGCAGAGCAGAGTAGAGTAGAGTAGAGTAGAGTAGAGTAGAGTAGAGTAGAGTGGAATAGAGTAGGGTAGAGTAGAGTAGAGTAGAGTAGAGGGGAGGCTAGAGTAGAGTAGAGTAGAATAGAGTAGAGTAGAGTAGAGTAGAGTAGAGTAGGGTAGAGTAGAGTAGAGTAGAATAGAGTAGGGTAGAGTAGAGTAGAGTAGAGTAGAGTAGAGTAGAGTAGAGTAGAGTAGAGTAGAGTAGAGGGGAGGCTAGAGTAGAGTAGAGTAGAGTAGAGTAGAGTAGAGTAGAGTAGAGGGGAGGCTAGAGTAGAGTAGGGTAGAGTAGAGTAGAGTAGAATAGAGTAGGGTAGAGTAGAGTAGAGTAGAGTAGAGGGGAGGCTAGAGTAGAGTAGAGTAGAATAGAGTAGAATAGAGTAGGGTAAAGTAGAGTAGAGTAGAGTAGAGGGGAGGCTAGAGTAGAGTAGAGTAGAGTAGAGTAGAGTAGAATAGAGTAGAATAGAGTAGAATAAAGTAGAATAGAGTAGGGTAGAGTAGAGTAGAGTAGAGTAGAGGGGAGGCTAGAGTAGAGTAGAGTAGAGTAGAGTAGAGTAGAATAGAGTAGAATAGAGTAGAATAGAGTAGAGTAGAGTAGAGTAGGGTAGAGTAGAGTAGAGTAGAGTAGAGCAGAGTAAAATAGCCCAGAGCCTCATGCTACATGTCTTCATCCTCTACTCAGTTCTCCTTTGAGGAAATCTGCCAGTTTTAGTTTGTTTTAAATGTTTATTATGCTCGACAGAGTCAAACACGTCTCTTTTGTCTCGTTGCTGTAGATTCTTCGACCTGCGTCGCTTCTGGAGACCCGCACTACACCACCTTCGACAAACGCAAGTTCAACTTCATGGGGAACTGCACCTACCTGATGTCTGCTCCGTGTAACGAGTCCAGTCCTTGGTTCGAGGTCCACGCCGACAACGAGAACCGCTGGAACTCTCCCTCCATCTCCTACGTGAAGGCCGTGCACACCTACGTCCATGGGATGAAGATCTCCATCCTGAAGGGAGGAACTGTGCAGGTACCGGACCAGGGACAGACCAATATAATGAGGAGAGTGCACAGGTTTATACAGCGCTTATGTGGACGCTCACAGACGCTTCACATGTCATTACTCACTCACTCCAAACAAATACTCTAACTACCACAGCTGCCCTGGGGCACACTGACAGAAGCAAGGCAACCAGTCTGTGCCATCAGCCCCTCCCACCACCACAACCATTCACACACACACCAGACTCATTCTAATGTGGGGGAAGTGTCTTGCCAAAGGACACAACCACAGAGAGAGACCAGAGCGAGACCAGAGAGAGGCCAGAGAGAGGCCAGAGAGAGACCAGAGAGAGACCAGAGAGAGACCAGAGAGAGACCAGAGAGAACCCAGAGAGAGACCAGAGAGAGACCAGAGAGAGACCAGAGAGAGACCAGAGAGAAACCAGAGAGAGACCAGAGAGAGACCTGAGAGAGACCAGAGAGATACCAGAGAGATACCAGAGAGAGATACCAGAGAGAGATACCAGAGAGAGAGACCAGAGAGAGACCAGAGAGAGACAAGAAAGAGAGACCAGAGAGAGACCAGAGAGGCGAGAGAGAGGCCAGAGAGAGACCAGAGAGAGACCAGAGAGAGACCAGAGAGAGACCAGAGAGAGACCAGAGAGAAACCAGAGAGAGACCAGAGAGAAACCAGAGAGAGACATAAGAGAGAGAGACCAGGGAGAGACCAGAGAGAGACCTGAGAGAGACCAGAGAGGCCAGAGAGAGGCCAGAGAGAGACCAGAGAGAGACCAGAGAGAGACCAGAGAGAGACCAGAGAGATACCAGAGAGATACCAGAGAGAGATACCAGAGAGAGATACCATAGAGAGAGACCAGAGAGAGACCAGAGAGAGAGACCAGAGAGAGAGACCAGAGAGAGACCAGAGAAACCAGAGAGAGACATAAGAGAGAGAGACCGGAGAGACCAGAAAGCGACCAGAGAGAGACGAGAAAGAGAGACCAGAGAGAGACCAGACAGAGACCAGAGCGAAACCAGAGAGAGATATGAGAAAGAGAGACCAGGGAGAGACCAGAGAGAGACCAGAGAGACCAGGGAGACCAGAGAGACAAGAAAGAGAGACCAGAGAGAGACCAGAGAAAGACTAGAGAGAGACCAGAGAGAAACCAGAGAGAGACATGAGAGAGAGAGACCAGAGAGAGACCAGAGAAAGACTAGAGAGAGAGACCAGAGAGAAACCAGAGAGAGACATGAGAGAGAGAGACCAGAGAGAGACATGAGAGAGAGAGACCAGAGAGAGATAAGAGGGCAGCAAATCTGTTCCTGTTATGGTGCAAAGCAAACATCGTCAGAACAAAGGCCCATATAGAATATTATTATATTATTATTATTATATAAGGAAACTGGCTCCAACTTATGTTCAGCCTTCTCTACATTAAGGCTAACATTGTGGTGATGTCACACTCAGTCCCCTGCTCCTCCTGGTCATTGTGCTATCTTGCCTTTGTCCCCAGATCAATAATACCAATGTGAACGTTCCCGTGAGCCCTGCCCCCGGTGTGTCGGTGTTCAAGTCGGGGAAGTATTTCACCGTGTCGCTGAACTTCGGGGTCACGGTGCGCTACGACGGCAACCACTACATGGACGTCAAGGTCATCAAAGAGTAAGACTACTCTACCCTACCCTACTCTACTCTACCCTACTCTGTAAACTGCTCTACTTTACTCTGCTCAGCTCTACACTGCTCTGCTCTACTCTTCTCCACTCTGCTCTACTCTACTCTACTCTACTCTACTGTTGTACACTACCCTACTCTACACTGCTTTACTCTACTCTCCCCTGATTGGGAGTCTTTCCTGGTCTTGTGTAACCAGTCCCAGTCCTTCTTTAGTCCCTCTTGGTCCTGGTTCTATCCAGGTCGAGCTGGTACTAAAGAGTTCTAACTGACAGTGATTGGTCAGAGGGCTGCTGGAAGCCATGGTTACCAAGGAATTTACCTGGATACTGGTTTGTTATGGGTAAGATGTTAGGATACAGTACCAGATACTACAAAGCGTAAAGAAAACACAACCAAGTAGATTAGAGCCACAGTTCATACACAGGCAACTCTAAGTGCTGAAAGAAAAGAAAAAAGAAACACTCCAATCAAATATCATAACAGTACATACAAAAATGTTTACAATGTTTTTTGTAACTTTTTGTGCAGCTTCAAGTCTAAACTGTGTGGTTTGTGCGGAGACTATGACGGAGACGCTAAGGACGACTTCAGGAAACCAGACGGATCTCTGACCAGCAACCCCAACGACTTTGGACACAGCTGGAACATGGATCCATTGTGAGTACTGTGTCTGCTGCTGCCTACTGAGAGACCAGAGAGAGACCAGAGAGAGACCAGAGAGAGAGACCAGAGAGAGACCAGAGAGAGAGACCAGAGAGAGACCAGAGAGAGACCAGAGAGAGAGACCAGAGAGAGACCAGAGAGAGACCAGAGACAGACCAGAGAGAGAGACCAGAGAGAGACCAGAGAGAGACCAGAGAGAGAGACCAGAGAGAGACCAGAGAGAGACCAGAGACAGACCAGAGAGAGACCAGAGAGAGAGACCAGAGAGAGACCAGAGAGAGACCAGAGAGAGAGACCAGAGAGAGACCAGAGACAGACCAGAGACAGACACCAGAGAGAGACCAGAGAGAGACCAGAGAGACCAGAGAGACCAGAGGGACCAGAGAGAGACCAGAGACAGACCAGAGACAGACCAGAGAGAGAGACCAGAGAGAGACCAGAGAGACCAGAGGGACCCGAGAGAGACCAGAGAGACCAAGAGAGACCTCTTTTTACTCCCTTGTTCTTCCTTATCTTGATGCTGACTCACAAAGCAAAACTTTTGTTTGTGTTTCCAGGTGTAATGTCAAACCCAACACCACGGTCCCTGGATGCACAGAGGACGAGCAGGACCAGTACGAGTCGTCTGGATCCTGTGGGATGCTGCTCGACAAAAACGGACCTTTCGCCAAATGCCACGGAAAAGTCAACCCCAATGTATGACCAGCACCAAAAGGACTGAGGCTGTAGATCCAGGACTGAGGCTGTAGACCCAGGACTGAGGCTGTAGACCCAGGACTGAGGCTGTAGACCCAGGACTGAGGCTGTAGATCCATGACTGAGGCTATAGACCCAGGACTGAGGCTGTAGATCCAGGGCTGAGGCTGTAGATCCAGGACTGAGGCTGTAGACCCAGGACTTAGGCTGTAGACCCAGGACTGAGGCTGTAGACCCAGTACTGAGGCTGTAGACCCAGGACTGAGGCTGTAGACCCAGGACTGAGGCTGTAGACCCAGGACTGAGGCTGTAGATCCACTACTGAGGCTGTAGATCCACTACTGAGGCTGTAGATCCAGGACTGAGGCTGTAGATCCAGGACTGAGGCTGTAGATCCAGGACTGAGGCTGTAGACCCAGGACTGAGGCTGTAGACCCAGGACTGAGGCTGTAGACCCAGTACTGAGGCTGTAGATCCAGTACTGAGGCTGTAGATCCAGGACTGAGGCTGTAGATCCAGGACTGAGGCTGTAGATCCAGGACTGAAGCTGTAGATCCAGGACTGAGTCTGTAGACCCAGGACTGAGGCTGTAGATCCAGAAAGCATAATCCAAATGTATAGGATATCTTTGAAGCAATGTTTATTTGTATTGCACATTTACTACAAGCGGTGCTGCTCACATTAGAACTAAATGTGAGCCTGAATACTCCTGCAGCTGTCCTGAAGATCTGTCCTCTGCTGCTCTCCCTCAGAACTACTTTAAGGACTGTGTGTTCGACCTGTGTGAGCTGGATGGAGCCAAACCCGTCCTGTGTGAGGCGATCGAGTCCTACGCCAACGAGTGCCAGGACCGAGGGGTCCAGATCGGGGCCTGGAGGAACGACACCTTCTGCCGTGAGGAGCCTTCCGCTCATCAAAACTGAAAGACCAGAGAGAGACCAAAGAGAGAGGCCAGAGAGAGACCAGAGAGAGAGACCAGAGAGAGACCAGAGAGAGACCAGAGAGAGACCAGAGAGAGACCAGTGAGAGACCAGTGAGAGACCAGTGAGTGAGCAGTGAGAGAGACCAGAGAGAGACCAGAGACCAGAGAGAGATCAGAGCGAGGCCAGGGAGGGATCAGAGAGAGACCAAAGAGAGAGACCAGAGAGAGACCAAAGAGAGGGACCAGAGAGAGACCAAAGAGAGGGACCAGAGAGAGAGCAGAGAGAGAGAGCAGAGAGAGAGAGCACAGAGAGTGCAGAGAGAGAGACCAGAGAGAGACCAGAGAGAGAGATCAGAGAGAGACAAGAGAGAGACCAGAGAGAGAGATCAGAGAGAGACAAGAGAGAAAGACCAGAGATTGACTTTATAAATAATTGACTATCACCTTCAATTATTAAAGTAATCTATTGATTGGGGGTTATGGAACACATCGGGACACAGCCTCAGTCTCATCCCTCTTTCCTTCTCTTCTCCCCAGCTCTGAAGTGCCATCCCAACAGCCACTATGTCCCGTGTGCTGCCCCCTGTCAGGAGACCTGCTCAGGCCTGCCCTCCTCAGGCTGTGGCGGTCCCTGCACCGAGGGCTGTGTGTGCGACCCGGGATACGTCCTCAGCGCTGGCAAGTGCGTGAAGAGGAGCTCGTGTGGCTGCAAGCACACCAACGGCCAGTACTACGAGGTCTGAGAGAACGCTGCCATTATACCTGGTTCTTAAAGCTGTACATTCCCCTGTAAATTAGGCTGCTTTGACAATATAATATAAATAATCTTTTCTTTTTATTGCTTACAAGTCAGGGTACCTAACTTTCAGACCACAAAACTCTAGTTCCTGGCTCTAAAACAGTTCTCACTAGTTCTCATGTATCTCACAGGGTTCTTTCTTACAATGAGAGAGCAGAGAGAAAGAGACCAGTGAGATACCAGAGAGAGAGAGAGACCAGTGAGATACCAGAGAGAGAGAGAGACCAGTGAGATACCAGAGAGAGAGAGAGACCAGTGAGATACCAGAGAGAGAGAGACCAGTGAGATACCAGAGAGAGAGAGACCAGTGAGATACCAGAGAGAGAGAGACCAGTGAGATACCAGAGAGAGAGAGACCAGTGAGATACCAGAGAGAGAGAGAGACCAGTGAGATACCAGAGAGAGAGAGACCAGTGAGATACCAGAGAGAGAGAGAGACCAGTGAGATACCAGAGAGAGAGAGACCAGTGAGATACCAGAGAGAGAGAGACCAGTGAGATACCAGAGAGGGAGAGACCAGTGAGATACCAGAGAGAGAGAGACCAGTGAGATACCAGAGAGAGAGAGACCAGTGAGATACCAGAGAGAGAGAGAAAGGTATATGGGAGGATTTTCTTCTTCCGAGTGGATCATCAATTCTAAACACATATTTAATCGGCGTTTCCTCTGATGAGGGTGGTTCTTTCCTAACATTTGGGAAAATTCTCCTATATACCTTTAAAGGACAGCATCTGTATACAGTCCTATCCTGTGTTGTGCTATCCAGTTACCACATCAGTCCTCAGCTGTGCTCAGTGTGTGTTGTGTGTGTTGTGTGTGTTGTGTGTGTTGTGTGTGCTGCAGCCTGGAGATGAATTCTACGTGGAGGACTGTAAACTGAAGTGCAAGTGTAACCCTCCGTTCGTCAGCTGCAGCGCCACCGACTGCCCCCCTGCTCATGAGTGCAAAGTCCAGGAGGGAGATCTGGGCTGTTATCCTACTGGTCAGTGTGGGGCCAGGCTCTGGGACTCTCTCTCTCGCTCTCTCGCGCTCTCTCGCTCTCTCTCTCTCTCTCGCCTACCATAGCTCAATATAAGCTAACCTTAGTATAATGTTATCTTTCCTTGGCATTATGTTAGATTACCTTAACATAACATTAGCTTAGAGGTTTAGTTTTTTTCAGAAATGTGTGGCTTTGGTAGTACTTGGATGGGAGACTGCTGTAATACCAGGTGCCACTGTGGTGTGGACAAACTGCTGTTGTGCCCTTGAGCAGGACACCTCTTCCCCACATGTGTCTAGTGAAACCCCTGTGTGTGCTGTAGGCTCTCAGGACTGCATCATCTCTGGAGATCCTCACTACAACACGTTTGACAAAAAGTTCTTCAGCTTCATGGGCACCTGCACCTACACCCTGGCCCGCACCTGCAAGAACACCACCGGTAGGGGGCGCTGTTTCACACTATGGTCCCTGGTTCATCACAGGGGTTATGTGTTCTGAAAATGACCCTCTATGTGTATGTGTGTTTGTGCTCTGTGTGTGTGTGTGTGTGTGCTGTGTCTGTGTGTGTGTGCTGTGTGTGTTTGTGCTCTGTGTGTGTGTGTGTGCTGTGTCTGTGTGTGCTCTGTGTGTGTGTGTGTGCTCTGTGTGTGTGTGTGCTCTGTGTGTGTGTGTGTGCTGTGTCTGTGTGTGTGTTGTGTGTGTGTGTGTGCTGTGTGTGTGTGTGTGTTTGTTGCTGCAGGACACTGGTTCTCTGTTGAGGGGAAGAACGAGGAGCGAGGCGGCCCTGGACTTTCCTATCTCAGGAAGCTGTATGTGACTGTGGACGGGGTCACCATCACCTTGATGAAGGCCCGCCGCACTCTGGTCAGTCCTCTCACACTGGTCTCTCTCCTCACATGGTCGCTCTCCTCACATGGTCTCTCTCCTCACATGGTCGCTCTCCTCACATGGTCTCTCTCCTCAGGTGAATGGTCGGCGTGTATCCCTCCCCCACAGTCTGCCTCCTCAGGTGACCATCAGTTTGTCCGGTCAGTACGTCACTCTGCAGACACGCTTCGGCCTCGTGGTCCGATGGGACGGGAACCACTACGCCCAGATCACTGTGCCCAGGTCTGCCACCACACACACAACAGAATTCTTGGTCCAGTCTTGATCCAGTCTTGGTCCAGTCTTGGTCCAGTCTTGGTCCAGTCTTGGTCCAGTCTTGGTGCCCCTCTGGTCCCAACAGATCCTCTTGTGTCCTCAGTTCCTTCCAGGACCAGATGTGTGGTCTGTGCGGAGACTATGATGGAAACCCCAACAACGACTTTACCAAACCAGACGGATCCTCAGCCTCCAGCACCAACGACTTCGGCAACAGCTGGCAGACAGCGGAGGACGAGGACCCAGTGTAAGACCAGAGAGAGAGTCCAGAGAAACCAGAGTGACCAGAGAAAGACCAGAGAGAGAGACCAGAGAAACCAGAGTGACCAGAGAGATAGACCAGGGACCAGAGAGACCCCAGACAAAGACCAGAGAGAGACCGGAGAAACCAGGGTGACCAGAGAGAGACCAGGGACCAGAGAGACCCCAGGCAAAGACCAGAGAGAGAGACCAGAGAAACCAGAGTGACCAGAGAGATAGACCAGGGACCAGAGAGACCTCAGGGAACGGCCAGAGAGAGACCATGGACCAGCGAGAGACCATAGACAAGAAGACCAGAGAGACCAGAGAGACCCGAGTGAGAACCATATAATATTTCGCTATGTTATGTTTAGTGAAATAGATGTTTTTTCCTTGTTACAGCTGTACTCCTGGTACAAAGCCTGACCCTGACTGTGACCCGGCTCTGGAGGCTGAGGTGGTCAAACCAGAGAAGTGCGGCAAGATCAAAGACCCGGCCGGACCCTTCAGGTGAGAGACTTTATTCACTTGCCTTGGCAGCCATCTTAGCAACACATCTGCCCCTGTTACGGTTGCAGATGTGTTGTTAAGAGGCTGTACATCAAGGACTGAATCTATAGATTTGAGTTTATATTGATGATGTGTTTATATATGTGATGTATTTTAATTATTTTTTCAATGTATTTTTTTTGCGTGTGTTCAGGGAGTGTGTGGCAGTTGTTGACCCGACCCCGTTCTTCCAAAGTTGTGTGTACGACATGTGTCAGTTCAGTGGTCAGCAGAGCGTTCTGTGTGACCAGCTGCAGGCCTACACCCAGGCCTGTCAGAGCGCAGGAGCCAAGGTCCATCCATGGAGGGCGCCAGACTTCTGCCGTAAGCACAGGACCAGGACTCTTTAGTCTTTCTCTGGGTACTCTCTGGTCTCTCTCTGGTCTCTCTTTGGTCCCTCTCTCTGGTCTCTCTCTCTTGTCTCTCTTTGGTCCCTCTCTCTGGTCTCTTTCTCTGGTCTCTCTCTGGTCTCTTTCTCTGGTCTCTCTCTGGTCTTTCTCTGGTTCCTCTCTCTGGTCTCTCTCTCTGGTATCTCTGGTCTCTCTCTGGTCTCTCTCTGGTCTCTCTCTGGTCTCTCTCTGGTCTCTCTCTAGTCTCTCTCTGGTCTCTCTCTGGTCTCTCTTTGGTCCCTCTCTCTGGTCTCTCTCTCTGGTCTCTTTCTCTGGTCTCTCTCTGGTCTCTTTCTCTGGTCTCTCTCTGGTCTTTCTCTGGTTCCTCTCTCTGGTCTCTCGGTTGGGTCTCTCTCGCTGCGGCTCTCGCTGCGGCTCTCTCTGGTCTCTCTCTCTGGTCTCTCTCTCTGGAATCTCTCTGGTCTCTCTTGGGTCTCTCTCTGGTCTCTCTCTGGTATCTTTCTGGTCTCTCTCTGGTCTCTCTCTCTTGTCTCTCTCTGGTATCTTTCTGGTCTCTCTCTCTGGTCTCTCTCTGGTCTCTCGCTGGTATCTCTCTGGTATCTCTCTGGTCTCTCTCTCTGGTCTCTCTCTGGTCTCTTTCTGGTCTCTCTCTCTGGTCTCTCTCTGGTCTCTCTCTGGTCTCTCTCTGGTCTCTCTCTCGTCTCTCTCTGGTCTCTCTCTGGTCTCTCTCTCTTGTCTCTCTCTGGTATCTCTCTGGTCTCTCTCTTGTCTCTCTCTGGTATCTTTCTGGTCTCTCTCTGGTCTCTTTCTGGTCTCTCTCTGGTCTCTCTCTGGTATCTCTCTGGTCTCTCTCTGGTATCTTTCTGGTCTCTCTCTGGTCTCTCTCTCTTGTCTCTCTCTGGTATCTTTCTGGTCTCTCTCTCTGGTCTCTCTCTGGTCTCTCGCTGGTATCTCTCTGGTATCTCTCTGGTCTCTCTCTCTGGTCTCTCTCTGGTATCTCTCTGGTCTCTCTCTGGTCTCTCTCTGGTCTCTCTCTGGTCTCTCTCTGGTCTCTCTCTCGTCTCTCTCTGGTCTCTCTCTGGTCTCTCTCTCTTGTCTCTCTCTGGTATCTCTCTGGTCTCTCTCTTGTCTCTCTCTGGTATCTTTCTGGTCTCTCTCTGGTCTCTTTCTGGTCTCTCTCTGGTCTCTCTCTGGTATCTCTCTGGTCTCTCTCTGGTTTCTCTCTCTGATCTCTCTCTCTGGTCTCTCTGATAACATTAACACAAACACATGATAGTTACATACAGTAGACACACAGAGCAGAGTGTAACTCACCTTGTCCGTCCCCAGCCCTGGCCTGTCCCCCTGACTCGTCCTACTCCCTGTGTGTGGACTCATGTCCTGAGACCTGCCTGGGAGTGGTGGGACCTGCCGGCTGTGAGGACGTGTGTGTGGAGGGGTGTCAGTGTAACCCCGGCTTCATCCTCAGTGACGACCGCTGTGTGCCCCTCAAGGACTGCGGCTGTGTTGACCCCAGCGGAGACTACCACCCTGTGAGTGACCTGGAGCTGTGTTTTACTCCATCCATGCTCATATCAAGAACATAATTCTGTCTCAATATCACATTTTTTTTACTCATTAGAAGAGAGATTGTTTTGGAAATATTATATTCAATGTATTTATGTCTCGCCCCAAAATCACAAACTCAGTTATCTGCGAGGACTTTACATAATTGTGGAGTCACCAACAGAAGATCAGAGAATCAAACAGTTCAAACACAGAAATGCAATAATAACAAACACGTTGGAGCCATTGGTCCATAGGGAGCGGGACTGAGGCTGTAGATCCAGGACTGAGGCTGTAGACCCAGGACTGAGGCTGTAGATCCAGGACTGAGGCTGTAGATCCAGGACTGAGGCTGTAGATCCAGGACTGAGGCTGTTTGTCCCTGTGCTCAGGCTGGAGACCGCTGGCTGCTCCCAGGTTGTGAGCAGACCTGCCAGTGTCTCAGTGGAGGAGTGATCCAGTGTCACAACAGCAGCTGTAAACCTACCAACGAGATCTGTGAGCTGCATGAAGGAGAGCACCAGTGCAGACCTCTGGGTACGCACGCACGCACACACACACACACACACACACACACACACACACACACACACACACACACACACACACACACACACACACACAGAGACACACACGTACACACAGAAATACATACACACACAGAGACACACCCACATACAAAGACATACAAGTTTCACTATGAGCCTGTCGTAGATCAACCACACAGAGACGGATTGTGGCGCACCAGAGCTGCTGGAAGTTTGTTAGGACATGATTTATATAGTCATTGTTACGTCACACATCGAAAGACATACGTGTCACATCCAGAGACAATCAGAGCATATTATAGTCATAACATCATAGTAGATACACAATAGAGCCGTTGTGACCTACGCAAGGCCAGGTCATTTGTATAGCTATCTACTTCTCATAAGCCCTTCCCTATTAGCTCAAACAGGTCTTTGACTTCTGATTTTTAACTTCCGGTCTGTAACCCCTGGTGTTGTGTGTTGCTGGTGCAGGGACTGGCATCTGCTCGGTGTCCGGGGACCCCCACTACACAACCTTCGACAGACGCACACACCACTACATGGGCGCCTGCTCCTACACACTCTCGCAGCTGTGTAACGCCTCCTCTGACCTGCCTTACTTCAGTGTCTACACACAGAACGAGCACCGCAGCAGCAACCGGAAGATCTCCTACGTCAGGGCTGTGGGCGTGACCGTCCACAACATCACTGTGGTGCTGGGGAAGGGCCGCGCCGTACAGGTACAAGACCAAAGTCCAGAGAGAGACCAAAGAGAGACCAGAGAGAGACCAGAGAGAGACCAGAGAGAGACCAGAGAGAGACCAGAGAGAGACCAGAGAGAGACCAGAGAGAGACCAGAGAGAGACCAGAGAGAGACCAGAGAGACCAGAGAGAGACCAGAGAGAGACCAGAGAGAGACCAGAGAGAGACCAGAGAGAGACCAGAGAGAGACCAGAGAGAGACCAGAGAGACCAGAGAGAGACCAGAGAGAGACCAGAGAGAGACCAGAGAGATACCAGAGAGAGACCAGAGAGAGACCAGAGAGAGACCAGAGAGAGACCAGAGAGAGACCAGAGAGAGACCAGAGAGACCAGAGAGAGACCAGAGAGAGACCAGAGAAAGACCAGAGAGAGACCAGAGAGAGACCAGAGAGAGACCAGAGAGACCAGAGAAAGACCAGAGAGAGTCTAGTGAGAGACTAGAGAGAGACCAGAGAGACCAGAAAGAGACCAGAGAGAGACCAGAGAGAGACCAGAGAGAGAACAGAGAGACCAGAAAGAGAGAGAGCAGAGAGATTCACGCTGTGCATCTCTCCTCAGATGAACGGTCGTGCCTCAGTCCCTCCCCTCTCGGTCGCTGAGGTGAACATCTACCTCAGCGGGAAGTTTGTGGTTCTGGAGACGGCGTTCGGTTTAAGAGTTCGCTTCGATGGTAACCACCACGCTGATGTCACCGTGCCAACCTCCTACCAGCACCACCTCTGTGGCATGTGCGGTATGTGGGAAATAAACAGACATTTTTGATGAGAACACATGGTATTTTCTGCCTCATCTTCAGGGTTTGTCCACATGGATAATTGCAGCTTTTGTTTTGTTACAGGGAACTTCAACGGAGACTCTAAAGATGACAACCTGAAACCAGACAACACTCCAGCTGCTAACACCAACGAGCTGGGAGACAGCTGGCAGGTCCCTGACCCACGACCAGAGTGAGTCTCAGAGGGAGACCAGAGAGAGAGACCAGAGAGAGAGACCAGAGAGAGAGACTAGAGAGAGAGACTAGAGAGAGAGACTAGAGAGAGAGACTAGAGAGAGAGACCAGAGAGAGAGACCAGAGAGAGACCAGAGAGAGAGACCAGAGAGAGACTAGAGAGAGAGACTAGAGAGAGAGACTAGAGAGAGAGACTAGAGAGAGAGACCAGAGCGAGAGACCAGAGAGACCAGAGAGAGAGACCAACCAGCGAGAGAGACCAGAGAGAGAGACCAGCGAGGGACCAGAGAGAGAGACCAGAGAGAGACCAGAGAGTGACTAGAGAGAGAGACTAGAGAGAGAGACTAGAGAGAGAGACTAGAGAGAGAGACTAGAGAGAGAGACCAGAGCGAGAGACCAGAGAGACCAGAGAGAGAGACCAACCAGCGAGAGAGACCAGAGAGAGAGACCAGAGCGAGAGACCAGAGAGACCAGAGAGAGACCAGAGAGAGACTAGAGAGAGAGACTAGAGAGAGAGACTAGAGAGAGAGACTAGAGAGAGAGACCAGAGCGAGAGACCAGAGAGAGAGACCAACCAGCGAGAGAGACCAGAGAGAGAGACCAGCGAGGGACCAGAGAGAGAGACCAGAGAGAGACCAGAGAGAGACTAGAGAGAGAGACTAGAGAGAGAGACCAACGAGGGACCAGAGAGAGAGACCAGAGAGAGACCGGAGACTGCACATCCAGGACTGAGGATGGTTGTATGATTCAAAGTAAATCAACACTGCTTTTACACTTCTGTCTCAGCTGCTCTAACGGCGGCGGTCAGGAGGATTGTGATGACGACGTCGAGGAGGACGCTAAGAAGCCCACGAGCTGCGGCATGATCACAGACCCCAACGGTGAGAGAGACAGGGGGAGCGGGGGGGAGGAGAGGGGGTAGAGGCGGTGAGAGAGGGGCAGGAGCTGTGGTTTGTGTACACTATGTTTGTTTGTGAGTGTGAATGTGAATTTGGCACTACAGATGGAAATGAACTACAAAGTGTGTGTTTGTGTGTGTGTGTGTGTGTGTGTGTTTCTTCAGGTATCTTCAAACCCTGTCATTCCGTGGTTCCTCCCGGTCCGTTCTTTGAGAACTGTGTTTACGACATGTGTGCCACCGGGGGCCAGACGGTGGCGCTGTGTCAGTCTATTGAGAGCTACGCCGACATGTGCGCTGCAGCCGGAGTCCCCATCGCCTGGAGGAACAACACCTTCTGTCGTGAGTCAACACGTCTCAGTGGAATGTACAAAGTTGTGGATTCACCAAAAACAGATCAGAGAATAAAACAGTTCAAACACAGGAAATGCAATTATAACAAAAACATGGGAACCATTGAGCTGAGGCTGTAAACCCAGGACTGAGGCTGTAGACCCAGGACTGAGGCTGTAGACCCAGGACTGAGGCTGTAGAACCAGGACTGAGGCTGTAGAACCAGGACTGAGGCTGTAGAACCAGGACTGAGGCTGTAGAACCAGGACTGAGGCTGTAGAACCAGGACTGAGGCTGTAGACCCAGGACTGAGGCTGTAGACCCAGGACTGAGGCTGTAGACCCAGGACTGAGGCTGCACATCACACATACATGATGTGTGACCAGTGGGGGCGGGTCTCGGCTCAAAAGTGGCCAAATTGACGTGCGCTGACATGCTTGCAACACCGGCGGAGACAGGCGTGACTACATCCGTTAATATATACAGTCTATGTGTGTGACCTCTGTTCTGACTCTGACCCCCGACCTCTGACCCCTGACCTTTCCTCTGTCTTCAGCTCTGAAGTGTCCCCCAGGCAGTCAGTACAGGCCCTGCACCTCAGCCTGTGCTCAGCCCAGCTGTCAGGACCCAGCAGGCCCTGGGGGGTCCTGTGACCTCCCCTGTGTGGAGGGCTGTGTGTGTGAGCCTGGTCTGGTGCTCAGTGGAGACAAGTGTGTGCCTCTGAGCGAGTGTGGCTGCACGGACGAGGACGGGAAGTACAGACCGGTACGACCCACATTTATACACGCACGCACGCACGCACACACACACACACACACACACACACACACACACACACACACACACACACACACACACACACACACACACACACACACACACACACAGCTCTTTGGTCACATGTTTGTGACTGTGTGATTGGGTGTCTCTCCTCTGCTCTCCTGCGCCCCCTGCAGGTGGGAAGCAGCTGGTTCATGTGTGTGATTGTGTCTCTCCTCTGCTCTCTTTCGCCCCTTGCAGGTGGGAGGCAGCTGGTTCAGTGAGCTTGACTGCTCTGAGCGCTGTCAATGTCTGAGCAACAACAACGTGACGTGTGAACCCTGGCAGTGCAGCCCGGCTCAGGAGTGTGGCATACAGGAGGGGATCCTGGACTGTCACTCTACTGGTGAGACACACACACACGCAGATAGAGACACGCACTCAGAGAGACACACCACAACCATAGCTACTCTACTCTACTATTCTCTACTCTACTCTACTCTACTGTATACAATGTGTGTTGCTGACAGTGCTCTGACCCTCTGTCCTCAGGTAAAGGCGTGTGCCATGTGGCTGGAGATCCTCACTACTACACCTTTGATGGCGTCATGCATACCTTCATGGGAACCTGCACCTACACCCTGGTGGAGGTGGGACTGCCTCACCCTCACCCCTCTCTGTCTCCCCCTCTCCTTCCTCTGTCTCCCCCTCTCCTCCGCTTCTTTCTCATGCTCTCCTGCCGCTCTCTCACCCTTTCCCCCCCTCTCTGCAGGTCTGTAACTCCACTCAGGTGACTCCGTTTAAGATTGTGGCTAAGAACGAGGAGCGCGGTCAGCCAGAGGCGTCGTATGTGCGCTCAGTGAAGGTCTACCTCCCCCACGGGTCAGAGGTGGAACTGCAGAAGAGCCGCCGAGTCCTGGTGAGCTTCCAGCACTCTTTGCACTGTTAGCACCGTTAGCACTGCTTTGATTAATGCCAGTTACAAGGTAGGGTCCTGTGTGTTTTCAAGTGATCAGAGTGCTTTTTCAAGGACCTGACAGAGTCCCAGGTTTGTGAGAGTAAAACAGCTCCCTCGTCCCGGTTTATAGTCCGGGGGCACATCTCCATATGTTTGTTTCCTCTACCTGTGTTTGTGTCCCTCAGCCCTTTGTCCATAATGTGCTTCATCCATTTTTCCATCCATTTTCTACCCTTTAATCCATTTCTGGGTCAGCGGGGTGGCAGTCAGAGATGCCACCCAAGTCTCATAGCACCAGCCCCTCACTGATCCTCTGCAGGTGGTGAGTCCACAGGAGGCTGTGGACAGGATGTGCTTCAGTGGTATTGAAATATATCAATATGTTGATTTGCAAAACAGAGACATAGAGAACAGAACACATCACAAAACATTTAACAAATAGAGAAACACATAGAAGTCCAAATGAGTATCTCTGTAGCCCTCAGACCTCACCCCTGCCCTACCTCCTGACCCCCTCCTCCCCTCTGTTCCTCAGCTGAACGGCAGACGCGTCAGGACCCCCCTCACCATCGCCTCTGCGGGGGCCAAGGTCATCTCCAGCGGCTCCTACAGTCTCCTGGACACAGACTTTGGACTCCAGGTCCAGTTTGACGGAGTCCACCACCTGCAGATTACTGTCCCAGGACAATACTACAACAAGGTATGAGAGACCAGAGAGAGACCAGAGAGAGACCAGAGAGAGAGGGACCAGAGAGTCTCTCTCTGGTCTCTCTTTGGTCTGTAAAATAATCACACACAGTAATATTCAAAGTTTTGCTGTCACTGTCAGTCAGATTATTGTCTCTTCAAACATGTGTTTGTGACTGGTTGGTTGTGTTTGCTCTCTGGCGCAGCTCTGTGGTATGTGTGGGAACTACAACCACGACGCCACAGACGACGACCTGATGCCCAACAAGAAACCTGCTAAAGATGTGATTGAGCTCGGTAACAGCTGGAAGTCTGAGGGGGACAGTGATCCAGGGTGAGGCACACACCCACAGACACACAGGCGCACCTGTCGTGTGTGTATTCCTCTCTCTCTGGATTCTCTCTGGTCTCTCTCTGGTCTCTCTCTCTCTGGTCTCTCTCTGGTCTCTCTTTCTCTGGTCTTTGTTATAGAATTATATACCCCATGAAGGAGAAAACTCAAAGGTCCTTTGTCTGATCAAAAGCGTAAGTTTATTGTTAACGCACAGTGCGGAGAGCCAGCACATACACTCCAAAAGCAGCATGTCCCAGCTCTGGGGGCCAGAGCCCCGAGCTTCCTGTATACAAGACACACACCAAAGATAGTCACGCCCACAACGGAGCGGAGGGGGCCACCGGTGAGGAGGCGCACAGGAAGCGCCGGCGCTATCCCCTGTGGTGGCAGTGGCATGGGGTGTGAACAGACAGACAATGGTGGAAATGCAGGTCATACAGATGCAAGACGGAAAGACACAAGGGTGTGACAGACAGCAGGGACCTTCACAAAGCTCAGCATGGCGTCAGAAGGTCGTCTGCATTGATAAAAGGCCTTTGACGTCCGTGTATTTGCTGCGGCTGGTTTTAATGTAATTACTCCAAAAACTGTCACCACACTCCCCTCTTTTGATAATTCAAAACCATTTTTGCATTAATCAGTTAAATACCAGAGGCATCGTAATCACACCACCTTCAAGCTTGAAACACTTAAATTATTGCTGTCCAAAGTGGACAAGAAAAGACACATGCTTGTCAATAAAAGAAAGAGCACATTATAATAACACAATGGATCCGGACAGCGATAAGAGAAGGCAATATTAACATAATAAACACGGTCAGCACGGAAAGTAGTGTCAGTGTGGCCAGCATAACAGTCCAAGGGCCCATGCCGGTCTACGTTCGGTAGTCTTTTCCGCGGGAATACTCACGAGCAGTGCCGTCTCGCAGTCAGTGGCACCGCTCCCTATGAGCGTGTGTGGAGCGTTAGTGGTCATGGCGATGTTTGGTCTTGGAGCGGCAAGACTCTAATTGCGTTGAAGCCTTGGCCTCAGCACTCGGTTGGGCAGAGTGCTCGGGGTTTGGGGTGTGGAGACCATGGCTTGAGCACGCTCCAGATCGGCCAGGCCCAAAGCTCGTTTGATGGGAGACCTCATGACAGCACGCTTCACCATGTGCCTCATCAGGAACTGTAGAGCAGCCCTCATCTCCACCTCCTCCGGACACACGGGAGACGAGACACCAGGGGGGCACTCCAGCAGAGCTCAAATCTGCATTATGGCCAGAGGGAACAAGCTCTGGAGAAATCTTTGGAATGGGCAGCAGCTCTGCATACTTGCTGCAGCTGAGCAGAGCGCTCAGGGCCTTCATGGCTCCCAAGCCTTGGGATCCGGGGGCTGGGGAGTTGGGCAAAAGGGGGGTCGCCTCGGGAACGCTGGGATTCTCTGGGTGTTGTTGTTGGCCTGCTTCACCGACGGTGGCCGCACGCCAGCCGACTTCTTCATCGTAGGGAGCCGCGGATGGGCCTGGTCCGTCCGCGCCCTCGGTGTCCTCATCTATGGCCCTCAGTGGCAGCACCGCACGACAGTGGTTGGCGTGGATCCAAGTTGTCCTCTCCGCGACCTTAACGGCAGTGTCCGTCACCAGGAGGGCGAGGAATGGGCCGAGCCAGCGCTTGGACCGCCAATGCTTTCGTCTCGTTTCCTTCATCAGGACCCAGTCGCCTGCGCAGCCTGTGGCAGGGCGCTCCTGACCTGGGCAGAAATAGAGGACAAAAGTGCATTAATTTCCTTACAATAGGACAGCATGTCGTCATCACACAAAGAGGTGCTTGGCAGATCTCTGTTCGGGGGTCCCGCGCCCAACGTGGGGCTAGCGGCAGAGCTTTGAGTGCCATTCTCTCGCTCGCACGTGCCTCCGGACCAGGGGACGTAACTGCAGTGTTTACGTATATCAATGCCCAGAAATTCACCCACTTCCTCAATGACTTTTGCTACAAAGTGACTCACCACCGCGTTGCTCGTGGCGTGTATGCCTGCAAATACTTCAGTCCATTTGGACCAGAGATCCGCCAGACCCAGACAGTATTACTTACCTTGGCATGGTGTGAGTTCAACAAAGTCCCTTTGGACATGTTGAAATGGGCGCAGGGGCGGAGGATGAGCAGCCTGTTGGATACTTTTGGGTCTTACCTGGGTTGTGCGCGGGGCATATAGCGCATGTTTGGCTGAATCTCTGTGCAAATGCCGTAAACCCCTTTGTATACCAATTTTGTGTGATTAAATCACACATCATCCCTCCTTTTGAGGCATGGTCTCGACCATGTGCTAAAATTGCAAACTGTCTGAAGAAATGCCGTGGTAGGCACGGTTTGCTGTCTGGTCCCAGCCACACACACCATGCCGTCGTTGAGCCCCATTCCCCTCTCACAGCAGCGTCTCTGCTGGAGTAGAAAATATCAACGTCTTGAGTGAGGTAGTGTGTGTGTGTGTGTGTAGAGGTGCGTATGCCGCTGCCTTGTCCGCGCGCCGATTCCCAGCAGAGATGGGATCAGTGGCATTAGTGTGGGCCTGGCATTTGCATACAGCGATCTCTAAGGGCAACATTACAGCTTTCAGCAGACGTTCAACCTGTGTGGAATTAAGAATTGGTTTACCATCAGATTTCATAAAATTGCGGTGTTTCCACAGTGCTTCCCAGTCGTGCACCACAGAGAAACCATAGCGCGTATCACATAATATGTTAACAGTTTTGCCCGCTGCCAGCTCACACCCCCGGTGGGCGCGACCAGCTCAGCGGTTTGTGCTGAGTGGTAGTGGGGCAAACTACCAGAGTCTATAGTATCAAAATCAGAACACACAGCATAGCCGACTCGGTTCTTCCCAGTGTTGTCACGTGACGCCGCTCCGTCTGTATAAAAAAAAATCAAGTCAGGATTAGTCAGAGGCACCTCTTTCAGGTCTGGCCTGGCAGTGCATCTCTGCTCTATTGTGGCGATACAGCAGTGTGCCTCCCCTTCCTCTGGCGTGGGCAGCAGCGAGGAGGGGTTCAGCTGTGTGCATCCCTTCACCGTAGTTCAAAGAGCACCGTGTTGTACCCCAGCCAACGAGCCGCAGAAAGGCGAGAGGCCCTCTGCTCTAACAGGATCAGGGAAACAGCATGGGGCACAAGCAAAGTTAGTTCAGTGTATCCCACAAGGTCACGTGATGCTAGGGCCGCTTTCTCAGCGGCAGCCACAGCCCGCAGGCAGCGAGGCAACCCTGCTGCCACGGGATCGAGTTTTGCTGAGAAGTAAGCAGTGGGTCTCAGTGGCCCTCAGTGAGGCTGCAAAAGTACCGACTGTTCCGTTCATCTCCAGTTGCTTTTCTCCCGGATCGTCCTCAATTCATATTGTGGGCTTTTGTGCCAAAGTGGAGGCTCATTTCCTCCTGATCCATACTACTGTCATCCCTGGAGCAGGGGTAGTTTATCTCTCATCTGAAAAAGAAATATCAGAACACAAAAAAAAACACAAAAAATGCCCACTTTCGCTTGTCAATCTTTTTCCCAATTGGGCAAAACATAACTGCATTGACAGACGGTGTGTGACATCAGGGCGGAGGCTGTAGCCAAATACAGAACAACAAAATGTATGTTTCTAATTTTATACTCCCCTAAATGTGAGTTTACAGACCAAAGTTGTCCTCCGCCCAATGACCGCTCACTGCGGTTGGACCGAATCACTGTCAGGGCAAACAGCAGAGGGAGGGACTCCCAATATCTTCAGCGAGGTATTTCATCTCCGAGTACTTTCCGCAGAGTACTTTTCTCAGAGTACTCATCCCAGAGTACTCTCACTTTTACACCTGTTCAATAAAGGTCGTTATCTTTGAATCTCTAGTACTTACACCGTATGCTGTTGACAAAAAGAATTATTCCATGATCACATTAAAACATTACAGACACATTTGTTATTCCATGATTCCGTTCAGCATCCTCATTTCACTCCTTATTTCACACATCACACTCATATCACAGTCACATCACAGTCACATCACAGGCCGATTCCCCCACGTTAGTATTTTGGTCCAGTTTGTTAAGGTCGACGTAGTGTACTTTGACTTGACACACAAACATATAACATACACAAAACATATAACACACAAACATGTAACACACACAGAAGGCCTGTACTTTTAACTTTGTTATATTTTTCCATGTCCAATTCTCATTGTCTCATGAGCTATTTCTTATTGTTGCAACTTTCAGAGCCTGCAGAGCTTTAAAAGAGTTTTCCTAAAAGGATCCATTTCCAACTTTGGTGTTTACCACGTGGTCTGTATTCGGGCTTATCACAGATTGTGTCCCCTATATCTCTAATGAGCTCTTGTCACCTAAAAAATGTTTATTTTCCTTATTTTTTTTTTTTCTTTTTCAATAAAGCCAGGTCGGATTCATTAAAAATGTAAATTAGTCTCAAACTTTAATACTTCACCTTTGTTTCACGATAAAAATGTTTTTGTTGCTCATTAAGTAGCACAGATAGTGGTGCCTATCTCAATAAACGTACTCCGTTAGCCTATCTTCCCTACACTGCATGAATTTTCAAACTCCAAGTTATTGTCTGGGAACGACCGGAGAGAGCAGCAAAGGTCGTTCGCGTGGTTGACCTCCAAATTTTGTGCGGGCGTCACTATCCACTTGTTGTGGCTAATAACTTAGCAATCTCAGGGTTTGGTGTCAATTTCCAGTGGTAGTTAACTTTTGGGACCGGTGCCTCCTTTTATTTATCTATTTTTAATTGAGTCTGCACATAAGGTCTCGGCCTAGTAGATTAACCGGGGACAATGGGGAATATAGAAAAGAATGTTTAAGCTGGTTGCCCTGAGAATCAAAACACGTTAGCGGTGACGTAAATTGCTCTTTAGTCGTCTCTCCGACGCTGCTAATTAGAATATGAAGCGGCCGCTCATTTTAGGGGAGACAGAAAGGCTGTCACTTTTAGCACAGAATTTGTTGCCCCGGAGTCATCCAGAATTTTAACTTGTACACCACAGGTTGTTAGCGTATATTACGGGCATGAATTATCTCTAAAAAGTGCCAATTGCAATTTGTTGTTGTTCAACTTACATGAGCGGTCGCTTTGGTGACGAATGTGAACCCAGGTTTGGTCAGTCGCTCGTGTTTCCTCCGTGCCCGCCTCTGCCGTCCTCTGGCCCCGTGTTAGCTTGAGCGTTCCTCTGCCTTTAACGCCTCCTCCGGTAACAGTCCTTCGACCCATGTCGAGCACACAGTCTTTCCGCCGGGCTGTGGAAGTTTTTCAAAGTCCGCAGGAGGCCCAGGTAGCCCAAAGCGTTAGCATGTGGTCCATGAGGGTTGGTGAATAACCAAACGTGCCGGTACTTTTGGCTTCTTCTGTTTGCGGTGCGGGAACAACTTTCAAGCGGGTTTCCGCGGGTGCGTTTGGTATATCACGCTGCCCCCTCCGTGGAGAACAGTCACGGGATTTGGAGCAGTTTCTCTCTGTGCTCCAAAGCAGTTGTCGGTGTCTCACATATTTGTTTCCCTCGCTTCTTCTTCTGTGGTTTCCTGAGCGTGTGTCTGTTTCCGCCTCTTCTTCTTCTGCGGTTTGGGCCCACTTCTCGCGGGGTCTCAGCTGGTGCGAGCGCCGCCTGTGGTTGGGGCGTGGGGCTGGTGCTTTGAGGCAGAGGACAGAGCGCGGAGGAAAGGCGCCGACAGACCTGGATAGGGAAGAGGGAAAAGAGACAACAGTAGTCTGCTTCATTTTTTAAAAACCCAACGCCTTGTTTGGGCGCGTACTTAGCATGGAGTTCTGCTCCTAGTGTGAAAGGGTTAGTAGGTGAGAGAGGGCGTGTGTGTGCGCCTGTGTGTTCTCCGCTTTGGTGAAAAGCGGAGGAGCTATTGTTTTTACATATTTCTTTCTCTAACCTCTTTTGCCGTGATATTCTTAAAACCAAGTATATTTTTTTTTCTCCCCTTCTTCTTCTAAATTATCACGCAGATGACCTGCACCATAGGCAAGCACTCCATAGCTTGCATCTTCTAGATTGTTTTTTACCCATTTTCTCGTACGAACAATGGGCCTAACCCGCTTAGTCTCTCCCTGCTCCTACCCACTTTGGGGCGCTCCGTTCCCCCCCCGCTGGTTCAACCAGCGAGCGCGCGTTCTTGAAAACGGAGCGGTTCTGGCTGAAGACACTCAGAGATTCCAGGGTCGCTTACAATGCGATACTAACGCGCAGCCGCTAGTTTCAATCTAGAACAAAAAGCCCCCAAAAAATCCCGCACACAGACTATGCTGTGGCAATGAATGAAATACCCCAAAAATACATAAAATAAACAAATCCCCGTGTACACTTAAGTGCTGCCCTGGGCTCGTTACGCAGATGAAAAGACAAGACTCACCAGATTAGGTTCTTTTTGGTCTTGTGTGGCAAAAGGATTCCTTCCGTGCGCGGGACGAGCGCCGCCCTCCTTTGTCTCCAAAAAGGAACAGAGGCTGGTGATCCAGGTCGGCCAAACAAAGCCGCTCGTCCCCGCCGAAAGTATCCATGCCAAGACATGTCAGCAACGCCAAATTGTTATAGAATTATATACCCCATGAAGGAGAAAACTCAAAGGTCCTTTGTCTGATCAAAAGCGTAAGTTTATTGTTAACGCACAGTGCGGAGAGCCAGCACATACACTCCAAAAGCAGCATGTCCCAGCTCTGGGGGCCAGAGCCCCGAGCTTCCTGTATACAAGACACACACCAAAGATAGTCACGCCCACAACGGAGCGGAGGGGGCCACCGGTGAGGAGGCGCACAGGAAGCGCCGGCGCTATCCCCTGTGGTGGCAGTGGCATGGGGTGTGAACAGACAGACAATGGTGGAAATGCAGGTCATACAGATGCAAGACGGAAAGACACAAGGGTGTGACAGACAGCAGGGACCTTCACAAAGCTCAGCATGGCGTCAGAAGGTCGTCTGCATTGATAAAAGGCCTTTGACGTCCGTGTATTTGCTGCGGCTGGTTTTAATGTAATTACTCCAAAAACTGTCACCACATCTTCCTCTCTGGTCTCTCTCTGCTCTCTAACTTGGTTTCTCTCTCAGTTGCCAGCCGGACACTCGCCCTGACATCCATCCTAACTGCACGGTGGAGGAGGAGCAGCAGTATGAGGCTCAGTGCTCTGGGACTCTGCTGTCTGAGCTCTTTAGACCCTGCCACGCTCTGGTGCCCCCGCAGGCCTTCATCGGTAACTGCATCTACGACTTGTGCGAGTATGACGGCATGCAGCGGACACTGTGCGACAACGTGGAGGCGTACGCTCAGGCGTGTCAGAGCGCCGGGGTCAGCATCAGCTGGAGGAACAGCACCTTCTGCCGTGAGTTCACACCTACCACCGCTGGGGTTCAACTGTTTTTTGTCTCTCTCTCATCTCTTTCTGGTCACTCTCTGGTCTCGGGTCTCTCGGATCTCTCTCTGGTCTCTTTTTCTGGTCTCTCTCTCTGGTCTCTCTCTCTGGTTCCTCTCTGGCATTTCTCTGGTCTCTCTCTGGTCTTTCTCTCTGGTTTTTTTCTCTGTGGTCTTGCACTGTACATATTCCTCATAACCTTCTACTCTCTGGTCCTCACAGCCAAACCGTGCCCTGTGAACAGCCACTTCTCTGCCTGCACGGCGCCCTGCCCCCCCACCTGTTCGGACCTATTCCCGCTGCTGTGCCACCTGCCCCCGGACACCTGTGTGGAGGGTTGTCAGTGCGACGCCGGCTTTGTGCTCAGCGACAACCAGTGTGTGGCGCTGTCCAAGTGTGGCTGCCTAGACTCAGACCGAGAGTACCACGAGGTGAGTCACATTCACAGAACACTACAGGGTTTAACAAGACCGTGCAAGACCGTGCCAGAGAGTTTCTGTGGTCTCTCTCGCTCTCTTGTTTCTCTCTGGTCTCACTCTGGTCTCTCTTTGTGCTCTCTCTCTCGCTCTTTCTCACTCTGGTCTCTTTCTGTGGTCTCTTTCTCTCACCCCCTCTCTTGTTTCTTTCTGGTAGCTCTCTGGTCTCTCCCTAGTCTCTCTCTAGGCTTTTACTCCAGTACTTAAGACTAGTAAGTAAATAAGTAAGTAATCTTTATTTTTTTATACCGCCTTTCACAGACCAGAGTCACAAAGCGGTTTACAATTATTATTTTTGGGGCATTTGTCTCTCACTCCACACAGAGATGGGAGCGGGGTCGCCGAACAGGAGGCGCATCCAGAACTATTGTACATGTTTTTTAGTGGTTGGGGAAACCGGAGTACCCGGAGGAAATCCTATGCAGACACGTGGAGAACATGCAAACTTCGACCAGGATTCGAACCCAGGACCTTCTTGCTGAGAGGCTTATAGTACTTATTCCATCTGTGTTTTTGTATGAAGTATATACCATCATATTGTGGTATTTTCCTCATTATGTTCAAACGATAGAAGCCACATCCCTGTGCTTGCTGCATGACAGTGTTAACCCTCTGATCCCTGACTCCTGACCTGTGACCCTGCAGGTTGGAGACTCGTGGCTGACAGACAAGTGCAGTGAGTCATGCCATTGTCTGATGGGAGGAAGCATCAGCTGTAAAGACTTCAGCTGTGGAACCAACACTCTGTGTGACCTGGACAAGTACGGAGACCTGTACTGCAAGCCCACCAGTAAGACCAGCTCCTCCTGCTGACAGCTCTCTGGCCTGTCTCTGGCCTGTCTCTGGTCTCTTTCTGGTCACTCTCTTTAGTCTATCTCTCCTCCTGTATCTCTAACCTGTATACATCTGTGCTCCTGTATCTCTAACCTGTATACATCTGTGCTCCTGTATCTCTAACCTGTATACATCTGTGCTCCTGTATCTCTAACCTGTATACATCTGTGCTCCTGTATCTCTAACCTGTATACATCTGTGCTCCTGTATCTCTAACCTGTATACATCTGTGCTCCTGTATCTCTAACCTGTATACATCTGTGCTCCTGTATCTCTAACCTGTATACATCTGTGCTCCTGTATCTCTAACCTGTATACATCTGTGCTCCTGTATCTCTAACCTGTATACATCTGTGCTCCTGTATCTCTAACCTGTATACATCTGTGCTCCTGTATCTCTAACCTGTATACATCTGTGCTCCTGTATCTCTAACCTGTATACATCTGTGCTCCTGTATCTCTAACCTGTATACATCTCTCCTCCTGTATTTTCTCCTTGTTCCTCCTCAGAGTTCGATAAGTGCAGTGTCTCTGGAGACCCTCACTACCGGACGTTTGACGGCTTCACGCACCACTTCCAGGGCCCCTACACGTACGTCCTGGTGCAGACCCACAACCCGCCCCAGGCCTTGGAGGACCTGATAATCCGCGGAAAGAACATCCGCAGAGGGGGCAACCGTCGGGTCTCCTTCCTGGACCAGGTCTACATCGACGTCTACAGACTCAACGTGCGCTTCCTGCAGAAGAGGGTGGTCCTGGTACGTGCTCCGGTGGATCAGTCCGTCTCACGGCTAGAGAAAACAGCAGAGGGAAGGTTATGAGGAAGATGTACATTACAAGACCAGAGAGAGACCAGAGAGAGACCAGAGAGAGACCAGCGAGAGATCAGAGAGAGATCAGAGAGAGACCAGAGAGAGACCAGAGAGAGAGATCAGAGAGAGACCAGAGAGAGAGACCAGAGAGAGACCAGAGAGAGAGACCAGAGAGAGACCAGAGAGAGAGACCAGCGAGAGACCAGAGAGAGAGACCTGAGAGAGAGATCTGAGAGAGAGATCTGAGAGAGAGACCAGAGAGAGACCAGAGAGAGATCAGAGAGAGAGACCAGCGAGAGACCAGAGAGAGAGACCAGCGAGACCAGAGAGAGAAACCTGAGAGAGAGGCCAGAGAGAGGTCAGAGAGAGAGACCAGCGAGAGACCAGAGAGAGAGACCAGCGAGACCAGAGAGAGAAACCTGAGAGAGAGACCTAAGAGAGAGACCTAAGAGAGAGACCTAAGAGAGAGACCAGAGAGAGAGACCAGAGAGAGATCAGAGAGAGAGACCAGAGAGAGGAGAATAAGATCAGCGAGAAAGAGACCTTCACTGTTTTTAATGCACTGTGATTATTGAGTATATTGAGTATTACGCCTGTGTGATTTTCATGTAGCTTTTTTTTTCAGCACATTGTTTTGCTTTTGTATGAACTGTGCTACACAAATAAACATGTCTTGGTCCTGAGCTGTGATCCTCTGCGCAGGTGAATGGGGAGCGTGTGGCTCCGCCCCTCAGCCCAGCGGACGGTGTCACCATCACCATGAACTCCAAACAGGTGCAGCTGACCACGGACTTCGGCCTCACCGTCCGCTTCGATGGCCACAGCCGCGGAGGTGAGTCTGGACCCAGGACTAAGCCTGGCCACCCTCAACACTGTAGCCTAAATCCACAGGGACTAGAGACCACCCACAGTACTGCAGCCTAAATCCACAGGGACTAGAGACCACCCACGGTACTGCAGCCTAAATCCACAGGGACTAGAGACCACCCACAGTACTGCAGCCTAAATCCACAGGGACTAGAGACCACCCACGGTACTGCAGCCTAAATCCACAGGGACTAGAGACCACCCACAGTACTGCAGCCTAAATCCACAAGGACTAGAGACCACCCACGGTACTGCAGCCTAAATCCACAGGGACTAGAGGCCACCCACGGTACTGCAGCCTAAATCCACAGGGACTAGAGGCCACCCACGGTACTGCAGCCTAAATCCACAGGGACTAGAGACCACCCACGGTACTGCAGCCTAAATCCACAGGGACTAGAGACCACCCACAGTACTGCAGCCTAAATCCACAGGGACTAGAGGCCACCCACGGTACTGCAGTCTAAATCCACAGGGACTAGAGACCACCCACAGTACTGCAGCCTAAATCCACAGGGACTAGAGACCACCCACGGTACTGCAGCCTAAATCCACAGGGACTAGAGGCCACTCATGGTACTGCAGCCTAAATACACAGGGACTAGAGGCCACTCATGGTACTGCAGCCTAAATCCACAGGGACTAGAGGCCACTCATGGTACTGCAGCCTAAATCTACAGGGACTAGAGGCCACTCATGGTACTGCACCTAAACCCACATGGACTAGCGGTCACCATAGGTAGAGGCAGACATCTTGGAGAGACCAGGGGCCTTTATCACTGCTTATGAATCATGCTACATAAATAACCTAACCCTTCCATTCAGAGGTCATCCTCCCGAGCTCCTACAAGAACCATGTGCGCGGCCTCTGTGGGAACTATGACGGCATCACACGCAACGAGTACACGCGACCGGACGGTACGACCACAGGGAACCTCAACGTGTTCGGAGAGAGCTGGAGAGTCAGCGACCGGCAAGCTGAGCGACTGATGAGCTATGAGAGGGAGCCGAGAGTCCACCAGGTCCACAGGTACGGCCAGAGATAGCACAGGTACGACCAGAGAGAGCACAGGTACGACCAGAGAGAACACAGGTACAGCCAGAGAGAGCACAGGTACGACCAGAGAGAGCACAGGTATGACCAGAGAGAGCACAGGTACGACCAGAGAGAGCACAGGTACGACCAGAGAGCACAGGTACGACCAGAGAGAGCACAGGTATGACCAGAGAGAGCACAGGTACGACCACAGATAGAGCACAGGTACGACCAGAGAGAGCACAGGTATGACCAGAGAGAGCACAGGTACGACCAGAGAGAGCACAGGTACGACCAGAGAGAGCACAGGTACGACCAGAGAGCACAGGTACGACCAGAGAGAGCACAGGTATGACCAGAGAGAGCACAGGTACGACCAGAGAGAGCACAAGTACGACCAGAGAGAGCACAGGAATGACCAGAGAGAGCACAGGTACGACCAGAGAGCACAGGTACGACCAGAGAGAGCACAGGTATGACCAGAGAGAGCACAGGTACGACCAGAGAGAGCACAAGTACGACCAGAGAGAGCACAGGTATGACCAGAGAGAGCACAAGTACGACCAGAGAGAGCACAGGAATGACCAGAGAGAGCACAGGTACGACCAGAGAGCACAGGTACGACCAGAGAGAGCACAGGTATGACCAGAGAGAGCACAAGTACGACCAGAGAGAGCACAGGTACGACCAGAGAGAGCACAAGTACGACCAGAGAGAGCACAGGTATGACTAGAGAGAGCACAGGTATGACCAGAGAGAGCACAGGTATGACTAGAGAGAGCACAGGTATGACCAGAGAGAGCACAGGTATGACCAGAGAGAGCACAGGTATGACTAGAGAGAGCACAGGTATGACCAGAGAGAGCACAGGTATGACCAGAGAGAGCACAGGTATGACTAGAGAGAGCACAGGTACGACCGGAGAGAGCACAGGTATGACCAGAGAGAGCACAGGTACGACCAGAGAGAGCACACGTATGACCAGAGAGAGAACAGGTACAACTAGCTAGAGCACAGGTACGACCAGAGCGTCCCCTACTTTACTTTATGTTACATCTTAGTAACTGGTACCGTATCCTCGCAACCTCCACACAACAAACCAGTATCCAGGGAAATTCCTTGGTAACCATGGCTTTCAGCAGCACTCTGGCCAATCACTGTCACCTGGTACTGGTTACAGAGGACCAGAGGAAACAGTAGACCCGCTGTGTTCCTGAGCCAAAGCGTTAAATATCAGAGAAAAGGCCTCTGTCATGTGACCACTGCTCACTCCTCTCTTCTTCCACAGACGAGACACCGACTCGGACCCGGACTCGGGCTTCGAGACCTCGGGCTGCAGCGGACCTCAGCTGGAGCTCTACAACAGCAACAGCCAGTGTGGAGCCATCTCCAATTCCCTGGGGCCCTTCTCCGAGTGCCACGCCCTGCTGGCCCCCAACACCTACAGGGAGTGAGTGCTCTAGGTCCAGGACTGAGGCTGTAGACCCAGGACTGATGCTGTAGATCCAGGACTGAGGCTATAGACCCAGGACTGAAGCTGTAGATCCAGGACTGAGGCTATAGACCCAGGACTGAAGCTGTAGACCCAGGACTGAGGCTGTAGACTTAGGACTGAGGCTGTAGACCCAGGACTGAGGCTGTAGATCCAGTACTGAGGCTGTAGATCCAGGACTGAGGCTGTAGATCCAGGACTGAGGCTGTAGACCCAGGACTGGATCTGCCTTTTCAATTAAATTGTCTTCCTTGATTTTCTTCATTCAAATGACGTCCTTTAAAAGTAATTTCTGACTTTGGCCACTAGGAGGTGCTTTACCACTTTAGATTGTTGGTTAATCCATTCTAAATGTTGTAATAGAATATTTCGGCCCTCGTGTATCATGTGTTGTTGTTGTGTTGCAGTGATTGTGTTGTGTTGCAGTGATTGTGTGTTCGACCTCTGTGCTGAAGAGGGCAGTAATGAGCTGCGCTGTGCCAGTTATGAAGCGTACGCCTCGGCCTGTCAGGAGGCAGGGAGCGCTGTGGGACCCTGGAGGAAGGATCTGGGCTGCGGTGAGAGACACACTCTCTGGTCTCTTTCTAGTCTCTTTCTAGTCTCT